TTCCAAATACTAGGCTACCCGAGACATATATCCCTAGTACCGAGGTTCAAATTATTCAGGTTCCCTCAAATAGGCTCCCGAGACAGGCATTCCCACGACAGAGCTTCCAAATACTGGGCTGCCCGGGACGTATATCCCCATTACCGAGGTTCAAAACGTTCAGGTTCCCTCAACTAGGCTCCCCGAGACAGGCACCCCTAAGGCAGAGCTTCCAAACACTGGGCTTCCAAGATGAGTATCCCTAGTACCGAGGCTCGAAACGTTCAGGTTCCCTCAACTAGGCTCCCCGAGACTAGCACCTCTAAGACAGAGCTTCCAAATACTAGACTGCCCGAGACGTATGTCCCTAGTACCGAGGTTCGAAATATTCAGGTTCCCTTCACTAGGCTCCCCGAGACCAGCACGCCTAAGAGAGAGCTTCCAAATAGTGGGCTTCCCAAGATGAATATCCCTAGTACCGAGGCTCCAACAGTTCAGGTTCCCTCAACTAGGCTCCCCGAGACAGGTATTTCCACGACAGAGCTTCCAAATACTGGGCTGCCCGGGACATATATCCCCAGTACCGAGATTCAAAACGTCCAGGTTCCCTCAACTCGGCTGCCCGAGACAGGCACCCCCAACACAGAGCTTCCAGACATTGGGGTTCCAAATACTAGGCTTCCTATGATGAATATCCCCAGTACCGAGGCTCAAAAAGTTCAGGTTCCCTCAACTAGGCTCCCCGAGACTAGCACCCCTAAGACAGAGCTTCCAAATACTAGACTGCCCGAGACGTATGTCCCTAGCACCGAGGCTCGAAATATTCAGGTTCCCTTCACTAGGCTCCCCGAGACCGGCACCCCTAAGAGAGAGCTTCCAAATACTAGTTTACCCGGGAACTATATCCCCGGTACCGGGGTTAAAGTCACTCAGGGTACCTCAACTGAGCTCCAACTCTCTAAGACTGGTATTCCTAAGACAGAGCTTCCGAATACTAGGCTGCCCGGGACGTATATCCCTAGTACCGAGGTTCGAAATATTCAGGTTCCCTTCACTAGGCTCCCCGAGACTAGCACCCTTAAGACAGAGCTTCCAAATACTAGTTTGCCCGGGAACTATATCCCCGGTACCGAGGTTAAAGTCACTCAGGGTACCTCAACTGAGCTCCCTAAGACTAGCATCCCCAAGTCAGAGCTGCTAAATACCAGGCTACCCGAGATATATGTCCCTAGCACCGAGGTTCGAAACATCCCGGTTCCCTCAAATAGGCTCCCCGAGATAGGCACCCCTAAGACAGAGCTTCCGAATACTAGGCTGCCCGAGACATATGTCCCTAGCACCGAGGTTCGAAACATCCAGGTTCCCTCAACTGAGCTCCCCAAGACTAGCATTCCTAAGACAGAGCTTCCAAGTACGGGGCTTCCCGGTTTTAAAGTCACTCAGGGTACCGGTACCTTAACTGAGCTTTCTAAGACTGGTATCCCCAGGACAGAGCTTCCGAATACTAGGCTGCCCGAGACGTATGTCCCTAGCACCGAGGTTCGAAACATCCCGGTTCCCTCGACTGGGCTCCCCAAGACTAGCATCCCTAAGTCAGAGCTGCCGAATACTAGGCTGCCCGAGACGTATGTCCCTAGCACCGAGGTTCGAAATATTCAGGTTCCCTTCACTAGGCTCCCCGAGACCGGCACCCCTAAGACAGAGCTTCCAAATACTAGTTTGCCCGGGAACTATATCCCCGGGGTTAAAGTCACTCAGGGTACCTTAACCGAGCTCCCTAAGACTATCATCCCTAAGTCAGAGCTGCCGAATACTAGGCTACCCGAGACGTATTTCCCTATCACCGAGGCTCGAAATATCCAGGTTCCCTCAACTAGGCTCCCCGAGACCGGCACCCCTAAGACAGAGCTTCCAAATACTAGGCTTCCCGAGGCGTATATCCCTAGTACCGAGGCTCAAAATGTTCAGGTTCCCTCAAATAGTCTCCCTCAGACCGGCACCCCTAAGATAGCGCTTCCAAATACTGGGCTGCCCGGTAATTATATCCCCGGTACTGGGGTTAAAGTCACTCAGGGTACCTCAACTGAGCTCCAGCTCTCTAAGACTGGTATTCCTAAGACAGAGCTTCCGAACACTAGGCTGCCCGAGACGTGTATCCCCGAAACTAGGCTTAAAATTATTCAGGGTACCTCAACTGAGCTCCCCAAGCCTGGTATATCAGAACCACAAATCCCAAAGCTGCAATTTACAATGGCTTCTCCGAGCCCTGGAGACAGAAATAGTCAGCCCGGGCCGACCTTTCCTGATCTTCTATCGCTTTCAAATGCCGACGATCCAAGTCTCCAAGCCACAGATCCTTTGCTGATTATACCTGAAGAGGGGCAAGTCGAAGCCCCATCCCCAGGAAAGACAGAAAAGGAGGCAAAGGCGGACAAGAAGAGGGAGAGGGAAGATAAGGCAAGGCAGAAGAAGGAGAAAGAAAGAATAGAGAAGGAACGTAAGTCAAAGGAGAAGGCCGAAAAAAAGGCACGGGAAAAGGAGGAAAAGGAGAAGAAGGAAAGGGAGAAGAAGGAGAAGAAGGCCAGAAAGTCCAAGAAGTCCGTCGAGCATCCTTCACTACCTCCTTTACCTGTCGGAACTGAGGACTCCGCTGTAGCAGAACCTCCTTCAATGCCGCCCTTGCTTGCCGACACTAAGGGTTCCGTCACAGCAGAGCCTCATTCACCGCCTTCTCTCTTTGTTGAAAACAAGAACTCTGCTGAAGAAGATACTTCTCCACCATCGTCTCTGCGTGTTGAACCTAAGAACTCTATCACGGCGGAGACTCCGTTGGTGGAGAAACAACTTGGCCAGATGGCAAATCAGTTCGCGACTCTACCGAATCCTGGGAAACTGGTGAAGGAAAAAACCATAAATGGATGGCAAGCATCGGTCAATGACCTGACTGGAAGCGTTCGCAACATGCTGGCTGGCAAAGGCAAACAGATTCAGGAGCAGAAGCCTGAGCTAAAGCTAGAGTCAAACACAGAGCCATCTGCAGTGACAACCACATGGCCAGGCACAGGTCTGAGTACAGAACTGAGTCCAGGGCTTGAGACAGGTGCGAAGTCAGCACTCAACGCAGGACTCAACGCAGGACTTAAGACAGGTTTGAAGCCAACACTCAACGCAGCACTCAACGCAGGAGCTGGCGTAGGGCTGAGCACAGATCTGAAGCCAGCCCTTGAGGGGGGAATTGATGGTTCCACACAGATTCCGGAGCTGAAACAAATCCTTGACGTAGGACCTGAAGGTTCCACACAAAACGTGGAGGCGAAAACGATGCTTGAGATAGGACCTGACGGTTTAATCCGGAATCTGAATGGAGAGCTTTGCAGCGGACACCAGCTGCTTGAGCATCTCAGCAAGCTTGGACTATATGTTGGCGAACACATCGATGAGCACCTTAAAGGTGGCCATATGACGCATCACGCCGATGGAGCACCGCACAAAGTGAAGCACGAATGCCACGATACAGATGGTGCAAACGATGAGCCTTCCGACTACCCCTCCAAACCTCCCAGCACTCTTCGGTCTGCAACCTATGGCCAGTCACAGCAGGAGTCCACCGAAGTGCATCAAATTGACGCTCAACCTAAGCAACGTGATCCCCAGCAGTTCTCAAGAGCTTACGAATCTCAGAACCCACAACATCCTACTGCAGTGGCTGAACAACAAGGAAAAAAGCAGGACTCCGATTACTCTCCTCTCAAGTTCATACCGGACGCCCAGCATATCCACGTGAAGAATGGTCCCGGCCAACTGAAGCGTGCACATTGTCTGTCTATATCCGGAAGACCGGATCATAAGCCATTGGATATTGCGGGGCACGCAAGTCCAACTGAGGCGCTGGATAGCAAGGAGTTCTTCATGGACTTGCATTCTGGGCAATAATCTGCTGCCGACAAACATCTGCTCGTGGAAGGCCCGTTAGAGTGGTCGAGTTCGAGATCGATTGGGCTGTGGTCGGTGTCACGTCAAGGAACAGAATCGCTTTTGGAAGAGAAAACTACAGACTGCTGTTTGTGGAACAGGGTTGACCGAGGGTTCCGAGCTCCCAACACTTGCCATGAGCTGGGCTCTGGCCTGCTGTTAGGTAGACTGCAGATTGTTTCGTGGAAAGTAATGATTAGACTGAAGGATTTAGTCAAATTGGACAGACGATATAACCATATATCCAAAGAGTTACTTTGTGTTCCCCGTGAAATTTAATCTCTGATGCCGGCTTTTGTACTTTATCACACTATACGCCCTTGGAACTCCAGGTCCACTCTCAGCCCCTTTACTGCTTGCGACTTGTTTCTCTACCCGAAGACTGTACGAATGTAAATTAGAAGGGTGCAGACAGACTTTGAAAAGGCTAATCCCAAGTGGACAATGTGATAAATGGCGCGCCTAGGTAAAATGACAACATCCTCCTTTAGTGCAGCAAAAGGGTACCGAAATCTGTCTGTGCTGAGAAATAGGCTCTCAAGCGGCTATAAGTCAAATGGGACTTGCAAAGTTAGATATAAATATCATGTTTTACAGGGGGCAGCGATTCTCAATTAGTGCACATAACAGACGAGTGGCCGGCACCACATCTTGGAATTTACCTTTTTGCATCGTACTTTTTTGCTCATGGTGCACGAGGTGAAGTTCCCGAGCCAACAGAGACAACATCGACCTTCTGCTTCAGCACGGCCAAGCAATCGACTTCTACCAGTAACCCCGATTATTGGCATAATTTCTGTGGACGTAAAAGGTGCTGATTTTCTGAGCGTCACGATTAGAGTTCATCTCAACTCACTACGGTCAATCAAACCAGTTCCCAACCCCAACGGCCGGATCTGAGCCTGATCAGTGCTGTTCCACCCATTGTTTACCACCGGCAGATGCTGCTAGCGGTTATGCTACCTGACTACATGGGATATAGGATGTTTTCACCTCGATCCGACGCGGCTGTTCTAATTCGGGAAGCCGATCAGGTAGCCCCTTAAGACTTGAGATCTGTCAAGACATGATCAATCCAGTGCCCCAGCAAGCGCCACACAACTAAACCGCATATCCGCTCCTTCTCTCTCCAAGAACTTCAGAGGCCCCCACAGCAGCGCCTTCTCGGACAGGACATCCTCGTCTCCTTCCAGCTTTCCTCGCGCGATGGGTCCCTTGCGGCGACCGTCAAGCTCCCATAGCGTCCCATCCTCCGTCTTTACGAAACATACATAGTGTAGATCGACGTCGTCCTGGGCATCGGGGGCGGCCGTTGCGCCTTGGCTGGCGGCTTCCTGGTGTGCGGAGGCTAGTGCTCTTGTTCCTTCGATGAGCCTCGATCGTTCGGCTGGCGGCAGAGGGATGGCGGACTTGATTAACTTGTCGAGATCTGAATCTGACTCTAAATAATGAATCCCTCCCGTTAGCGATCTTGGGCAAAAGGGCATGTGTTTATGCGGGGCCCACTTGCCAATGAATCCCCTCGCCGGCCCATTACTAACAGCATGCAACAAGCCCATCAGTCCACAGGCGTTGCGAATCGTCTGCTTGTACCAAATAACGGGCTCACCCTCGCCCTTGCCGGTGTATTCGGACATGGGTGCATCCTCGGCCATGCGCTGTGACTCGTAGATAGCTGAGACGGGGAAGACCAGCAGCAGCGCCAGGGCGGGCCGCGGAATGAAGGCAAGAAGTTCGGGGTCGGAGATGGAGTATACGTCATGGACCTGTAGCGCTTGGCTGAGGCCGAGCTTGTGGAGGAGGTTGGTCATCAGCTCCGGGTTGGCTTCGAGAGGGATGAAGGCGGGGGAGCTTCCCGGAGGTGGATCTGGGTGCGTTTGCGTTGTGGCCATGATGAAGGAAGGTTGGTATCGGATAGTGAAAGGCTCGTATGTGTGGCTCTGATACGAATGGGCTTGGGTGCAGTCGGATTTGCAGCCAAGTAACGACGAAAGTACTGAAGAGACTGCAAACGGCGTCCAAGAACGTGGGGTTTGTTGAAGTGGATTGCAGTTGCCCCTCCAAGGCCGAGGCAGCAGTTATGACGCCACAATGGCCGAGTCCCACTGTTTAGAGTATATAAGGAGCCGATTTCCACTGTGGAGCCAGGCGGCTCAATTGATCAGTTTCTTATCCAGTCTATTGGTCTCTACATAGTAAACCTTGAAGTCAACGTCGTGAAGAGATTCAAGCGCATTGGGAAATCGGACGAAATGAAACAGCGTAATACATACGCTTTCAAATAGAACAGGATTAAACCGTCGATCTCCAATCTTGTGGAAGGAATTCTCACAATCTTCATCTTTTGGACAGGTGGGTGGCGATCCGTTGACTGCCCTCTACAAGGACACATCTTCATGTTCACTTCATACGGGAAGCAGATTTGCTAAACCACCAACAGGCAAGCAAGCCTATTTTCATTGAATAAATACGGAGTTTTTGTATGCTTTCGAGTTGACAGATCCCGTGAGAGGGGTGCTAAGGGTAAAAAAGGGAAGGCCAAACTTGCTCTTAGTTTTTCCAAGGGATTCATGATACACCGACCGCTATGTTGGAACCAGAGGCAACCAGAATGGCCAACCGTTACACCCTCACATCTTGATACATTGTCGGAAATCAGGTTCTTTACTGTGCATCAAAAAGCAGCGACAGCAACCTCCCGGAAGTGCCGACCCAACCATCTCTTGGCTTTGTAATTGCAATATTGAACGCCCGTCGGTAAAGACAAAGTCCTCGTTGAATTTGACAACCTATATCCCTGAAAAAGCCATAAACATGTCCACCAGGAAGATACTTCATCTCCTACTTTCTGATGCTGCGATTAGGACTGACCATTCGCTCCGCCTTCATACTCCTATTTGCCATTCCATCAAGGCAGTACTCCCTCCTCCCGACTATTGGTCAAGCAACTAGCAAACAAATTGTTCTACTGCTGCCACATACGTGATCCATCATCGATCTAGTGCACCAAAAAACATACATGCTGAACTCAGAAGACCGTATGTCGGCAGCTTCTTAATGACAGTCTTGACAACCACTAATTATATCTTATTACTACAAGCCAGCCCACTCTATATAATCTGCATTGTGATGCCACAAGTCATGAGCGGGAGGACCCAAGCCATACTCAGGCGCGGTTTCTCTTCTGTCCGTCCTCTATAATCTACACTCCCTACTGCTGAGCCCATGATCCTATCTGCCTCTAATCCATGTCCGGAACGCCGTCGTAATGCATGCACACCCGAGTTACTCGTGACCCAACCAAATACATATTATCTCATGCCTTCGCCCTATCCCGAAGCGTATGTCTCCTCGTCTCCTCCAACTCATCTTTCATGACGCTATTGAACTCGTCAGGATTGTCGAGGTAAAGGTGATGACCTGCTTTCTTGATGATGATGACCCTCGCAGCACCATTCTCATTCCGCTTCTCCTCATCGGTAGAATTCAACAATGCCTTCACCTTTGCTTGCTTCAATTTCTCCTCAGAAGCAAGCCCCCCCGCCACATCCATCCAATCATTCTCGCCATACATGAACACAACTGGGAAGCCAGTCTCTTTCATCGCGGGTGAAGTCTCAGTTGCCGGTTGTACCACCTGCCGGCCGACGCCTTGTATCCTGTTGATCACTGGCCTACGCGCATGTGCGCCTGGTGCAAGAATGTATGGGAGTGCATATTCACCACTGCCTCGTTGCCGGAAAAGCGAGTAGGCATAATCATGCAGTGTCTGAGCTTCCACGGTAGGGAGATGATTGAATCTGCGTGAAGTCCAGCCCGATACAAATCTTGGACCCAGAGGACCTGTCAAGCGAACGATACTGAAGGGTGAGATATTGGCATCCCATAACCAAACGAGCCAGCCAGGGTATGGGCGCTTCTGCGGCGGATTCACACCGGCCTGGTTGACCTTGTTCTGAACGTCCATGTTGTTGCGGTCAGATCCCTTGGTGATTGCTCGTTGGTCTCGGGTGAACTCATCCTGGAAAGTCGATTCTTCCGGCTCAGGCATGTCGGCATTGACAGCGTAGGGATCTTCGGGAATGCCCACAGGCGAGGCCAGGATAAGCTTATTTAGGTGCCCAGGATACTTGAGAGCGTACGATACGGCCAGGTAGCCCCCCAGTGAATGGCCGAGTAGAGTGAATTTCTCCAGCTTGCGCAGTTTTCGCCATTCCTCCAGTGCATCGATGAACCAGTCTTCGGCTTCTTTGACCTTTCCAACTTGGTCTTTTGCGTGAATCTTGAACGGTGGCCGTGTCGAGTTACCCATTCCGAGCATATCGAGAGCGTATAGCTTCCATCCTTTTGAGCGGGTTATGCTCTCGAAGTTCTTGTAGAAAAACCCCAGGCCAGCTCCGTAACCATGAAGCATGACCAACGTATCGTCAACCGGCTCGCCGACGCGCTCAACCGAGAACTCGTTTAGAGCTCTGTTCTTGCCGGATAGCTCAACCATGGTTGACCGCCAAACCCTGGGACCAAAAGGGTCTATCTTGGTCGACGTTTCGATGGCGCGCGGGTGGTCTGCTGAGGGCACATTGTCTAGAGGAACTGTACTGTTGGCAATGGCTTCTCGGAGATAAGGTATGCAAGAGATCACGTTCCTCTCCGCAACCGTCGGCGTGACGCTCGTCCACTGTTTCCCGGTGTCAGCTCAGACTACCAAGCAGAGACCAGCACCTTGCGCTTGGCGTACCCATTGGTGGATCGCATCCTTGTAGCCGAGGGGAAAGAATGGAGGCATTCCGCGTTGCTTTTGGGCCTGTTCGTGTTGTTCTTTTGCTCTCTGGGAAGCCAGCGGGGACTGCTGGCCTGTCCTAGGAACAGCCGCTTCGGTCGACATGTTAGCCCGGGACGTCGCAGGGGTGTATGTCTGGAATCTTAAAACAACTGGGACAAGTTTCCTCGGCGGTATTAATGAGGAGAAAGGAGTCTTGAGCATACCGACTGAAGGTGGTGGGAAGGAACGCGCCTACTTATGGCCGAGCCACCTGAGAGGGCGACAAGCTGATATAGGCAGAAGCACACTACGTGTACGTGGAGTTTATGTAAACCCCTCCCCGACTAAGCTTCTATGATCGATACATTCATGGGACCAAGCGAATTGACTCGCCGTGAAAATCTGAAGGACAGATCGCCCGCACCGAATGCGCTCGCTTTCGGATTGGCCGTGTAGGAGGAAGAGGAGGAATCAAGCGTATCATTGACGTGGGCTGTGCGGACTTGACGGAATTCGCGGATTTAAGACCAGGCGAAGCCCGCTTTTACCCTGCAATCTCTGTGATCGGGCCTTAGAATCTCTCCGTTCCTGTCGTCCTGCGCAACTTAAAACTCCATTTGGCTACGGGCGCTTTCCATGCTTGGACCCTCTTGTAACCTTCTGTCAGCAGAACCTTGGCCATGGGACGAATCTGGTATACATTTCGACGAGTGTTTGCTGTGCTTTATTTAGACAGCCATTCCCACATTGTCGCAATCGATATGCCCGGCTTCACAAGCGGTCTTCGCCAGCTTTATGAAGAACGTTGCACCTATATTTGCTCATTTGCTCGCGCATCTCAGGCAAGGAAGTACACACTCATGTAAATACAGCTGCAAAGGTACTAAAGTTACTCTTCCCGTTTCTCCAGACGAGAGATACGGGTTTCACATTCTACAGTACAGTTCATGACGTGTTGGACTTTCAATAGCAGAAAAGAATGCCATTATCCAAAACTTCCAACTCGAACATAAACATTTGATTACAGCAAAAATAAAACCGTCACAGTTCCAGCGAACCGATCCATCGCGTTGAAGGAACTCACTTGCAGATCCAAGATCCGGCAGTGCAGTCTCCACTTTACCCCAGACTCTCGAATATGGATCAGATATTTATGCTTGTTATACCAGTGACCCAGAAATCGCTGAACTTGGAAATAAAATAGCACCACGTCAGCTTTGTCTCGACCATGTGGTCCACCGTCGCCTTAGCGGTGCGCCATTTTTTGGCCCCCTCAGGCTCTGACTTGTCGTGTAGAGGACCGGTCCATATTTGAGGGAACTCAGTTCAAACCTAGGTGAGACCCGGCCGAACGTTGTGGTATATTACCGTGTGATGGTTTGGGTCGTTGACGGGTGCAAATATTCGAGTTCAGTTCGGTGGGTACAGAGGCTCCGTTTGAAGTTTCCATGGTTTATTGTCACTGCAACCTCGTCTTTTTGCATGGATGAAATCCGCTTGGGAGTCTGTCTCGAGAATCCGGTTCTAGTGAGATGGATATCGGTGTGGAGACCTGCTGTCTCTTGTGCGTACCGAAGTTGAGCCCTGGCTTCTCAGATGACAGTATCTCTTGCAGTTCTTCGACTGGAGGCATGGCTTCAAATTGCATTTGCAAGGAGAGGTTCGAAAGAACTGCCAATTGGGGTTAAAAGGGTCGTGCTGATGAAATTCGAAAATATGAAGATCCAACGCTATATATCTATATTCGGGTTTCTCAGGGCAGAACAGCACGGGAATATACCATCGAACCAGAAGCAAAGATGGGTCAACTGATGCCATGACGTGTACGCAGATTGTAAGACACACAAACAAAGCTGAATCATCAATCTGCTAAGGGGATATCAAGTGCGTGCCTTATCATGCAAGTCGACGCGGTTTTCCACTGTAACAACCATGCTGTGGCTTGGTCCGTCTCTGGTCACCCCTCTCTTGGGTGGAAACCTCCGAGGTGTTACGCAAGCTGACGACGTAGATTGCATTGCAGTTGTCAAACTGTACGCAAGAAAAGCAGGACGGACGAGGATCTTCCCTATTGAGATTTCTACAATGCAACGATGTGCACATGTTTCCGCTACAAGCCATGAAAATGAATAGGTATCAGTGTCAGTTGAAATCTGAACCTCACCTCGTTCAGGATGGATGCACCTGGACTCAAACTTCGGTCTAACCTAGAAGACGAGGCATGGGTCACGGGTAGGATGCACGAAATAGCGCGGAAGCCAAATAGTGCAGGGAAGCAAACGAGATATGACAACTTCCATCTCAAGGAGTGCCAATTCAAACTGCAACTATGGTCAACCCTAATACGTGCTATCGAGCAGAGATCAATGTAGTGGGCGAACACCACTTGAGTAAAGTGCAAAATCGTTGCAATTAATCCTTCTGCTGCTCTGAATAATCCCAACAGTTGACTCGGGGCTAGCCCTTGAGATTACAGGGGAGCTTGCGCTATGGCCAAGATGGAAAAATATGGGCTGCTGATCGTACCGGGGGCTCTTCAACTGGGTCGATTCAAACAATGACGTGAACTCCTTCTGTCTAGACGCAACCATCCGTTCGATCTCCACGAATACCTCCAACTGTTTCCCACACCTGCGTAGTCCTTATCATTCTGTACGAATGCACCAATAAAGACTATCGCATCGCTGACGCGGACGACGTCGTCCTCAGCAACAGACGATTTCGGGTAACGTCGTACGTACGACACGCATTGCCTCAAAATGGCAGACTCCGTCGACTCTATTGTCAAAGGGGCGCCGCAGCCCAGCGCCAACGCCAAACCGCCGCCAACGGGGACGAGCCCAATAGGTTCCGTCAAACCGGGCGACCCACTGAACCACACACCGAGCTCGCCTTCTATGATCTATCTCAACATGCTGATCCTCGAGGCGTCGCTGCGCGCCCAATATCTCGACCTGCGTACGCGTCGGCGCAAACATACGTTCTTCCTTAGCTTGCTTTCCGTCTGGCTGCTGGTATTCGGATATGGGCTCTTTTTCGCGCCCCGCGAGGATGGCAATGGTGTGGGAGGGTCGGTATACTGGGTTGTAGACATGACGGAGAAAGTGTGTTTCATCAGTGGCGTTGTAACAGCCCTTTTGGTATGGGGCACGGGCATATGGGATCGTGGTATACGATGGCCGCGAAGATGGTTTGGCATATCCAACAGGGGCTTGCGAGGGTTCAACTGCAAATTAGTTATCATCAAGAGGCACTGGTGGGTCGAGGTGGTCTCAACCATCGGCTTCTTCTTTACATACGGCGCATTCTCCGGCACGGCAGGCCAGTATCGGTTCGTGGATCCGTCGATTCTTCGTGAAGTTGAGAAAGAACTCAACTTGACGCACCGAGAACATCCGCCACTTCCTTTCGCCAACACCGATGAAGAGAAAGGAGGCCACGAGGAAGATCTTGCACCCGGGGGAGACTATGTCAAGCTCCTATTGCTGGCGAAGCCATTCTCGCCGACATTCCGGGAGAACTGGGAACTGTACAGAAGCGAGTACTGGGAACGGGAGAACGAGCGTAGGGCCTTGCTACGTAAAAAGCTACGACAGCGCGACAGAGAAATCGCGAAACGGCAGAGTCGCTGGTTCTGGTGGCTTCCGGGACGGCGACGCGTGGAAGCAAAATTGCATGTCACTTTACCTGGCGACGAGAAGACACTACACCATCGACCCTCGCAGATTCTCAAGGACCACAAGCGAGCAAGGAGCGGCAGTGTCCGTCGCGGCAGCACATCGGCAGGCTCGTCACGCAGTCCCACGCCTACGATTGAGGTGGAGGACTGTTTTTTCAGCAGGAAAGCCAGCACTGCATCCAACTCGTCAGATAAAAGGCGCAAGAAGCAGGGCTCGACGAGAACCAAGCGTCCAGGTGATTCGCGATCTTTAACGCCGGATTTCCCGTCACCACTTGCTAGAGAAAGCAATATCAGCACGTCTGGGTTTGATTCAGTGTCGGGCTCAGGAGGCGAAGGTAGCGGGCGAACATTAAGGAACAAGTCGCCTAGGCGCCCCAGCGTATCGCCTTAGGGACAGCGATTCGACGGACGCGGCGTACTTTGATAGAGTAGCGGAATAATCAGGCATTGTTTTGGACTTCGAAAAAGATTAAGTCCTTTTTTCAAGCTTAGGTCCTCTTTAATGCCTGTGATGACCTTTCCGGAATAATCCACTTCATGCTGCACCTCTACCTAGCACTTAGCCTCGAATTGCCAGTGTCGGAGCTAGTCGTCACGGGACGATCGAGCGGGAAAGTCTGGCTGGAAAACGTTGGAATTGTTGAACTCGGGCGTCTGATCATTGAATTGTCGGCTCGCCTCAAATGCCATCCATGTAGCTGCTATCGAAGTCAATCGGTTGGACTGGTCCCTGAATTGGCTGCGTGGTGGCCCCTACCTCGAAGTCGTAATGGCAGTCGCCCCACTAAGAAAAACGCTCGAGCCTAGCTGTGTACTTAGGTACTTAAGTAAGCCAGCCGGATATAAGATTGAAGCCTGGGGAGAGGCGGAGCTTCCATTCAACTTTAAATCACCATGTCAGATCCGGGGATGAGACCTCTGGGAACCCAAATTGAACGTATTTGGCGACAAATCCCGTCTTTTGCAGCCGACACCGCGAGGGTTTACCCATGGTAACAACAACCCCGGCCCTACTTGACCTCCAGCTCTGGGGATTTCAGGCGTTTGCAATCTTCTACCAAGGATGCATCTTGTTGACTTTCTAACCAACTTGCATCTACCCAGCTTGCCTAGACCCAGAAGCGGCTTCTGTCGCATTTCCTTCTCATCACAGCTAACCGACCAACTACCTGGCACGCTCCACGTCTCTATTTGATCCCGTCGACCTTCGGCATCGACCTTCTGGATCATGACCTTGTATTTTCACAACGGCAAAATGTCCACCAGCTCTGTCCCCGTCACAGCAGTCCCTACGGCCCCATACAGCGCAAGGCCGCCCAGTCCACCAGCCATTCTGATCCCGGCACCACCACTGGCAAACTCTAATCAGCCCATCCAAGTCGTGCCCGCATACAATAGCATCGATCCGCTATCTCTCAGTGCTCAAGATCTTGCCATTATTACCCAAGGCAAGGCTCAGACCGCACACGACTCGGGATGCAACTGGAACTATGAACACCGACGCAAGGCACAACAAATCACCGACTGGCTTTACTTAGGCCCTTCAAATATCGCGCGAGACAAGGAGTGGCTGCAGGCTAATGGCATCACGATGCTTCTGGCCGCACGAGACTCGCGCATGGCTCAGTTCCGGCTCATGGCAGTGGGCAGAGTAGCTCAGGAGCTGGGCATTGAGGCAGAGCACATCGACGTATCGGGGAACCAGGAGCTGATTCGTGCATTTCCTGATGCCATTCGCAAAATCAACAACCACCTCTTGCGCATCTACCATGAGCAGGCAGTCTCCGACTGGTCTCAGCAAGTACAGGATGGTCGTATGGTTATTGACAAGACCAACTTTAGACGAGGCAAGGTTCTCGTGTTCTGCGAGACCGGCAATGACCGATCGGCCGGCCTTGTCATCGCCTACCTGATGTCCATCTTTGGCCTTGACCTGGTCCGCGCCAGCCAGTTCGTCACCTTCCGCCGCTTCTGCATTAGTATCGACGAAGAAATGAAGTATCTGCTGAAGACGTACGAGGATATTCTCACGGCCCAGCGTACAGTACATAAATTCCAGATAGCCGTGCCCCAGATCACCGCCACACTCACATCTGCCAAAAAGTCAAAACGACGCTTTGATGACACCATGAGCAACGACGATGAAGCCATGGCAGGAACAGGCTCGTTCTTGTACGACATAGATCGCTACGTTGGTCGCGCTGACTGGGCTCCATTCCAGGACAGCACCAAGGATGACGTCATGGGTGAGGATTGAGAAACCACCGTAAAGGACTGCATAGGAGGCATCGCATCGCATGGCTTGGAGTTTACGGTTGGTTCTTTTGTGGCATGGACATTCAACACCAGGAAGGGTTTGACTGCGACAAAACTGCTAGGTTCATGGTCATCTGGCGTTTCAAGGAGGATACCCTTGTTTCAGTACATATACTCGTGGCCTCTCACGAGTTCGAGCAGCGAGGATCACTGCAGATCAATTTTCTGCTTCTCCATGGGTCACACTCTGAATACTTTGTTTTTGTTTTATCTCCGTACCTCGTTCGATCCGAGCATGTCATCTGATCAAAAGATTAGTCGAAATCTCAATGCGGGGTGATGCTTGATTTTTCCCAGTGGCGAAGTCTAAATGATGCCGTCCGTTAAGACATCAGGTGGACCACCGAGCTGCCATATCTAGATATACCAAGGCGTCGGGTTGTCTGCCTCTCTACTTCCCTCTATGACAGACCCTGACGGGCATTGTTGTCATCCCCGTTGAAACACAGTTGGCTACTACATAAGGCCATACTCAACGAGCTTTCGGGGCGGGTCAATGGTTAGGTAGGCTTACAACGACGGGAAAACAGATTAGCCGTAGCCCCAGATCTGATCTGTGTCCCACAAGAGCTATAATAGCTTCGACTCCAAGTCGGAACCCAAGGAGTAGGCAGTAGAATGCTTGGTTTTTGGTTTAGACTAGAGAAAGGATGGCTGCGGACTTCAGTGTCCTTGCGGCCTGTCACCTTGCCCTGCGCATGGCATTTCCTCGATCAAGTCAACTTCTAAGTATAGCGAATTATAGTACGTGGGTGTTGATTGGGGGTCGTCACTGCAGAACTCTGATATGACTACAGAGAGTTGAAATACTGGAGATCTGCTAGCTGCAGCTTGTCCCAGCTATGTGCGGATATGTACACCCACATGATTTCCAAGATAAATGTCTGGACACATCCAAACTCGTGCCTTCCCAGTCTCTGCAGCATAGAAGTGATAAAGTGTTCAACAATGTTCCCGCAACGGGGTTCCCAAAGAGTAGAGGCCAAATTGGCTTCGAAACTAATCCACCATGACAAATGACAGTTTCGAAGATGATCAATGTAGGCATACAACAGGCGTATAACTATGAATCACCTATTATCAATAGTCTTTTACGATCTGCTGGTTCAACTGGAAGGTACTCCGTGGACATAAGCATTCCAAGTCATTTGCCACTTTAATTCCAGGGGGACAAGGTCATATTCTTGCAACAGCACTTTAGTTCCCCAAATATACATCTTCCACATATCCTCCAAGAACATATTACTTCTGATTTCAGCTCTGCTACCCTCCCGTTAATCTCTTGCTTGCCTTAGGTCTTGCTTTGGGTCTTTGCCCCTGAGCTTGGTTCTCCTGGTTCCATCCATTCTTCTGTCCCCCCTTTGCACATTTCCTCTCGAGTTGTTGCACTGACTGCTGTATTCTAGATGATATACTCTCTCGCGTCTTAGTTATGTGTCATATGAATAGTGCCTCGAGTCGTTACAGAAATTCGTTCAGACACATCCTGCCACTTCTCGAGTGAAGTCTCGAGATCATTAGATAAAACACCAACTTTGGACACAGACTATTGATGCTTGGGACTTTATTTGCCCTGCAAGTATTGTCGTAGCTGCTGGGGCACTCGAAACTCCTCAGAGGGATCCGTCCCAAGAAAACTCAGCGGGTGTAGCATGTTTGGAGCCATGGAGCTTGCGGAAGAATTAGTTTTTGGGAAGGGGACATGACCAAACCTATTATCAGACACTCTTGGAATTTATAAGAAACCTGGGGTTGTGTTGTTTGACAAGTGAAGACCAGCCATGGGGTGTGATTCTTCCGCAAGATACACAGTTTTGACCTGATAAAGATACAAAAGGTTGTCTAAAAAAGAAAAGAAAGTCTCCTCCTTCCCTAAAGAGCGGGAAATCAATGCTGGGAAAAGAGACGGAAGGCACGCTATCAACGAATTTGGTGATAAACCCCCCAGGAGTCAGAATCGTCAGCTCAAAATCAACTTCGCCTGTCTTCTCAACATGTAGACACCAACGCCCTTAAAATCTCGTCGCCACCCCCCAAGCCTACTGCCAGCTTGACACGGAAAATTACCATGTCCGCCAAATGATGGACTAGTCACATACCGTGGATTTAGTCCTGCTCCTTCTTCGCGGATTTTCTATGGTAGATTCCTCTTTGGCGCTGTCATTACTCTACTCGGCTTGTTCAGTTCTTCACTCAGTCTTCAGAGAGTGCTTTCCGCGGTGAAGGCAGGTTTCATATACTCATGACCCAAGTATCTGCCTCCGTGAGATGCTGTACATTCCTCTCTACGTCCCAATAATAACCTTTCATCCCGCTATCTAAGACGCGATTTCCAGCTCAACAACGCGTCTACCCTTGACCAACAGGGATTTTCTTCAGCATTTCACATTCTCCGTCTCACCATCTTGATAATCAAGGTCCTGCTGCTGTAGCATACACCCACACACAGGCTTGCCCCGGCCTTCTCACGACGTCGCCACAGTCAACGCATCAACTATCAAACCCTGACTCTTCCCGAATCAGAAATTTACTGTTCGCCCCAGAAATGGCCTTCCGGTTCCGTGTCAACAGCATAATGACCGACATCGAAATGGATATACCGGTTGAGAAGGAGGAAGTCGCAGGTCCCAGTGGTGGTGTGGCTAAGACGAAAAGCGCCAACACTGAAACGGCTCACATCGAGATGGCCAACAACGCAATAGCCACAGGTAAGCTTAACCAGCTAACATACCGTACCCCTTTTAGGACAGAAGATAACATCTCCTACCGAAAAGACAGAGACGACTATATGGCCATTGAAGACGAGGATAAAGTCTACCCCTTGTACCCAACAGAGAACGACAGTTGGACCACGGAAAGGGAGCCCGAATACCATGCCATTCACCCATGGATACGTAAGAGACATAGAATTTCTACCCATCATCCGAAACGGAATCAAAGGAGGTGCATACGTCGGCCTGGTCTCCTGTTGTACCCAGTAGAGAGCGACGGAGAGATCAATGAAGACGAATATAAACACTATCATCAAAAATGGACCTCAGACATGTACACACGTCGTCGTGTTCTCCAGATATCATCGCATGAAGAAAGCCCCTCTTTCGAACCAGAGCATGAAATCAGGCCCTATATTAAATTGGAGCGTGCAGACAGCCACTCTGTTGAATCGGAATATGAACACTGGGCTACCGAATCAGACTGCCCTGTCGAGCCAGCGTATGAAGACTGGTTCTCTATCCAATCAGAGCATGAAGGCAGTTCCTCTGTCGGATCAGCATGCGAAGACTGGTCCTCTGGCGAATCAGTGCATGAAGACAGCTCCTCTATCGAACCGAGGCATGAAGTCGGTCCTCCTCAGCCAATAGACTCTTGGCGAGCAATGTCATACGCACCCCAAGCCATCATACTCCTCATCATGACCCAGGCCGAAGGCTCGTTCAATACCGCACTGAGAAAGCTCGGACTCAACTACTCGGAACGCGACAGCTTTCTATGGAAACATCGACATCTCCATGCAAACGCGGAAGACTGGAATTATTGCTGCAAGCACTTATTCGATACACAAGGCTATGAGATCACCCTACCAGAAGACTACAAAGGCCATGAGCCCGTGTTGCCCCCTTTGATCGCGCACCGCCAGATGCACCACGCCGCTCACTTCCTGGACAAGATGGGTCTGTGTTATATCAAGAACAATGTCCTTGGCTGGGCGAACACGAAGCCGCTCAGCTGGCCCTTACACATTCCCTTTGTAGACGACGAGTCAACCCCCGAAACTCGGCTACAGGAGGCCCTGGACTTTGAAAACAACTTGCAAGAAATTCAGGAGTCTGATGCCGAAGGGGTCGTGCTTCAAGGCAATCGGGTGTATCGTGACGAAGAAAATGGCTTGCAGGTAATTCAACAGTCTCATGTCGAAAGAATTGACTTGCAAGGCAATCCAGAGTCTCACGGTGAAGAAAACGGCTTGAAAGTGACCCAGGAGCCTCATAGCGAAGAAGAGCCTCTCGACGAAGAAAGCGATTGGGAACAAACTCAGAAATCCAATGCCGAAGAAAGATGCTCGAGAGCTAGTCAGGCCACTACTCAAGTAATACAAGCGGGAGCTCCACGGCCGACGACTATCACAGGAAGGCTAGCTCTTGCGAAAGTGAGCAAACGGTCGAAGGAACAAGCGAGAGCTAATCGGGCGACTACTACCAAAGGAAGCCACTCCAGAGCCTACCATGAACCTGGTGTCGAGGCAAGCCACTTGGAACACAATCGGGGGTCCGGCGCAAAAGCAAACCACTCGAGGGGCAATCGGGTACCTGTTGCCGATGGAGGCCACTCTGAAGTTGATCAGGGGCCTGGTGTCCAGGGAAGCCACTCCGAAGTCAGTCAGGTGTCTGGTGCCAAGGGAAGCGACTCACAAGACAGCAAGGAATCTGCTGTCGAGTGCCAGGAGCAAGTTTCCGGCTCTGGTGACCAAGAACAAGGATCCGAGTTTCAAGCTCACAATCAAAAGAAACCACGGCAGCCGGATCGGATTCCTACGACTACGAGGCAGACACGGGACAAACAGAAAGAAAAACGGAATTATGCGAGAAACCTCGCACAAGAGGACAGCGAGGGGTGGGAGAAGGAGATTCAGGTGCCACGAGATGACCATAAGAGCGACAAGTCATTTAATCTATCAGGAAGAAAGAAACCAAAGGAAAAAGGCGAAAAATATTCCCTGAAAGGTGGAGCGCCCCGACCACGATGATGACATGGACATCACGGATCCAAGTACAGCATGCCGGCAGTGAAAAAGGGAAACATGCTGTTCTGGGGTTGGAGTTGATAAGAACACGCATTCTTGTGCAATCTGATGATTCCGTCCTGCTTTAGTAGATGAACCAGGGTACACTGGGTAGCATATCCGTATTTTGTGGTAGTTGAGCAATTCGATGGCTTCTAGGATCTGAAGTTTTCAAGTTCTGCCGTGAAAAGCGAACTAACTTGACCAAATGTATGATGACACAACTGTAACCAGGAAGTTGTCAATCATAGATACACGTACCTGTACTTAGTGATCATGACTCCAAAATCACAGCCAACACAACCCTATCCAGGCTCTCGCACCATCTGGCCACATCACTAACAAGTCCTTCCATGTCTCTCTCCCCAAAAGCAGCAGATATATCACAAGAAGCCTGTGATTAGTTCAGGTCATGTATAATCAATACCCTACTGCTGTTGCTATTAAGCCCAGAACTTATATGTTCTTTAAGCCGGTAAGCCCAGGCTTCTTTAATGTTATCAGTGCGCCACGAGTCGTGAGGGGCTGACCAAAAAGGACATCCAGCAGGGGTTCGATGACGAAGAGGAGACATGTTGTCCGGTTCCCTCGCTGTTATCATGTCTTGATGCAATGTCTAACTTTGAAATGGTACAGTTCGGGAGAAAGATACCACTCAGGTGAGAAGTCTTGCGCAGCATCCGGCCCTGGTCGGGATGGTCAGCACTGGCGCCGAAATTCAAGCAAGTCTCCGGATCCCGTAAGCGGCGAGGTCAAGGTATCGGCTGGAGTTCCACGGAGTTCTCACAGAAGTATCGTGTGAACTTGTGATACTCTGCAGAATCCTTCGGCTTGAATAGTTGGCTGAATGCGTGGTGAATGTGCTGAAAGAAAACCGCTGATACACTAACGTGGGTATAAAAGTCGACTGTGCTCTGACATGGAGGCCTGTGTTGCTTCTTTGAGAAAGAGTATTGGCCTACGTCGAATTCACTCAGATCATAGCTTCTCACCATGTCTCCTATCCTGGTTGGAATCATTGGGTTGGGCGCCAGTAAAGCCTCAATGGCGCCTGGAACTTGGAGAGTCATTGCTCATCCCGCATCGATCCAAGGCCTGCCAGACTACACGATCTTTGCCGTTTCAAACCCCACCGTCGAGTTTGCAAAGAGATCAATCGACGCACATGGACTCCTTGCGGACACCAGAGTGTACGGAGATGCAGAAGATATTGCCAACGACCCGAACGTTGGCATCATCGTTGTCAGCGTCGAGGTGGGCAAGCACTTTGACCTCACAAGGCCTACCCTAGAAAAGAAAAAACGATATCTTTTTGGAGAAGCCCCTCGGATCGAACGTTGATCAAGCAATGAGATTGGCCAGGATGACCTCAGACAACAGTATGAAAACGTTGGTTGGCTTGCAATCTCGACCTGATCCCCTGGTTCAAATGGTCAAGAGCCTCCCTTTAAGCGGATTTATCGGTCGAGTGACGAGCTCCAGTGTAGTTGCTTTTCCAAGCACATTTGCCGTGGACTTGTGGTCCAAGGGAGCGGAATATTACCCTGAATTCAACAGTGGTGGCAATGCGTTCACCATCTACTTTGGACATGAGTAAAAGACGAGACCAGCTCCGCGACAGGAAGATGCAAAGGTTTTATCTGCCAGTTCTTCATGTCTTTACCTACGTCCTTGGTGACTTCGCCGATGTCCGAGGACCGCTCAAGACTCAATATACGACGATAAAACTGATGGATGGCTGGAACGGCAAAGCCCCGAACCCGGCCTATCCCAAGACAGCAACCGACCACATCCTCGTGCAAGACCCACTCAAAACTGCTGCAGCAACATCCATACCTTTCCGCAAGATCAAGTCAGCGGATGAAAACGTGGGGACCCATTGGATCATCACTGGCACCGAAGGCAAGATCGAAAATGTCACCCTGGAGAGCGGATTTGCAACGGCAACCCCGGACCCAGCACGGCGTTCGTTGCAGTTGAAGATAGACACAGCTGGAAAGGCCAAGAACGTTGACTTTGCAGCTGATGACAAGTCACCAGCTGCCCAAGTTCTGTTTCCCGGAACCAGCGCTGCCAGGCTGTATGAAGACCCCACAAAGGGAGGAGGAGATCAAGTGGCAAGTGGCCTCCTTTGAGTCAGCTCTCAGGACTTGTGTTCTGTTGGGAGGATTACGAAACTGCTGGGTGGGAATTGTAGGATGCTCTGGACCACTTGGGAACCTCGGGTAGGTTGTGTTGAAAGCAATAAGCCAAAGACTCGACCTTTGTTAGTTGCAGTGCTTAATGCCGTTGCCGGCTCATATGATAACTGATCTGTGGATTGAAGATGTCACATCCCAATCTCTAAGTGCTCGAGTGAGTTTAGCCAATCGAAAGCATTACCGTATCGACAATCATATATACTGTATAATCACACCGTGCTGTCTAAGCTTCCCTTCGGTAGTTTGGTAGAATGGCCCAACGTGTATGAACACCACCTCTACATCATAGCATATTATAACATGAGGTTCACGTGAAATTGGTCTCTGTGATACGCTGTATATTCCAACTAGACGTTGCTAGACACCATCAAGTCTAGGCCCGTGCTCAGCCACGCCCGACAGACGTCAGTTCCCAGCTCTCCCAGCTACTTCCCTCGAGCTATCGTCCCCCCATCGTCCACTACATACCACATCCGCGACTCCATCTCCATCCGTCGCCATGGCGCCCCGAATCGAAGCGCAGGAAATCGAGACATATTGGAATATCTTCAGCACGAGAACCAATGGCGGCAAGTTCCTCACAGGCGAGATGGCAGCGCCGCTGCTGAAGAACAGCGGGCTGCGCGACGACCAGCTGGAGCGGGTATGGGATGTCGCCGACGTCGACAACGACGGGAACTTGGATTTTGAGGAGTTCTGTGTGGCCATGCGCATCATCTTCGACATAGTCAATGGAGTCCGTTGAAACCTCTACGACCAAACCCCCGTCGGCGGGGCCGGGCCATGCTAACAGAGAGTCAAGGAATACGCTGATGTGCCCGCTGCAATACCCGACTGGCTCGTTCCCGAATCCAAAGCGCACCTTGTCCAAGCGAATCGCGCATTGTCGGGTAAGCAAGTGCAATTCGAACAGGTGGAGGATGACCCCGACTCGCCCGGCCTGAAGGATGGCTTCGACTGGTACATGAACCCGAAGGACAAGGCCAAGTACGAATCGATATACCAGGAGAACAGAGACATGAGGGGGGAAATGTCCTGTGAGTCCCCCCCCCACTACATACAATTACGATTTTCCTCATTTTCAGTCTACTAACAACCATACGCTCCTGCAAGTCAACGCCCTCGAAGATCTCTACGAATCCCTCGACGTGCCCGACACGGACATCCGGTCGGCCTGGAATCTGGTCAACCCCTCGGCTTCCTCGACTATCAACAAAGACGCCTGTCTCGCCTTCCTCCACATACTCAACAACCGACACGAAGGCTATCGAATCCCGCGTACGGTGCCCGCCTCGCTCCGCTCCTCCTTCGAGCGCAATCAAATTGACTACCAGCTCGACAGCCGCCGCAACGCGTCGGCGGCCTCGCGCTGGGCCGCCAAAGCCGACGAGACGACGAGCACCGGCCGCAAGGCCAAGTTCGGCGATCAGTACCTGACGCGGCTGGGGCGGGGCGGCTTCAAGAGCACGGGAACGGATTTCAGCACGGCTAAGACGGATGATTGGGAGGAGGTGCGTCTCAAGAAGCAGTTGCAGGAGCTCGAGGACAAGATGGCGAAGGTGGAGGAGATTGCGACTCGGAAATCAGGTGGCAAGCGAGATAGCAAGCCGGCGCTCGTCAAACGGGAGCTTGAGCAGTTGCTGGATTACAAGCGGAAGGAGCTGCGGGAACTCGAGGAGGGCACAGGGAAGGCGAACGTGGGGGCTGGCTTGAGGGGGGTTTCGGATGACTTGCAGACGGTCAAGGAGCAGGTTGATGGGTTGGAGGCGCATTTGAGCTCCAGGATGCAGGTTCTGGATCAGCTCAGGAGGGAGATTGATAATGAGAAAGGTGGGAGATGAATGGGTTGAAGAGGGAGACTATCATCACATTATAAGCGGGTGTAATGCGACGTTATGTATATCAGCAACTTTGCGGACCTGCGGACCTGTGATATTGACAATGATCATAGAGATGTAGAAATACTTTGAGAGTATTGTAAACAAGTCATAAGTACCGCGTGTGGCGTTTGGGCTTAAATCGAAGTCAGTCAACATTGAACAAGGACACTGGTGGGCGCAAGGAAGCATATTTTATTAGTCTCGCCATTGGATATTGTTAGTCAGCAGGAATCAAAACACAAGGGGCAGGGTATCTATACAAATGATACTCAACACCTCCCCGCTTCCACGTCATGGTTCTTTACACCATACAAGAGTACTTGGGCACACCAACAACCAATGCTGCTTTTGGGACAAATTCACTACCCCGTATCGATTCCACATCGACTGCCGTTTCAATCGAACACCTTGCCCTCGAAGAGTTGCTAGACCTAAAATGAGCTTCCGTCAATGTAACCGGGTAGATGATTAGTGCCTAGCGTCTTGCCCTTGATCATGTACACCATGAGCGAGAAGACCTTGAACCCATTGATACGACCGGCGCCACGACCGCGGCCCGTCGCACAAAGGAATGGGTCAACGGGCAGCAGCTTGACGGGTATAGGGGCCTTGCCGTGGAGGATAAGATCAAGATTCTTGGCTACACCGCCGGCCTAGCTATTGTCAACTTAACCCGATGGTGGGTTTCAAAGGAGGTAGACTCACTTGCTTTTGCGTGGCCACGAAACTTCCCCTGGGAGACCATGCGATATCGCCAGCCGCCCATACGTTCTCCACGTTCTTCACCCGGTAAAACTCATCTACGTCGACGAAGTCATGCTCCTTCTTGACCTTGGCGGGCAGATACTCCGAGTTGGCCCGCATGCCCATCGTGGGCAAGTACAGATCCGTAGTGATCTTCTCTCCGTTCTCGAGCGTGACCTCCGTCTGCCCATCCGCAGTTACGTTGTGGCCAACCACTCTAGCACTCGTCTTGATCGTGACGCCGAGCTTCTTCAGTTCACTCGCCGCATTCCCAGCAATGACGTCTCCGCCAAGGATCTGCGGGTCCGCGGACAGAAGAACGACCTCCTTGTCTTTGTATTCGTACCGGAGCTCACCGGCCGTCTCTACGCCAGTCGCACCAGCACCGGCGACCACAATGTGCTTCGCTGCGGCAACCTTCTGTTGGGTATCGCGCAGCATGGCCTGAATCTGTTCATTGGTGCCATTACCCTTCCATGGGACCTGGTCATCGACGGTGCGGGAGCCAGTCGCCAGGACCAGGTGATCATAGTTTAGGGTGCGCTCGCCGTTAGCTGTTGCGATGGTGACGGTTTTAGCATCCAAGTCTGAGCTTTCAGCGGAGCCGACGATGAACTCGAAGGCTTCAGCAGGATATTTGGAGAAGCCCGTCTCAATGGAGGCACTGATCTGCTCCTCCGTCAACACGCCTGGCACGATGGCGCGGACGGAGGCCATATTCCAGTATAAGTGGCTGTTCTGTTCACAGTTTTAGCATTTTGTACGACAGTGTTGCGGAGCACCGGCCAACAACCACAAGTTCGTCGTGGCCCTATATAAGGTATGCCACACGAGCTCTCACAGGCAAGGTGCACCTCCCAATATGAGCGGGTCTGAACTGCCATGCTCACAGCTTCATTGGCTGTTGAAGCTTGTGCAGACTCCATTATGACGCTGGGGGCCTCTTAAACCTTAGATAACAAGCAAATGGGCCTACCTTGGAAACAAGAATAACTTTGAGATCCTTGACTGAATTCCGTGTGTACTTGAGAAGTCTGTGTGAAATTTCGATACCGGCATAGGCACCGCCCAAGACCACGATGGTTTGCGTCATGATGTCGTTTTGCTTCTGTTTTGATGTTGTGTTGGTTTGTTGGCAAAGTCCGGCACACCCAGTTTCAGTGTTAGTCCTGAAATCGTTCCGTGGGATCAGGAGCTTCGACTGTCAAGACCAGCAGCGGGAAATACCAAATTGTTAAGCTGGAAGAATCGCGCCCCGGGGGAGAAAAAGACGGTTTTTGGCCTACGCGATACAATCGTGGGGGGACAAGAAGTGCAAGTCTAAAGACTAGTGAATGGCGAGAGGAGGGTACTCAAGCTTTTATAATGTCAGGTCATCGGTTGGTAGGACATGGGAAGGGAAGCAAAAGCACCAACCAATGTTTTGCGTCTCGAACGGAAACCCGAGGCGTCCGGCGCGGCTCACTACAACGCCTCTGCTGCAGCAAGGGTCCTGAGTATGAAGAGAAGCTAGATTTTGGGATGAAAAAACCCGTTTCACAAAGGCGTACAACCTAATCATCACTACTCATTAATTACATGTTTACAAATTGGTGGATCAGCCTGAGCGGCATTCCCCCTTGCGAGGCCGGTCTTTCAACTTGAGCTCTGTCCATGTCCGAGTCCGAATCCCAACAGGATGTCAAAGGACATGGCTCTACACTCCTGGCTAACAGTGGAGTGCTTTGCCATGAAGCTGGTTCGGGACTTTGCTTGACCAAATGGTGTCCGTTTCCGTGCAAATACAACCCGGTTTTGGCGACATCTTTCAGTCGCAACCTGCACTCTACCTCCCACTAGGCCGGTTGGATACACTGGCGATATTGGCTGCGACATATCGGTCTTTAAGCCTCCCGGATGGGCAATTACGCAGTTGTGAATAGAAGCCCTTGAAGCATAAACAGCCTTGGAGAGGACCACAATTTCGGTCCCGAAGGTGTAACAAGTCAAATGGCTAACCGCGTTGGTCTACGTGGAGTGGGGGTGGCTCAAAGTAGACATGTTACCAAGTTAGGATAAGCTCGAACTGGCAATAATGTGTGGTGCCAGAACGGCTTTGAAAATTGAGTCAATTCCTCTGTCTAAGCCAACGCCAGTGAGAGACCGAGATCACATACTTCAGCAGCTGCCTATCGCAACCTCGCGACTTGTTGCCTAGGCATTGCCTTGTGCATATGCAGCAACGTGGGAACTGCAGCAGCCACCTCAAAGATTGGCTAACATCTCACGTGTTGATTTCAGTGTTCAAGTTGACTTCTGTCGACAAATTCCATGCAAAGAATGCTGACTGTCCGGAATGACAATGATTTATAGCAATGTGGATATCCGGTGGCGTAATCCTCCGCACTTATTAGGCTTGGTCAGGATCAGCCATCAAAACCTATTTCTTTAGCTTCGAACAAGCTGGCTGCTCAAGTAAATGCCAAGCTTGAACCCAAAAATCGTCGAGATGGAGTCAGAACACCAGCTGTCAGAGCAAGCTTGTGACCTTCAGTGGAAGCTACCTGCAAGTGCAGCCCCTGATGGCGTAGAGCGAGCCAATCACTTGCGCGGAAAGAGCTCATCTTGGTGCCCCACCATATCGCCATGTGCAAGAACAACCCCGCGTTTCCTCAACACATATGAAAGCGGATCAGCCTGTACTCCCGTCTGGGTATTCAACAACTACATAAACGCGAGCATCTCGAGCCTCACACTTTTCTCGAATTCACTTATACAATCATCAACACTCAAACTCTGTCCATCTCCCCATAAAACCGTCAAGATGGTGGCACAAAGCGAAGCATTCCAGAAGGCTGTCGTCGACTCCAAGAAGTTGACCGAGAAGCCCACCAACGATGACCTGCTGGAGATGTATGGTACGTCATCTCCATTGCCATCGCTGTCGTCCATTAACAGCCCCCAAACTGACACTATTACCTCACAGCTCTGTACAAGGTCGCCACCGGTGAGGACATCAGCAAGGCTCCCGCCCCCGGCATGTTTGACCTGAAGGTCAGTCGCCAGTCTCATTCTTACCCCAACCCCCCCACACCCCATAGTCTACCTCTCTTGCAAACCCTTTATATAGAGCACATATACTAACGCCAAATCCACAACGTACAGGGCAAAGCCAAGAAGAACGCCTGGCAAAAGGTGGTCGACGAGGGCATCTCAGCCGAGACAGCGCAGGAGCGCTACGTCGCCCTGATCGAGAAGAGCAAGACCACATACGGATACGACGCCAACAAGGAGCCCGAAACCGTGGGCGCGTAAGGCATGCCCTGCGCCAGTCAGGCAAGGAACACACGCGCGAGCATAGGCATTACATGCTTGGTCTACGGGAGATCTGTGGAGAAACTGAGCAGACATGGTTTGCGCAAGCATTCAGAGGTGTTGTACGATCAATTCTAGGTCGGGCGAGATTATGTTCATATCAGTGGCACACCAAACAATTAGCAACAAGGAACAAGTGACGTGTGTTGTGTTCCCAGCACCAACTAATCCAAATTAAAGTGGCCTTTAACGCCATGAACACATAGATATAGTGTCTCGAACATTGAAATAATCACTTGTCGGAAACTTGCGTGGAGATTGATCACCTTTTTTTGCCCATTCGCTTATATTATGTTTTGATACCAGTCCAGTCCCCTTAGTCACTCCAACAGCCTACTTATACTTTCATCGTTCTGGATACTAGGCGAATTCTTGCTTCCAACATATTACAAGAGCATTGATTCAAACACCATCTGCTCTTACGTAACCCGCTTTTGGCTCTCGTCTATGCTAACCTTGGCCCGGCTCCCAAGTGTTGCCCTGCCAATCAGGCTCGGTATACGTCGCCGTTGCCACCCACGGCTCTTCGCTTTGGTCATAGCTTCGGAGAGGCAAGTTGTATGGAACCCTCAGGCCAACGATGGGTCCGCCCTCATCAAGCTGCTCCTCGGCAGGCCAGTTCGTCTTAAATGTGCCAACCATTTTCGCCTTAGGGTCATTTGCCAGAAGCGCCGGCCACACGAGGACGCCGATTTCCCACGACGAAATGCGGAGCTGCCCCGACCCGGTAGCAGCTTCTCCCCACGCTTGCTTCGAGATGTTGGCTGATGTCAGGAGTGCCCAGTCGATAGACTTCTCGCCGTATCGTATATACGTCTTGATGTGGGGAGCAGCTCTTTGTCTACCGGCATCTCGCCGCACCCCCCTGGGATCGGTGTCAATGCCACGTTCTGTGTCATTGGCCCAATGGCAGAACATGGGCCGTAAGTACTCTAGTTGCTTCTGCTGTTGCGCGGATTGGATCTTGGTGTGGATGGAGCCACCCGAAGCATACCCGTCTAACGAGCGGCGTATCTCGTCGGCAGTTGGGAAGACGACCTTGAACTCCGGCTCAGGAGTTGACTTCAGGGGTGACAAAGAATTGAACAGAGTGCGTTGCAGCCAACTGTCTGTGGCACCAAGCGTAGCAATGGACGACACCTGGACTACAACGCCGGATTTACCCGGCTGGACCGGCACAGTTCTCAGAGCTTGTTTCAGTGCTGCCCACCCCCAACGGGTTTGATTCGGATTATCTTCGACATCATGCCGGCCTGGCACGCTTGCGACCAATGATCCGCAAACGGCCGAGAAGTCGAATTTGGTTAGTTCGTCAACTAGAGGTGTGCATATGCTTCGTTTGGTGTTATATGCGCGTAGGTAACTGAGGAGGTCTGCTTTGAACTTGACGCCACTTCCTATCTCTATCCTTTCAGCAGCAGATTCATGAATACCGAGGCTCAGTCGAGGGAGGGACGGAGACTGCCATACGGCATTTGTCATGTTAGTCCAGTCTTTGGCAATCATGTTCGCTGTATGAATGATTACTTGTGCCGTGTCATCGTGGCGGAACAAGACCATCATTTTTGTATGATGTGTTCCGAACATCTCCGGCATGAAGGCAACGTGTAGATTGACATTGTCATACTGCGCAGCTTGATCCTATACTGAGCATTAGCGGGAGTCAACTCAGAGGTGTGATGTGATTCGTGCGAGTACTCAAAATCTTCGTAGATCTTCAAACCTTAAAGCAATAGCTATAGGTTAGTCACATGTGCTACGGGCTCACATCCATTGCAAAAAATTCAGTCGCAGGAATATGAGTTGGTACTTATGATAGGTAAGGTGTAGTTCAAGTGCAGTAGACCGTTGGCCCATGAAAGCGCCTGGAACAAATATGATGGCTTTCATACTTCCTTCTCGCATGCCTGCCGAGAGTCTACTGCTCCCACGAAAGATGTGTACAGAATAATGCCACTTAAATATTCAAACACGCTGATATGTCAAGATATAAAATAATAAGACTTGCCTCGAGCACCTGCCTATTTGCATCATCGTGCTTCCAGAAGCCATGAACGACGTGAACCTTCACCAGCGTTCTGGTATCTTCATCAAACTGGTTCATTAAGAAGTCAATGTCATGAAGGTAGTTGAATTCCCAACACTCAGAGATAAGTGGGTCTCCTAACAGGTCGTTGAGGCTGACAGCACCGACGTTTGCCGCGGGCGACAGGTCTCGTATTGTCGTAAGCCGGAAGGGTGACGGAAGCAGTTTTCGGTTGGGAACAGCGGCTACGGTCTTCTTCCGTGGCGGGCTGATGGGATGTGTCAGAGACGCAAGTGTCCGATGAGGAATGGCACCCGCTTGGCCTCCCGAGAGCCGTCGACATTTTGCTGGAGGTTCTGCCATGCCGAGATAGGGAGTCGTGGGATATTCATAGGGTCAAGCAAAATGGATGTTCTACTTTCTTTTGCTTTGTTTTCTTGGTACTGGCTGCTCAATCGGGTCAAGTGCGGCGCTTTTGTAGGTCGTCTGCGGTTGCTTCAGAGCTGTGAGATCCTGGTCAATGTGCGCTTAAAGTCATCTTCAGGTAGTTGGGGGCGGAACGTGAGGATCAGTCAAAGCCTTAGCGAAGGATCAGAGTCAACTCGGGGGCCTCGCTGAAGTATGCACCACAGCCACAATGGACGAGGTTGTGCTGACGAGTGCCGCAATGCAATAACCAAAGACTTGCAGGGTCGTCGAGGCAAGCTGACGTGGAATATATGTTTCAAAGTCACCGATTCCTGCAAGTAAGAAGGTTGTTGTTGAGCAGCACCCAAGCTGCTTGCTTGCTTAGGGTCGAGTTCAAGATCAAATTGTGGACAAGCCAACATGCCGTCACTGGGATAATACGAGGCACTGCAACTTCCGCTTGCGTTGCGTACTTGCCTCAGCTCCTTGCGCATTGAAGGATTGTTACACAGTACGGACTGGCTGCCTTGCCGCAATTGCAGATGCCAATTGGCCCGAGATGGTTTATTATCATCTCTTCTCAACCATAGAATCAGTTAACATTCAGGTCCAATCTGGCTTCGAAAGTTCTCAAGTCTGGGGCATTGTCGAGTCCGAACCGCAGCAGGCGAAACGGCACAAGGGTCGGATTGGGTCTATTTTGGTGGGCGGTGAAGCCACTAGCTCAAATGTGGCATAGCGCAATAAGCAGCAGCTGAGCCAAAGGCCGCCGTGGTTTTGCCTCGCTGTCCCTAGTTCTCGCTTGGTCAGACAAGATTAGAGCAGGGTAACACCTCCTGACTTTTGCTTGCTAGGAGAAAGTGAGACTTTTGGGTTCTATTTCCATCATTTTTGCTCCTTCTAGGGCGGGACACACGCGGAGCGACCAACGCCTATTCTCAAGACGACTGGATTTTGCATCAGGGCTCTTTGTTTCTCTCCCGTGTTTTGTAATATTTGTCCAGGTTACCCGATGTTCAACGACGATTAGCGCGCCGTCTCCCCCCTTTCCTCTAGGTCTGACACGAGCCAGACACGGTCTAGGGCTTCAGCTCCCGGTGCTCAAGGCATCGTACCTTTCGATTCCATCTGGCCACTGCATCACATCGCGGCCGGCATTTCGCTGTTACCGCTTCAATCAGTCCGCCGCCGCCGACGATACATCCATCCAAGCAGGCTAGCAATATCATCACCGATTCCACCCTCGACACGTTCGTTACCTTCCCGCGACATCCTCTATCGAGCCTGCCGCCATGAGGCTCTTGTCTCTTGCGCTCTTCCTGGGCGCATCAGTCCTGGGCGCCGCTCAAGCAATTGGTGCAGAACTTCAAGATGATCCCGCGCGGGAAAACACGTACTTCAATGGCAAGAAGGTGCCACCATTACTCGAGTTGACGGCAGACAACTTCGAGAAAGAGGTCAAGCAGACTAAATATTTGGTGGTGAAATATTTTAGGTGCGTCTTCATATACATAAACTCTCCCGTCGTAGCGCTTGGTTTCGCAGACATCCTCAAATGTTTTCGTCTGAAGCTGACAATGGCCCAGTCCATACTGCCCTCATTGTATAGACTTCGCACCGACATACCAAACCCTGTACGAGTATTATTACACGTCACAGGGACCTGTCGATCCCGAGTCAGACCCGCCGCAATCATTCGAAAAGTACTACGATATCAGGTTCGCTTCACTCAATTGCGTCGCTTATGGCGACATGTGTACCAAACATAACATTGAATCCTACCCCCAAACTATGCTATACAAGGACGGCGTGTTGCTTGACAGGGTTAAGGGTGGCAAGCCAATGCTTGCTGTTGCAGAATTGGTAGAAACTGAATTGAAGAAGGAGTTCTCTGGTACACGACCCAAGGAGCTTGTTCTTCCCAAGCCCGGCGCGACGAGTGTCCCCGCAGCCACTGACTCTGAGGCGACTGAACTCAAGGCCAAGTCAGCAGTTGACAAAGAGGACGAGGGCAAGAAGGCCGACAACACCGGTGCGACGAGTCTCTCTGCAACCGCTGACTCTGAGGCGACTGAACTGAAGGCCAAGTCAGAAGTCGGCAAAGCGGACGAGGTTGAGAAGGCCGACAAGATCAACGCGGCTGACAAGTCTGACAAATCTGAGAAGTCCGACAAAACCGAGAAGCCCAAGGCGGATAAGGCCGCAGAGGAGGAGCCCACGAAAGTCGACGAAAAGGCGCCTGTCAAGGTTGAGAAGACGAAGCCTGCAAAGCCAACCGTTACTCCCAACGAAAAGGGCCTCTCTATGTCCCTCACTGCGGAGAGCTTCCAGACTCTGGTGACCATGACCCAAGAGCCGTGGTTCATCAAGTTCTACGCGCCCTGGTGCCACCATTGCCAGGCAATGTCTGCGAACTGGCAGCAATTGGCCAAGGAGATGAAAGGGAGGCTTAACATCGGTGAGGTCAACTGTGACGCAGAATCTCGGTTGTGTAAGGACGTCCGAATTCGCGGTTACCCGACGATCCACTTCTTCAAAGGAGGCGAGCGCGTAGAATATGACGGTCTGCGCGGACTTGGTGACTTCGTGAAGTACGCTGAGAAAGCTATGGACGTTTGCAGCGGTGTTCAGGAGGTCGATGCCGCGTCGTTCCGAGCGCTCGAGGAGAAGGAAGAAGTCATTTTTGTCTACTTCTATGACCACGCCACCACCACCGAGGATATGATGGCTCTTGAAAGGCTTCCCCTGAGCCTTATCGGTCACGCCAAGCTGGTTAAGACAAAAGACCCTGAACTGTACGACCGATTCAAGATCACGACATGGCCAAGGTTACTGGTGGCACGCGAAGGGCGCCCCACGTACTACACTCCTCTTACGCCGAAGGAAATGCGTGATACCCGTCAAGTGTTGACATGGATGAAATCGGTCTGGTTACCCATTGTCCCCGAGTTGACTGCATCCAACGCCCGCGAAATCATGGATGGGAAGATTGTAGTTCTCGGCATTATTAACAGAGAGGACCAAGAGTCGTTCCTCGGAGCTAAGCGAGAAATGAAGAGCGCGGCGAACGAGTGGATGGACAAGCAGATCCAACTGTTTCAACTAGAACGACAGGAGCTTCGAGATGCTAAGCAACTACGCATAGAGGAGGCTGAGGACCGAAACGACCAGCGCGCACTCCGTGCGGCTAAGAGTATCCGTATCAACATGGACAGGTCCGATCGCAAGGAGGTTGCTTTTGCTTGGGTCGATGGCATCTTCTGGCAGAGGTGGATACGCACTACCTACGGCATTGATGTGAAGGACGGGGAGCGGGTCATTATCAACGATGAAGATGTGAGTTTAGTGCAATGTTTCCGAGGTCCTTCGTCACTAACAGCATGACAGAATCGACGATATTGGGACACAACCATCACGGGCAACTACATTATCCCTTCGAGAACCTCCATCCTGGAGACGATTTCCAAAGTCACGGCGTCACCCCCGAAGATCAAGCCGAAGTTGACCATCTCGAGCTTTGAGAAGATCTTCTTCGACATACGCATCACCTTCTCCGAGCACCCGTACCTGACGATAGGATGTGTAGCCGGTCTCGCTCTGGGTTGTGCTTCATGGTTCCGTGGGCGGCTCCGCAGGAATCGCGGCCATTTCCGCCTGGAAGATACCCTACCCATCAAGGAGCTGAAAGACGGCCTCCTGGGTAACACAGCCAACGGGAAGGTGGACTGAAAGAAGCTGGATTTGATACATAATGGAGAGAAACAACATATGATGAAGCATAGACGACCCATGGGTTTTGGAGTTCCAATCGCTTTCTAGCGGGAGTTCTGTATAATACTCTCTTGTCCTTATTCCCGCCTGCACATGTTCCTCCATCCCCCGATACTCGCTTGTCTATGTGTTTGAATTCTGGTTCCGGTTCACGGTTCAACAGCAAAGAAGTCGAGATTAGTACGAGCTGACAGCGCACGGAGCGGGTGGATCTGGAGTAAATGGGAAGGATTCTGACTGAACGAAATATGAAACGATAGGGGGCGTATCCAGGGTCTCCCCTCGCGGAGCCGGTCAAAGCTTTGGCCACTCGAGTAGATACGTGTGTGTGCAAGGGCAAAAGGGGGATGGACACTGGGGGTGTGCACCATAATAATATCCTTTTTTTACTCGTTTACTACCTTCTCGTCCAGGTTTGCCTGGATAGCTCGTCTTTGGCTGGGCTTGTTCCGTTAGCCGAAGTTGTGTTTGTGTTGGACAGGAATTGCATCTGCAGATAGTGGGCGGTTTTCAGGTGACGGGCTTTGTTTGGGCTTTATACACAATGTAAACCGTTGGACAATCTTCCTCAAACCGGGTTTTGCCAAAGGCTGCCCATTTGATTACCACGGCTACTACCTGAGGCTCTTGGATACGCAATTCCCTGTTTAAACTCTTATCCAACGGCCCTGTTATGAACTTTGTTGTCTTCAGAGCTTCGGCGACGGAGGCCCCTTTTGACTTTCTTCCCAGCCTTCGAGGATCACATTCCGGGTACTATCCAACCTCGCCTTCGAGGCCTGATAGACACGGGGAATTCCCGTGCTCTTGAAGCTGGCGCCGCTTACGACCATCTTGGCGATTCCCTTGGAGCTTAAAAACACCTGCGGCATGCCGTGCCCTGTGAACCCGGCGATGATGAACTGGTTTTGGCGACCCGGGACCGTGCCTACGTGGGGTAGACCGTCGGAGGAGTAGCCCATAACTGCATAAACTCATTAGCCGAGGCTCATCTTTCCGTCAAATGTAATGTATACGCGAGCACTTACTCCCAGTCCAAACATTGGTCGCCTCGGCCCCGCTGTCCTCCCACCCGTGAAACACCCTCTGCATGTACCCATCAAAATGCGGCTTGGCCGCCTCAATGAGTTTATCGTCATTCACGTTGTCGTACCAACTCGCCTTGTCGTGGTAGTACCGCGACCGTCCCCCGCCGACGACAATGCTCCCGTCCAGTCGTGGGATCAGGTACTCGTACTCGTAGTTGCCCCAGCGGAGGATATACGACGTCTGCAGTGTGGGTGCGGGTTTCTTACTAGTAGCAGGCACGGCGATGTGGCTGCAGATACCGCGCACAGGGACGATCTTGGAGGTGAATTCCGGGAGCAGGGCGGAGGTGTAGGCGTTGGTTGCGTAGACGACCTTTTGGGCGCGCAGGCTGCCCCGGGTCTTGGTGGATACGGTGAAGAAACCGTCCTTGTCGGCGGTTGGGGAGACGGAGGAGACGGGGGTGTGCGTTTGTAGGTTGACGCCAGCGCGGACGGCGTTTGCCAGGAGATGCGTGATCAGTTTATAGGGGTACAGGTGGCCAGCGGTGTAGCTAAAGCAGGCTTTAGCGCCTTTTACGCCTGAGATCTGTTATACAACGTAAACCTTCTTTCGCTCCATATAACTCCGTGATGATGAGGAAGGTTGAAATCCCAGCTTGTTAACCTACCTGCTCGGCTTGCGCCCCCGAAGCGAACCACACGTCCTTCATGACGGAGATGTCGTGTTTGCGGAGGAAGTCAACACCGCTCTTCATCTTGTCGTAGATGTCATCCGTCAGCAGGACGTCCATGCACCGCGTCAACACGAATTCGCAGTCGATGGCCTCGTCTTCGATCAGTTTCTTCATAGCCGGGATGTGCTGTGCCTCGAATTCGGCGCACTCGGCCGCCGCCTCGATGCCATGGTTGCCTGCGATGGTGACGGGGCGGTTGTACGGGTCCGGCTTGAGATGGCCGCCTATTTCACGATTAGATCCTCGAGCGCAGATTGCCGATGGAAAATAGAATAAGATGAAAGCTCAAACTCATATAGTACCATTTCTACCCGTTGCTCCTGAGCATGCTTGCCGTGCCTCGAGGATGGCTATAGACGGAATAGGTAAGTTCTGCTCCTTGCAGATCTCGAGGATGTGGTGCACAGTCGAGGCACCGGCGTAGCCAGCTCCGATTATCACGATATCTACCTCCGATGGTAGGTCTGGCGTGCTACTGTGGTCGTCAATCTCATGGAGACTGGACCGCCAGAAGGACGTCGTGGAGTTTAACACCGGAAGCAGAGAGGGCGCCATTATGTCACTTTGTTAGGAATGGCTGAATCTAACAAACTTGGAAATCTACTCCGAAATGCAGGTCTTATTATCGGGGCGAGATGCTTCACGGAATGCTCCCTCAACAATCATGAAGTTTGTAAATAGCCAATTGCGATCTCGGATTGCGCCGGCTCTGAGCCTCGGAACGGTGCAGCGAGCCGAGGCGGTATGCCGACGATGCACCGGGGCGGCACCGTAATACCTGATTCGCTGTTTGCCACAGAGCCGCACAAATATAGATAACAGATGAGTTGCTAATCGTTCCCTGGGCGATAACTGCCGGTGCCGAGATAGATCCATAGAGGCAAGTTCCCCCGGCCCGGTGTCGGGGTTCCACTTTGTATACTCGAGTTGATACCCCAGGTCTTATATTACGAGTGCACGCGGCCGTCTAGATTACCACTATCTAGTACCACGGGAAAGTGGAGAAATGACGCATGAGTGGCACGGAGGACTGTGACCAAAGATGTCTTCATTGTCATCTAAGCCAAGATTGGGTTTATTCAAGGTTGGGCCGGCCGGGGTCGTGAACAAACGTGGGTGAGTGCAGCCGGAGCCGAGGATCGTCATGGGTGGCGGAGCTTCGCTGAGACGATTCCAAGATGGCAGGTTATACTATAGCACGAGAACTCGGAACGGCATTGGCTCCAGAGAGATATAGAGAGCAGAAATCTTAGTTCATGGTAATAGTTCTTTATTTCGTATATATCATAGCCCCCGTGTCTTTTGCGAGCGTTCTAGCTACGTCACATATCCAGTAGGCTGTCCCTCATTATGATACATCGCTATGATGTCTCCTGATCCAGCTGCCCCTTTAACCCTCGGCAGCAATAATAGCGTCCGCCATCTCAGGCAGACTCGGCGCAACCACATCCATATCCCCAAAGATCTCATGAAGCGGCTCCGCCTCCAGGATCGTAGTGTAGGCCCCCTTGAATCTAAGCATACTCAGTTAGTTGTTTATTGCCCCCAGATGTCGGAGGTCTCTCAAAAACTCACCCAATCGTCCTTGCCGTCGAAACATCCCACATATGCGCCGCCGCGAACCAAGGCCTGCCCTCCCCATCCGCAAACTTCTCCAGAATCGGCTTATACGCCTCAGGGATCGGCTTCGCCTTCCCCTGCGTATCACAACTCAACAAATTCGCCGCCGGCATATCTACGCCCGCCCTCTTAAAATAACCCCCCACCCTCTCCAGATCCCCCGCCGTGAAACACCATACCGTAAATCCAGCCTCCCTCAACTTACTCACACACTCGGCCGCCCCGGGGCGCAGGTCCAGTTTCCGCCACTCAGCCATCAGATACTCCACATCTTCCTTGGTGCAAAACTTCCGCGGTTCCGAGATGCCGGAGTAGTGGAGCATGCGGTAGAAGAGGGCGTTCATGCACTCGAGGAAGGAGACGTACCGGTTCGAGAGGCTGAGGTACGTGTACTCGCGCTCGGCCGTCTCGATCCAGCAGCAGCCTAGGAGCTTGGGCTGGATGCCGGCCTCGCGCAGGCGGGGGCCGAGACGTGCGTCGATGGCTTCGAAGAGGTGGTCGTAGCTGATTAGGGTGCCGACGACATCGAAGACGACGTTCTTGGAGGAGACCATCGCGGATCTTGGGGGGGAGGCGGTCAAAGATGAGGTGTGAGACCTGCAGTTGTATGGCTGTTGGTAATATGCGATGATGCAGAATAACGGTACAGATACGGGAGGCTGTGGCAGGTGGACTGGGCGATTTTGTATGCTCTTTTGGTTGGCTTCGATATTGAGTCTATAGAGTGTCAATCTCGGTACTATTAATTATAGTTAATCAATTTTATATTAAATACCGATGTCGCTTGCCACGGACCCGGAAACAGTTACCCCAGACCCATTTGGAGAAGGAGACCTACTATAGTAGTCCGTGTCAACGTGCCGGGACGGTGCCAATACTCAGATACAGAGACCGGGCCGGTCAAGTGATTGGCCCTGTTCCACGCTTGCAAGCTTGGCAATGATCCTCCTATGCTACCAGACAATTTGATAACCCAGACAGATGACATACCATGATGGCTATCTGCGGGGCAGGTCCTTGGAGGGTCCACTCTTAGTGTTAGTTCACTGATAAACATGTGGGGTTGGAATCTGTTGGTAATGATTGCTGACCTCTGATTTATAGCTGTCGGTTTGTCCCGACTTTGACATCGAGGGTTAGGATAAGGTGCTGGGCCATACATTTCAGGAACCGAGATACTCGCTTGCTCTTGTTGTTATCTGGATTCATCCTGATCTAGATGGATCCAGGGAAGCATAGCTTGGCATTCACGACGATCATATCCCTGAACATCCAGGGATCGAGTTTCTGGGTGTGCGCAGCCGAGTGCGATACACATACATAAATTAGCATATCTCAATCTAACAAAGCGTATCGTGTTCACTTCGTTCTTCCAACTTTGCGTTCCTAGGCACGACTCGAACCGACACCATGGAACCGGAAAAGACCGCATCAGGAATGAAAGATCTCGAAGGAGGTCCGCGCCGTGCCAGCCATGAAATCGGTCAAGTCGCTCCCGTCGACGTGTCCGGCGAAGGTGTTGCCACAGCTGGCTACCACCGACGCCTTACCAAGAGACAAATCATGATGATGACTTTTGGTGCTGGAATTGGGACAGGCTTATGGGTAGGCACGGGGCAGGCGCTTCGTTATGCCGGACCCGGGGGTATCGCCGTCGCTTATTCTGTAGTAGCGTAAGTCTACTCGCCGCACAGGGAGACAAACCCCGAGCCTTTCAGCTAACCAGTCCGCCACAGGTATATTGTCTGGACTTTGTACATGTCCATCGGCGAGATGACGACGTACCGACCCGTGCATGGAGGATTCATCAGACAGGCAGCTGAATACATCGACCCAGCTCTAGGCTTTGCGGAAGGGATTAATTTCTGGTTCGCATGGGTTATGATCATCCCCGCCGAGATCACAGCCGCCATCGACGTCTTGAAGTTCTGGCCCGCATCCCAGAACGTCCCCCTGGCCGCCTACATCACCCTATTCCTGGTAGTAACCGCTATACCCAACATCTTTCCGGTCAAATGGTACGGCCACGTCGAGTACGGCATGTCGTGGGCCAAGTTGGTGGCTATCTTCGTCATGATCTTCTACCTCTTTATTATGGCGTCAGGAGGCGTCCCTGCGACTGGCGGCCCGCTCGTCTTTACGTACTGGAAGAACCCCGGTGCATTCAACAATGGCATGAAAGGATTGGCCAAGGCCTTTGTCCAGGCGGCTTTCTCCTTCGGCGGCGCACAGCACATTGCCATTATTGCTGGAGAGGCGATCAACCCACGACAGACGATCAAGTCGACCGTGTACCCGATTTTCTGGCGCATGTTCCTCTTCTTCGTTCTCAACATCTGGCTTGTTGGCATGTGCGTCCCCTATAACGACGAGGATCTGATTAACGGTGCGGGTACCCTGGCTAGCCCCTTTGTTATTGCTTTGAAGCGAGGGAACCAAATGTGGCTCGCCCACACCATCAATGGCTTCATTTTCCTGACCGTTGTAAGCTGTGGAGTGACGAGTGTCTATATTTCCAGTCGATCCTTGACAGCGCTATCCGACATCAAATTAATTCATCCCATCTTCGGCAAGAAGGATAGCAGAGGTCGCCCCTGGTTATCCCTGACTGTATGCACTCTCCTCGGAGGGGGGCTCTGTTACCTCAACCTGAACTCGACTGGTCAACAAGTCTATGGCTGGTTTTCGTCACTGGTATGCCTCATATCCCGTCATCCTCTTGTTGGGATAAGATCTGTTCTAACACCGTGCTAGGTATCCATCGCTACCTTCATGGGATGGCTGACAATGCTTGCTACTCACATCGCCTTTCGAAGAGCTCTTAAAGCCCAAGGTATCAGCCGCAAATCGCTGCCGCTCCAAGCTCCTGGCGCGCCGTACTCGCAATGGTTCGCCATCGTGCTCGTCGCTTTCTGTATGGGATGCGAGTTCTACCTCGCTCTCTATCCCTTCGGCGAGGAGCCTTCTGCTAAGGGTTTCTTCTCGGTATACCTGGCATTCCCGCTATTCATCTTCGATTACTTCGTTTATAAGGTGAGATTTCCTCCAATCCAGTAGCTTGAAACTCTTTCTTCCAACTAGAGAGTATTCTGTACCGTGCTGACCCGAAACCTTAAACAGTGGTGGTGCAAGACGAAGTTGGTCAACCCCGCAGAAGTGGATCTCAGTGAGGCCAAGGTCTTCGACGAGGAGGATCGAGTGAGTGCCGAGATTGCAGCACAAGATGGAACTTTGAAGCAAAAGAAATTTGATCCTGTCAGGAGCTTGAAGAACCTCGTTTTCGGCTGAAGGGATAGCGCGAATAAAGAGAAGTTCAGCGATTCACGAGAAGTAGATGCTGACCGAGCTGCTTGGTCGAAGGAGCTTAAGCAACATAGGTCAAACTGACAATGCGGGCACCGCTATATTCAATCGAAAGTTTCCGGTAAAGTTTGATCATCTGGTATGCCACCAGTGCTAGAGTGGAGTACATCGTCGACGTGAAAGTTGAAGACGTCCGTCATGTCGAAGTCAAGCCCATTCATGGTCCAGTTGGTGGTATCAGGGGCAACCTCCGCGGATGGCTGCCATGAATTGATACTGTGTAAAGCCAGCTGGTGTAAAGGATCGGTAAATTGGGCTTCGGGCGCTAGGTGGGAGTGCTGGATCTCGGCACTTGCACCCTTGCACAGTGAGGCCCATTCCTTGAAGCGTTCGTAGCCACTCCGCTGGTTGTCAACGGTGTCCTCGTTGACAGACACGGAAGCTACGCCGGGATTTCCATCCCCATCCTTGTAGAGGCGTCGTACAGCCAGTTCAAGCGCAATGATGACTGAAGTCTCTGACCGAGCTGAAACATTGCTGCCTGCAGCCATGCTTTTGATTATTCGCATACCCATCTCAATCATGGCACCGAGGCGTTCGGTACGCTCATTGAGGCTCTGAGCCAACATGACCAGTAAGGCTGCACGACATGAGCTAAACTCAGTGTAGCTAGCACGGGCAAGACCAATGGTGTCTTGTAGAGATCCGAGCAGTTCAATAACCTCGAAAGCCGCCGCCACGGCACCTGACACTAGTGATGCCCGGCTGCTACTTCGGCCGGGGTTAGCAGATGGCTGGTCTCGCATAGCACGAGGGGAAGCTTGCTTGGAGTCGTGGAATATGAATGGACGGCCCACAAAAATGTCGTTAATGTGAAAACAGAGCTTGAGGTGAGAATTCGATCGAAAGAGCGGCGAGATGGGGTTCGGAGTTTGAACATCGGGTGGAAGTGTCAGCCACCAGGTTTTGAGCTTTTGGCAGACGTCAAGAACCCTCTCAAAGTAAGTCGGCTGGAGTGCCTTGGGGCATCTCCTGAGGAGGGTGCTACGGTTCGAGTCAGAATCAGTCTCCGTCATAACCCCATAGTTGTCTCATATGAAGGAAACACTTACACAGCAGTGGAAATGTCGCCCAACCGCTGCGTCATGTAGATCATTGCGGACATGTTGGGGAACTTCGAGGGGTCTTCATACTGCCTGAACTCGGGCAAGTCTCTGGGGAGTTGCACATCTATTTCAGTCGATGTGATTGATGCCGGCCTTCCATGAAGTATGCTCACGCGCCTGCTGACTGTTAGCAGGAGATCCCATCCTGACCAAATCCCACGTACTTCTCCATCGTATAAGCAGTCCACCACAGCCTGTTTCTGTTTTCGACAGTGGAGGCATCTAGATCATTTCCCGTGTATCTTCGATGCATTCCGTTTTGAATGGCCATCTTAACGGCTAAGCCCAGATATGTGTAAGCCAGTCCCTGTGTATCTAGAGGTAGTGAGTAGTGAGCCAACAGAAGGCAGGCTTGCACACTGTCCAGCGATGCGATAGCGATGATATCCGGAATAAGCCTGGCTGCCATCTGATAAAAAGTCAGGCTCACGTCAGGCTCTGAGACTAGCTCGCTGTCTTTCCCATTTTTGATAATCGGAGGACTCTTCGATGGTCCGGTAGCCATGTGTGCGAATTGCGTCCCAATTCCAAGTACCATTATGACAGCACAAACCCAGGCGGAATCAGCGCTGGTTGGATTCGACCCTTCGTATAAGGCTGCTAGCTTCTCGCGCAACCACCCTTCTTCAACGAAGAAGCAGTTGACCTGGGCGAATTGAAAGTATATGTGGGCGAGAAACTCGGCAACTCGGCGGGGAGGCAAACAGTTCAAAGCATCCATGACGTGCGAATTTGGAGACTGGAGCTGAGTTGCTCGCCAGTATTCCAGGACCTTCATTGTGCCTCGCATTGAGTCATTAACAGGGACAGAGGCAGGCGGTTCATTCAGCCCTTGCCACTGGATGGCCGACTGGTTGTGGTCGAGCCTCTGATCAAGCTGCTGCCGAATTCTTTGCGAAAAGTTCCAGTGCGAAAATTCGCCAGAATAGTCTGAGATCTTGTAAGTTGATTAGCCTCTTGCCAGAAGGGAAATGTACATACGAGCGGTACCGGGAGACAGCGTCTTGACAGTGAAGCTTTCGTCTTCTAGAGTAAGTCCTTCAAGGTCTTCCCAGTCTATATATCCCGTAGCGTTGTTGGATCCAGGACCCGTCTTCAAACGCTCCGTTATGCGACGTAAGTTGTTGACGTCCAAGGGTATGTCACCCAGAAAATGAGTGACGAGCCGCTCGAGACATTGCACACGCTCTGTTTCATTGGCATCGCCAACTTTTGACGGAGGAGCAGCAGCAGCAGCAGCAGCAGTAGCGCGGCTGGAGGAAGGAGCTGAAGCCGCAACAGCGATTGTGCTAAACTGACAATCCCGACCACATCGAAGACATCTAGAGCATGGCTCGTGGCCGTCGCACTTCTCTTTCAATCTCCGACATCCTACACATGCACGTTTCGCACGAAGCCTGGCATCCTCAGCCACGCGTGGGCGATTCTGCCGACGCGAGCTCCTAGGCCTCGGCGGTGGCATTGGCACCGCTCGGGATGGATCCGGTCCATCAACATTGGTGGGGGCGGCTGGCTGTTGCATAGTCGGCACCGTCCCATGTCATATACATTGAACCCAGAACCATGAGATGCGGGAGGATGTTCTGCGTCGCTTCGGTGAGTATAATTTGAGGCGTAGTGGATCCGTGGGGACCTTATCAATGGAAAGTGCCCTCGAATCAGGCTTGACCGATCTATCTTAAGACTTGTGTGGAGAAATCTGGCTAGGTCCTCTTAGGTAGTAGAGTACTTTAGATCGTAAGGTACGGAGTCCCGTCCCTGCGCTGGAATGCGAAATTATCCGCAGACGTACAACTCGATTATGGGATTATGGTGCTTCCAAGCTTCCAGGCTGTATATATATAAGCATGCAATCGCTGAATAGTACTTTGCAGCTCGATTGAGCCAGGTTTTGAACGAACCCTCTGAACTACTTGATTTATTTGACCGCTTCAGCAGCATCGACCTGACGTACCTGTGAAGTTGTGGAAATTCTGTACAACCAAAAACCAACCTATGAGCCGCCATTTCTCTCGAGATTTAATGTACGGTGGGGAGGGGGGGAGGGAGATGGGCAAAGTTGATATTTTAGTGTTGGGTGGTATATCTTCCAAGAAATCTCTGCTGGGCTTTTGGGGGTTTGGATGACCTCCAAGGGAAGGGGCTCCATATCGCACCCTCCAAACCCTGCACGGCCTATTCTCGTGGTTCTTGCCGACGAAAGCATTTCGGCAACTCTAGCTTCTTCGTCTCTCCCTGAAGCACACATGAACATCGCATTTGTCTCTTTCCCCTGTCAATAATTACCATCTTATTTTAGGCCCCCGGCATAATGGCTCTCCGCCTCCGACATGATATCTAATGTGAAAGCTGCCGGTGATGATGTCTACCAGGGGTTCATCCTCTACCGAGCAACGTTCGGCAACCTCGATATCTTGGGGCGATACATCGACTATATACGTTTTGCCGTCACTGCTGCCCTGACACTAGACGAGTCCATGCATGGTTTTTAGCAAGCGAGGGACGTCTTCGTGCGGTAGGCGGCTCGTCTCCCAGAGGAGGGGAAAATATCAAGGCCTCGGGTTCAACTACTTCGCCTACGGCAACGAATGAGTGTTACAGCTTGACAAGCCCCTCTTGAGAAATTTCAGATAGCACTTGCCGACTTGAAGTGCAACACCCTTCCGAATATCATGGGACGAGGTTGTATGTTACATATCTGCCAACGCCTTAATTGGAGTATCAGGTTATCATTAAAAATGGTCGACTTCTTTGTTTAAGAATATTCAACACATTGTGAAAAGGGTTTTGATTTGGGTTTGACGAGGGTTTAATCCTTTCCTGTTACCTGAAGAGGCTCTGGAAAATCTCGAATATGTATTCAAATATTTTTTTATATATTAAAATAAACATTCGCCTTGGTGCCTAGACAAGCATCCAGCGTAAAACATCACTTTTCGTACTCCATTGACATTGACATGTACACCACGACTTCGAGCTGATTCCTTAGTGTGCCAGTTCCATCCATGTTATACAGTCGCTTGCCTTTTCCGACTACCCTTCATGTCACAATAACGACTGACTGTGCCCAAGGCATCGGCACAACACTGGTGCAACAAGCGAGAAACACCAAGCGGAGGTGCAAGTCGTAGCCTTATGCGGGAGAGGCCTCCACAATAGTATTGCCGGCCCATCCACGGCCACTGCCATACAGTCCAGTGGCCACAGAGATCGCCGCGGAGCCGGACAGAGCAACATCGTTAACAGTCTGATGGACGGTAATGCCTATGTTGAATACCAGGTCAGTAAAAGCCGGTAGCCATTGTCCAGATTGCTGAACTTACTCGACTTGCTGAAGTCACTCCAGGTATAGCTGAGCGTAGGGTCGTCGCAGGTGGTCTTTTCGGCATGGACGGTTGGGTCGTACAACCAGTCGCAGCTTGACGTGGTATTGGTCAACGAGTATGTAAACGTGACCTCTTCCCATCTGTATCCCGAAGCGGCACTGGATCCGGAGACGGTGACATTCCAAGAGCCGTAGTCAGCGGCTCTGGTCACGGGGCTGGCGACAGCGGCGCCGGCAAAGGCGGCCACCATGGAGATGAAGGTTGAGGAACGCATGTTGAAAGGGTTTATGGGTATTGACTGCGTATTGACTGCGGGAAATGAGATTGAGGCGCGGTGTCACGTCTGTCTGAAGAGGCAGTAATGATTTCACGTTGTTGGTTGGCGTACTTATAAGGGAGCCGACAGACGACCCCTGAGGATGCGCCGAGGCCGCAGGGCTTTACAATAGGCCAGAGCACAAGCTACAGTCAAGAAGACCCGCAAAGGTGGTTTGGGTTCTCGTATTAGAGTGGGAAATAGAGTATCAATCAATTCCCAGGTAACCTCACGTAACTAGCCCTGTTGGCAGCACTGTCCTGCGCGGGGCCCTGTTTCTGGATTCCGCATTGGCAGCCTCTTTACTAGCGCATAATCGTGAACACCAAGAACCTGCCGTCGTCCAAACATTGTTGGGCTGGGTGCTACCCTTCCCAGGGGGCGACTTTGATGTTCCTGTCGCGCAACGTGGTTTTTGGCTTGCGCAACGTTCAAATACCGTAGTGATCTTCAAAAGGACACAAATGCAACCCAGGACCCCATTGGAAAATCCGCTTGAGACTTCGTAGAACTACAACAGAATTTCATAATCGTAATGTGAGCTTCAATAGCTCAGAGCTTGACGGCGAGGAAGCCTCGTATTACTACAATACATGCATCCAGGAAATGGTTGCCGACTTGGCGGTTTATGCCTACCAAATTGCCCCCGCTATGTCCTGTAAGCGGTACTAAGCAGGTCCAGTAACAAACTGGACAATCCCCTGCAGCAGCAAGGGATACATCAAATATTGCTAGAAGAAGGCTGAACCGCGCAGCAGCGCACGTTAGGATGCTCGAGTAGTGCCATCTTTCTTGGAGTAACAGTGCCTCGACGGCCGGATGAAGTACGAGTTTTACGGGTACATGAAGTATAAAGCTGGCAGGCCAGACGACTACAGCATCTCACAGCTCGAAACTGGCTCTGGCGCGGCGTCGCTCGGGCATTGGCAAGCTTTAAAAAGTACTCCGTACGCAATATGGTTCACACTGACAGCGGTGATAATGTAAGCTGATCGTGGAGCGATAAATTAAGTCATGTGGATCCGATACCCTATTTCAGCCTGGCTGACCGGCCGAATGTGCATTCGGTAGCGGAGATTGGGATACGAACGAACTGGGAAACTAGTCAAGAATGGCGAAATTCTTCAAGTTGACTGATAAAAAGGCTCGGGATTCAGCTCGGCTACTGCGTCATTTTCCCCGGTCAGTCGGTTGATCCCATTTGGCTCTCCTAGGACCGCCATGAAAGGAAAAGTGGAAATGGATGTCCTTTGTAAGCTTTGTAAGTCACTGTCCAACTAAGTCTTCAGTCACGAGTTAACAGTCAATTCGACGTCCTTCTCTACTCGACTTCTGGGACTCGGTTGCGTTCGAACTGTTTATCCAGATCTTGGAAACATTGCCACAGCCGCGGCTGTGCTGAGCTGCTGCTTACGGCCCCTCAAATGCCCACATCCAATCACTGTTGAAGGCCTACTTGCGAGTATTAAACTTTCATGCTACACAAGTACCTGCTAGGATTGGAGAGCTTGTTGAGACAACAGCTTTCGTCGTGTGGTCTGGCCACTGCTCTCAAACCCCCTTAGCGAGGCAGTAGAGTCTGTCTGGAGGCTTTCGATGACCAATTGGTCACGAATCACGGATTCCTGTCTCGTGCCTGTAACAGGAGGCTTTGCGCCATAAACCCACTTGTGACCTGTGACTTGTGACCGCAGCCTCCCCGCCTGACGGAAGCCGGAGCCAGCCCGACTGTCTCTTCGGGGACATTTGATTGGTAGGTACTGGGTAACAGCGGCCACTGGTAAAAGCTTCCGACCTTTGGCACGTTCTTAGTCTCTGGGGTCTGGTCTGGGGTCAGTCAGACGCAGACGCCGACGCCGACGTGCTCCAAGTTTGTCGCTCGTGGCCTCTATTCAAAGTGCCATTCTGCCTCGTGTATAAAATCTTTGATGAGAAAAACATTGCCCACATTCGTTTTCTGGTATGCCGTCTTGAATTTGGGGCGACATTTCGACTGACCAGCCAACTTTCGAACTTCGAGCCCGTCATCCACGCAACATCCTTACCACCAACACCAGAGACCTTTGCGCAATTCATTTCCACCACCTATGTTGATCCTCGAAACCTGCAAGTGGTCACAGCAACTCGACTATGTCGTCCGAAACCGCAAGAGTTTCTCGATGATAGCCTCTCTCCCCCAGTAAGCACCGATTCAGCATCAAAACGCTGCATAGCAACTGCGGTTAGATGCCCTTAACGCGGTCACGCCCACCTACCCTTCACTTCGCGACCCTCTCCGACGCGATCCACCACGGCCGCAAATTTTTCTTCTTGTTGCAACCTTCAAAGCTTCCAGAGCCTTGATAAGTCAAGATGGCGACCGTAGGTTCATCCTTGTATCCCAAGCGCGTCGCGGCAATAGCAGCTAACCTGGTGACCATCCAGTCCCCTGAAGATGTCATCAAGACTGCCCAACCTGGAAGGAAAGGGGTGCAGATCCGAGAAATTGTATCACAGCCTGTCGCTGCTGCATTTTGTGCCGGTGGTGTTGCCGGAGCCGTCTCGCGAACCGTCGTATCTCCCCTCGAGCGATTAAAGATTCTGTACCAAGTCCAAAGCGCCGGCCGTAACGAGTACCAAATGTCGGTGGGCAAGGCATTGAGAAAGATGTGGAGGGAAGAGGGCTGGAAAGGCTTCATGCGCGGTAACGGCACAAATTGCATCCGCATAGTCCCGTACTCTGCCGTCCAGTTTGGCAGCTATAACCTCTACAAGAAGGTACCTTTCTGTGAAGATGTTTGGGCTGCTGCGTGATTACTGACTACGCACTGGTGTAGCACTTCTTCGAGAAGTATCCTGGCGCCGGCTTAGGTCCTGTTGAACGACTCCTCTGTGGTGGTGTTGCTGGCATTACTTCCGTGTTCTTCACGTATCCTCTGGATATTGTACGCACGAGATTGTCGATCCAAAGCGCATCCTTCGCTGCCCTTGGTGGCAAGCCCAAGGACAAGCTTCCTGGCATGTGGCCAACCTTGGTTGCAATGTACAAGCAGGAAGGTGGTCTTGCTGCGTTGTACCGCGGTATTTTGCCAACTGTTGCTGGTGTTGCCCCATATGTATGTTGGGCCCTTTTACCGTGTCGTAACGCTGATGTCAACATACTGAACTTGGATGGGTAGGTTGGACTGAACTTCATGACGTACGAGTTTGTGCGCAAGTACTTGACGCCCGAAGGAGACAAGAATCCCAGTGCATCCCGAAAATTGCTTGCTGGTGCCGTATCCGGTGCGGTTGCGCAGACTTGCACGTATCCTTTGTAAGTAAAATGATATGCCCCCCACGTGCGTGCGTACGGGATATGTGCTGACATTGTCTTAGTGATGTGCTGCGTCGAAGATTTCAAATCAATACAATGTCAGGCATGGGCTACCAGTACAAGTCGATAAGCGATGCTGTGCGTGTCATCGTCACTCAAGAAGGCATCCGTGGTCTTTACAAGGGATTGATGCCTAATCTACTCAAGGTTGCCCCCAGCATGGCGGCCAATTGGTTGAGTTTCGAAATGACCCGCGATTTCTTGGTAGGCCTCAAGCCAGAGCCTGTCACCTTATAGACGAGGTTCGGATCCGGATTTGGTTTTGGATACTATCCTGGAACGCTTCTAGACTGTACTCCAAACGCCACAACTGCAGCAACCTCCCCGTCTTGAATATCCGAGACATTTCTTATTGTCAGATTGAGACACCGGAGCCAGGTCTTAGGACGTAGGGCCCATTCTACTACAGAACTTACAAAGGGGCGTTAGCATCATCCGGAAGGCTAGAAAAAGAGGCATAGAGCACCCTCGTCCAAGAGGAGAAGGTACCATGAACTACTATACCCCGTGGACAATGAGCATACAGGCAGAAGAAGCAAAGGGCAGGGAGGAGGACTTAGCCTACTGTCAGTTGAAGGTGCGCATGTATGATGACCGACGCTTTGTATATAAAAGGCGTCTTAAAAAAGAATGATACAGATCTTGCAAACATCCAAAGCCATCTGCGTACAGAACTCGGTGCGAATTATCGGTGCTATTACATATCACTGAATCAACGTGGTCCAATTGAGAGGGACATGTATCGCGGTATGTGTTATATATGTCACATCGACGTGAAATCTGCCCCGTGCTACCATGTGGTCTTGTAGAATCTACTATATATTTGCATCCTAGATGTTTCAGTGATATCAAGCAAATAATTCACATGCAACTCCTGCCAATCCACACTATCTACCTCGGAGATTCCATGCTGTACAATTGCAGGTCTACTTAGACGTATTTGTCTCACCAGCTGGCATTAGCCTGTCAGCTGGCATAGCAGCACGAGCCATATCTAGTTTCGAAAAGTTCAGTTGGTTCTCCTCAATTGCGGGAAGCTGTGTTCAACCCTAACTAAACTGCCTCATCTCACCGCCCGCCCACAGAAGCGCCTGTAGTTGCGAACAATTTCTCTATTTCGCGGGTCCCACTCTGATCTGCCTTCTTTTTTTTTCCCTATCGCCAAATTTACGAGAAAAATCCCATCGACATCACGATTTCCCGACTATCGTGAAAAGTCACCGTCAAGATGGGTATGTTACATGTTTTGAGTCTCTGTGTGCAAGTGGACGCTTGAGAGCAACTGTGATGAGACTGTAATGGTCAACACAGCTTGCTCTCTTGCTGTCTGCGAGAAGGGGCAATTCTCTTTTGAGTTGATCCCGAATGAGCATACATGAACCAAAAAGCTGACGAGCTTTGCCCTCCAGGTATTGATTTGGATCGCCACCACGTGCGCAGCACCCACCGCAAGGCGCCCAAGAGCGACAATGTCTACCTCAAGCTCTTGGTGAAGCTCTACCGCTTCCTGGCCCGTAAGTGCTATTCCCCAGGCAACCCAGCCGTGAGGACGATAATCAGTACTGATATCAATGTGCATCTAGGCCGAACCGACTCTGCCTTCAACAAGGTCGTCCTGCGCCGCCTTTTCATGTCGCGTACCAACCGACCCCCTGTCTCCCTGTCCCGCATCGTCGGCCAGCTTTCCAAGGGTCAGGAGGGCAAGACCGTTGTTGTTGTCGGCACCATCACCGATGACAACCGCCTGCTTGAGGTCCCCAAGCTGACCATCGCTGCCATGCGATTCACCGCCACTGCTCGTGCGCGAGTGCTCGCTGCCGGTGGTGAGGCTCTGACCCTTGATCAGTTGGCCCTGCGTGCCCCGATCGGCGCCAACACGCTGCTACTCCGTGGTCCCAAGAACGCCCGTGAGGCCGTCAAGCACTTCGGCATGGGTCCCCACAAGCACAAGGTGAATATTTCGATGCAAGTTTACGTCGGTCGTCCACTAATAATCTGGGTAGAAACCCTACGTCGAGTCCAAGGGCCGCAAGTTCGAGAAGGCTCGTGGTCGCAGACGGTCGCGTGGTTTCAAGGTCTAAGGGGACCATTGAGACTTGGACTAGGGTGGATCATGCGCTACGGCTCTTCCGATATACCATGCAAGAAATTTGCAGCTGGAAGGGATCTCTGCTACTTCAGGCGTCTTTTGTGCATGGTTTGGCGTGGATGGGTATCACAAAATGTTTTGTTACGAAATGAGAGATATTGCCAAAGTATTGACCATCCATTGAGCCCTTCCACCAACGTATCTTGACGCCGCCGTTTTTGAATCCAGTTATAGACTATTTCGCGACAAGTCTAAGAAGTCACTCCGCAACGAGGAATGTCAACTCTTTCGTCTACGAATTGTCAACCGGTTGTGATATCGAGATGAGATTGAATGTACCTGCAAATCTTGCGATGTTGACAATCTGCTGCCATCCTGTCGCAATGTGGCTCAATTGTTGTGCACGTACGTATGTATTCTTGCAAAATGACCGTTCGATATGTTATCTATGAGATATGCAGAGGTCAAAAACTCACTCCCGGCCAAGGTTGGTATCAGGATGCTGAAAGCCTCCTAGGTCAATAAGGGTCACATGATAGCGCGTCTATGGCGCGATTGACCATTTCGTCATTACGAACGATTCTCCTCCCTCTTTTAAGTTCTATTTTGCAGGTGCAACTGAGGCAACTTACAAATGCTTTTCCCTCAAAATCGTCAGAACGCCATGCTCTGAGCGACATTTGATGCCTTCGAAGTATTGAGCAACTTCGCGATTCATCTCGTCGAAACAAGGCGGACATGTGTGGGCGTTACTCTCTCGCATTGGTAGGCAACCCCTAGGTCGTGGTTACGCAACAAAAGTTCACATTGGGGTTTGCAGCGCCCTGGGCAGTTGCGTCAAATGTTGCAAGACGACAACATGCCAGTCGATGATACTCCCGACGATGCGGGCGATGGAGCTCCTCGTCAGTCGTACAACTTCGCACCGGGCTATCATGGTATCGTCTACCGTGCTGTTGTTCCCGATCATGGCGCCGGCCCGAAGCGCCAGGCCAAGGTGGGCTCTGATGATGTTGACCCTACCGAGCAAGCCGATGCTGCTACACCATCAGTGTCGCAGAACGAGGACAGCTCCAGCCCGAAAGAAGTCCGTTACAAGTTACAATCTATGAAATGGGGACTTATACCGTTTTGGACCAAGCGTAACCCGGACTACGGAAGTATGATGAAGACAATCAATTGCAGAGACGACTCCCTAGCGCAGGGTGGTGGCATGTGGAACACCATGAAGCAACGGAAGCGATGCATTGTCGTCGCGCAAGGTTTCTACGAGTGGCTGACGAAGGACGGCGCACGCGAGAAGATGCCACACTTCGTCAAGAGAAAGGACGGCGCGTTGATGTGCTTTGCCGGCCTCTGGGATTGTGTTCAGTATGAGGGCGACGAAACGAAGCACTATACCTATACCATCATCACGACCGATTCAAACAAACAGCTCAAGTTCTTGCATGATCGGATGCCCGTCATACTCAACAATGGCTCCGAGGAGCTGCGCACTTGGCTGGATCCAAACCGACATGAGTGGTCCAAGGAGCTCCAGTCGTTGCTGAAGCCTTTTGAGGGGGAGCTCAAGGTATATCCCGTAAGCAAGGATGTTGGGAAGGTCGGTAATAACTCGCCTACCTTCATTGTTCCCATCGACAGCAAGGAGAACAAGTCCAATATTGCGAATTTCTTTGCCAAGGGGGCTGCGAAGAAAGGTGTCAAGGTCGAGTCGATGGTGAGGAAAGAACCTGAGCAGCCTGAGGTGGGCTTCAAGAAGGAGGTTGACTTTGTGGAAGAGGACTCTACTGAATTGAAAAAGGCCGATACAAACAATGTCGACAGCAGTGAAGGCAAGACGGCGGGTATCAAGCGAGAGGCTGAAGAAAGACTAGAAGGGGAAGAGCCTTCAGCCAAGAAGGTGGCCACGAAGTCAACGACGTCAATCAAGTCGCCTTCACCGCAGAAGGGTAGAGTCAACAAGGTCAACGCCACGAGCAATGGCACCAAGAGCCCTGCTTCTAACAAGGGTACACAAAAAATCACTAAGTTCTTTGGGAATATTTCTTGAGCCTGCTATCGTCGAGTCTCGAGTAGCTGGTGTTTCTCCCGGCATTGGCGTTTAAGAGGCATGGTCTGTTTATTTGCTTGGACTTGGAGTCTGTCCCTAGTATTTCGGCTGTGTTCGGATGTGATATGTAAGGCTGCGTTGCAAAAGTTTAGGGGTATACTACAGCTCAAGGCTCGAGGTATGCTTTGGAAAGAGTTACGATGACGTTCATATGTTTGTCGATTGCAGTTGAGAATACCTAGCTTGCAATGAGCAAGAACCTGATGGTTTCGACATATTAAATTCCATGTTTGACTCCAAGTTGGTGAAGCGATCTTGATGATTTGGCAGCGGTGGATTCTTTCCTGGCAACACCTCTTGGGTCAGTGAAGGGCCGGGGTTAGGAGATCCAAAGCTTTGGGAGATCTACAATCGGTCGTGCAACAACTCAGGTGCGGGATTGACATCCACGCAATCCGATTCCTTTCCAATTATTGCCAATTGGAAGCCTAGCTGCAACCTCTCTGTAACCACTTGGGTGCTTCTGGTTTCAAAACGGGATACGCGAATGCTTCGTCTGGCCCTGGGTGATGCCCCAATTCGGGATCTTAAAGCCCGCTTACCGCACGAGAATCGGCGTATTAATCGCGTCCCCATGAGGAAATGGGGAAATGTCAATATCGGGCCGCCGGCCAGAGTCAAGATTTTTGGTTAAATTTGGCTGTGAGTGGGATGGATGCAACGTTTCTACTTCTATATGCAACAGTAGTATTTATTGAGTGGATGGTTGCCTATTGTGGTGGTATTGACAGAGTCTCACCAGACTTACACTTCTGGATGCATCAGAGTTGCAGAACATATGCCAAGTGTGAACGATCAGCGGGCCAACCAGTTTCCTGGAAGAGTTTCACTAGAATAACACGATGAGTGTGTAAATTACGACCACGAAGGATATTGATAGCCAGCTGCTTGTTCTACCTCAGCAAATCAGTGAGTAGACTAAATGTAGTATCGACATCGTTAATAACGCACTCGATATGCGTTCCCGAACTATCCTAATCAAGGCACTTATGTACGTCGAGGATCAAACCGTCGGTCGTGTTGTCTGGGTTGGTCATCTTCAGAAGAGCAGGGCTGCTCTCAGTCAGCAAGTTCTGGGCTAAGCTATAGTCCGTACCGGGGATTAATTTCATTTGTTTAGCTCCAGTGCTTGGCCTATTAGCACACGGCTTGACAGGACGTTTGGCACCACTGACAATATTGAACATCCGCCCGCTTCATTACCTGAGTTCAAGTCTGAGACATTTTGACCACGGCATCGTTTAGAGGAAGATTCAAGTTTCCTATGCCGAACGAAGACCCTAACCCGAACCGAAGGGACTTGCGGCAGCTGTGCAGGCCAGAGCCAAAGCTGATACCATGTATGTATATCCGCATTGACACAGTTCTGCATAAAAAGATTGTATGATATTAGGATCTAATGATTACTGGACGACTATTAAGAAGTAAGGAGGAGAGATTGTCAAATATCTCAAGTCGAGTCAGTGGTCTTCACGTACCCCGTCTGAGATGACTGAGGACCTTCCGATGCCATTTTTACACATTTCAAGTTTGAAACATCAGATTCAATGGCGGACGGCATAAGAGTACATATATTCCTCCTTGCCATATCTCGAAGCTATGCAATATGAATATGAAGATCACTTACAAGGACTTATCTCATCTTGAACGCATCTTATAGGATATGGTGCATCGTTGTTGTTGTTGCTGCTGCTGCTGCCATTTTGTGATCAGTTGCTTGAAGCGGGTGTGGCGGAGGCAGTTAAAAGATCTTCTCAGTGAAAACTGTCTGCATAAGACGAATTATGGAACGAAAGGCTTGTTTCCTTTATGCTTACAAGGCAATTATGTACCTTCCCCAACTCACCCCCTGATTCAGTTAATTTTGTGGGATGACTTGCTCCGATGGGAAATAGACCGTTGATCTCAGAGGGGAGGCATCATGACTTGATTGTCTGCATTCTAAATTGATGCGTTGAAAACAGTGCCATTATTCAAAACGTACGAGCCAATACACGAACTCCCGCCCTCATGTTACGGCAGGAGAAGTTCAACTTTGGGACCGAACCTCGTCAGAAATAAACCAGACAAGTCATACTCATCGATGGTGCACATCAAATCAGGAACGAGAACTTCTTTGGGTGTTGATATAAAACAAACAGATTTACAGGCATTTGGAACTTATGCTATTCATTCGACTTTAAAGCGGCAAGGAAGGGTCCTAAGACGAAGAAAGAGTGATTCGAGTAACGAAATAATTTACGAATGGGTCAAGCCCAAATATAATCACGGATCATTTATTAGAAACCATATCAACTGTCACATTGGCACCATGGATGTTATCTCTTCGATACGATGGATTCATTAACAGGTTCCTACACTTTAGCTTTATCAACTTCGACGCAAAAAGTTGCTAGTTAGAGGGCTCAAGTGACATTCGCATCCGAATATAAGGGGTGCACCTGAACTGTAGGTCGTCGATAACTGATGATGAAAACGCTCTTCTCACAATTCATGATATGTTCTATATACGTGAAAGATAGCAGTATTCATACACTTCAGCTGCGTCAAGTCAAACTGTTTTAGTCCCACGGTTTTGAAAGCATGAAGCCCGCCGGTTATCTTAGAGTGGCTGGTCAATTCTTAACATGTAAACTGCATATATGTCAGCCTTCATGGGTACGGTGTGTCATCAAAAGTAGACTACTCACGACGTTAGGTCCCGGAACCGTGTAAGACTTGAAGCTAGGGTCATAAATCTGTGCAAAGTTAGAAATGCCATGGCGATGTGGAAGATACTGAGCTTTCGTACATTGGCAGTATATCCCGGGTCAGTAGCCTTGAAAGCCCCTGGGATCAGAGCAGTTGGCGAGGGCGAAGCAGATCCTCCCCCTGATACCTTGACCTGGCCGCACGATATGTAGAACTGCGGTACACCGCCAGGATTGTGAATGGCGAGAGACTGGATTCTCAGGAGGTACTCGCCCGCGGGGATGCAGGTTGGGATGGTCGAGGAGTATTGTTCTGGTCGAGCATGGTCAATAAAATTTCAATTATGGTCAACAAGAGTTGACTTACGCTTCATGGTCCATTGAGCTTGGCCACCGCTAAAGTCGGGACCTGTGAAATAAATCTGTTAGTTATCGCGTCATTTTTAATCAAGATAAAACCTACCAATGTCGAGTGTCTTGAACCATGGCCCGCTTCCATCGTACTCTCCAGCCGTGCTTGGGGCCTTTGACATGTATATCGAGATTGGTCCTTGGTGATAGACGGCCTTGTGAAGTCGTCAGCATCTAGCCACACAGAAGTACTTATGATAATGTTTGCTTACCGTGTCGAGCGTGAAGGTAAATGGATCACCGGCCTTTATCTCCAACGTCGTCGTGTTTCCCCCGGTTTCACCACCGACATTGCATCGCAGGTCGTTTGAACTCAGGTCTGGCAAACTTTAGTTCCAGTGGCCTCGAACTGACGGAGAGGGGACTGACCGGTTACAGGAGAGTTGTAGTTGGTATTTCGTCGCACATACTCATACACAATTCCCTGGGCCGTGCCGGGTGCGAGGGCCTGGAAGATGTAGTGTGCTGATGCGATGTGCGTCAAAGCGGCTGCTGCCACGATTCCAATGAAACTCTTCATGTCGAGGGGGAATCTACTTCTGGATCCAGTCAAGTTACTAGCAACTGATATGAAAACGACTGCTTGCACACTAGCAGCGACAGCTTGAGGCCGACTTTAAGAACATCACCTCTGGCCCACCTCGGTACTTGTTCCTCCATGACTGACGTCTTTCCCATATCCCGGATTACGTATACAGACCGGACCTCGTCGCCATTCGTTTGAGGCATGACACTTGATAATGGTGTGCTAAGCAGCACTCTGCACGAAGCGCCGGTTGGTCTGCACAGAACATTCTATCGCCCAATCATAGTTTCGTGCGTTACGATGATCTAGAGATTTGCCGGATTCGGTGGCATATTAATCATTCTGTGGTAGGTCATGGGAGTGCCAAGTTATGAATTACCCGGACGGGCTGATATTAAATCCTATCTATTCCGTACTCGGCAGACAATCGCTCCGGGATCATGAAAAACCGCGGCCACCTTGTTGAGGCAACAACTTGCATTACGGAATGGTTCTTGAATGAAACAACTTTTCGGGTTAAATTTACATCCATGCTGTTCAAGAAACCAGTTTTTTCAGCTCTCTAGAAAACAACTGGATTAACTTCCGTATAGCACAATCACCAAAACTCTAGGTATAATTAATCTCAAGATCCACTAACACCAGCCTCAGATTCCAAAGTTCACATTACAAAGACGAGATTATATGATGCAGCTCACCTTGACAAGATCCTCGTCAGTAACCCATGAGGCAGATATTCTAGCATATGAAAACAGCAGGAACTAACATGAAATAACATGAAAAGGTTGGTTGTTTCATATTCAAGCGCCAAGCTCTTGCCTGGAATTCGATCGTTGGTGACACCAGAATAGATACTAATCAAGACACCCGAGTTATTTTGCGTGTATACGCCGGGTACACTAGTTGACGAAGGAGCCGTATTGCCTGTGCCCACGATCACTTCGATTTTGGCGCATTACATCTACTTCTGGTCAGAATATTTGTAACTGAGATCTCACAGATTTCACTCACGTAGAACTGCGCTCCCTTGGAGCTAGAAGCGCCGTGCAATGCGATAAGTTCAGCGCGCAGGAGATATTGTCCAGGCGCAATACACTCTGGGATAGGGACCCCTTGCTTCCCATCATTGTTGATGAGAAACTCCGTAGGCGATACACCACCCGTGTATCCAGCGTGCTGGACCTTGATTATCATTGGTCTTCTAAGAGTCGGAGAGTCAACTTTCCATCGGTTTCTACCGCTGGAATTCGTCTTTGCATCTGTGACTTTCTGGTCATTGGATATATGGGGATTACCAAGACAGCCTACCCGCCGTTCTTGGTTATAACAAGCCTTAGATGAGAGGGTGGATAGGAGGGCTGACTTGAAGCCTATAAGGTATTTCGAAGGCATCAACCTTCAACGGATAAGATAACCTGGTTAGCTCGGTGGTAGATCATTTTGTAGTTGCTAAACCTACCAAGTTATTCCACCTTGGTAGCTGGCTGCATGTGCCAGACTCTATTGCTGGACCGGTTATTACGAATTTGTTGACTTTTCCACTTGCCTCTATCATTTTATCTTTTTGGTTTTACTCTCTTTTCACTTAGGAGATATCGACAACAATGGTGCTTACCAAGGGCAAGCCCTTTGTGGCTCGAGTCGATGCCATCGTCGCTACCAGGACGTGCGGTTTTGGCGTCGAGCACTTTTCGCTATATAACGGCCATTTTGCTGTCGGCGTTGACTTGGACGATGTTGTTGGGTGAAGTGGTTGGGCTGCTTTCTTCGTTGTAGGCCATGTAGTTGGTTGCCACTTCGGTTTGGGGCTCTGACCATGGATAAAACCTCGGGGGTCGTCTTGGGACCTGCAAATGTGAGAAGAGGAGAGTTGCAGTATACCGTAATTCTTGCTTTCGCATTCCAGCTGGCAGAAGATAAAATGCCCACAAACTGTTGATAGACTAGCCGATGAAGCCTAAGATTTTGGAGTTGCATGATTTGACTCAATATTATGTGTCTAGGTGAGCAAGCTTGAAGAAACTGGCGGTTTCCCGGTATGAAGGCCCGGGTTTCTGCACTCGTGCAATCATTAATCAAAGAAGTGTAGTGTGGCTTTATTCCTTTGTGTCCCGGACCAGGCCTTGGTTTCTAATTGAAGATGCCATCGGCTTCAACGCTGGAAGGCTTGTCGGACCGTGGGTGAGTGAGCATCCATGATGAGTGACACCTTATCCACTGCCAAATAAGCATCACATGCGACTGGCATTCATGATCACTCGCGACAATATCACCAAGGCGGGTCCGAGGCTTCCGAGTCTCGATGTTGATAGTGTGTATCTGCAGCTAGTCACGAACATGTTGACCTGTGGATGGTAGACAAGCCCGAGCAGCCCAAACAGCCAACAGTCTACGCGTCTAATTGCCAATGGAAACGGGAGGCGCCCAGCGTCGCACCCAGAACAACCACCGTAACACAGCACATCCATCGCGGGTCGCGGCTCAGCACGTCAGTTTGCCTGGCGAACTTCGTACGGAATACATGTAGATGGCACCATGCCATCAGTGAAGCTTGTCAAATTGGCGGAATGGTGGAATAATTACGCAACTCTGACTGTAATCGCCGATATGCCTTTCATAATCCCGCAGCTTCTATAATAGGCTGAGTAAGTGGAAGGGGTGATAGAGGTCAGATTGTCTGGAAAAGCTCCGCATTGGCGGTTTTATCCAGATGAACATAGATTTAACCTCGCCTGCCCCTAAGACACCTTCACTAAAAGTATCAAAATACTGGGATACGGTCCGGGTTCAGGCCAGCAAGAGAAGTTAAACAAAGGCACAAGCCAATCGGCAAGTGAGGGACAGGACAGGGCTGCTTACTGGACCAACGGAAGCTACGACCTACCAAACTTGACCAGGGGAAAGAGCTAGGGACCCTAGAAACCGGGCTTAAACGGGGAAGCAATGCTGCGGGGCATGGCAACCACAACCACTCGCCCACCTTGGTAAACCCCCAGCAGCTCCTCCCTCCTGAACTCCAGCTAAGGATTCCCACATCTGGCCGGGCATCTGTTCCTGACAAAGTTGGGAAACGGCGTGTGGGGTTCATTCGACGGATGCATTCCCTATTCCCGCCCGTCGCTGAACAACTTGGAAGTAGCAAGATCTTGCAGCCAAGCCTTACGGAAAGGGCCGCTCGGTGATAGATGTCTCCTGGATGTCTCCTAGACATCACCTGCACTTGTCCTTTCTCGTCAACGCGTCTATCTCTTCCCAGTACCCTTGTTCCCAGTTGCCGAATGCCTGCAACCCTTTCCACGTTACGGGATCCATTGGAACCGCAAAACACGGATTTGTTCAAATATGCTCACCACGGCGATACGTAATATTCCACGACTTCGGTTCAGGCAGTCAAATCCCCCGCCCTGTTACTTCGATACTTGGGCGTCCAGATTATCGCTGGATCCTTCGTCGGGGCTATATGGTCTCGGCTGCTGGCTGAGCTGGGAGTCTAGAGCCTTCGTTCCGTGCCATATTAGGTGCCAGATAGACGATATCGTGTCTCTCCGCCGCAACCCAATCTACAGCCAACTTTCCCGGAAATGGCATCCAAATATCCCATGTAAGGTACTGGAAATCAATTACCAGCTCTCCGGCTAATGCTTAGATAGCTCTTCTCGCAGGCCTATCAGGGTCCTCTCATTAGTTTCTGGCCCTCGACCGCAACGCGATGCGATGCGGGGAGGAGCCGAGAATGGCGAGCCAGGTCGGAGATGACTATAGGGAACCCATTTTAAATATCATGTTGAAGGTCCCGTTTTCCAGGTCGCCTTTCATCATTCCGGGGTCCCAGTAACGTCAGTTACCGAGTTTCAAAATGAAGGGCTTCGTAACTGTCGGCGCTGCTTTCCTAGCAGCGTCTTCCTGTGAGTAAACCCGAATGCCTTTGCGTAATAGTGCCCTGTTGATCTGTCGACAGGTATTCTCCCATGTGTCGCCCAAAGGACCACCTATACCGACACAGCTACGGGTATCAGCTTCGGAACATGGACCGAAGGTGGAGGCGCCTTTACCTACGGCATTGCGCTCCCTGGTGATGCTCTTACTACGGATGCGACAGAGTACATTGGACTTCTGGTGCGACTTCCGGCCCGCTGAATCATGAAAGTATGTCATTAATAAAGACTAGAGATGCACAGCAGGCTGGTGCGGTATCTCCCATGGAGAGTCGGGGCAGATGACCCAGTCCCTGCTTCTCATGGCCTGGCCCTACCAAGATCAGGTTCTGACTTCTTTTCGATTCGCGACGGGCTACAACCTACCCGCAGGGTACACTGGCGATGCCAAGTTGACGCAGATCTCGTCCAAGATCGACGGATCGACCTTCGAGATCATCTACCGTTGCCAAAACTGCTTTTCTTGGAACCAAGATGGCGCAACGGGAGAAGTATCGACCACAGGAGGAAACCTCATTATGGGCTGGGCGTTAGCAGCAGCTGTCCCGATCAATCCAGGCTGCCCCAACTCAATCAGCTTCAGACAGCATGACAGCGCCGGACAGTACGGCGCTGCGCTTGATGGTGTCAACAATGCCTCGTACTCCACCTGGACGTCACTGGCTACGAAGACGCCGTCGGGCGATTGCGGTGGAGCGACGACGACGACAACAACGAGCAGCCCTACGGTGACACCGACAAGTACGGTGCCCGCTCCAACTGTGACTTGCATATCTCCGTCCAAAGATACCTACGATTACATTGTTGTGGGGGCTGGTGCTGGAGGTATTCCAGTTGCCGACCGTCTAAGCGAAGCCGGCCACAGCGTGCTACTCATCGAAAAGGGCCCGCCGTCCTCAGGCAGATACGGAGGTACTATGAAGCCCGAGTGGCTCGAAGGAACTAATTTGACCAGATTCGACGTGCCCGGTCTCTGCAACCAGATCTGGGTTGACAGTGCTGGCATTGCATGTACTGATACCGACCAAATGGCCGGCTGTGTCCTGGGAGGCGGTACTGCAGTGAACGCCGGATTGTGGTGGAAGGTAAGCCAAAAATCCCGCAGAAATATCTTTGCAAATCTGACTTGTGCAGCCAAATCCAGTGGACTGGGATGTTAACTTTCCCGTCGGATGGCGTTCAACAGACGTTCTCGCGGCTACGAACAAGGCCTTCACCCGAATCCCTGGGACCGACAACCCCTCTGCAGACGGTGTACTTTACCAGCGCGAAGGTTTTGATATCCTATCCAGTGGCCTGGAGAAGGCCGGCTGGAAGAATGTCAAGCCCAACGAACAGCCAAGTGAGAAGAACCACACCTACGGTCGCACAAACTACATGTACTTCCATGGCGAAAGAGATGGTCCAATGGCAACCTATCTTGCGTCATCAATCAAGAGACCCAAGTTTGAGTTGTGGATGAACACAGCTGTCAACCGAGTCATAAGAAACGGATCTCATATCACAGGTGTCGAGCTAGCTTGCAACGGGAACGACGGCTATCTTGGCAAGGTTAGCGTCACCCCAGACACTGGCAGGGTCATCTTGTCGGCTGGTACCTTTGGCTCGGCTAAGCTATTGCTCAGAAGTACGTCTTCTTCCGGCATGAGCTCTTGAATTGGCTGACTTTGCACAGGTGGTATTGGCCCGGCTGATCAATTGGCTGTCGTGGCAAACTCGTCTGACGGTGCTACCATGATTCCACAATCCGACTGGATCAATTTGCCTGTCGGTCACAACCTGATCGACCACTTGAATGTAAGTAAAAAAGCAATCTGGGATATACCTGGGTTCTGACAGGTATTTCTACAGACCGACGTCTACGTGACCCATCCCGACTTCGTCTTCTACGACTTCTATGGGGCATGGACAGACCCCATCCCATCAGACAAGGAAAAGTACCTGAGTAGGTCTTGGGTGATCGAGAGATATTTTAAGATAGTGACTAACGCACTGGCAGCTAATCGAACGGGCATTTTCACTCAAGCAGCTCCAAACATTGGCCCAATGGTGAATCCCGCTTCAGCCTACTATTTGATCTGATCTCTAATCATGCTCCAAGTTCTGGGATGAGATCCCATGTTCAGACGGTGTCACGCGCCAGCTACACTACACTTCCAGAGTAGAAGGTGAAGACAAGACGGGAACTAACAGTAAGCCCCTGCTTTCCATCTGCTCAAGACTGAATTGGCTAAGGGTATCACAGACACTATGATCATGAGCCAGTATCTTGGCAGAGGCTCAACATCAAGAGGCCGAATGGGCATCACCGCACAACTGAACACAATCGTAGCAGAACACCCATACCTGCACACCCCTGGAGACAAAGAAGCTGTCCTTCGATCGATAGATAACGTGCGCGCCGCCTTCACCGGGTTGTCGAATCTCACATTCGCTCTCCCAATGCCCAACCAGACCACGTTGGCTTACGTGGACTCTTTGGTTATCAGCCCTGCCGCGAGAAGAGCGAATCACTGGATGGGTATGTTCTCCCCTTTCCTACCGCCTCGGTTTGCGTCACTAATTTATCCGCAGGTACTGCCAAGCTTGGTCTCGACGATGGCCGCAAAGAAAACGGCACGGCCGTAGTGGATGTCGACACCAAGGTCTACGGAACCGACAACTTGTTCGTCGTAGATGCCTCGATCTTCCCAGGCATGTCAACTGGCAACCCCGCGGCAATGATCGTCGCTGCTTCTGAGTATGCCGCTCAGAGGATCCTACAACTTCCTACTGGCGTGAAGGCGAGGGACGAAATCGAAGCATATAAAATCCGAGGGCGTTGATTTGTCCCAGGTAGATGACAGCGGATGACAGTCGAGTTATGTGGATATGAGATATTTAAAAAGAGAAACTATACATAGGGGGCGCCTCGAATTGATGTTATGTACAAAACGATCTACAGCTTCGAAGCTTCGGCTAATAACATATATTTCTTCGGTTCTCGACACTCAAGTCTTTCAAGGGCGCATCGAGACTATTTATGCATGCTGTCCACGGAACATTTAGCCATTTGCTTGGTTGCAAAAGTAGTATCATGTCACGAATGAGGTGCGTGGACAGATTTCTATTTGTTTACTCTCAACCGTTTCGACTTTAACGAGTGAACTTGGAAAATCTCACGATTATGAGAACTGAGATCTTTTTATGAGACCGACCGAAGCTGTCAATATACATATTGAATCTTGAAGTTACGCCACTCAACTGTCCCATTTATATGAGATCATAGGTTTGGTATCGTCATATTTAAGCCCTGGAAAACTCGTACTAAGTGAAAACAGACATGGAGCGTTTTCCTGGGGTCAGGATACAAGGCAGTTCGAGTCAAACTGGAATATATGGGGGTCGATTCCCCCTTGAGGCTTGGAAGATGCTACTTCTTTGAACAGAAACATTTTCTCGTTATATATATCACCTACCCCACAGAACTTATCATAGTCTCAGGCAGCTCGTGTTTCGTGGTTAGGGAAGCTAAGAGCTCGTCAGACACAGTTTGTGTGTTTGTGAAAGACGGGATTTGCTCTGGCGTGTACTGCATCTGATCAGTCTCTCCGTCGTGGTTCGGAGACAGGTAGGCATTTATATGTTCGTGCTACTATTGTTGAAGATGACGCCAATCCCGCTGCTCGCCCCTTTTACTTCTCATCCTTGCTCTTTTATGCTGAATGAACCCTCCAATTGCAAGACCGATGATAACCCAACCACGACGGTTCGGGAAGTTCTTTTGATTAATACTCGCGCTCAATGACATTGCGCTTAGTTTTTATCGCCGCCGCACTTTGTATACTCGTTGTATTAGGAGCACTAGTTGGAGAACCAGCAAAGGTTGTACCCATTCACAGGGGTGGCATAGATTGAAAGACCCCCCGCTCGAACGGTCTTACTCGTGGAGCTATATACATCTAGCTTTCTACCACGGTGATGAAATTGATGACTTCGCCTGCCGTCGCCTTCGATATGTACCGAGGCGGAAACGCGATATCCTCCTTCAGCGGCTCGAGTCGCAAGTATACTCTATACAACATGGCAATTAACATCGGACACCCTTTCGTTTCCTCTTTTAAGATGTAATTTTACTCACAATGAACAGAATAGCGCCCGCTCAGTCTGTGCTGCTTTTGAGATAGTCGTCACCCGCGTGTACGCGGCAGGGCATGTGAAAGTCGAATCCAGGGACACGGGGATCGTGGCAGCCGGGGTGATCAAGTGGGTTTGGTTCTACGGTGACGTGACTGGAGGTGGCCGTCATGATTTCGCGGCGGGGTAAAGCGAGGCGCCGTAGTAAGAGTCGAAACTGAGGAGGGTTGCGCCGGCGTTGTAGATGTTGGAGGATCAGGGGGCGATACGAGACCTAGAGGTCGAGAGGGGGATCCAACTTGTGCAAGCATTATCCTACCCGGTGAGTGTGTTTCTGGACACGGCTGGTGGTTTTTCTTGCAAAATGAGATACGAGGTATTTTTTCTTACTGTAAAAGAAGGAGTATATAAGTTGGTTTGCTCGGTGCGGGTCTGGGGTGGATTGGGGTACGGGGAAGGCCAGTGCATACTCAATGTATGGCGGAAGATCAGTAAACAACAAGGCTTTGCGATCCTACAGAATCCTCATGTGTATCTTCAAGGATGTCCTTGGTGCTATCTTATCGGGCCCTTTCATAGGACAATATAGCATGTTTAGCACTATCGTAGTCTGTAGTTGGGCGTCACACCCCGTCGATCAATGTATATGCGTCAGCTTAGGCTTACCGCACCTCGAAATACTGTAAATGTCCATTTGGAGGGATTCCCTGTGGGTAGAAGTCTCCCAGAAAGATTAACACTGAAGTTGATATATTCTAGACGACCGAACGTTATGGGCAATGGCTCAGCTCCAACAACTTGCATCAGCCAAATATTGTTTTGTTTATCCGACTCAATATTTCTGGCTCGAACCTACCAGTTAGTTGGAGCTATTCACCAGTGGATTTAGCAAGTAGATAGCTGCGCCGATAGACCCGAGTTCTGTAGGCCGTTAAATACAACTTTCACTCTCTCTATATATAGAGCTATGATACCTTATTAAGTTTTACTCTGTAAGTATTAGGCTTTACAACGTTAAAATGCCGCGTAACTAGTATAATAAGGACTAGAGAGCTAAGAATATTTTTAATATTACTAATAACGACCCATCGTAGTATAAATTCGCTACTAGGCTTTCTCGAAGTGACCCACCAGAAGAGCAGCTTGGACGCCCCTCCACCTAGAAGACTTCACAATCCTGGTCAACCGCAGAATAAGGTGCTGCTAATAGCCAAGTTCATATTTCACTGCAGAGCAACACCAACCCGTAGGTAGAAACTGCGCATCTGAAACTGAACTTCTGTACTGATCCATAGCACTCGTAACAGAAGGTGGAGGTTTGCCCTTCGTTGGGACCTTCTGGGATTAAAGGCCTTGGTCGTGCAGTCAAACTCGGATGCGAAAGACAGAACCTTTGGACACAGTTATGCCAGTGGAGAGCGACGTTCAGGATGTAAGTAAGTGTTCACTGAAGCAGAGGATTTATATGAGCATGGTGCGCATAGCACGACGCGTTGTTTTGAACATTAAATGAAGTTATGTTAGGATCTGACGAGAACCATTTGTTGGTTATGGAATCCACGCAGATGTTTTACTGAGGGTAATGTTGCACCATGTGCATATTTGCACTAGATCATGACTACAGTAAACACCTATTTTGAAACACTGTTGAATGAACGCATAGAGCCCTTATAAAGTGACCAATGACGTTCTGTGCCTCTGTCAGAAACGCCACTATAACCAATTCAGTCAATTGCGAGTGCTGCACCTCGAATACGACATTTTTCTGTGGAAGGTCCCGTGCAATCGAAGCACAATATGCTTCAAAACACAGAATTCTGGCAAGGATTATCCAGCAGAATTCGTCCTCACGTGCCTAGGCTCGCCTGATTTCCGTCCACAGTTGAGTGCTGGAGAAGTGCGTAACAATGAAACAATTGCCAAATGTGCCATCTAATCAAGCCTCATCGCATCAGACAGCAAAACGGGTAAACGAGTATCAATCTCGTCTCATTTGCGGGATTAATTCTACGTGAGACTGTAACAAACGCACCATCTAATCCCGGCGAGTAGGTGGGGACTACGTGGTGCGTTGGTAATTGGTAGAAAATATCGAATGGCTAATTATGTATTTAATCCTAGAACTCGACTCGACGTGCCTTGCCACTTTATTCTTAGACTTGACAAGACCAAGTTAACGCCACTATCACAGCGCAACGCCACTCCAAGAAGTATATCTGCAACTTTCTGCGGATCGAATACAGTATATTAAGTTCTTATTACGGTTCAATGCCGTTCAACGCCGAGAACTCGGTAGATTCGCGGGAACGTTGGAATGTCCGGATAGAAAACTGTGACTGGACCGAATTACGTTTCAGCCCGGATACCTGCAGACGTCAGTGAGTCACGCCAAAGCTCTAGTATCACGATTTGACTTCAGTAGGATTCGCATCAGGGGTATGACTGTTGTCGAAGTTACCTTCGAGTGTATTTACCGAGCTTACTGCATTTTGAGTGTACTGATTGCACCGAACCGCAAGGAAGGGAGGGATAAGGCTCGAGTGATTATGAATAAGTATATTAATAGCTCACACCGCCAAACCATCAAGTGCGAAGATATAGTGGCTGAAAACATGTCGTTAGGTTAAACTTGAAACTAAGTCTATCTCTTTTCAAGTTTTCCCTTGCAAAAGTTTATAAGTTATTCGGATTACACAAGCACGTCTTACCGATGAAAGATAACCACTCGTTCACTCGCGCGCCGGTGCGTGCGGTGGTTCCAGCCCAACGGGTCACTACATCTGCAGGTCACGAGATACCTGCCACGAAATCTCCGAGAGGCTCGTTGCAGGTTCCATGTCGATTTCGTGGCACTCAAGCCTGCTCTTTCCGTTCACCCCCCATCCGCAGCGTCTTTGCCGACATAAGACCTGTTAAAATGTATCGCTAGTCATTCGATTTTCATACTATGCTCCCTCGGTTGCGGAAGCATCCTGCCGTTTCTGTCTGCATATATAGAAACCACATTGGCTGGACGGAATGCTTCTCCACCGAGATAAAACCACGCCACGCGCGTCCCCGACAAACATGATCGCAAAAGGAGGCTGCAGGTAGCCATCAAGATATATTAGTTCGACCTGGTGAGTGCCACGAAGGAATGTCCAGTTAGAAGACTTCGGATGACGTGGCTGCAGAGGCGGTCCCCCGTCTGAAGGGTTAGCAGCGGCGTAACCTTCGGAAAATTCAGTTCCAGTTGGCGGGTACCCGCAACGGCGGATGACGGGTGCGACTATGGATGCCACGTTTCCCGTTGCCGGCGGTGGGCGAACTGAGTTTCTCCAAAAGGATTCAAATGAGGAACTTCAAGTTTGTCCTCGGTGGGATCGTGTGCCATCCGTCTGGCTTCACTGAAGACAAAGAAGGCATGTCATCCTGCGCGTTTATACTGGACAGCTGTCAACAGAGGTGTGTTCCGGCACAAGGTGCGTGTGCAAGGTCGCACGTAGGCACTTGGTCCCACGATGCGTCATCCGTAGGTTTTCCGTCAGGGATAATTTCTAAGGTTCGAAAGCATGTTGAAGTGACGAAGATCATTGGTAAATAGCAGAGTACGTTGCAAGCGCCTTGGATGGCACCTGCGATCTCACGCTTGAAGCACTGTACCGGCGATGCTCCTTCCTTCTTCGCCAGACTTCTGAGCAATGAACTCTGATTCAAGTTTGCCGTACCTTATCCATGCCTGCGCCACCGCGTCATCTTTGGGCCGCGAACCCATGAGTCTGCTGGTCTCTATGTGTAGTGCGCGGATTGCCAAGGCGATGAACCTTATTGGAATGTTGAGTGCGCTGATGAAGCTTCTAATAATAGTAGGGAGAAACTGTGTTGGTCTCTTGACGATCGATTCAGGTTCCTTACTAGCTCGATGACAAGGAAACGTAGAATCTGCGGGTGGAAGTAAAGTCGATGATTACTCGCGAATAGGTCCGGGTCAGTTCGGCTGCCAAACTCGTAGGCCATGAAGTCGAGCAGGTCGTATAAGCCGAAAGAAATGAAGTGCAACATGATAGCGGAGCGGGAACTGTTAAAACCTAACATGTAACTTCAAGTTGAACGTTGGCCGGGTACATACCGCGCAGAATGTGATGTAGAGGGAACTAGAAGCCCACTGACTTGTCGCCTTCCGTAGTGGTTGTTTGTGTATCGCTTTGGCGGTGTGGCAACGTCCTCAAATCGCGTTGGATGTTACCTGCCACTTGGCCGATGCCATAGAAGAACCCACCAATTGGATCACCAGGGCTGACGAGATCTGAAATCTTGCCCAGTTCAAGAGGTTCAAGCTGTGCTGGATCCACTTTGCCCTCCTGTGCGAGTACATAAGCCGCAATAGCGGACAGCCTGGCCTTGTTACCACGCCTTTTCCAAAAAGCTGTTTGCTCACCGAGCACGTCACAAAGCCCGTCCTTCTCGTAAACACTGAATTTGTGCTGGGCTTTACGTGTAAAAGTTTCAGCACAGGGTTCTTTAGCATTTTGGACGCAAATTCACTTGCAGCAACAGCGTACTCTGGTTTGAGCGCTTCCTTGATCCGCTGAGAAAGGTTGTCTGCCGTAACGTTCTTAATTTGCATTGGCTCGGGACCACGTCCTAGTTTCAAGATTCGATCTTCCCAAGAAGGCTGTTCTCAGGCCACTGGGTATACCATAGTAGCGCGGCCCGTCTGAATAGCCGTAGCAATAGTGTCACAACCACTATGGATGACGACGGCAGACACGCGTGGGAACAGCCAGTCATGTGGACATTCGTCCGTCATATGGAGCCCTTGGTAAGTGTTTCCTTAGTCTTGAGGAAGACCAGACCGCCCATGGGAAACCACCGCACGCATGCCAGCCTTGGATATACCTTCAAAGATCTCGCTGAAGACCTTTTCGGGTCCCAGGAAGGGCATATTTCCGGATCCAATATAGATCGATACATTTCCAGCTTGAAGAAATTCGACTAGGCTGGTGGAGGGTACAGAGTTGGGCGATGAGTGAAACACATAGCCTGTAACGCTAATATGAGGACCCAGTCCCTCGGTGCTAGCAGCAGGCTCGGCGACCAGATATTTGTGAAAGGTACTTGGAGACGTTTCCATGGACTGACAAACACAACGGCGCCAAAGGCTCAAGACCGAGTTGTTCATTGCGGACCTTGGTCAAGACAGACTTCGTACCGTTGTATAAACTATCAGGGGATTAGAAATGAGTTTGGAGCCAGGACGTCTTATGCTTACAAGAATTCCTGGAACCACCATGAAAACCTGTTCTTGAGACTGGATTCGCTAGCGGCCATGCTTGAAATTTGAGTGTGTAACAGGTATTTGGTAGGACTGCATGGATTAGTGCCAAGCATACGGAGTGTGGTCCTTGAAGCATTCGAAAGTTGGCAATTATCATTCCCACCTTGAAAAGATTACAGGAGCCAATGAGGGGAGTGCAGGCCATATATCGAGAGTCCCACACGTCCCACAGCAGGGCTTGAACAGGAAAAGCAACGTTCCTATACGCGCTCCAAATGGTCCCAACCAGGAAGGAAAAGACTCCGGGGGGCTGACCTGCATGATGGCAATGATAGCATCGGAGAAGAATGACTCCGGCGATGACCCCGGCGATGCCCCCTCCGGAACGCCGTCCGGAAGCCCCAGGCAAGCTTTCCAAGACGCTCGGCCAGTTGGCCGAACTCGTTTTGGATCGTGGGAATTCGCTTCTTGAGTTGGCTCCAGGGCAGTTGCCCCAGTTTCTGTTGCTCACGAGGGTCTGCCACCGTCCACGAGTAGAATCCGACTGCTTCGGCTTCGATCAATGGTCAGTCCACTTCGAATTCCACGAAGCGCACGCGATGACCATAGCAGCGCTGGATAACCCTTGCGATATCCAGATGGGGCTGCATGTCGCTGCGGGTGCCCATGCTCATCACGACCATGTTCAACTTGACGTGCGGCGCATCCGCAGGGGTCATCGTCGCGCTTTCCTCATGTTAGCATGTTAGACATTTCTGGCAAATCTCGGCTTTGGGAATGAACCACTGCAAGCCCCTCTTCTGCGTTAAAGAAGCAAACATGATCTCCTAGGTGATAAACATGAGCTGGGCGCGAAGCCTAATTACGCTTGGATCAGTAGTGGCTAGCAATCCCTTTACCATCTAGATGCGCTCGAATCGGGAAGGATTGAAGACACATTGCGAGGCCCCAATTTCTGACGGTCAAGCCACGGTAAGTCTAGAAAATATAGATTTTGGGCTTGTTTTATTTAATCATGCGGGAAGATCAGCGATATGAGGAGGCTTTTGTGTACGGCATCCTGTAAAATTGAACTCGAATTGATCTCGAATTGAACTTTGCCCGTCCAAACCAAGACAAGGAAGCCGCGACTACCTAAATTGATTTAATGACCTGTATGACTGCCAACTTTTAAGATCCTGGAAGCGTTGGCACTACTATTGATTGCATTGCCATGGAGGACCTTGTTTTGTTGCACTCCAGTAGCAAGTGGCTTGCAAGTCGAAAGCGGAGTCGCATTTAAGCAGATAGACACTTTGGCAAGTCGTCAGGTTGCATTGCATGGGATCTTACATGACTTCATTACGAGCTGTAAGCTTGGTTGAAATCTGTGCCTTGAGGAATACGGGGAAAGAACGATAGGATGAACATGGCCGTGTCAGATCTCCGGCCCAAGACTCGGGCATGTCTCACGTCGGACAATTTGGAACGCGAAGGCATCGTCACTTTAGGACGAGCGGCATGGTCCGGAGCAAGGGCGATTGAGCCGTGTCCTGTTAAGCATTGGGGCCGGACCGTTGGAAACGCTGCGCCTGTCATCTAGATGAGCTTTAACCTTAAAAATCCGGGCATGAGCGCGATGGGTAAAGGTAGGTGGCTCAGATCGTTGCGCCGTACCAGAGGTAGTGCAGTTGAGTTCGAACGGGGCCGAACGTGAGAAACGGCGGGCTATGCTGAGCTTCAAACAAGGAACGGAAGGCTCTCTACTACGTGGATGCATGAGATGATCCGAATCGGGACAGATGGCGGGCGCACGGCAGTCGGCCGTGACAGGCGATGAAACCAAGAATAAGTCAAATCAGTAGCCGTTGTTTCCAACCCGTGCAGTTTCGTGGCGATGTTTAGGATCCACACAAGGATATGGAAAGCGGCCGTCGCGCGCATCTGGGGACGTCCCAGGTATCATCAGCCTCATTCACCTTGACCGGGTCAATCCCGAGGTCACATCATAGACCGTGGGCTCTGCCGACTTGCCGAATGAAGCGCGCGTGGGAAGATGGGATGATAGAATCCAGACGAATTGGTGCATTTCCCTCTGACCAGTTGGTCGAAGCTCTCGGTCGTAACCGACCGGACAAAGCTGCGAGTTTTATGTTACATGGTATGTCGTTTGCTCAAATTTGTAAGTTCCGCTGAGTAGAGAAACGTGAGAAGTGCACTCGCTTTATAGCCATAAATGACTATTAGCTAGATGGGCGTATGTAATTGGTCTTCGTAGGTTTAACTCTGTCATGGAGGGGAAAGAATGAACCAGTGATTGGGCTGCCATCACTGACAACTTTGGCTGTGCAAGGAGCTTAAGCGGACTCGAGGAAGGAGCGTTACGGTGTCGGCTCAGGCAGCAGGAACAAATTTACGGTGAAGGGGAACGGACTATACATCGTATATTACGGTCAACGTTCGGGTGCGGCTCTTCCAAATTCCATTTAGGAAGAATATCATCTCTTGAGGGTCGCAACATCGAAGATCACACCAAGCTTCACCTTTATCTTGCATTGCTGCGAGATCAACAGGCTCCATCAGAGCGCGGCATCTAGTCTCGGTTTCGGGTGCTTTTGTTGTAGCCTAAGTCGAAATCGTACATTACCTACCGTATTCGGACGACACGATACCTTTTAAGACCTTATCCCAAGCCGACTGATGAGGTGACGAGGACCAGCTACCAAAGCGCCGAGAAGCCGATAAGGCAGGCTCGTCAAATGGATTCTTTCCTGTCGTCGTCCGTTGACGCGATTGGACTGTCGCAGCTTCCAGGTTCATCGTTGACAGCAGAACGCATGAACGACACAAGAGACCAACGACACCTTCAACATCAGCTGAAACAGGACGAGCCCCTCACCCTAACCACCCTGACTCGACCATGATCCCCTTCATTGTCTTCAAAGAGAGCCCAGGAGGAGCAGAGTATCATTCGCTTTGGGTTGTCTCTTGTTGCCCTGCCACATCCACATGTGCAGGCACCCCACGATTCCGTCTCTTCTGGGATGTCACGTCGTTCAAACTTCAGCCAAGTTCCACAGCCCACCGCCCCATCGACCATCTGTCAGAATTGCAAAACCTTGAGCCATCGTCTCAGATTGATGAAACCTCGAAAAGGCTGCCGAAGAGCCAATCGCAATTCAGACATTGCCCAGACATTTGATAACTTCAGCATCTCATTATACAGTTTCTTCTCTCGGTCGCATTCCACACCAAATGCGGCTCGGCGACACAGGCAATTCTGGATGACAGATCGGTCTAACCTACACAGGATGGACAGACAATTGACCCCCTTGATATGGGACACGGGAGATGGGACTATCAACCTGCCTGCCTGTCTGGTATCCACAAGGATAAACCTACGCTGTCGCAACTCGCATCCAAGCGTAGGCGTTATCGACGTTTCCTCTGCGGGTGCACTGGGCCGACTGAATGCCGTGGCCGCCTGGCGAGGGATCAGCAGTACCATCTCAGTAAAAGTAAACTATGCGAACCAAACATGCATGGTCTACCAAGTGTCGCATCACAACCTCGCCTTGAGATTGTCCCCAGAACGTCACAAACTAGCGTGGCTGCCGTTTTTTCAGGGCGGGCTGTCGCGTGGTGATCGGACGGACATGGCGCGTTACACTAACTGGTACCTCACGTCCCATGCATTCCAGAATACGAATTCTGCGTGGGGAAAGGTGACTAGCAATGCTGCCATTCACCAACCGCCTCATGATTGTTGATGCATTTTTGACGGACCACGACTACTGCCCGCGTGGCTGCAGAAGTTAGATTGCCACCATGGGGTAAGGCATTGGACAATGGCTTCGATCACTAGTCATATCTGTGAGTCGCTAGCCTCTTTGGGCAAGTCGGTGTTGGTCCCCTCATCTCATGACACACTACCAGTATACTCGATATACTCCGTGGCGAGTGATGTGAAAACTGCAATGGGCGTTGTCCTGAGGGCTGGGGCTGGGGGCTGAAGACTTCGGTATCTCCCGGCCGATTGACGATTTAGCTGCAGGTGTCCGTGAGCCTCTGCCGGTCAGACGCTAATTCGGTCACAGATCGTGCACCTTGGGCATTCTACCCCCCCGTCGTTAAGATTGTGTCCCTGCTCATTTGGCCGCCGTAGGCCAGTTTCAAGCCCAATCCCGGGTCTCAGCTTGAGCATCATTTTTTGCCCGCTGCGCCTCGATCCCATTTTGTAGTCCCTTTTAGTACGCTTCTTATTTTTTTCTCTCTTCGCAGTCTATTATCAGCGCCGCCATGAGATCTAAGCACCCCTTCTGGAACTGCTTGGGTCACCTTCCATGACCATGCCGAATGGGCTAGGGTGTTGAAATTCGAGAACCCCTGTCCTGGCCGTACCCTGCACTGATCACGGTGGTTCAGACGAGCTGCCGCCATGATCTACGGCCGCCCCCATCTGATGCGCAAGGGTACTTTGGTAGTAGTTTCCAAAACGACCGGCACATGTGTGTCGTTGACACCACCACCCCAAATTGTGCGCTGGGAGAAGCATTGGTACTTCGTGACAGACAAGCTATATCCTGGAACTGAACTGGGCCTCTTGTCCTTGAGCAGCCAGTCGGGAAGAAGTTCAGCGGTGCCCAAACCTATTGTGGAGACGACTAAACATCGTTGCCCACTCTCAACGCAATGCATAACGCAAAGTCTCTGTGTAGCCGCAGGAGGGAACTCTGTTGTTCCCATGGTGGGCATAGCTTGCCCTTCTTTGCACCGTGATCATGTCGCTGGCCAGAGCGGATGCTGTACATTTGCACAAGCTTCATGTCCGTTCACTACTTGGTGCCCATTACTAGTCTGCCTCCGATGTCGACTGTGGTCAAACTTTTGTGTTAGTCCTCCAGGAGCTTGAGCCCAAAGTACGTTTCTGTTTCTTCTTCTCGGATACCCCAGTCAGCACCTTCCATTGAAGTCCCAAACCGCTACTGTCTTCAGACGCAACCCTAAGTTCATGCGTCGGCAGCACAGCCTTCTCTCTAACGACCACCATCCCATATTCGATGTTCCCTTTGTCGTCCTATCTTTGGCTATTGGGTCCCTCGTTCGACTCATGCAAATCCCTTTTATTTCGCCGACATTGCTGACGGGCATTCATCGTCTCTTGTCTTTGCCTTCCCGAACTAGTTTCGCCCATACCCATCCTCCTTCGTTTCATGTGCGCTGAAGGTTCTGATTCGGCAAACTCACGAGACTCTTGGAACAGTGGCTAAAGAATCTCATCTGATAGTCGTAGTCGACTGCGGAGGGACAAGACGGACTCATAACTAGACTGCCGTCTCAAGAATACCCCCGGCTTTCAACAAGGACCTACGTTCCTTGTTTTGTCTCTTTCGGTTCGCCTATGACCCGGTTCTGCAGCTCGGTTGAAAGCCAACTCCCCTGTCTATTAAGCATCTGGAAGACTTTCCGAATTGTGCTTGTTTCGACTGTTTCAATCGTCTGCTGCTTGTCAGTGCGAGTCTTCAAGGTCGATCTCATCAAAAAATTTGATATATTGTAACCTATTGGAATCACCTCCGGAGTCTATCACTACTCGACATCTTCCATACCCTACGTCTGTACCCTTTCCCTGTGCGTTCCATCCCGTGTCCATTACTTGTCTTTGAGACCACGTTATCTTCTTATCCTCACCTTGTTACACACATTCGCGCCGGCGTGTAAAACACAAATCTACTCTAAGCGCTACGCCAAAGGACTTGAAAACAGGAAATTTGGGAACCCCGACGGAAGGAGGAAAGGACGGCTACTGTCTGGTCGCCATCACGAACTGGTAGATCTGGATACGAAACTTGGCGGGAAGACTCTTCTGGTACCTCTGTCTCACGCCCCTCCCTAGGAATCAAATCAACGACACGGTCGGTGAATTGATGGATTAGGCTGGTTATTCTTGGACCAATTCGACTTCACAAGAAAACTGGGAAGCCTCTGGGATCTTTCGAAGCATTGTTGGGTTACTGCGACCTCCACATCATCTCGGCTGGATATTCGAGCGTGTCGCTGAAGAGGTGCTCGTCACTGTAGAGTGGACACAACAGGGAGTTGATCGAGACCTCACCCCGTTGTTGCTAGTATGGACGTCACAGCTCTGTTGAACGCGTCTTCGGCGGCTCACAGGCAGGCTCAAGGTTCTGTAGACCAGACACCTACGCCTTCGGTGGCTGACGGGTCGATAACGTGCTCATCAACAGTACGAACACCATCTCCAGAGAAGGCACTATCCAGGAGGACGAGCGAGTCGAGAACGCCGAATCGCAGCAGGACGCCTTGGGATGCTGGCGGCTACTCACTGCCTCTGACGTTGGACACCAAGGCAACGCAAGCATCAGCACGGCCAGCATTCTATAACGATTCACCTGTGGGCTCTGCGAGTCCTAAGTCTCCACGGCACAAATTTTCCGACAGCCACAGCAGCTTGTCGTCATACACATCGTCTTCGAACTCAGCGGTACATTCGAGGTTCTCGTCGCTGTCAACAGTCAGCGGGTTCCATACGATGCCTACCGTCATTACAGATGTATCCGCACTCGATTCGCGATGCTGCGACAACATAGATTCTGCAATAAGCCGTACGTCCATGCCCGATCTCCCCAAACGAAGAAAAGATGGAGTTGTGTCGCCAACAACAATAGTGGAAGAGCCCACCATGCTTGGGTCGAGGAGGCCAGACTCTCCATCCGATGCCATGTTGATATCGAGAGGGGCTCAAGGCTTGGATCAGATGAGCCCCCAGGAAACTGCGAAGTAAGTGAATCACGCTCGTCCAGTGCTCTCGCGTATTGTGGGCGAATGGCCACTTTTGGCCTCATCTGGTGCACGCGAACTTTCGTTCTGGTTCGTCTGGTCTTGTTGCTATCGTCATTAGCGTGACTGCCTGTCAACTCCTCATCGTGCTTTCCTTTGCCAAGTTCAAAATTCACCTCCCTTGCTATATACCGTGGTCAAGCAACTGCATTTACTACTTCGGCTCCTACGCCAGCTCCCCATCACCGATGAGCAACTGTTATCACCTTCCCCAAATCTTCACTCCTGCCGAACAATACCGTCTCCTCCCAACTCTTTCATCTCCATTCAATAACCTTCTTGGCACGGCTACGGTTTTCTATCCATCTTGGCAAGGCCAATTCAGATCGACTTTACCCACATCAGTTCTCCCCGATCGAGTTTGGATCAATACCAATCTAGGCAGTCGAGGACCCAGAATCTTCCCTCCTGCGAACGGCACTCGGTGCTGGAGCAAAGTCGCTTAACTGCCATTATTTGGCATCGAAGTTAACATCAAGTGGTCAAGCGGGAAAGTTATATCCCCAAATCTAGCATCTTCCAACGGGGTGGGGAGGTGTGGCCATATATATGCCTGCTGTCCTCAAGCCAGAATTGTTTCCACCCGTTTTCCACGTTCATTCCCCATTTATAGTTGAGATACTCGCCTTCCCTGCCCCTTTACCGAAGATTACCCCTCGTACATAAATAGAACTCACTTCGTTTACTTAGTCTTCGGGGCGTTGACTTCGTTTACATAGTTAGCGGAGCCTTCACGTCTTTCACTTGGTCCTGGCCATGGTTGGCAGAGAGTTCACCTCGTATACTTGGGTATACAGGGTATTCAACTATCGCTTCTTGCTCATCCAGATGATTCACTTTAATTACTTCCCCGAAGAGTATTCACTTTACTTCACGTACTTACCCGAATATTCACATGAAGCATCTTTCCATGATAGTATTCACCTCGTGTTACTTTCTCATGCTGGAGTTTCACTTCGTTTACTCCCCTCGGAACATTCACTTCGCGCCACTTGCACTCCAGAGCATTTTACTCCATTCACGTCAGAACTCATCTTGCGCTACATTTTCATCAGAACGTCATATCTATCAAATTGCTAGGGCCAACATGCCACCATCCAGTTACTAACTTACCTCACAGTCCCAGAGATTTAAAAAATGATTTGAACTATCTCATACCTCCTGAACTATCCAAAACACACAAAAGAGCAGTTTCAGCACCCGACTTTGCTGCTCTTGGCGCCATAGATCAGACGTATCCTCCCTTGCCTTCAACTCTTCAGCCCACACCACCGCCCTCTCAACAAGACGATCGTCGCTCAAGCTACGTAATGGACGCAAACTTGGCCAGCTCCCCGGTTGACGACGGTCTGCCTGCCTTGGATGAGAGTATCAAATGTATGTACGTGGACAACTGCGATACTGGGTCCCAGCCGCGTAAGGCCATCTCGCACATCTTTGGCCGCAACAAGTTGTGTACCCGCATGATCCCCCAGCATGTCTGGGTCCACTTCTGCCGCAAGCACTACCAGCGCAGCCGATACCGCAACGCTCAGGAATACGCGAAGCTCCAATGCGAGCTGGTTCAGAAGCAGGTTCGTCGCGTGCAGGCGTGGAGCGACGAGAATAAGCGCAACAACCAGGCGGGCGTCGTCCAGGACTGGTCTCTATCGATCCGCAAGCGCGAGCAAAAGCGACTGGATGATCGCAACTCGTCGGGCAAGAAGCGACCGTACCGCGACGAGAGCGAAGACGACGAAGAGGCACTGGACCGTGCCGTCTTGAACGGCACCGCTGTTCCGGCATGGCTGCTCAGCAAATGCGGTAACGGATATTCGACCGAGACAATTGAGGCCATCGTGGCACAGCTTAAGAGCGAGATGGACTCGAACAACTTGACGCAGATTCCCGATATTGAGATTTTACCGAACATCAGCACGGAGCAGGAAGATGGTAAGAAGAAGCTCGTGCTGCCACGCAAAAATAGCAGCGGTGGTAGCCACAAGCGTTCCCAGTCAGTTGGAGTGGCTCGCAATGAGCCCATCTCCATGATGCGCCGCGTCAGCCAACCCAACTTCACGGCTGGCTGGCGCCCTGAGGATGCCATGCACTCGTCTCCGATGGACAAGCGCCAACGCATTACCGAGTTTTCTCCCTATGGTGATCGTCAAGGAGCCATGCGCCAAGCCACTGAGCGACCTGGCATGAGAACAATCCACCGACTTCCCCATCGCCCGGCATTTGGCAACATCCGCGAGAACCAGACTGAGGAGTCGTATTTCGACGATGAGGATGCTCGAGGCTCCCACTACAACTTTGGGGGCCCCTTGCCCGCACCCACTCCCCAGCGACTCGCATCCCAGCCCATGGCCGTCCAGCTCGACCCAACCAGCACCCCGCAAGGCTACATGGACATGCGACGGCCCATGCACCAACGTGCGCATTCCGAGATGGCACCCTACCACAACACCAATTTCACCTTCCGCCCTTCGTCATCTTCTGGCTATTCTCAGCTGCCTACGTCCTCCTCGGGCTACCCCCCGGTGCCTTCATCGTCCTCCACCTACCCTTCGGTGCCTCAACCCTACTCCACCGAGGCGATGCCATACGATACTGCCTACATGCGCACTGATCCTACCTTTGGCGCGGGTGGTCCTCCCGGCTACTATGATGAGTCACCTTTGCAACGCCAATACGCCGCCCCTCAACCAGTTCAGCAGCTCTGGCAGACGCAGCCTTCGGCCAGCCCGACACCGTACGGTCAGCCCCGTCATATGCGTCACCAGAATACTCCTGGTCCCCAGCAGATCGTTCCGAGAATGTCGCCCGTTGAGCAAGACTTGCGCCAGCAGGCTCCCTTTGAAACTCAACCCACGTACCACCGCCGCCAACCATCGTATGCACCCACAACCCGACAGATGGCATACCGCCCTGTCGAAGAGTCGGAGCAGGGCAAGACTCTCTACTCTGAGCGTCGTTGAAATCCGCCACCGACTGGATACCACGGTGTCTTTCTGCGTTCCATCGAAGCAGACGTCAATGACCTGGGTACTTTCCTCAATTTCCATTCTTCACCGTGTGTTAATATGAACATTATTTCCACCCTTCGTTTTTACGCGGCATTCACCACGTTCAACGTGGATGATCTTTCGATGATACACGATGATACATGACGCGTACTCTAGACTCGGAAACACTTATTCGACTACGACCATGATCACCATCAAAAGTCGGTCAGTCACCAGGGCATATTGAAGGGTAATGGAGTACCGGCACAAAGATACTCCTCTCAGCGTTTGATTTGATTCTGCATCTACGGGCGTTTTGCTTGCGAAACTGGGGGGGGCACACCTTCATTCTTCTTCCTGCTTTTCCTTAAGGGTAGCCAACTCCATCGCGATACAGAGGCGTTTCGTTAGTCCGGGATCGTATGTAAAAGGTTGCAGGCACCATTTGTATTGCACGGATGGAAATCAGGGTAGTGCGGAGGGGAACGTTGTGATCATGGCATACACACAACACCAAGCCGCACGACTTTGTCCCTGGAGGATGACTGGTTTCCCTGCCTTTCCTCTTCCCTTCTGTTTTCTTTTGAGCAGGTATTTCCTCCCCTCTCTCGCCCTCCCCTCGCCGATACATGTACATGTACACACGCGAGGGTCGGGTGTTTGAGGGAAAGGAGGTGGTATGAACATACACACATCAGGGAAACAGCCCCATGATTTGAGCCCGCCGTCCAAGTATGAATGGGAAACTGAAAAAGCGATGATTTGCGAGGTGGCTTTTGTGTTTCTGTCATTTGACAGATGGATGGGCAGAAAGATCAGTGAATCGGGATCAGACGGTCCTAGATAGTCCCTTCACTAATTTACGATGGTCTTATGATATATGTAGTGGCTTAGTAAGCTTGCGTGTGCTTGTAAGTGGGACGGTGTTACGAAGAAGGGTGAAGGCTCTCAGGTCGTCGAATCAGACTGGCGTCACGGTATAAGTCTAAAATGTTTCCTACTTGCACGGGGTTTCTTCTCTGGTTTGACAATTGATGACTTCGATTAACACCAACTGCGCACATCCCTGGTGCGGTAGTATGTGCCTGTTGTATTTTGTGGAGCGGTGACACAACCATGCACGGATATCCCTGGACCCCACATGCTAGCAACCGACGACCAACCTTTCTACAACTTGATACACTTGCGCTTCATCGGTCAAAGCTGTCAGCTCATTTGTGTTGACAGCCACCTGGGGCTCTCGATATTTACGCTAAAGAACGAAACGCCCATCATGGTATTTCCCTGTTTTGCCCCTCTGACATACATTGGACCGGTCAAATGCATTCTGAGGCAATGTACTCCTATACATATAGCCACCCGGCGCATTGGCACTCGGTTCATCAGCAGGTGGTCTGCAAGGGTCCTTTGGGGTATATAAGCTACCGGAAATCCCCGGGTCGTGTTTCGGGTACATGATCGCGGAATGGGGGCAAGATCGGACACGGTGGCGCAGTCTTCTCATTGGCCGATTCAGCAGCCACTGTCTCGTTTGGGAAGGTATCGCATCATCCGACCACGAGGACGACGTCGGCTCGACCCGGCAGGACCAAATCCAGGAGAAGAAATTTGTGGATATCGACCATGTGAACTGGATTCGGCAATGCTACTTATTGCTTGCCTAATCATATATCCTATAGTGTTGCTCTTCAAATGGCAGTGTCCAAGATGCCAATGTCAGCCCGAGGACACCCTCCTGGTTCGACGAAACCAGTACTCAGCACCAGAATGCATTGTAAATGGCTATACCTGCTTATGATGGTGACTGCAATAATTTTGCAAGAAAACTTCGTGGGGCCAGGTCGCGCTTTTCGTTAAGGGTCGGACCTCTATCCAGGACTTGTTGGTTTACTGGAGCAAGACTGGCAGTGAAAATGGCACGGGATACATGTGCGTCTTGATACTGCACACGACAGTACTTCCAGTAACTAGCCAGCACCCTTCGTTATCTGGTATGTTATCTGTTGACGTCATTTATTTTGCCCTTGTATACTGCTCTATGGTCACTTTCCGGTCGCCCAGCCCACATAACACCTACCTTGGAATAGGATGCCAAGGCCCCCATTGAGATAACAAGTATCCTTTACTTTTCTCGTTCTCGTTCAGAGAGTCGGGGTCTTCATCACCTGCATCCTCTGCTAACACAGCAAATTTAGCACCAATACAACGGTATGGCAAGTTTCTTCCACTCACCATGACAATCAAAATATTGACTTGAAAGGCTTGGCAGCTTTTTTTTCAAAAACATTCCTCGTTGGCTATTTTATGCTTGGCAACGGCCGTTGTCTTCGCGTTGAGCAAGTTCTTCGTCGACCCCGTGGCTTTCGCACATGTCTGGCTGTCCACTGCACAATCCTGAAACAGTGGTAACAGAGGGTGGATTTGCTCAGAATTATATTGAGTAGCTACTAATCGATGGATGAATATCTGTCGGGAAAACAAGCGGCTCTACGCATTCCGCTCGCCTGCAGGGTTGAATGGCATTGTCCTTCAGAGACAGGGACCTTCGAGGCAAATTTTACATCGAAGCATCCTTTGGGCACCTGCCATTTGCAGACAGGTTATTTTTCTGATTTGTGCTTCCTTTATGAAAATTCTTCAACCACCTTCCCGGTGAACAAAAGGTGCCCACCTACCCTGTTCACTGTTCAGAACAGTGACTTGTGCGGTCGGAGCCCCTGGGACGACCAACAATCACATCCTTGTAGTCGCCATTCTCTAGATATATTAGTCATCATCCTCTTGCCTACAGCTATACATCTCTTCGTTTCCAGCAGGATACTTCGAATTTCATCTGTGACTGAAGATCGACCAACCTATACCACCAGGAGAAACTTTTTCAGCAATGGATTCGACGCCCGCAATATGCACCCGACTGGAAATCCACGGCAACGGCTCTTCGGGCAAAGCAGAAGCTAAGGAAACGATCGCATTTGCGTTTGATATTGGTGGGTAATCTCACAAACCTTTCTACCCTATTTGTTATGTCTGGGGAGGAAACATTGATGAACAAAAGCTTCTCCAAAGCTGTTACTTGTACCCGAGGCCCCAGGTTTTATTTTGCAGTCACAATTGCTAACAGTGAGCAGATGGGGTCCTAGTCAAGGGTAATCAGCCTGTTCCCGGTGCGCGAGAAACCATCAAGATGTTGCAAGATAAGAAGATACCTTTTATCTTTCTAACCAACGGCGGAGGGTTGACGGAAAAAGACCACGTCGCAAGACTGGGTCAACGACTAGGACTAACTCTAGATGAGAAGCAGTTTGTCCAGTCTCATACCCCTTTTCGCGAACTTGTCCCAAAGTATAGGGACAAGAACATCCTGGCCATTGGAGGCCATGGACAGCAAATCCGCAACGTGGCGGCGTCGTACGGATTCAACAAGGTCATCACCACGAGCGACCTAATGTATGAATTCGACCACATTCACCCCTTCCCTGAGATGACTAGGGCCCACCATATCGAGCACGGAAGACTTCGTGCCGACAGCCTGCAGGGCCACGGCCTGGCCATCGACGCCATTCTGGTCTGGAGCTCCCCTCGCGACTGGTGCCTCGACCTGCAAGTCATCACCGACCTCCTCGGATCCAGCGGCGGCAGATTCGGCAACAAGTCCCTCATGGCCGGAGACATCTCCCTCCCGAATCACGGCTACCTCCAAGACGGCCAGGTTTGTTTACAAAATGCAAAGTCCGCACATATCAACTAAACTGACAGTACACAAAAAGCCGAAACTCTACTTCTGCAACCCGGACTTCGAGTGGCCCACCCAGCACGAGCACCCCCGCTTCGCCCAAGGAGCTTTCCGCGAGGCTCTCAGGGGCATCTGGGCCTACGCCACCAAGGGCAAGGGTGAGCTGGAGTACACCATGATCGGCAAGCCGTCCGAGACGACATACACGTATGGCGAGAAGGTGCTGCAGAAATACAACGACCACCTGAACGAGAAGCTGGAGGTCCCCCGACGAATCAAGACCGTCTACATGGTTGGCGACAATCCCGAATCGGATATTCTGGGGGCGAATAACTACGAATCAAAGTACTGTACCGAGTGGAAGAGCATCCTGGTCGAGAGCGGCATGCATGTGCGAGGCAGCACGCCGGCCTATGCACCTAAGCACATCACCGAGAGCGTTGTGGGGGCGGTTGAGTGGGCTTTGAAGGATGGGAATATGACGGCGTGACCGGCTGGTGGTGAGGGGGTGAGGAGAATGCATGGTGGGAAAGATCAGAAAAGGATAGGGGATGTAGAGGTGGAGGGGGGCCGGGGGGTTGGTTCTGAAAACCAAAAGATAGAGGGAAGGCTTCACGGATCATGGCTATTGCAGCAACTGGTGGACGCGAAGAAAGGGACTTGCCATGAGCTCTTGAGGCAGAGGAAAAGAAGAAAGATATTAGAGGGATAACATAAGTCGGATTGCATTGCTAGTATACATCATGCGACTTGGACACATTTCAGGTGAAGATGGCTATCGCAACCCCGAAGGTAGAGGGCTAGCATAGCTGGATGGCAGGCTTCTATGTACAAATGCATAGCAAGGTTGCTCAGAGCCTGCATATGTAAGGCAACAGTGGGGGACGATTTGATCTTTGTTGCTTTCGCCACAAATAATAAGATACGGACTGCAATGCAGTATGTCACAGCCGGAAGTTGTTCCTTCTGCTGTCCACGCACTATTCGTGTCCCTGTCCCGGATCTGTCTTATATTGACAGTCCGTGAAAATGTATTTCTCGTAAGTTATGCCGATCGTGAGCCATCCGATTGCCACCGATCGCACATTCTTTTACAGTGATTAACATTGCGTCATCCTGTTTGGAGTCCAATCGAGCGGTCCCGTTATCCAAATGATAACGTGATGTGACGTCCTCACACCACCGTCCGGTGTCTCCCTATCACAATAATCAGGTTAGCAACCGAGCGCGCAAGCCGATCGTCGCATCACACACTCTGGGAAGTCTACTCCTTCCAGGGCGCGATCCGAAGGCAGGCCAAAAGGGTGTCGAGGGTCGCGGCAGTCACAATGAGCATTACGAGGACACTGAGGACGCGAGACAAGCCCAGGATCGTTCTCCAGAGGACAGCCACCATCACGACGATGGTTCTATGCAATTGTTCCACGATCATGAAGAGATGCGTGAGGAATTCCTCGACCATAGTGCCTTGCGTGTAGGCAAACTGAAGATGATGGCGAGTGTCGGCCTGTATACCCCCAAGAAGGCAAAAGGTTAGCCAGTCATTTAGACTCTACTCTAGAAAGAAGACGAGGCAAATATAAAATGAAAACCATCCCGGGACCATGACCTTGTGATCCGCATATGCACAAATAAACTGCCATCCATCCAACCCGACTAACTTACCAAATTAATCAGCTCCACAGCATCAGCAGAAATGTCGCCCGCCTGCTCAAAGATGCCCGAGTCGCAAGGCACGATGGCACGCAGGTAGTCTGCCAAATGCGTCTGTTGAATCTTGCGCAAGTGGCGACCCGTCAGCCACGACTTCTTGAGCTGGGTGCTGGCGTCCCGGAGTGTGACACCGCGTCGGCGCGCCAGGAGCGTGAGCCACCAGGACATCTCGTCGGGTCGGGCCTCCTTGGAGGGGACTAGGCGGATGAGCTCGTCCGAAGAGTTGTTGATCTGTTGGGTCATGGTAAACGAATGAATGAATGAACGCAGGGCTTCAGGACGGCTTTCGGGTGAAGATGCTGGTTGGTGGGTTGGGAAGAGTAAATGATGAATGTGTCTATGACTTCTGGGGAAGGCGCCGATGTGGATGGTGATGGGGATTCAGGGTGGTCGTTGAATACTGAGAAGTCGCGCGTTAGTTCGGCAATCAGGTAGAGAGGCTTTGATCCCAAATGAAGCTCGTGAGGAAACAACGCGTTACCCGAATTTTCTCTCCACGCGCGCACGTATACGCGTTAGTCTCGAGCCGCAACCCTGTGACAAAATAGAATGAAGTTTTGATTCAATGGTATACTGCCCTATCCCTTTAACGCCAAGTGCTGTAAGCCCGCGTTCCCAACCCTTTCCTGCCCAATCGTGCTGTAACTTGCAACAACAGCCTATGGATCAACCACGAGAATAAATGCCTATCGTCCTGCTCAAACATGACCTCAGCACGTGACATCCCTTGTCTTCGTTGGTGCTCCTGGCTCCACTACTTGTCATCCTTTCTGAGGCACATTTCGAAGCCTGCGTGTCTTTCCACCATCCACCCTTCTTCCTATTACGTGCTTTCGGTTTCGATCTTTCAGTCCGACTTCCAGTGGTTCACCATGCCGCCATCCACATCGTCATGCCCGATATACAGCTCGATCGCATACAACCCCATCGTTCCTGCCACGTTGATCCAACGCCAGACATTACCCCCTGCGTCTCCATCATGAAGGGTCCAACCGTCGTCCCCATTTGTCGAAAAGTGTTGAAGTAACAAACTGGTGTAAACGGCAATGAGAAGTGAAGGTGAAAACCAGGACAAGAAGCCTAGTAAGCGGTTTGCACCGTCCGAATCATCTAGAGTGGGCTCATCTAGGAGAGCCCGGGCGCCTGACTCCCTTATCGCTGGGATGATGCGAGTGGCGCAGTAGAATACTATGGTGCGGTAAGTGAGGGAGATCATGACGGATGGTGCAATGGTCTGGAATGCGGCGTGCAGGAAGCTCAGAGACGAGTACACGGCCGAAGGCAATGAGCCGAGCATATGAAGGAGGGTCGAGTAGCTGGCCATGATGATGGGCGGGAGTGGTGGAAAGTCGGGTTGGCTAGCAGCTTGCTCGGCAGCGGCTCTTGCCGCTTCTGCTGATTGGACGTAGTCTGTGAATATTTGGTATATGCAGAGAACAACATAGGCGAAAAGAAGTGACGACTCGACGGGGTTGCCGCGACCTGTGCTTATACCCATAGCACACAGGAAGACGGTCGAGGTCACCGTTACGCCGATGAGAGTAGCATCGATGTTGTTGATGGACGGGAATAGAGCTACCCGCCAAAGGAAGTAGACAGCGCTGGCGATGACGGACGCAGAGATGATGAGGAGGATCAGCTAGACAAGTCAGTTACGTCGCTTGCGACGGGGCCATAAGGACAACATACCACCCAAGTATCACTCCTCCCTCTGTTAGCCAGCCATTTGGTGATTTGACCGGCTGCCTGGATGACCAGCAGGGTACAGAAACCCTCTAGAAGTTGGAAGACTGGACTCGAGTATCGCAGTGTCTTGTCCCAACCGCCAATTGACACACTTTCCACTAGTCCCCCATTCCCAAAGAAATAGTCCGACCAGGTATTGTGCTTACGCACACTAAGCCCGCTAACCGTCCTCGACACCCAATCGGTGCTATTCGCATCAACAGCGAAGCGGTGTAACGACCAGATCAGCAGAGAGGGTATGACGACCCACTGTGCCGTCTGCATAATCTTGCCCAGACTCCATCGTACGCGCGACCTCTCGGGAGTTGCGAGTTGAATGGAGCTGTAGAGGAAGTAGAATATGAAGAGCGACAGGCTGTACGCCAGGCCGCTATCGCGTCCGCCTACATCGAAGGATATGGGTATCGAGAGGACGATGCTCAGCAGGAAGATGGAGCTGGAGACGATGCGAAAGAACCACCACATCGGCGCGTTGGTGGTGGCTGTCGCCGCGCCGAGCTAACGAGGCGTCTGGCCAGGGCTGCTGGTTGACGTGGGCGGGTCGCTGGGAGAAGTAGAAGTCGCAAGAGTATATTGACTGACGCTGTCGAACGGAGACACACAGCGAGCTGGTGAAGGCCAGCCGTGGGGGGGAGGGGGAGGGGGAGGGGCGCAGGTGGGAAGAACCGCACTCAGGTTGCCAGACTCATCGAGGGCGGAAAGAAAGCCGGGTTTACTTGTCGCGAGTGTGTTCTGTTCGGCTTCTGCTTCGGTCGTAGTTGTCGTCGTCGGGTTAGGCAGGCGGTAGGCAAGGCAGATACGATGGGGTGCGGCTCGATCTGGAACTTTGTCGAGGTGGCCTCGCTTAGACGAAATTTGGCTAGCTGCTTTGCGTTGCTTTGCTCTGCCAAATTGGCGGGCGGAGGTTTTATCGGTTATCTGCACGTGGCTGACAGCAGTCGGTCGGTCGTCGTTGACAGTAGAGCCTGAGACGGGAGAGCAGCAAATACGCAATTGAACCAACGCCTAGCAGAATCTCACGGCAGGGGAAGGAGGCGGGACAGAGACGAATATATCCTGTGATGGAAAATTAGGGTATCGACAGGCATCTAGATGTGGATATTTGATGGAGAGCAAAATGCGTTAGTTACCAAGTTGGCAAGATCGCGTGCGTGCGCCTACGCAGTTCAAGTAAGGTACGGTCTGTTCACGCATTTGCAGCTAGAACCCTGGCATCTACCCCTGCCATTCCGTCATTGCCGCCCTCTCACAGTTCCCGCGTCACCTCTTCCGTCCGCGAATCAGCCGAAGAGTATGTTCGTACCACCCCAAAGGTGTAACGACGCTCCAACGGGATTTGTTCCTTACGGGAATGGATCTCGCTGTTAGACTTGGGTTTCTCCATGTCGGTTGACGAACTCACCCAGGAGTAAGCCACCTACCCGACCGTTCCAACGGCTCGCGCGTCCTGCGCCAGATGTTTGACTACTAAACGCCCCCAAACCATACAGAGCTAGTAGATTGGGAGTTAAGCCCAAGCCTTACTTAAGCCTGGACAATCGGCCACCTGGGATTATATCTCGTGACACCTAGCTAAAACAATTAGCATATCCAAGTCCATTTGCTGCCATGTGATGCATTCTAGCGGCCGGGCTGGTCCCTTTGGGCATTCCATGGAGTTGGACCATAGGTACAGCCTCGCGTTGGGCTGATACCGAGGATCTAGAGCGGCGGGGTCGGCTTTGGCTTTCACTATGCAGCTGTCTCCTCATCATGGTTGGCTTCATCCAGATGTCGATCGAAAGGCGGTCAACAGCAAAACCCCACTCCCGACGCTTCAACTGCATGGCAACATCAGCAACAGCTTCTCGACGTGCGCGGTAGAGGCACTTACTATCTGACAAGGGAGAAAGAGTATGGTTTCGGCGGCATCATGCACAAAAAGGTTCTCTTGCAGCTGACAGACGACTCGTCGCCGGGAAAGCCACCTTGAAGCGTCATCCCCTCGTTTTAAAGGCGGCATCACACGACCCACCACTGCGAGAGCAGATCTATACGTGTCATACGATGAAGTGAGCAACAATATTTTGATGGACCGAATAACAACAGCTTCACTGGATGAGCGCTCCGACCGCGGCTATTATGTTTCAAGATGACCTGACGTCTGGCGATTCCGGGGACTTCTCCGTCGTTACCCTCTTTCTTGCAGTGCGGCGTTTTTTTCTCTTTTTGGTCTTAAACACGTGGTCATCATCCATGGGATCCCCATCAAACAGCAAGAATTTTGGATGCCGAGGGCAAGCAGTAAAAAACCTTGCTTCTCATAAGTGAGTTGAATTTGCTAACTATTTATCGGAGTCGTTTATGCTAATGCAATGGTGGGCAATTGATAAGCTGACCGAACTTTACCACTCGTAGAGCGTGTTCATCCAATCCACCAGGAACTCGCGCTTCTCTTCGGTGTTGGTCAAGTTCCCAGCACCCCACGAATCACCCAACCACATTGTTTGCTTCCCAGCAGTTGTCGACGGCGGGAAGTACGTCAAATTCTGGCTCGTCACTTGTCCGTCTCCGTTCGGGTTTCCTGTGCGAATGAAGTTGACCCAGTACTCAGACATCACAGCCTCGATACTGTAGTCCTCGGAGCTCCAAGTTACGTTGTCTACAGACGCATACGGGATGTTGTTGAACACATACCATAGCTCCGACCCGTGGTAAGCTCCGCGGTCGCTGTCATCTGGAGGCGTGTGCGCCCAGCAGTATGTATAAACGTCGCTTTGCGCACCGCCGGCCACCCATTCGTTGGCCCAAGTCCAACCCGACACCCGAGAAAGGTCACGGAAGAAGTTGTTGGACTCTAGGCCCGCGGCGGTGTCATTGATTGGTGGGTAGAGTTCCAAAAACTGGGTTGAGAAGTTCTGAAATATGGAACTGAAGGCCTCGGTATACTCAGCCACAGTGTAGTTGGTCACTGGCAAACTCGCACCAGACTCGTCACGGTTGGATCCAGTCAGGATGGGCACGTCAAGGTGCGCACCCCGGCGTAGTGACTCGCCGTAGGTATACGACAGCACGTATCCATCGATGACGGGCCGCCAGAGGGGTGGATTCATGAAGGCAGCCGACAAGTTGGCGTACACGGTGCCATCGAAAATCGTGTCACCGAGACTGCCGTACTCAACGAGTGTCTCTGTCGATATGTTGCGCGCCTCGGCGATGGAGGAAACGTTGAGCGAGTCCTGCAGGAAGTCAACTCCAGACGCCTCGGCAGTCGTCTTGTCGCGGTGGCTTGTGGCCAAACTACCAGTCAGAGGATCGTGCGGAGCGCGGGCCCCAGACTCAGCGATCACACCATTTATGAGCCCCGTGGTGAGCGAGCTGTACATGACAGCCAATGAGCTGGCCGAACCCGCCGATTGCCCGCCGACAACAACTTGGTTCGGGTTTCCACCAAAGTTGGCGATGTTATCCTGCACCCAGCGGAGGGCGAATTGCTGGTCAAGGAGACCGTAGTTCCCGGAGCTGTTGTGACCAGATTCGGCGGAAAGCTCCGGATGGGCGAGGAAGCCGAAGGCACCTAGGCGATAGTTGAGCGTCACGACGATGATGTCCTTCACGGCAAGCCCGGAGCCGTCGTACGTCTTCACGTCCCCTGACCCAATCGAGAATCGGCCGCCGAAGAGCCAGACGTAGACGGGGAGTTGCTTGGAGGCCAAATCCGAAGTGTCATTGTAAGTCGGAGTCCAGACGTTAAGGGTCAGGCAGTCCTCGCTGGTAGTGGACTCGCCAGTGACGAACACGCCGGCAGAGCTGGTTTGCTGGGCACATTGCGGTCCAAACTCCGTTGCGTTGAAAATGCCGTCCCATGCCGCTGGGCTCTGCGGTGCTCTCCAGCGAAGATCGCCTGTTGGTGGGGCCGCGAAGGGAATGCCTTTGTAAACAGTAGCGCCAGAGCGGTAGTTGGAGATGGCGCCCTGGAGTTGGCCCTGGGTGGTATTAATGACTGGAAGTGTCGCCGTTGAGCGACGTAGTGGCGGGGGTGAGCTCTCCACGACGGAAGCCACAGCTAGGATGGTAATGAACGAGGGAAAGTACATGATGAGAAATGAGTGAACGATGGCGCGTGGGTCGCAAGCTACCTTCTCTGGACAGTAGCATCATTTGGCCCGGCACTTGGCATATATTTAAGTAAATGGCAAGTGGGAAGTCCCCTATACGCTAACCTGGTCGAAACATTTTATAATGACTGGTACGTCACTGATCTCCATAGCATGCGATTTTGAAGCACGTTGTCCCCATAGGATATAGGATACATCATCAAATGTGTAGACAGGGTCGTGAGAACCGTCACCTTTAGCAATTATGGGTGGGGTACTAGCGCTACGGATTGGTAGTATAATAGCGCTGATTGGACCTCATATCAAGTTCCAGCGGGGGAGGTCGGTAATCCGAGGTAGATGGCGAAAGAGTCCCATATATCCCGAGTGTGGATCGCACCGTCTCCTCTGAAAATTGCTTGTTGTTCTTCAACGAGCTAGCTTGGCCGCGTAAGCTCTTATGCCCTACCATGGCTCGCAAGCTTACTGCTGCGCCATTAGCTGAGGTGTCAAGTTCGCGTCCAGCCAGGCGAGATTGTGATGCCCGTCCTTAATGTCACGTACGATGGTGCCATCACTGAAGAAGACGGGTTGGTAATTGAGCTGTAAGCCAAGACCTTTCTCAGTTTAGATACCTTAAAGTGGTCGTGGGGTTTCCATACGATAATTTTGAGGGGATCCGTGTTAGGCTGCTTCGGTTCATGGTGTAATGGTGTGATCGACATTCGACGTTGTAATGTTGAAGTAACCTCGGAGGCTTCACTGGGAGGGTTGTGAATCCCCTGCTGAATACTTGAAACGTTTCCACCAGATCGTTTCGTTTACTCTCACGTATATACACAATCCGATATTTGCATCTGATGCATATCCGCCTACTTCATGAGTATCCAAACCTATTATTAGCCCTGACTTGTAAGCTTTCCAACTCGGCAACTCCACAGCCCGCCACTCTCAATGTTTATTTTTTCATAACCCGCTAGCTTGTACTTCGCAACCCAAAGTACACATGCCGCAGGGAATGAACGCACACTTGTCCTCTTCCCCAGGTTGGTCTCAAATGCCGCCAGCCGCCCCGGACAAGCTGTGTAGGCGGGCCGCTAGCTCCGGGAATTTGAAACGGCAATCCATGAGAACTCCGGTGCTTTGGTTGCCTTCGCCCGTGGACACCGACTGCACATTGGCCGACAAGGTACCCTTGGAGGAATGAAATGTCTCCGTCACACATAAATCACTTTGGACAGAGCGAATGGATGCGAGCTGCACAACCATCTCAACACGAAACTTCCGTATACCATGGCTCCTGAAGATGAGTACAAGACCGTCAAGGACGCGTATGCGACACAAGAGGAAACAGAGGAAATAGAAAAGCAATGACGCCGCATCAATGAGGAGTCTTTCCCTACCATGCATCGGGCGCCACCTGGCCCCATCTTCGACATTTGTCGCGGTGGATGGAGGTTACGATATCGCCTGTGAAACGGAGACAGGTTGAGGACCTTCCAGGACGAAAGTCGCCGTTGACTTGAACGATGCGGCACAGACTCCTAGATCCAGGTGCCAGGTCCAGGTCCAAATTTAGATGATCGACGGTACGAAGAAGCTCCGCTGCGTCCCAGCACCAGTGGAGAGCCGGGCAGGACGCAGTCGATTCTGTATCATCGAGGACTTACCACGGGATATAATCGAACGTCTCGGCATGAAACTTGCCATTGATCCCTTGTTCTTTCGAGAGCAAATCACAACTGCTGGTGGTACAATACCAAGGACCCCTGGGTCGAGCTTCCGAATCTAGATGTTGTGGCACGCGATCATGCTTTCTTCCTCTGGAGCTACAGGGCTGCGATCTTATACGGGCGAGGCTGTTATATACGGTGGTTATCCGTAGCGCGATCGCCTTCGGGGTGACTGCGTGGCATACTATAAGTGAGGAACCGGCAGGGCCAGCTAAGAGCCTGATGGGGATACAGAACGAGTGCCTCCGGGTAGTCTGTGGCGCCCACAAAGCGACGTCGGTTCGCCACCTGGAAGCAGAAGCAGCAATCCCGCCACTAGACCTCTATCTTAGTGCCCGGGCTGCTAAGTTTGAAGAACGGCTACGGCTTAGCGGGAAGAGAAATCTGCTTCGCAGCGCGAGCGCTAAAGCGTCACGTATACTCCGGCAGGATAGGCCGGCGAAGAGGAAGCAGGCGTCGCAGCTACTCCGACCGGCAGGGTACACTATGGAGAAGGAGGCCCGGGGCTCCGAGTGGATGAGTGAGGAAAAGGAGGTCCCGGCTGCCCTCCTCGGCCACTGGAGGAAGAGATGGCTCACCGGAGCAGAGCATCACGATCGCCAGCGACGCGCTATCGCTGAGGAACCGGAGGGCCCTTCGATGCAGATACCGAAAGGGGGCAAGTATTTCGGCCTGAACCGACTGGAGGCGTCTACGCTGTGCCAGATCAGGACGGAAAAAATAGGACTAGCAGCCCTCTTATTCAAGACAGGGGCTTTTGGCGTGTACTCGCCGCTATGCCGCTGTGGCGACGCCCCTGAGACGGCAAAGCACGTAATCCTCTTTTGCGGGCTGTTGGAAGGACCGAGGGAACGATTACGGGCCGCTATCGCACCACGGCCACTATACTCTCGCAGAGACCTCGCAACGGCAACAGGAGAACCAGTAGTTAGTGGGACTATTGTAAGGTGGCTGCTAGGGACGGGTCGGACAGCTTCAAGGCCCAGATAGCATCGATCTTCTCAGGGGGGACTTTGTTGGTAGGTTGAGAACCAACGTAGTATGGTAGTGAACGCAACGCAGTCGCCAATAGGGCGAACCGACGACGCAGCGTATGTATTTAGTCCAGCCATTAGGGCACGGTTTGACATACGGGAGTACTAGTAGAGGTACCGGGGGCTTCGAGCCTACGGCGTATTTAATAATAATAATACATACATCTCCGATAGTTTATATGGAGAACCCGTCGTTCGACAGGGCGAGTGTTGACGCTGGATTAATCCATACGCCAGCCCGTAATTCTTTTGACTTTTTCCCAGGGCAAGGGCAATCGTCTTGGTAAATCTCGCTGTCTTGTCGATCACAAGTGGCCTTCTTGGATGGGGTTTGTCCTGCTGTCATTGTCGCCTCTCCCGAGATTGAGCGGTTTTCTGATGTATATTCTTTGGAAAAAGAGCCGTTGCTGCCCCGAGTATGAATCGGAATGCCTAGAGGTTTTTCCATACAATCATCCTCGACTGGCCCCTGGGGTGATTGTAGACAGCAAGCTTCCTGGCCCGTGATAGCCCAATGCCACGTCCATTTTCTCCTCATGTCGGCCAGTCTACGATCGAGAGGCCTATCGAATGGAGTTTGCGTAAAGGATGGAAGTGCAAAATTGAGGTAATACGGAGTAGCTTGCAAGTTGTTGAAGTGAGAGGGTACTAACCTGGCATTGTAATAAAAAAAGCCAGGCACAATTCGCAGCACCGGTCACAACAATTTGGCCTGTGCTCAAGCCAGTTTCCAGAGCACATTTGTGCTCTACCCCTGTAAGCCTCTCTGGTGGTATGCATCCCTAACATATTAGTCTCCTGAAGTAGTTTCAGTACAACTGTGGTCGATTGTCATCAAATTTGTTAGGCGTGAAAGGTGCCTTATACTGGATTTTTGTTGTGCTAGTTGTTGAAGGTTATAGGTAACCAATAATGAGGAGAAGGTGATTTATTAACTATACCTCTTCACAATTATAGCATCATAACACATATGCTCGCAACTCAAACGTATTTTGTCAAGTTCAAAGCTCGGATAAGAAAAGAAAATCGGACGCAGTATCCTGTTATATGATCAACGAGAACGATGTGGGTTGCATTCGTCGTTATTGCTGTCTAGCGACTCAACTGACACTAGCATAGCTGCAATGGCAACCATGGCCGTTTGCCTAACAAGCCGCACAGCAGTACCCAGGAGTGCTCCTGGAACCACTGGACCCAAGACAGAAAACAAATCATGTTGGCCAACTCACTAAATCGTTCTCGAAGCCATGTCATACATCATAAAAACACGGTTTAAGCCTATATTTGGTAGCAGCTAGCTAGAGGTTGAAAGGCTTCATTTATGTCGTGCCCCATGCATTATGTTTTTCTGACCAGGTTAACCGGAATCAGCCAATGCCTACGCAATTCACAGTTTCTACATGCTACACGTTATGATGGACGTCGTGAGGAGGATTTGTCAGATACTTCATCACATCGTGAGCATTGGGACAGTATCAACTGCCGTAGAGAGACCTCATCAGCAAAATGCCACGCCAGAACACAGAACACACTTCGGCCATAACCCGAAAAGGTTTCCAGGATGCTCGAGAGGCACTCAGGGGCTCATGGAATTACACAGAAACAAATCCAATGAATTGCGCAAGAAACGGTCAAATTGGTTCCCGAGTCTCTATCGGACTCAAAAGAACTGAGTGTCAATGAATAAATATCATACGCTACAAGCGCATGGAAAATCAGACTCGGCTTGGCCGGTTCTATCAAGAAAATAAGTTTAAAGAGGTAGAAGAAAAGAACATCATTCAATGACAACGCTCCCACTCTGCAGAAGCTCATCCGCAATATTCAAACCCCCTAGCGCATCCGGCCCATAGTTTCCTGCTTTTTGGGTGATCTTCTCCCCACCGACCGTAAACCCTCTAATGACAAACCCCTTGATATCAACACTCTTCCCCAGCCAGTTCTTGAACACGGGCATTTCGCTCTGATAAATCCCGTTGGTCCGCGGACTGACGCGGTCAAGGCTTACATTCTCGATAACGACATTTTGGTAGTTGGCAAGGGGGCAGATGCGCAGGAGGTTCCCGCCTATGCCCTCGGCGCGGACGTTGCCGATATACATATCGCGGACCGTTTTGGACAAATCGGCCGTGTTGGTCCACGTCTCGTCCACGCCGTACACCTGGTTGGCGCCTACGATGCTCGGGTGCGACGTGTTGGAGCTGTACTTCATATGAACGACATCGACGCCGTCGACGGTGATGTTGGCGAGGTCACGGCTCTGCCAGCCGAACTGAACAATGGGCGCCGTTTTGCCCTTCCAGATGACCACGTCGCGCACCAAGATATTGGACCCGTACGTCTTGATCGTGTCGTCGTTGGAGTGGTAGAAAATATCGTGCACGTTGCTGCCCGAGTATAGCGTCGTCCCGTCGGTCTGGCCGAAGAAAGCGCCGACTTGCTTGTAGTCCCACTGGTTGATGGAGATGGTATCCAGATCACCCGAGAAGTCGATGCTGTTAAAGGGCGGCGCGTTGGTCGTAACGCCCGTGATGACAAAGGTTTGTTGCACGCCGGACTTGCTGTAACCGCTCCACATGCGCAGCGAGGCGATGTTACTCTTGACGTTGGTGTAGCCCAGTAACGTGTTGGCTTGGTAGACATACTGCTCGCCCGACAGAACGCCGTGGCCCGTGGCTTTGATCGTAGTCGCAGCTGTGGTGAACTGAATGGCCCCCTTGACGTAAGCCCCAGATGCCAGATATACCCAGTTGACCGAGCTAGAGAGCTTTGCGTGCGCCGTCGCTGTCATGTAGTACGTTCCCGGCGTAAAATAGACGACGCTGTTCTTTATCGAACCGAGGTCCGGAACCGGTCCGGGGTAAACGACGTACGTGTCAGTGGCAGTCTTGTCGGGAATGAGATCTGATGACGGGAAGGGGCTTGCAAAAATCAAAAGCGCATCGTGCGGCTCCTCGCCCATGACGGGGTTTGTCGTCTCGTCCAAAGTCTCAACATAGTGGGGGCCATCGGAATGCCAGTCTTGCACGAAGTCGCACAGGGGTGTTTCGCAGCTATCACGGTAGCTGTATAGGTTGTCCTTAAACTCCACCGAGAACCTGAGACCTTGCTCACGATAAGGAACGAGGATGTAAATGTTGCCCTCACCATCATCAGTCACCGTGAGGTTCAGGTTCGTAGGTCGAATGACGACGTCGCGGGCTGTCGTCGAGTTGTCACCCCGACTGATTTTGACCCAGGCATCTTCGTTGTGTAGGAACTGTGTCCAACCCATAGTCATCCACAAACTCGCCTCGATCGTCACCGAATCATATGGGCCCCCCGTTATGCTTGACCCGGGTATAACGACTTTCTCTTGGCCGTTTCGTGGTATGGTCTCATAAACGAAAGAGTTGTAGCTGAGACGTCCGTCAGTGTCGTTGCACATGATTAGCTCCAAGTGTGCCTGGCATTACTATGTATTTGTCGAATCTGCCGTCGACTTTACCCAAACCGAGTACAGGTGAGATTGGCGAACATTCTCCGCGCTCACTGGCGTCTTGTAGTTTATTTCACCATGGTCATGCCACCAAGTCTGCAGGTGGGTTGTGTCGGCGGTGGTATTTCCCGTCGCAATGTTGTCCACGGCCGCCACCCCTACCAACGATAATAGCCCGGCGAAGCACAGTTTGAACCTGGAGGGTGACATTTTGTTCGAAGCGGTCACAACCGTCTTGCGTGTTTGAGGCTGCAAATGGAATGATTGCTGTAGGCGCCAGCGCTCATCATGTAACAAAAACGGTGGGAGAAGCAAACAAATCAAGGTTGACCAAAAGTAGTGCAAAAAGCTCGAGGATGTACGCGCTTCTTCATGAAGACATCTTTCTCATTGCGGCCCGATTTAATTGGAATGACGACGAACCCGCCGTGGCTGCTGTCTAGGCATCGGGGGCCGCAATTCCATCCTTCACTCCCTCGACAACTAATCACCGCACCGACGAGATTACGGGACCTAGAGTCCACGGTTGTTCGCTCTACAGGCGTGGACGCGGCCAGCACGCAGGATTTGGCGCACGCTTGTGCTTCTTATTCTGCTTTCTATTCTGCAGGGAGCTATGGCTGCCGTGCTATTGTTTCTCTTGGGTTGGAGGCTTGAGGGCGCGGCACTGGTGTTATTTGGTCGGTAGTATAATCCTTCAACTATAGTGAAATGGATGGAGTTGTTTCACTTAAAAGACGAACGGCGATAACTAGTGTGCGCGCCGTCTGATTGGACCAAAATGATTCCAGCTTACGCAGTCCTGCGCAGTCCTAGGCAAGCAATGGGGTCGCCCGCCTTTGTTTCGAGTGCGGCAGCGGCTGCGGCAGCTCTGCGGCAACGAACTACCGGCCAAGTCTGGACGGCTCGACTACATCGACAAGGAAACCCCTTTGATCATTTTTGTGGGTACTGAAGATGCTCCAGAACGGAAGTCCAGACTTACTGTAGGCATGGAGAAGTGGCAAAAGACTTGAGATCCGGACCAATCTTGGTTGTCCGTTGCCCTACGGCGATGGTAGCCCGGCCAAGGTACCCTTGAGTGCTTCCATCGAAAACTCTGGGAATGGTAGGATTGGCTGTAGGCGGGCCACACTTGGGGCCGACTCAGATAGTCGAGCAACAGTTTGTCGTCTGACACCCGGTGGAAGTCGCAATGGATGGCGGGCTTCTTTCCAGATAGTATTGATGTTTGGTAATCCGTGGTGTTTGACAGAGATGGTGCTCCAAATCCGCAGAAACCAGCAACCCTCTACTAGCCTGTTTACCTGTTTTCTACGTCCTCAAAGATACGACGATCGCGCTTGCTCGGTGCTGGGGTGTGACGTACGAAGCAGCGCAAACAACGCGGTTGAACGGGTTGTCGCAGTCGAGGGCGACCTTTTTCAGGGGTAGCCAAGCCTTCGTTCTGCCGATGATCTTCAACCAACCCGACAAAACGGTGATAACCCCAGAGGTGAGATTTTGTTGGCTTCATCGCTAAACTCGTTCAGGTGATAGGGCAGATAAGGTTGGCTTGCCAGTAATCATACTGGTCATTTGCTGGCCGTTGTGTGATCATAGCTCCCTTAGCTCCTGTGCTCCCGTCTCAACAGGTGGGAGAGGGAGACGCAGATGTCGAGCTTGCCGTGAGATGGTGTGTAGGGTATTACGCAGCCTGTAGTTTGCCTCTTTCTGATTGGCGACAGCCACAATTGAGTTGGCCCGAGAGTGGTGTGCAGTGTTATCGCGGCAAGTTCACCAAATCGGTTCTTTATGCGGTGTGACGTCCATCGCGACGGCGACTTCCAAGCACCACCTTGTCTATCGATGGTGATGGTACGAGGTGCCGATTAGGAAGTCTGGAAGCCAAATACTCAAATCCTCTTGACAATTCTCGGCCAACAGGGCGGGGGAACCTGCCAAATTTGTCAGGTCAAAGGCAAACAGCTAAGCGATTAGACAGCGAAGCTTAATTGAATCATCCCGATTGATTGTCCCGGCAGTTGTAAGCTTACCCGAAGGGGGTTCATTTGGGTGTTGCAGCCAACCCCAGTGCCTGGCGAGTCAACAGTTGACAGGACATGGGCAGAGCAATTAGTGCGGTGAGAGAAAGTGAGACCATGCTCAGTCGACGGCTCACCTTTAATGCTGCCATCCCGGACATCCGATCGTCGACACGATTGCATACTAATATCCATCCCCTTTTCCCTTCTCCTGTCCCGCGGGAAGCTCGCCCTACTTTTTGTTCTCATCGTCATCGAATCAATCCATCAAGCTGTTATTATCCCGACTGCCTATTTCATCCCTCGTGGCCCTCGTCAGCTCGACGTGCCTGACAAGTCCAAGAATCATTCATATCAACCTCGTTTCGTCTTAGCTTCAATCCAACAGCATGGCCGGCCCCCGTTTGACTGGTCCTCGCCTTACAGCCCCGGCCGCAAGACTAGTAGCTCGGTCCCTCAGCACCACAACATCGTCGGCCTCATTGCCACAGTCGACTACCTTCGTCACAGCCGCCAGGACTTCAGCTCCTCTATCTCGCAAATATGCAGACCTTCTCAAGGAGCGGAACCTAGATGCTGAGGTAAATGACCCGACGTGTCCCCCAATTACCCCCCTCAATTGCGTGCACCCCCGGAGAAAATGACAGTACCCACCGCCAAGCCGGCAGTAGCACTTGAGGGGAAACTCGGGCAGGAGGCAAATGACTAACATGCACCTCACTACACCAGCATCCCCGTCACATCTACACCCGCTCCTCCAACCGGCCGCACCCGCCACCCCGTCGGCTTCGGCTGATGCAAACCTTCACTTCGAGCGCGTCTACCTCGTCCCAAGCCGACCGCAGCTCCATCGACTTCACCGTTCTCCCGGGCTCCGCTGCCCTCGAGCACGCGGCCGCCGACCCTTACAGCCGAGTGCGAGTCCCGCTTCTTCCCGACAACTACGCGTCCCAGTATGCCCCCGAGACGCTCGCCACCAACGAGCCTGTCCAGATGCCCGAGATCAGCATCATCGCCTCCAACCCGGACTCTGTGTCGCCCGCCCCGCTGTCGGAGATCGAGGGCATGGGTGTTGATGGCATCGAGCTCAAGTTTGCGCACGAGGCGCCGAGCGCGAGCCGCAGTGTAGATAGTGAGCCCGGGATGCTGACGGATTTGTGGAAGGGGTTAATGGATGATGTGCTTGGGGCCGAGAACAGTAAAGGGAAGCTCGCTGTCTAGACCGAGTGGCTTCAACAAGAGGAACACATCATGAGTGCGGTACGGTCCGGGATAAAAGCTTGGAGGCTTGGACAGATTTTTCAATGGTCTGATTCTAGGGTGGCTCTGTCGGGATTGACGGGCGGACGGTTCCTGGATGCCATAAGGTTGTGTATAAGTGATTTTGAATGAGTACCTTCACTCCAAGGTGCAAATGCCACTCCAAGAGCTGGAAGGGTTGGTTTAACCAGATTAAATCAAATAGATTGCCCGGGCTTTAGTGATGATTCAATTCAGAGTTACGAGTGCCGCTGCGGATGATAGCTTCGTTTGCCGACGTCTCTTTACCGGTACATATCTATCTTGTTCCGCATGTGGTGCCCGTTTCGCTCTAACGGTCAAGTCAAACCTCGTCTATGGAGACATGGCGCGATATTGCATGACAATGTCGGGCAACTCATTGAGAGGTTTGGCTTCAGTATTTGGAGTACTTATTGATTTGTCATCTTATCATTTTGGCTATATTTCGTCCGACGAAACGGACCTTCGACTTATTTCCATGCAACTAGGGAGTCATCGCGACGATCATGGGCCATGGAAAATTTACACGACACTCTGCATTAACTTCTGTCGGCGCTCGCAAACACGCCCTGACGCCCCTTGAGCGGGTGTGAAGATGCATGGCGACAATCCACTTTCAGGTGAGAATTCTATAGGTGCCGGTTCTACAAGCAGTCTCACTGTGCCTCGAGCTGTCTCTGATCAACACCAATCATCCTCTCACTAACCCTCCACAACTGTTCCTCCTTCCCTTCATCAAAAGCCCACATCGCATATCCATACTCGACCGCATCCCCATCCTCCGGCACCGGTCCCGCCACCGAAGCCCCCTCAAGATACAAACCCCCCTTTCCCTCAAGGTCTTTCGAAACCGCCCCGTAAACACTCGTCGCGCACGCCTGCTCAAGACTCACAAAATACTTCTGCATCCTGTCCACCTCCTGCGCGGCATCGATAGACTCCTGACAGTGCTGCTGCAAGTTCGGACTCACGAAACTCCCCGGGTTCAGACTGAGCCCGTGCAAGCCCCGCGCGCCGTACCGCCGCTCGATAGCGTTGGCCATGTAGATGTTGGCCGTTTTGCTGGAGCCGTAGGCGGCCCAGCCTTCGTATGTGCCGGCGCTGTCGAAGTTGAGGTCGTCGAGGCGGAGGGGCCCGTAGCGATGGCCCGAGGATGAAACGTTGATCACGCGGGAGTGGAAGGATGGAGTGGAGCTGGCGAGGAGGACATCTGAAAGGAGGTGGAAAAGGAGGAAGTGGGAGAGGTGGTTGGTGCCGAATTGTAGCTCGAATCCGTCTTGGGTGCGTTGTTCGGGGTGTACATTACCTGGGTCGGATGTCAGCTTGGAGGATCGGAATAATCGATGCAATGGCCACAAGGACGTACACCAGCGTTGTTGATCAAGACATTCAGCTTGGGACTTTGTTTCCGAAATTCTGCAGCACATGCTCGAACGCTGGACAAGTCGGTTTGGTCCATAAACAACAAATGCACTCGGCCACTGTCCAGTAAAGACGCACCCAACGCTTTCTTTGCCTTTTCGAGGTTTCGTGCTGTGCCGAAGACAGTGGCTCCTGTCAGTGCCATCACCCGAACGGTCTCTGGGCCCATGCCAGAGGATACTCCCGTGATGAACACCACTTTGTCACTCCAAGCATCCACGAGGCCCTCGTCTTCAATGATCTGTTTCCCCGTAACTCGAGAGTCGCTGGGGCCGTTGAGGTTTTCCCACTTGTTATGCTCTGCGTAGCGACCGGATAGCTGGAACGGGACTTTGGAAATCAGAGACATTGTGGATGTTTTTGGCTTGAATGAAATCTGTAATTCTATGTGGCGTGAATTGGTTTTCTGTAGGCGGCGTAGACCAGATGAGAATGATGATGTGGAGTGAAACCCCGTGTCTCTTCCAGGGGACCTGCAGTATTTGTAGTTGAAGCTTCTGATATTGACATCTATACATCACATACTGTTCTCGGGATTTATGCATCTTGCAGGCTATGCCAGGCAACCTGACGCGATAATGTAGTTTAAGTCCGATGGAACCCTGAGATAAGTCCGTCTGGTGCATATATCGGCCACTTACCTTCTAATTAGGGAGCTTCGCCCCTTTGGGAAGCATTTGCCAAGCCGACTAAGCGTATGGTATACTACATGGCGCAGCTCCACAAAAGCAAGCATGCTCGGCGCTGATCCTTCTGAGCGTTCAATGGGCTCACCCGGTAAGTTCGAAGTATGTTTGTCCGTCTTCTTATAGTGGCTGTACCTACTGTTCGAAGCAAATTGTAGAAAGCCTTCCAAGTTTTCTGTCTAGGATCAAAGTGACCACACCCATAATAAATTGAGTTTTCTAGTTTTGAGGACTCTTTGCAATTAGCAAACAGGACGTCGCTGGAATCATTCGGCGGTTGCTGCCTGAAGAAGTAAAGCTTCGGGAATTCAAGCCATTGGACTTACTAGGCGCACAGGCTTGCTTGCCTTAGACGGGGATGAGGTCATTGGGCGTGAGGCATGGTCTTCGATAACTTTGTAATTGAACATAAAACATTACAAACATGTTCCCTGGTGTCATGTTTTCTAGTTGTTTCTTACTTTATGTCTTGGGGCTAACTCTTCAGATCATTGATATTCGAATCTTGGATGAGACAACTTGGTATTTTTAGATTAGTTCAATCTTGGGAAGGGCATGGCCATTCTTCAAAGAAATGCTATATATTTGCGAACAGCTCTGAAAGGATGTGTTATAGGGGTTTGCTCCCGTTCAGAATCTCCATTTCTATATTGTGTGCTGACGTGGCTACCTGCGCAAGAATCTGGTGCACCTAAGAACGAAACTCATACCGATAGTCTCCGTGTTCCGTTTAGTGACTTCACTGATCTGAAACGGAGACTATGTGGCGGGAGTGACATGATAGGTTCTTCGCGAAAATAATTCAATAAGTATATATATAGTACTCAAGCTGCGACTATTGTGTCTAGAGCTGGCCCCTCGTGTATTCATGACCGGTGGCGATTTTCACAAGGGCCAGTAACAACACAACACCTCAATAAATGTTCTCAAACTCAACTAGTTTCGATGCTCCAGACGGTATTGTTTACAAACGTGTTACAGAGGCTCTGCTCCATCCTTACCCTCGGTTTGGTTTGGTTAGTAAGCCTTTCCACCCAAGTGGTAACTGCTCGTACACGATCATACTGCTAACATGGGCTGTCGTTTAGCCGCAAAGTAAACCCAAAATAAGAGAGCATTATCCGGCGAGGGCATACCTGCCCAATCCTCCGCAATGGCTCCCAAGGCCCAATCGCTATACAACGCATACAAAAAGCCCACAACCAGGAGACAACTAAGCGGCATCGATAACCAGAACGCCCAGCTTGCCACATCCTCATCCGCCTGGAAGGACGACATGAACCACCCACACGCAACAGAAGACACGCAACAGAAGCGAGCACCGCGAATACAATAGTAATTTTCATCAGTGCAGGGCTCCCCCAAATCCCCTGCGCCACCACCCGGAACAGTCCGACCATGCCGATAATGAAGCCGAGGACGTAGAAGAATATCCACCAAAGAATGTCGGAATGACTTATTTTCTGTCGGTGATCCAGCTTGTTTCGCTTCGACTTTCGACTCAGCCGCCCTGCGTGAACCGTCATGGCTGCGAGGGCAAAAGATAGTAGCAGCTTCCAGACGGAGATTAGAACGAACTCCCCTGTTACAATTGGGTTAAATATATTCGTATGCATCTCTTTCGGGAACCAAGAGGTGACTTGGGATTTCATGGTTGTATTCCAAGAGCAACAACTTTCAATGCAGCTAGCTCCGTTGAATATCTTTTTATCTTGAGCCTGAACAGAAGGGAACGAATGGCTTCAGGAGGTACATACAAGTACGTCGACAGCGGGCAACGGTTAGGATGCTGACGAGGAATGTGACGAGAAGGCTGAATGCTCCCAGAAATATCTCCAGACTGCTTCCTGAGAGACTTGTCCAGGGCCACAGTGGACTGCGGCCTTTGGCCAAACAGCAGACCGTATAGTATGTGAGGAGATGGCTTGCAGCTATATTTAAATATGTTTGAAAAGCTTGGAGTTGCGCGATGTGTAGAATATTGGTAAGGTGAAGCCAGTTTCTCTGTAAGTTGACGGTAACTTCTGAACTTAAGGCATCGGCACGTCCAGTAGCATCAACAGTGGATGCCCGCCGAGGTACTTCTCTAAGGACTAATCATGAGTAAAGTCAGATCTTGTGTTGCGCATACTGGCTGGGTGCTGGGTGCTGGGTGCTGGGTGCTGGGTGCAGGGAGTTAGTCCCATCATCATCATCACCAAGCTCTCTTGCCTATATTGCCCAAATCTTAGCTGGCAGAAAGCCAAACAAACTGCGAGCCCAAGATGGGATCATAGGGGTCAATCCGATGTTCTAGTAAACTCAACCGACCCAGGGGATATTAGTCCACCCAAGTTTGATTTTATCTGGTCTTCCACTTGAGTGACCACCAACATGAATGGCGTCTAGAGAACAAACCTCTTGATCCCCCGACTTCATACCACTTTATACCATATTCATCTAACAACCACTAAGAACGACACACAGGACCACCCAGTTAACCAAACAAACAACCACCAAAGCTTGACCATAGTAGATATCTATGGATCATGTGTCACCGAAGGACAAGATGCCCACAAGCCCAATCAGTTCCCTTTGAGCATCAACAATGCATTTGTTGAGCTAGAAGAAAATCATATCTTGGTCAAGGTCATCACATGTCAATAACGCCTTCACACAGGTACGATATCCAAGTAGATTATGCGTTCCGTTTGTTTTGTGACCGTTTGGCCAGAGTATATCTATACGTACAATGAAGGGTATCGTGTGTGATCCGATCCATCCATCCGCCATCCATCCGCCGTCCACAGGATTCCAAACCCCTTTCGCATGCAAAGAACCATGTGAACCCCTAGTCCTTTGCATCGCTCCCTCTGCTATGCCGTTCTTCCAAAGTGCTTCCAAAATCGGTTTGTATGTACGGTTATGACTCGTGTTAAAGTTCACATATGGGGGAGCTGCGCCACCTCTTAAAGCGCGGTAACAGCTCCTAAGGCCATCTTGCGTTGTCCCTCAAGCTTCTCGTGATGCAATTTCTTCATCACAAATTCATAAGTCATCATTGTAACGGTGGCAGCGGGTACAGCTCGCATCATGTTGACACCCATGCCGGCGTAGAAGGCCCTCCATCCCTCTTCTCGTAAAATGGTGCGGAACGTCATCCCAACACCCCTGTACTTTGGTTCTGGGATGCCATGATTTCCAGTCCCTGTGCTCTTCCCATTAGAGGCAGTGGATGAAATACCTAGCCCTTGTAGAAACTCAGCACCAGGTGTTGGCCTTCGTTGCGTTTGTAATCTTGTTCGGATAACCTCGTGCGGATATGTGGCTGAACTGGCTAGAATCTTCGACATCATTGAAGCTGACAGCACGCCCAACCAGTGTCCATGATCATCGTTCATTTCGCCCATGCTTTGGCCGGTAAACTTCTTTCGGAGGAACTCATACGCGGGAAATTGCACAGCCACATGCGTTAAACCCAGAAGTGCCGGAGTGAGGCCGGAATAGAACGACATAATCCCCTCCGATGAATACATCTTTCGGGCGGCATCGAGAGTTGAGTTATAGTGCCATGGCGAGTTGATTGGCGGCCTTGATGTTGGGGTGTTGCCCGACCTCGGAAACAGCGATACCTTTTCATTAGAGCCTTTGGATGATTGTGACATTAGACGCGTCTTAATAACCCAGATGGGATTTGTCACTACCGTGCTGCTGGCTCCAGCGACGATGGACGAGTAGAAGTTGATGACAAATGTGTTTTGCACTGGCGAAAAGTAAAATCAGCAAGAGGTACATGAAGGCGAAGGCACATAAATGGATGCCGAGACAAGGTGCTATACAGTACCACCTAAGAAGAGCGTCGAGGGTTCACTCACTGTTGTGTTCGGCCAACCACGCCTTGCTCTTGTTGTATACCGTGAACCAAACTGCCCAAGTCGGCAAGTAGCCCATAACGATTGGTCCCAAACCCCGGTACATGCCACGTATGCCCTCCTCCCTCCAGATCACTCTGCCGGTTCCTAATAAGCCTTCATAGACCTTGTGGTGGCCCACATGCCGTCCTTTGGCCACGGTTAAGAAACCACCTTGTGCTTGAAGCTTGGTCTTTATAACATCAAGTGGACATGTGACAACCCCCGAAGTGAACCCTCCTACGGCGCCCGACAGCGCATTGAACTGAGACTCGGAAGCATTGGCGGCCCATTGTTGAAGTAGCGTTATGCTTTGGGAGTCATGGAGCGCCATGGCAGCCAGCGAGCTCAAACTGTTCTGGTCAGGCTTTTCGTCAGTCGAAAATCCTGCGGCTTTCGGCGGCGGCGATGAATCCCGAGATGCGATAACCCCATACTCTGGCGACGTTTGACGCGACCGTTCTGCTTGGTCGTGGGACATTCCTTAGCTCGCAATTCAGTTTTCGGGTCACGTCGGGAAAGGTTTTGGCGTTGTACGATATTGGGGCCTCTGGGGAGGATCAGAGGCCCCGCATGTGAGGTATGAATACACGGGCTGTATTGATGCGATGGTCGACGGTGCGTTTTAAGTAGTCTGCGGTGCGGCAACAGAGATCATATACGTATCGTCTGTTCGTCCCGAGTTACTGTGGTTGGAGTCGCGGGGGGGGGAGGTGTGCTGCGGTATGCGGGGAATGCTCCCACGCAAGGTCACCGTCGACACAGGAACTAGCGGTTGTGCCAGGCCATTGGCAGTCGCGTAAAGTCCCGGGTTGCTGTCGATATTCGTACAATGAATCCCAAGTCCGGGTCGTCAAGTAAACCGAGAGTGGGTTTTACAAGAGAGGGCGGGGAAATGGGTTTGGTAGGAGCGTTGAAGTTGAGTGCGGAGTTCACGAGATTGATAGTGGTTTCTCAGTGCTAGTGCAGCAGTATTCCAGTAACAAATATCGGACCTTGGCTCTGGGCGGGTCTTTGACGCACAGCTGATTGCGGCGGTCTCGCTACTGGTGTAGGCGGTGGATGCCGATGGAGCTCCAACTCTGGACTGACTCCGAGTTGTTGGACAAGTTTCTGGTTCCGGATCAAGACCTCGGGAGGATGAGATCACTTTCTTTTAGTAGGTTCTTCGGGGCAAAATTGTATGTGTGCAATCACATAGAGCTAAACCTGTACAGCAAAGGACGAGGAGCTACGATTGGGAGATATGAGATATGAACGAATAAATGAATGGGCAACCTTGCGGCAATTAACTCCTGTCTAGTGCCCGCCGCGCTGCCTCAAATTTCCTGAATTTGCTTTGGTTTGAAATTCAAGCTCCAAGCCCTCGGGATTCTAATCAAAGTGAGTCTGACCTCATACCACCCGCTTGCTCTGATTTTAACCTCTAAAAAAAGCAAGCTAACCTAGCTGACCTGGAGTGACCCGAGGAAAGCACGGAACAACCGTGACGCCGACCCGATATATTTTGTTTCCCATGCTAGCTGAGCTCGGTCCAACCAGCGTCGTCGCATTCGAGATTATCACGCATCACGACTTTAAGACTTGACGATCCGACTTTCCCTACCGCAGACAACTCCCAATCATCCACCACACGAACCTCGCCACCATGTCTGTCTACCCCAGTCTTGCGCCCTTCATTCTGAAGCGGCCCTGGCTGACAAAAATGTTCAAGCCTCTCGCCACTTGGTACACCAGTGCCGCTGGGTACCGCCAGCTTGGTCTTCGGTACGTCCCTCCCTTCAGTCCTTTCCTCCGAAAACAACAGCAGGCACAGAAAATGGGACTCCCAAGCAGCAAGCGCAAATTACAGTTCTCTAACATGGAACGACTGTGGACAGAGCCGATGATTTGATTGTCGAGGAAAACGAGGACGTCCTGAAGGCCCTGAAGCGTCTCCCGCCCCAGATGGCCTACGACCGCGTATACCGTCTCCGCCGTGCCCAGCAATGCAGTTTGATGCAGAAGCTGCTACCCAAGGACCAGTGGACAAAGCCCGAGGAGGTGAGTTGGACACTGGCAGCATGACCGACCTGTCTTTCTGCGCTGGCCTGAGTCGGAGGGAGGCACCGCTGACAGTTGCAAACAGGATACCCCGTACTTGGAACCCCTCATCGCGCAGATCAAGGCCGAGGCTAAGGAAAAGGCAGCCCTAGATGCCTTGACGATCGTGAAGAACCACTAAACGGTCCAGCATTGACGGGGGCAAGGAAACGTTCGCTAATGAGGAGCGGCCGGTCTGCTTGTACAACTAAGCCTGGAATAGAGGTGTCAATGATCCGCAAATGTGACCCATTGGGGTCGCTGAAGACAAGGAGCAGTTCGTGGTGATGCTGTATGTGTATATAGACTCCGGGTTCTCGCAATGAGAACTCGCCTTCAAACTCAAGAGGTGTGACCTTTACGATGAGTGACACAGTGCTTCTTTACACAAATCCCGGAGGAGACTGAATGGACATTGGACGCAGATCATTTTGTCCATCATAACAACACTATAAAGCATGTTGGTGGAATAAGCCAAGTGCTTACTTATACGGCTGGGGTTTAGCATTGAATAAACCAAAGGCGGGGAGAGGCTTGTATGAAACCTTGCTCTGAGTATAGCTAGCTGTAAATGACGCAATACTCTCTTGTTGAGCAAATATCTTTTATTAGAAAGGTCTCAGCGACCCGTCTCCCTCCTATGTAGCCGCGGTCATATTCTAGAACACCACAAATTCATCCACACGCATATCTGCCAAGCTGCACAATCCACGGTTCACAAGGAAGCTATCAACGTAGAAGAAAAGTTCATGGCGACATTGTTGCCCGGCTGTCCAGCTCCCTTATTAAGCATGCTTGATAGACTCTAGGGGTCTTCACCTAAGAATTCTTTATCTACAAAACCTCCTGGGTGTAAGACCAAATCGCCTCAGGAAATCCACATTGCTTCGCGGCCTTACATTCTAGCATGCCAACATGATCCATCATCCAATGCTCGTTAGGGAGAGAAAGCTTGTGTATATTAAGCCTTTGTTCCCTACAACAAGCTCCAACTTCAGACCCCTGCCCGCCTGCCTGTCTATTTCACACCTGCCCCAATCTTTAAGCTGGGTATATTAAATTCCTTCTGTAAGGCTGAGGGCTACTTGAAATATCCCGTCAGTCTCCCAAGGCAGGCAGCGGGGATAGGAAAAAAGTGACTCGTTTTGAGGAGCCATGCTGATGAGTTCTCCTTTCCACCAAGCAAGCAAAGACTTAATACACACAAAACACCCTCTTCCTCCCTTTCCCCGCAACTGTTCATTTCATTCAGCATATTGACGCGCCCCCAGTTTCCACGCTACTATCAACCGCGCCAAAGTTTACCCTTCGAACCTCCAAAACAAAAGTCCACATACTGCCGTATGAATAGCCAAATTCTATTACAGAGGGGGTGGGTATGAATCCTTCTCACACTAACTCCTAAGTTGTTGTCCATGCAAACATGCGTTACTGTCCCCCATTCGTAACACGCATGTAAATTGGAAGTTTCGCAGCCAACTCGACCCCGCGAGGAAAAATAAGGAGAAGGGGTGACGATGGCGAGTGAATCGAAGAAGAAGAAAATGGCAGCCTTTTCCCAACTCCTCTTTGCCCGACATGTCTGCTGATTGCTGATGCAGTAGTTGATGGTGATGTTGTTGTTGTGTGCGCGTATCGTGAGCTTCTCGTACAATAATTACGTTTCCCTGTCCCTGTTCAAATGTGCGTGAGACCGGCGGACAAAATCGGTACACAGAAAAAAATATAATGGGTTAGACAAGAAAGAATGCAGAAGTGCCGTCCTTCTATGCGTTCCCGGGCTTCTCCTCCGTATCGATGTGCCACACGACGTAATTCGGAAGACCGATGACCTCGTAACCTGCGCGCTTCGCCATCTTTGCAAACCCCTCCGTCTCAGCTTGGTTCTCGAAAGCGTAACAAGGGAAGTTAATGCCTACAAGAACATTGACAGATTAGCATTAGCATATACGAACAAGCCGAGCAGCAGAAGAGGATCCTCGGGAACAAACCTGATCGATGCACATCGGCCTTGACAAGAATGTTGACACCACCAATACCATCAAGTTCAATCTCCTCATCTTTATCATTCCGCCAGTCACCCATGCGCGCCATGTGTTGTCGTCCAGTATCGTACTGCTTGTATCCTGTGCAACGACCCCACCATTAGTAACGGAACTTGTAGGTTAGGCTCGGGTGTCCCTAAGCGCGGATGTCGTACCTTCAGCCAGTACTACGTCTTTATCCAAGCTGCTGGCAAGTTTCAAGCCCTTCTCGGACTCAACCCAAGAGTTGTAGTCGACTAAGCGCGGTACGTCAGCTGGGCTCTCCTTTAGGCATTGGGGAACGGATCACTTACAACGGCCTTCGATGTCCCGTCCGTCTCTGTACCGATGGAACCAGATATCTATGCTTGGTCAGTTGGGGTTCTGGGGCTCTTGGGGGAACTCAAAGTGATGCTAAAAACAGCATATATACATACTGGGCACAAGGACATCACGGTCGTGAGCAATGAAGTCTTCCAAGATTTTTTGGGGGCTATCGACGATGTCAACATCCCTCCAGTAGACCCACGAGTGATCCGGCTTGAGGGCAGCGGACAACAAGTAGTTCCTGGCGCGGCCCATAGCCTTGCGCCGAGGACCCTGCGCCTCGAAGCCATGCCGATCCTCGACGGACTGACTGAGGTGGCTTCCAAAGTCTTTCTCTACAACCAGGGCGCTGTTGAAGGGGATCTTATCCGGCCGCTTCTGAATGCGATCCAGCTCCATGGCCAGGACACCGAGCGTGTCATCAGTAGAATCTCCTACGAGAAAGGCGAGATCAATTAGGTGGTGCGGATATGACAGTTCGGCAATCAGCTCGAAGTACTTGGACAGATACGGCGCAGCATCCTTCAGGGGCGTGACAATGAGGACTCGTTCTTCGTTCTGGAGAGCTTTGGTGGTTGATTTGACAGGATTCAGGTTAACGTGTGTTATTGTGGTGTCGTTGACAGTTATGGGCGCATGGTGGTTGAAGATCACGGGGGTTTGGAGATGAGCATTCCACGCCTGCTGCTCATTGAGCGTCATGTCCATCGGCGGTTTTGAGGGACCCCAGCAATAGAAACTGTATATGAGGCTTCTAGTCAGCCCATCTGGAATGTATAGGGCCCAGCAGCCCCTGAGACGACGGAGATGGAGAGGGATGGTGCTATATGTACCTTTGCATTTCACTGGCTGATGTCCGAATGCCACGCCATAGTAACAAAATGGCTCCTGCGACAGCGATGAAGAGGAGAAAGCGCGTCCTTGTTAAGAACACCCATACTGCTCTGGTAGGGGGTAATTGAGCTTTGGCGGACTTCCAAGTGATGCCGCCCTTGGGAAGAAGCATGGCGAGCTCTTCGGGTGGCCTCGTCACCACCCCGAAAATGAGTTGCGAAAGCAAGCGAAGAGTCGTCTACCCGACAGTATGTCGCGATGGTTGTTTGTACGTCGTGATGGAGCGTCGGGGCGTCGTAGTGCAGCAGCAGGTTTTCTTGAACTCGTCCTTCTCGAGGGGGTGCACGCTAAGGACCACACGGGAGACAACGGGGGAACACGATGAACGGCCCAGGTACAACCAAGTCGGCAACAAGCGGAAAATCTATCGCTGGGGAGGGACGTGTCGCCGATTGATCCGGGTTGATGATCGCCGCGGATTCGATGTCGGTCCCTAAACTGTGGAAAGAGAACAAGAAATCCGACCCAGGGATTAATGGTTGAGTTTTGCCGCGGAAAGGTTTCCTCTCAATGGACCGGCGAAGTGGAAAAGTTAAGATGGATGGTGAGATGCTCAATTGGTAGTCGCCCTTTGGGGGGAGGGGGGTGGTGTCAGACGTGGAGAGCGAGCGGACGAGGGTGTGTGCGTCCTGGAAAAGCTGCTGTCGTTTAGGAGGCGGCAGTCGCCAGGAGCTGCAAATGCGCCGAAATACGAAAGTGACTTGGCCTCTTTAGCAAAGGCCACGGAATGTCAATGTGCGGCTCAGAGAAAAAAGGTACATGTCATGCTGACGCGATTGGACGCCGGTTTACGCTGGATCAGACCAAATTGTCACCAATTTGCCAATTTGCTGCTAGCAGGCCAAGTACCTCAAGGTAGCTTTCGTGGCTCGGTTCTGCTTAGGCTGAAATGTACATTGTACCTCGCCAACCCGCCATCCAGTACTGCAATTTTTAGAGAGTTGATCGCCCAGCCCCAGCTCAGTTATCTTGAAGCACAGATATCCCCCGTACTCCGTACAAGCGATTGTCCACCAATAAGCACATGCAGGGGTTGTCATAAGGCCTGGGCTGCTGGGCTGGAAATTTGCAGGAAAAATCTTTGGTCGCCTATATTCCCAAGGGGGTTCATGAGGAGACAGATTGCGCATATGCTCTTGTGGTATTGTCCGGCGCAATGCGATGCATCTTCGAACAATCTCATGGTCCACTTACCTAAGGGCTGGTTCTTCTATGCACCAATTTTAATCTGATAGTGTAGAGATCCCCATATGTTCCAGCTAAGGCGGTAACTTACTCCGTAGTGGGCCGAAGGTGCCGCCTCATGTTCGCTGTCGTTGTGGAACATGGAATATACGATCCCAAGTTGACCTAAGCTGAGTACTCGTGAGGTGGAGTTCCAGGCCAAGTCATTACTACTAGCTCACAAGAAGACATGGAGGACTTCTTCTGGAATTCCAATCCTTATTGCATGGAACAATCAAAGCTAATATTGGCAAAATGGAGTCGATTATGCGGTAGCACGTCAGCATACCCCGTAAAGAGGCAGTGTATCCCACAAGACCACCGCTGGCCTCAAATTGCTCAGCTGTGGAACTGGAAAGCGAAGGATTGGTTTAAAGTTGACACGCCTCCAGGTCTCCGGAGCCGCGTCGGATCGAGAACGGAATGGCATGTCTCACCGGCCGTCCCACAGACCCTAACTGCAGATTTCGCTTCGAACCCCGGATGCCAATCCCTACTTTTTAAGTGAAGTTTCGGCTTGGCAGCGAACGTCAAATTTGAAGAGCACAGGAGTTCAGATGAACAGGCGCGGAAATGGCACGCGACCCGGCTGAAAACTAGGACGGAAGTGACGGCACCAGGTGTCTGGGATCGGAATTGCTGTTTTGAGAGGCCGGGTAGGATGATACAGCAAGGGTGCAAGTCAAGAAATTCCCGGGTTTCAAATGTTACGGCAACATCAAACAAGGCTCTTGAAATCAGCAACTATATGGATTGATAAAGTGTTTTTGGCGTCAATCTGTTTTCCAAGCTCTTGGGGTCGTTCATGGAGGCACTAATCAGCTCCTGAGGGTCATGGGGAATGCCCATGTTCGTCATCGGTGTTACGGCCAATACCGACTTAGGTCATCATTGCCGCTGCGACTCTCAACCTCAAGCTCACGACGACGCAACGTTCGCAACTCATGCACTGCAAAGAAATTTGCAGGTCAATGCAGGTCAATTATTATAGAAGCGAACTGTTGCGTTGCCTGTCAGCAGAACTTAATCTTCGACTCAGCCTCACTGTCATCCGAACATCTCATAAGTTCGCGGTCAGTCCATCACCGGCGAACAACAGCAATGTCAACACGCAGGTCCATGCGGCTCAGCACAGCTGCTGAGACAAAGGCGCCTTCCGCGGCAGAAGCGATGCCTCCTCCCGCACCAAAGTCACGGAAGAGGAAAGCAGCCGCGGATCCGGTATCTAGCGGAGATGGAAAAAGGAACAGCACCGAAGGAGAGTACCAGACACCATCAACGCCGAATAAGCGTCGTGCAAAAACCCAACCCGCCGTTCCCTCGCCAGGCACACCTACTCCCAACAATGCAAAGCTCATGGCCGAACCTGTCACGAATGGGACAACCACAACCCCCAAACCCAAGCCTGGAGCCGTAAATCGGCTCGCAGATCCTCGTGCTACCAATGCCACCCTCCTATCCCCAGAAACGTCCCGTGTCGTTACTTCCAAGTCCCTGGATGCCGTTTCGCCTTCAAAAGCTGCCGCAGTGAAAACCACGACCTCCAACATTCTCGAAGAAGCATGCGCACATCTCATCAGCGTGGACCCGCGCATGAAGCCGCTCATCAACGGCCACCATTGTCACATCTTCTCGCCTGAAGGTCTAGCCGAGAGCATCGACCCGTTCGAGAGTCTCTGCAGCGGTATCATCTCACAGCAAGTCTCGGGCGCTGCAGCAAAGGCCATCAAAAAGCGCTTCGTGGATCTATTCGACGGAGATGCGAGGTTTCCCCAGCCTTCCCAGGTCGCGGCCACCTCTTTCGAGAAGCTACGGTCTGCGGGTTTATCACAGCGCAAGGCGGAATACGTGCAAGGCCTTGCAGAGAAATTCACCACTGGCGAGCTGAGCGCTCGGCTTCTGCATGACGCACCGTATGAGGAGGTGTTGGAGAAGCTGATAGCGGTAAGGGGACTCGGCAAGTGGTCCGTCGAGATGTTTGCGTGTTTCGGGCTCAAACGCATGGACGTCTTCTCGCTGGGCGACTTGGGCGTGCAGAGGGGTATGGCAGCTTTTGCAGGGCGAGATGTGAGCAAGTTGAAATCGAAGGGCGGCAAATGGAAATACATGTCCGAAAAGGATATGGAGGAGATGGCCGCCCCGTTCGCGCCGTATCGTAGCGTGTTTATGTGGTATATGTGGCGGGTTGAGGAGACGGATGTCAGTACGCTGGAGTGAAATTGGCGCATGAAGCAAGTTGGAGGCTCCAAGACTGGCTTTGAACGGCGAGTCCGAAGACTGGTCGCCAAGGCTGTACAGTATAAGGATTTAAGCAGGCAACTCAAGGGTCTTCACAGCTTGACGTCTAAGAACAACTCGGCGGCATTGACAGGGACATTGCTTGTTGTCGAGCTGGAAGTCTGGAGTTGACCACGCGAGTGGAGTGGACCGCTCTAAGAACCGGGGACACATGTGTCCAATTCAAATGGGGTGACGATATGGTACGGAAGCGTGTTCAAGCATATACGGGTTGAAGCGGGTTTACAAGATAAATCGGTATCAAATTAACAAGAAATGAGATCAGGACATGATGAGAATAAGAACAACAACACCTATACCATGGTTAACAACTAAAACACACCCTTCTCGCTCCTTTCCCCTTTAACCTTTATTCTTCTCCATATCCCGCTGCTGAAGTCCGCGACCACTTGCACAATTGCTCTACCCACACCAACCAGCTCGTTGCTACGTCAAGTGAGCGAGGGCACTTGACACCAAGGCATATAGTATAACAGTATTGCTTGCATATTGGCTCCTGTAAGACAGCTGGCCAAGATCCCTATTATAGTCCCACCGGTCAAGCAAAATTCCGTAGTCTCCACCCGTGTAGTAAACTTTAGTTCTGCACTCTGAACATTATCACAACACGTTGCTGGACAGTACTAAATAACGGTTTTGTCGTCATTGGAGGAATGAATGCATCGTCAATACGCACGAAAGCTTTCGGCTTATGACATGTTGGGTTTCTCATCCTATGCTTCGTAGTCTGCGTCTCGAGATGAAGAATTTCTCCTTGGCTCAATGAGACGGGGAAGCCTCCGAGGCCCCAGCATTCTCATTTGTATTTCTGCAGCCAAGTAGGTAAGCTGTATCATCTGGAGTTGGAGGGACATTAGTTCATACTCGACATTCTACTGAGATTATAAAGCATACTGGGTTCTACGTAAAGCCAGCCGACACAATTTGCAGTTTCTCTGGCATGTTCCCCAGATTTCGAACTATCACTCACTATTATGATGGCATCTGGGGCCGCAAATAAGTCGCTCATTGCTTGGCTCCTTTCCCACCTGCCACGTTTGTCCTGTTAGTTGTTGTATTGGGATTGAGATGTTAAACACGTTATTATCGCGGTCTGGGAGTTGATGAAGTCAAGCAGATCTTGCACTACGTTGATCGTCACCCCGAATCTCGCGCCGAAGCTTGCAGGTGCAATTCACGAGTTCACATATTTACAACGCAACGTTGAGACAAGACATTTCGCTTTCCGCATGCTTACGCCCTTCCTTGGAAATGAATGTAAATAGGGCCGTTCGGCAGTCAGCAGAACCGAGTATAGTTCCTTTGAATAGGCAGGTCAGTTCATATCGGACTTGCACGAGTCCTGATCTGGCTGCCGTGTTGAACACCAACATCTTAGCAGGCTAAATCTGGCAATTGGGGTGTTTATGAATCTATAGTCCAAGCATGGCCCCTGGTGCTGCCGGTTATGGGTGCTTTCACATCGTCCCTTCCCGGGTGCTCACATAGCTTCCAGCGTGAGATCAGCTACATTCGCTGTAGCCTTGATTGCCCTTCGCGACGATAAGAGAGTCAGCACAACCCCGATTGTCATGGGGTTTGACATTTTATACCACCTACAAGAGCCTCAGCTAATATCACATAGGCACTATGTGGTATGGGGAGTGACCGCCGTCGGGTTTGCGCTGCTCCAGTATCGCCATATTTGCAGGTTGAGGGAAATGTGCTTATGTTCTCTTCGTTCCACCCCTTCGCACAGGAAGGAAAGTGAGTTCTAGAAGACACCCCTTCAGCACACTATAACCCACCCTCACCTCCATCGTAGGCCCCCTGGGCCTTGCCCGTTGCAGCGTACCTCTTATCACTCTTGCACGCCATGAATCGCACTGGCCAATGTGACAACGGCCCTATCACCTCCGCGGAACCTACACCTCAAGAGGGCCATCAAGGTCGGCTCGACAGTTCCGTACCATCCGACATAGTTTTGAAGGTCTTGTGAGATATGCTCGCAGGCCAGTCAGCTCTTTAGGTCGACTGAAAATACAGGACCGCACCAGAAAACCACCGATGCCGGCTTTCCATCCGTGTATCGATAGTGGATAATCATTTGGAGTTATTTCGGGGTTCAATTTAATCATTCGAGACACGCCATACTTGTAGAAGTGACATTCTTTCGGAAAACGGTGGGAGTAGGATCAAAATACAAAACATCAACTCTGGAGCTCGGAGGCAGTATACTCTTGGTCAGGAGGCGGCTGTGGTGAACTCATGAAGTCAACAACACAGGCACGGAGGCACTGGTACTCAGGCCCACGCTTACCTACGAACCACCACAGCCAAGGGCGATACTGAAGGCTTCCCAAACTCGTCCTGGCCGTTCGAGTCTCGGATTTTCTTTTTTTACAAATCGCCAAGTGCCTGGTGGCGGTGAAAACCGATGATTTCTCGGTTTTATGGCATGTAAACAGACGCCAGGTGGCCACAGAGATACAGTACGGCTATCTGTGTCTTCACTATTTATATAAGATCGTAGTCGCGCGAGTTTCTCTCGCCATGGGCCACGGTCGACCAAAGGTGGTTGATTGGCTGATGGTAGGCAGGCTGATGGGCTGGTTGGTGCAGTTCGCACTGAGGCAAGGAGGTAATATCTCCTCTCCCTCGCGGACTCCCTGAGGACTCCCTGAGGCACCGTTGCGGCTTCGACATTCTGACTGTTAATGAGCACCCTTGACTGGCTGCCCAAGTCTGTCTATTGCCCAACATCTGGACTGTGATGTCTGCTCAATCTCAAGCCGCATAATTTGCATTGAATCAATGCGGTAATGCCCAGCCTCGAGAGAAACGGCGCTTTTGACGTCGTATTCTTGGGGTGAACGAATTTGACTTTTGTAACTTGTCCTGCTCAAGGCATATATAGCCGAAACGTTGAGTCGCGGGGAGTGAATCGCGAGGGCCATGGGCGAAGGGACGCTTCATCACTAGCCCATTTGGTACTGCTGTTTCTTTGCCTTTCAATGTCGGTGGGATTTATGACTTGCTCTGGAGGCACTCGGATCACGCTGGCACCAAGGAGTAAAATGAGATTGATACAGGCGTTACATTGGGACTCGCTCATCTAGTTCACATCTGGATTGCCTACACTCAGTGAAAAGAATATATGCAAGGGGAGAGAAAGCCAATCAATTACGGGATATGCCTCCACGCATCAAAGGCTGTATGTAGTCTGCATGGCCAGGTGACTTACACGTTGAGGGCTGCCAAGGCGCCCGACGACGCAATTACGGGCCGGACACTTGAAACAACCGTTTCGTGTCTGATCAGATACCGGGGCATCCAATTCATCAGGTCTATAGGCTTCGAGATATATCAGGCTGTGAATATCCATCTCCATGTGCAACGGCTCATGTGGTTCGACAACCTTGGAACCCCGTGAAACACTAATGTAGTGCCACAGCACATGTACATGTTTTGCAACGTTCGACATCAACAGGCGACTGAGCCACACCTGAAGCCGTCCTGATCACGAAAAATGCCCTAGTTCATTCTCCCCTAGGACAAGACCTCACGGTGGCATATGAATAAACAATTGTCGGCATTCTTGACATTGGAGCTTTTCCATCTCCCGACTGCAAACCATGAGATCAAACGTGGACCTGCCGGCCGCCTCAGTTTTCCCAGTCCACAAGTTGACGATCTGCTAGTTGAGGGTTGCGGAGGGAGCCACTCGGCCCACTGCTGCGCAGTTTGACGCGTACGACCTGCAGGGCTTGCTGTCGCAAACACTCTGTGTGTAGCAGCCAAAAACTTGGAACAATAGGAAACATGACACTTGATCATATAGTTAGCTCTTTGCTGCCGCTGCCCACTGCCCAATCCCGCAGTCTCCGGGACGGGGTTGGCTGTGTGCGGATGACCAACATACAGTCACAGCTGAATGCCGTGCGGATCATGACGTTTTGACTGCCGACCCAACAGTCAAAACGTCAATTCGTCGCCCCCCAGGTGCCACTGTGAAACGCAATTGCGAGGCTCGGCCGCTACGGGAAGAGCTGAAAGCATGCCAGGGGCTACGTAGATCAGAAACATTGCGGGCTAGTGAAATGTATAGATAATGTACCCATCGTAGGTTACGAAACAAGCTGTTCCGAAGTCAATTGATAGGCAGATGAAAGACCTTCTCGCAAAGCGAACGTGCCAAGGGGTAGGGTCGTTGTAAATTGTGTCGCAACTAGAGGAATTGGATATTGAAAAGAAATTCCTGGAAACCGAGGCAATCTTCTCTCGTACCGGTTTCGCGGGGCCCGCGGAGTAGTGGACTTACTCACCAATGAAATACGAGATACCGACGAAGCTATACGAATCTTCGTGTTTGTGCCACGCCACCGCAGCTTGATTTGCATAAGACCTCGAATCAGTTCAAAGCTTGGCAGTGCAAGGACAAGATCATTACAGCTGCCAATGAAAGCTAGCCAAGGTACTGTATTAGGATCATTCTAGGTTGGGGGTTTGCCGCCGGCGGCTGGGGGTGGGAGATATCGACGATGCAAAGGCTTGCATGGTCATCCTCGGGACGATCGACGCTGATAAAGGACCGGCTCATAAAACAATTATTTACATGATGCGCGCAAGTCGAAATGAAGAATGGAGAGACGAATTGGTCAAACCTACACCGAGACGGCACAGGATTTTACCAATATTAGCAAAGTTTCTTGCTTCCTCCTGCTTGTGCCAAGTTTAAAATCGAACAGCCTTTCTGTTGATGCTTTCAATTGATGGGATGACGCAAGAAACAAGCTGCTTGCCGCACGAAGGTATAGCAGGCAGGCAGGGTCAAAACACGAGGGTGTGTAAACGCAGTTGACGGAACAAGTCCATCGTTCTGTTAGATCATTTCGAATTCGCTCAGTGCACTCTTGACATAGCTAGAGTCGAGCACAGTCATCGCCACGCAGGACAATGAAATGACCTATGAATGAATGGAATCAGTTTGATGATAACTTTTATCCCGAGTTATTCCTGCACGGAGTCGTTGACGCCATTTTTATCCGTTCATGAGCCGGCTTGACATGGACAGATGGGGTGGGGGCAAGCTGGCGCGACCATTTGGGCCAAAGAGGGCGAGGGACTCAGGGCGACGGCGCACTAGAAATGGAGCTTGCGAGCCAAAAATGGCCCTCGGCCGTCGCAGATCGCCGTCATCAATCTGCCTGCTCAATGCGCAGAGAGGGTCCGAAACGGCGACGATGGAGGAGGGCCAAACTCTCCTCATATGCGTCGCGAATAGCAACTACCAAACCATATTGGTCTAGTTAAAGGCGATAATGCCTGTTAAACGGTGAATGACGAGCCTGCTGTGGCTGACTTTGATTATGTTGGGAGAAAGCTGGGAGTTGGTGATCTATGCTACAGCAGCAAGGAGGATGCAACTTATTGTTCGAGACATGGAATTCATTCTCTTCCTCAAGAAGCTGCAGAAGCAAGCACACATACATGTGAGAAATGGGAAGTGGATCCTTCCAGTCTTCGGGTGGCTGCTCCCAGCGGCTGGCTTCCCACTGGTTGCATCGGCGGCCGCTGCAACGGAGATGATTTTTAGGCACTGTATTTCGTTCGTACTGGCCGCTTGTGATGCAGCCAATACCACCTAGATTATAGACTGCTGCTTGGTACATAAAGCTGCAGCCAGGCGTGGCAGTGTTTCCGTTGGCCTCCAATTGACGTCTGCATGAGAGGGCAAGAGCTGCTGCTGAGATAGATGGATGTGAAAGAGCGTTCAGGCAAACCTTGGAAAAGCTAACCCCGTGCAACACTCGCAGTCTCGGGCATGAATCGCGGTGCAAAGTTTGACATAGTCTACTCGCTCTGAAAGTTGGAACGACGTCTGCCCTGAGAGGGAAGCTACAACCAGCTACAGCGAGCTACCGCCGGGATACGAAGATAGGTCGCGATTGGCAGGTGCCACTGACGGTTTTCAAAGTTCTGAAAAGTACCAGCAGGGGTAGACCACAACAGACTGGAGCAAGGAAAGCAGCAATCTCGCCAATGGACGACTTTGATATGAAGCTGCGACACTACGGACGCTCGTCCTGTCCGCCATGCATTGGATTCCTGGACAATCCCGGACAGTGTGGACACCTTGATTATCCACTTTTGAGTGACTTGACATTGCTGGCCATTGCTGGCCCTGGTGTTTTTGCCGGGCCTATTGGTGATATTCCCATCCTAGGCCCTTTTGGGATGGATCTCTGATGAGCTCGACATGGGCCATGGGTGCCCCCTTTTATGCCCGTCGACCCATTCAATCTTCGCAGCTCCCTCATATTCTCGTACACCCCCAAGCCACCATTACCTCCAGAATTTCAAAACGTCTCGGCTTTTCTAGACGACAATTTTTACTTTTCCCTCTTCTCCTTCTCTCCCATTCGGATCCATTCGTTTGTCGATATTTCCAACCGTATCAGAGGAAGAGCACTCGCTCACTAGCTTCCCTGTTTTAATACCTCCTGTGAACCCCCCATCCACTCAAGGAGCGACCAGCAACCAACAAACCAAACCAAACAACACCGTCCACCAACGACCCGACCAGTATCACTCTTGTCGAGTTCCGCATCATACCTCGTGCAAATATCTTTGGGGACGTATTAATTGTTTGAAGGAGGAAGAACAGAAAATTAGATCCTGAGTTCTTGTAATAGGAGGAGTTAAAAGGTACGTTGTGTGTGTTGCGTGCGTTGAGGATGGGCTCAGTCAGTCTGAGGCCTCCATTGCCATTCCTCGAAGCACCAGTTGCCTCCTGCCGCCTGCTTCCTGCTCGTCGAGACAGCTTCGTTTGTTTTCGATGGTTTAATCGGGACCTACTCTTCCGTTATGGTCGAAGCTACTCCAACCTGACATCAGTCAAGAAGATGGGAGTGCTCTTGCCTAAACATGGACAGATTTCCTGACATGTACTACTGCACTCTTCAACTCTAGCGTTCGCTTGAGCAAGGCCGACGGCGCGTTTAGAAGCAGCTGCTACCTGTGCAACGGCCAATTGACACGGCAATGGTTCGAAAGACAGGAAACAACAGCGGCAGCATCAATAAGAGTCAATGGGAGAGTGGATCCCAGTTCTGCGGTTGTCTGGTGAGCAGTTGCCAGTGGCGTGCTGCGTTTATGCGCAGCCCCCCTGTCTTTATCAACTGCGCGCTGCCTCACATGTCTCGGCACGATGTCAGGACCAGGCGTTCACACAGCATGCTGCACAATCTCTACAACTTCGCACCTGCCTATCTCTACAAACTTCCATCCCATCCCCAATCCACTCCTCTAACCAGTTTGTTGACACCTACCGACTCGACCGATAGTCTTGACGAGCTTTCCCGTCTGGTCAAGTTGGCTGTCAAAAGTTTGACAAGTGAAGGTTGAGAGGAACCAACCCAATTCTTCCCAGCCTTTTCATCCCCCCAATATTCTTGTCTCCAGATGAACAACAGTTTTTGGAACTTGGCAACCCAATTCACCACCATACAACTATCTACCCCATCGCCTGTGTTTTGTTGCCTTGTTCTCTGGAAGCACACAGTCAACATCCATCTATTATCCGGCTCCTGTTGAAGTCACTTGACTGAGATACTCTCAACATCAAATCAGACATCTGCTGACACAGTTCTTCGACACAGCCATCAAAATGCACAGCAAGCAAGCCATTTCCGCCATGGTGGCCGTTGGCATGGCCACTGGTAAGTCAATATGTTCCTGATCTACGGCTCGAGCAGTTGTTCTAACCAATCGACTATTTTAGGTGCCGTCGCTATCGGTTGCAGTGATGCCACCATTACTATTTCCTCCCCCGCTGATGCCACGACCCTCGCCAGTTGCGATACCGTCAAGGGTGACGTAGTCATTGCCACCGGAGCTGGCAGCACCATTGACTTCTCCGGCGACCTGACTTCGATCGGCGGTGACCTTACCTGCCAGCACAACGGTGGTTTGATTCAGCTCAGTTCCACCTCGCTGGAGAGTATCGGCGGTGCATTCCATCTCGAGAACATCACCATGATGTCCACCCTGAAGTTCACTGCTCTCGAGTCTGTGGGCAGCATCTCGTGGCAGTCGCTGACGGCGTTGGGCGAGTTGACATTCGGCACACCCGGTGTCACAAAGGCAGAGAGCGTCGTTATCGCCGACACTTTCCTGAGTAGTTTGGACGGCATCAACGTGCGATCTCTGACTGACATGAACATCAACAACAACCGTCGTCTGACCGACTTCAGCACTCAGCTGAGCAACCTGACGAACGTTCTGAACATCAACGCCAACGGTCTGAACTTGAAGGTTGACCTGCCCAATTTGGAGTGGATCGCCAACATGACCATCTCTAACGTCACCAGCTTCTCAGCTCAGTCCCTGGCAGCCGTCAATGGTTCTATGCGATTTGACTCCAACTACTTCGAGTCGGTCAGCTTCCCCAACCTCACCGATGTGCAGACCGGAGATTTCTCCTTTGTCAGCAACCCTAAACTTGCCAACCTTACCGCTCCCCTTTTGACGAAGATTGGCGGTGGTTTCATCATTGCGAACAACACTGCTCTTGAGGAACTGAACGGCTTCGCCAAGCTCGAGACCGTCGGTGGTGCCGTTGCCCTCCGTGGATCTTTCTCGGAAATCTCCCTCCCTGCCTTGGACGACGTGAAGGGCACCTTCACCGCCACCTCCACTGGAGACATTCAAGATTCGTGCGATGTTTTGGACGAGCTTTCCTCTGATGGTGGCAACGGTGACATCCAGGGCACCTACGCCTGCACTAGCAACAACACCAACGCCAACAACGATACCTCATCCACTGGCTCAACCGGTGGTGGCACTAGCAACACCGACAGTGGTGCCTTCCACTTGTCCAGCAGCATCTCCACCATTGTCACGCTGGCGTCGCTGGCTGCCATGGTCAGTGCGTTCTTGTAAAGTCCCGTCGTGGAGATCTTTGGGTTGGAACATGGAGGCGTTCTTACACTTTCCCTTTCCGAGTGTTATAAAAATTCGAGTCATTGTCATTTCACATGGGCCGCACGTTCCGCGACTAGGGCTACGTACAGGGGATCGCTAGACTTAATATCGATGCATATTACACCGAAACGACGCTCTCTTTTTACGTGACCAGACACTCACTCTCCTTGGCTTCATCAAAGACTTCACACGATCATCAGCACCGATTAATGAAATCTCGCGGGTAACTACCACCATCGTCACCCTGCCACGACCACTGCAAGGCAGTATGCGCTTGGGGATGCGTGGTAGATGATTCGGGGTCTGTTTTCAAACGGGGCTTGTGGTCTGGGAGGCTTTAGGAGCATACATCTCTGTACGCCATGTTGTGTTTGTAGGATTTAGAAGGTTGGAGGCTCTGCGTGTATGAAGTGGGAAGGGCTGGTGGATGAAGTTGGTGTATCTTGTTAGGGCAGGCAACTGTGCACATTCAGTCATGCGACAGAGTAACACCACCCCGCCTGTATATATCCGTACTTCATGTGTTTTTCCATTAAGTGTTTCATGGTTCATGTGATGTGATTCTAGTCCCTTATCGTCATCGGTCCACAAGTTCCATCGTCAAAGTCTCAACCATCTCCCAGTTCTCTCATCAGTATGTAACCTGTCCGTATGCCATTGCTCCCAGGTACCATGCCGTCCTGCTGCGTTTGGTACACCAGCCACTCTAGTAGTGTTTACTTCCTGATTGATGAATTGTACATGTGCTACTGAGTTTCTTTGTTGGGACGGCGAACACGCTGAAGGCACGCACATGCAAGTTCACAAACTTGTCTGTGTGATGGTGACACAAGTGCTACGTGAGGCAAACCGTGTCTGTCGTGTGTCTTCGAGTCATCTTGGCGAGATTGGCGAGGTTTGCGTATCATCTTTAACCCCGTTCTGTATCTGTGGTACATTGTGTGCTGCAACTAATTGTGCTCGCTTTTTGCCGAGGTAGGATTTACACGGCCTTACGGGGAGTGAAGGTGAGCTAATTGCGACTATCTACCTCTCCAGAGGACTGATCAATAGTTCTAAGTGAGCTGTCGGGGACCATGATGGGGCACTTTGAGCTCCGACCGGGCGGAGGTGACTCGTGGTTTTACTTGGCCAAAATAGTATACTAACATTTCATTGCCTGCTCGTTCAGCAGTTGGGACTGGGTTATTGTATTGGTTGGGCTCGCTTGATCGTCCTTCTTTCTAGCACTAGCACATGGCTTCCCCTGATATTTCTTTTGACCGGGTTATCACTCGTACACGCTCCTTTCAAACTTGTCCAGGTCGTAAAATTGTGGCGCAATGCTGTTCCCGGCGAAAACGCGGCCGTCGAGGGCGTTGACGGCTCGTAGCGCACTGACGCCGTCGACGAACTTGATGTAGACATTGAGGCCGACGTGATCAATGTACAACCTCTCGACACGCCCGTATTTGTCGCCGCACTCTTCGCCAATTTCCTGCCCCAGGCCTTCCGATATCTCGTGCTGCACGTCTTTGATCCCATAAAGCATGTGACGGAGCACGATGACGTTGCTCATAGGTCCGAACTTGCTCTCTGATGAGGACGAGGCGGCGGCGGCGGCGGCGACCTTGGGAGCTATGATCTTGCCGCGGCCGCCAGGCTCGGCCCAACCACCCCCTTCGGCGTCCGGCTTTTTCTTTCGCTTCTCGACATGGACGCGGAGCGGTTGGACGATACCGGATGCGTCGGCGCCCAAGCCTTGGCCTTTGGTCCACCCGTACTTGGACATAAGGCGGGCTGCGAAGCCCTTCTGGCCTGGGCGTCTCGTATTGAGCGTGGGAGCGTCGGCAGCGTTGGGGTCAAGGGTGTCTTCGTCCATAGCGTCCGGGTCTGGCTCAGGCTCGTCTGGCGAAGTTGCAGAAGGCGCCGAAGGTTCTGGCTGTGTGTAGCGGACTGGCGCGCGGGAGATGGTAGAGGGGTCTGCTTCAGGCGGCGGTGGAGGTAGAATTATCGTAGGTGTAGGTTCGGTTTGCACAGGTGGTGGAGGAGCTGAAGGCGGATTTGGAGATGCTGATGTTGTCGGAGGAGGCGCAAAGCCTCGCGACAAGGCCGGCCGACGGGCGTATGCATCATCGCCGCTCTTGTCGTCTGGAACAGAAGCTCGTGGTGGTGAAGGTGGTGGTGGTGGTGCGAACGAGTAGGATCCGGGTGGTGCGAATTGGTCTGTAATGTTACTGGTGTTAGGATGACAAGTCTTGTATTGAAAGCTGCACATGAAACAGAGGCCGTCTTACTCGTCACTGGGCGGTCCTCTTCGTCTTCACTATCCCAACTCGACTGTCTCTTGGCAGGGCGTTTGTGCTTGTACAACAGCGCCTTCCACTCCCTCACCTCTCGTATTCTCTCATCGCTCCGTAGATACTCGTCGACATTGGTCGGGCGCGAAGGGTCGTAAACCTCGTCCCAGTCCGTCTCGATGGGCGCATTGTCTCTCTTCTTCTTCTTTCTTCGCCCACCTCGATTCCGCTTCTCGTCGCCTGCATACATCCAGTCATCATCCTCAGTCGCGGCCCAATCAGCCAGGGTGCTCTTTGCTGGAGGCGGGACCTGAGCAACTGGAGTGGACACCGTGGAAGCCGTCCCGCTGCTCGGCGCATTGGCATTGGCGGGTAGGACTTTGGGGACCTTGGGTCTCTGAGTCTTTTGTTGCGGCCGACGGATGGATTGGAATGGTTGGAAGCGCAGGGAGGGATCGACTGGCTTCTTAGCTTCTGCTGCTGCTGCCTGTCCCTTGACTGCGTCCAGAGCTTCTTTGGAGACGATAGGTCCACGCGAGATGGACGCCGACTCGTCGGGAGGGCCAAGAAGGTTGGCATAAAGCGACAGGCCTCCGCTGCGTGGGGGAGGCGGCGGGCCGGCCATTATGAATGAAGTTCCCGGTATGTCGCTTTGCTGTACTACGTGGAAACCCCCTGGGTCAAGAAGAATGGAGGGCAGATGTTGCTGAAGCTGCGAATCAAAAATAGCCCATCTTCAGCCTCTTCCACAAGGCGCTGCGGAAGGAAACCGTTGTGGACCTTGAAGCTTGGCATGTACTACGTATTTATTCAGTTGGTACCTTTCTTGCAGGGGTGCGTGGGACCTTCCGACCACTTATCACACTATCAGCTGAGCTACCCTAGAACACGCCGATTTGCGTCACAACCCATGCAAGCAAGCATGGCTTCAAACGGCGCAGACTGTAGCATGTGCGGATCTGACGGTGTTGCATGATCCACGAACATTTTCCCTGAAGTACAAGTTTCGTCCGTGGTTACAGTCGTCTTTCGGTCTTTCATCCTGCTGTAGATTGTTTTCTTGTCTTTTCCTTCTCGTATAAGCTGTACATTTCAATTGGACCACTCCATATAGAAATAGACTTGTAGAACTTGTCTTGCGAATTGTCCGTCCTTCGACTTAGAAACCCTCCGCCAAAAGGTTCGAACCGTCAGAATGGCCACCCTCCAAACCGCCATCCATGGCTCTCCCTCGTCGGTCGCCGTTATAGTCCCCTCGAAGCCGACGGCGCTTACGGCCACTTACGCCGACCTCGCCTCGGCCTGCACGGCGTTCCAGGGCAAGCTGGCAGCGCTGGGCATTGGCCACGGCTCACCAGTCTCCATCGCTACGGCCAACTCGTACGAGTTTATCGTGTCCTTCCTGGCCGTGTCGTGGCAGCGCGGCATAGCGGCGCCCCTAAATCCGGCCTACAAGAAGGACGAGTTCGAGTTCTACATCGACGATATCAAGTCAGCCCTGGTCCTGGTGCCCAGGGGTGCTTACCAGACCGATGCGCCCGCTGTTCGGGCCGCCAGGAGGTTCAATGCCGCCATCGCTGAGTGCTACTGGGATGATAAGAAGAAAGAGGTCGCGCTGGATGTTAAGGATCTTGGCCAGTTAAAGGGGAAGAGCCACGAGGGGCTGTTGAAGGCACAGGCGGACGATGTTGCCTTGGTTCTTCATACAAGGTGAGTACTGTGTATAGAGTGCTGGGAAGTGAATTGCTGACGAGGTTATACATTAGTGGGACTACATCGAGGCCCAAAGTCGTAAGTCAACCATCCATTTCTCTGATGCGCTTCCACTGTTCGGGAGTTTTACTAACTCAGAGTCTAGGTGCCATTGACACACAAGAACTTGACTCGAACAATGAGTACGCATATCGCCGATAATCTCGCATCTCTAAAGGGATGATAAACTAACAATAATTGTAGAAAACATCCAAGCAACATACGCCCTCAGCCCAGCCGACCGTACGATGCTAGTCATGCCCCTTTTCCACGTTCACGGCCTCCTGTGTGCCCTCTTAGCACCCCTATACTCGGGTGGCTCTATGATCGTCCCAGCCAAATTCTCCACCTCGGAGTTCTGGGCCGATTTCCAAACGTACAAGGCGAACTGGTACACCGCCGTGCCCACCGTTCACCAGATCCTGCTCAAGTCTCCCGTGCCGAAACCCTTGCCCTCAATCCGTTTCATCCGGTCGTGCTCGTCTCCCCTCTCCCCCGCCGTCTTTGAGAAGCTCGAGGCAACATTCAAGGCCCCCGTCCTTGAGGCCTATGCCATGACCGAGGCCGCCCACCAGATGACGTCGAACCCACTCCCACCCCAGAAGCGCAAACCGGGCACTGTGGGGCTGGGCCAGGGCGTCGAAATCAAGATCCTCAACGACGCAGGCGAAGAGCTGGCCCAGGGCGCCGAGGGCGAAATCTGCATCCGCGGCGAGAACGTCACCAAGGGGTACCTGAATAACCCGAACGCCAACGCGAGTTCCTACACCAAGGGCGGGTTCTTCCGCACGGGCGATCAGGGCAAGAAGGACGAGGATGGGTACATTATTATCACAGGCCGCATCAAGGAGCTCATCAACAAGGGTGGTGAGAAGATTAGCCCCATTGAGCTGGACAATGTGTTGGCGCGACACCCGGCCGTAGGCGAGGCGGTGAGCTTTGCTATTCCCGATGAGATGTATGGCCAGGATATTGGGGTCGCCGTGGTGGTTAAGAGTGAGGAGAAACTGGGAGAGGGGGAGTTGAGGAGTTGGGTTGGGGAGAGGGTTGCTAAGTTTAAGGTGCCGAAGAAGGTAAGTTATCCCTTCCTTCCATCTCCTTATCTTTCCTTTTCAGTCCTCTTCTTCAACTGGAAATGATGCTAATAAACTGCTGTAGATCTACTTCACGGAAGTCATGCCCAAGACGGCGACGGGCAAGATTCAACGACGCATTGTCGCCGAGACGATGCAGAAGCAGGACAAGCCCAAGGCGAAGCTATGATCGAGATGAAATAGAATTGTACCCGAGCCGCGTGAACAACTTGCTTGGTTGTAGACATAGGTGTGAAGAACGACGGCTAGAAACTAGACCTAGATGTGGCCAGACTTAGATGCGATATACAGATTAGAGATAGAGAATGCTATTCTCGTAGGTATTTACTGGCAGTCACTGGCACCTGAATGCATATTGAATGGTTCTCTTGAACACATTCTAGATCGTAGTTCACTAGAAAGACGAAATGCGAGCGGCCAGTTGCTTCAAAACCGTGGTAAAACAAAGACAATGTGGGTTCATTTTGTATTCAGGGTATCTTATACGCAACCAAACACCCAATCGACCAATTGATAATCGATAATCCTATAAAAAGAGGGGACACCAAGGAAGGCCTTATCCACGTAATCTCAACCCATACCATTCCAACGCCAATACCCATATACAGTTCCCAGTCTTTACGTCTCCATTCATTGCTTGGATCACAAAATGTTCGCTTGGCATTGCCCCACAGCTTTGATGAACATGTACAATTCCTTCCATCCCCTAAAGTCCAAGACTCGAGTCCATAGAAAGACCGGCCAACCCAAATCGTAGCAGCCGGGTCCAGAGTAGCCCCACCATCCATTCGTAAACTCGTTAATTCATTCAGCCCATAGAGAAATACGCATCATCCTCGTCCTCTTCGCCATTGTACAACCCACCATACACAGGCGGCCGGCTTTCCTCCTCGCGCCGCATGGCCGCGACCCTCATCAAGCTATATCGCACCGCTTGGTCGAACGACGAGTAGACTGCCACCTGCTGGCCGTACGAGTCTGTGACCTGGTAAGGGGGTTCCTCGTCCTCGGGCGCGCTGACGCAGGTTGAGACGCTGGCGGAGGAGAAGATTGAGGCCGTGTCGTCGGCGTCTTCATGTGAGGATGAGGATGAGACACAAGAGGAGGGGTATTTGTAGCACGCATGGGGGAAGTATTGGAAGGCGTCGGCGGGCGTGTCGAGACGCTCTAGGTTATCTGATGTGAGGCGGAGTGGTGAGGGGGGCATGATATCGACCCAATTGGTAGGGTTGAGTTCTCGTTTCCGCGAGTTTGTTGGCTGATATTCAGGTGAGTGGTCCGATGCTTCAGTGGATTTAATTTAGGACTTGGTCTGTCGGTTGAATAACACGATAACTGGCTGATAAGAGAGACGTTTGTAGTTGTTTCGATGATGATGAACGTCCAAGTCGAGTGCGCAGGTCTGGCTTGGGGTCTTTAAGTAAAAAGGTATTCTCGAGCGGTCATAACAAACGGCACGGTGATAAATAAGTAGCAATGACGATCAGCCAAATTCGCGACATAAAGCCAAGGCGAGGCCAAGGCAATGGTGGCTAGGTACTATCCCACCGTGTCCCCATGACAAAACACAAATTCTCAGTTCTTCTCTGCGTCAAACCTTCTCCGGAACGTCTGGCAAGTCTAGTCTGAACTGGATCCCTTGCCGAGCTCGGACAGAAACCACAATACGTCGGTGGCCATCACCGCCTCAAAACCCTTCGACCATTGTGACCATAATCCACGGTCCAATCGTGCGATGACGTACCATTGTATAAGCCGAGGATTAGCGATGGGAGCCGCACGTGCTGATGTGTCAGGGGCCCAGAATCAAAATTTCTTGGCTGCATGTCGTGGTTTCGGCTCCATCACAAGCAGGTGGGCGAAGTCGCGAGCCGCCGGTTCTCGGAATCGCTGGTTGATAATAAAGGACTCACCCAAAAAGTCTGCCAAAGTATTGACATTGACGATGTTTGGACGACTGGGAACAAATACGAGCTGCGCTCTTCTCAGTTCACCCGGTGAGTCCTGATTGGTCGAGATGATTCCCCAGACGGGAAATGAAGTAAAAGAAGGGGATATAGAGTAGAACGTCCTGCTAAGATTGGGTCGATTGAGTGCTCAGGTAACGCCAAGTGCATCGCCCTTGGTACATTGGCAATCAATATAATCATCACGTGTACCATTGTTTCGTTCACCAAGTTGACCCATGCGACCAAAGCGACTGCATACACGGGAATTAAAAATGGTGGTTGTTCAACGTGCCCCGCTTGCCAAGTCGCGGAGACGAATTGGGGACCTGCCGGAGCAAGGCGCGGGGTTGAATGGGTGATAGCAAGGCGTGCTTTCGAAAGAAACCCAAATCAGAGCTCTACTGCTTCCGATAACCGACGATTCAACGACAATGGCCCTTCCCTGCCGCTGTCTGTCTCGAGCAAGCACCGTCTTTTCATCCCACCAGCTCAATCTCATCCCCAATTCAACAATTAGGTTTCCACCTAGGCCTACCTTCATTATTAATAAGCTCCCTCATCAACTCCGCAGAACGATGGCAGATACCCCCCGCCCCCCGATCACGGCTCCGCCGGCGGGGAAATTCGAGTTCCTGGTTGTAGTGCCGGATAAGCCTGGCACGGCGCAGAAGAGACTCGAAGTTCGGCCGTGAGTTTTCTGTTTTATTTGTCACTCAGCGATCCGATAAGAAAGTGCATAAACATACCATGAAGGGGACTAACGGGGCGCCACCTCCGATATAGGAAGCACTTCGAGGGCCTGAAGGCTGCCATTGAGTCTGGGTCTTTCAAGATGGGAGGTGAGTACTTGGGGCTTGAGTGATACTGACGATAATGCTGATTGGTTTGCTTGTAGGGGCTGCCTTGAATGAAGTACCCGAGACAGACGACCCGTCCAAATTCAACTGGTATGGGTCGACAATTATCATGGTGGCTACGTCCAAGTCAGTTGCCCGCATTTGTCCAAGACTGGGATCCCACCAGCCTGCGCCCGATCAATGATCATGGTGACGCACCCCCAGCACTCGTCCGGTGGCCAGAGACGCAGCTTTGTGCGACCTGTCGCATTTGGCTGTGCGGGCTGGCATACAAGAGTCCCACGCCTGAATGGCTGGCTAATACCCCAGTCTAGGGAAGAATGCTTGGAGATTCTGAGAAAAGATGTCTACACTGCCAGTGGAGTCTGGGATGTTGACAATGTAAGTCCAACGCCCATGGTGGCTTGGAAATAATTTCATTACGAGCAGGCGGCTAACCAAATGTTTCTATGCAGGCGCAGATATGGCCTGTAAGTGATATCCAATACATTGCCTTTTGCGATCTCGTCCGCGCCCTTACTCACTTGTTTCTAGGTCAAACTTGCATTCAGATATCCCTGAGGCCAACCTGATCAAACTTTGCTCGAGGTTTACAGTCTCATAATGGCTGGGATGCATCGGGAGTAATATTAGCTTCCGCCGACACAGGCCACTACCAATGTGTACCATCGAGGACACGCCCAAATCTATCCACTCATTTTGCAGATGTGGAAACCGCAGCCGCGAGGCACGCATGCATCGTGAATCCCACAAGCATCATACACCCTTGATTCGCACTAATGTCAAGTCCCCTGAACGCCGCTATTGTCCTCATTCCCGTCGTGACTGATACTTCTAAGGCTGCCCTTCCTTCTCAGCAGCCGCTTCGGCCGCAACTCTCAGCTCGTAATTAAGTTCGAAACACTCGGCCAGTAGTTCCGCCACGCTACCTTGGCCCTCGGGGATATCCTCTCCAACCATAAACTTGCCGTCAACTTTCATATTGTCAATCGAGTGCAGCTGCTTCGAAGTCAGTGCGTGTTGGCTCTGAGGCGTTGATTGCAACTTGCCTTCATGCTGTAGGGGTACAATTCGCGAACGGATGATACACCTCCGCTGTTCTGGACCTCGACCAAACAGCGCTTTAGAGTGTGAAGCTGGTTGTATATCGGCAGGAGTGCCTCAGAAACCGGCTCCGACGATATCATCAAATGATAAATGTAACCATAACTTTTTCGGATGAGATACAGAAGTGTCCGTATCGCTGTCAGCTAGGCATACTCAGCACATGGATCGAACTTACTCGTTGAACATAAAGGTCAGCAGGTTGGCCCTTCTCGTCCAGCCAGTTGCCATCTACTCTATTCTTATCGATCTTGTCAAGTTGCCGTTGGTAGTCGTACAAGTCAGTTTCTCGTAGTGACCAGGCTTGAGTCAATGAGAGCTTGTCGAGTTCGTTTCGTATGCCGATCAGAATATCATAGATGTGTTTCCACTGCTCCGGAAACTTGCCAGCTCTAATGTCATAGTGTCAGCTGGTCTCTGGTTCATCATAGAGATGCATGATCCTACATACTTCTCTAGCACGACTTCGGTGTAATTCTGACACCTGTCAAGCAGAAAACACACTTGCTCGCTTCCTGCCAAAACGCTGCCATCAGCATCAATGAAGTGTCCGTCGACTCGCTTCTCGTCGATCTCCTTCAGTTGTGCTTGGAATTTGTGAATGTCCTCCGGTTTAAACTACCCGGCGAAGTTTAGCGACTATCCCCAGTCGTATGCAGAGCGTGCAATCCTACCGTGGACTTGGTGTTGATGGCAGCCGTTTGCCGCAGTATGGAAACAAGCTTCTCATATGTTGCCAGTATCGGCTCGGCATATACCTCGAGCTTCTTCTTGAGATTAGCCAACGATTCTCGACAACGATATACGCGATTCGAGAGGAGAGTTTCGAGGAGCGGTGTTGTCTTGCTACGGGAATGATTCTCCACGATTGCCGACAAACGTTCCAGGGCTTGCGACATGCTCTCAAGGTCTTTGGCCGAGAAGATATCGGCTTCGGTAAGGTGATCGAGTAATCGCTTGATGGTCGAAGTCAATGCGTAGGCCGCCGGCGCCTCATTGTTTCGCCCTATGGTCATAAAGAACAGGGACAAGAGTTGGAAGCAGCTGTCCACCACTCTGTCGACTGTTATGAGATCAGCGATGCCTTCTGGGCATACTCGGGTGGTATAGACGGCTCTATACCTGTGTTCTCGTCGGTTTTCTTCCCATTCCTTATCTCGTTAAGTTGCTTGACTTGCTCGATGGTCCGATCGTACAGCACCATAACATCTTGAGTGCGGACGTAGGTCGTTCGGTCGAGCTTTCGAAGCTGTAGCTGAGTCAGGATTTCGTTTAGGTTCTGAAGCACCTGCTTCTCTCCCTCGTCCTGAGGACCGGGTATCTTAGGGGTGTCCATGTTGTCGCTGCGAAACTGGTCTCCTAGCTCTGCTCGCGACTTCAAGATAACAGAGATGTAACAGCAAGATTTGAGACCCCACCCGCACCCGAGTTTCCTATGTTCTTCGCCGGGGGTCGACTGTACTTTGTATATTATTTGGAAAAGATATCGGCCCAATAACAGCGATCGTTTATGTGAAAGATCCCAGAAAACTGTACAAAGCGCCCAATGACGTTGGACTGACGGTTTCCTCGCAGCCCTTGCGGGTATGGGGGTCACGTATCGTGGCAGTGGTGACCCAGTACTAGCAGTATCAAGGGCACTTGTGAGCACGCGGAACTTTACGAGCTCACCATCGTTCGACCCAACGGCGGAGCTGCAGATTTAACGACAAAAGTCCAGATTGTCTTGGTCAGGGTCGCTAAGGCATGCTGCGTCTCTTGGAAACTGCTGTTGTTCGTTATTCCCACCTCATCTCTACGCAAGGCGGGGGAAGTGGCTTGAGGTAGGTGGGGCAATAGTATCAGCTAAGAAGTTGGGTAAGTTCGTGATGCATGTCAGGTGGGGGCATTTCTTTGAAGCTCATTCGTCCCACTTCTGAGGTCCATTGGTGATGAAGCTGGAATTCAAAGCCAATCAGAGGACAGAGGGGAGACAAGCAAGACCCACTCATCGACTCTGCGATCAATACGTATCCTCGGGTCGGATAATCTGCCCCGCCGCGACTTCCGTTAGGGCTTCGAAATTTTAGAGATCATTTTTCGGTGGGATAAGCCGGCATCCTAGGCGAAGTACAATTTCCACTACCAGCGATTCGATCATCCAACATCTCGAGAGGCGCAGACCGCAAACTACCACAGTTCCCATCTCCAGATACACACAGAAATCTACGATAATGTCGACCGCTGAGCTGGCTTCGTCGTACGCGGCGCTCATCCTCGCTGATGATGGTCTTGAGGTCACCGTGAGCCTGCCCCTGCCCCTCCACGATGCGATGCGCAAAGAACCGACTGGGAAATTGAGATGCGCGGGACTCAATGGATGAATTGCTAACCATTTGACTCACTCTGCTAGGCCGACAAGCTCCAGACCCTGATTAAGGCTGCCAACGTCACCGAAGTCGAGCCCATCTGGACCTCTCTGTTCGCCAAGGTACGACTTGCAACCCGACATTCGAATGAGGTCGCCCCGCGATGAGGAGAGGACATGGACTAACGCGCAAAAACTCTAGGCTCTCGAGGGAAAGGACGTGAAGGATCTTCTGTCAAACGTCGGCTCCGGTGGTGGTGCCGCTGCCTCCGGCCCTGCTGCTGGTGGCGCCCCAGGTGGCGACGCACCTGAGGCCGCCAAGGAGGAGGAGAAGGAGGAGGACAAGGAGGAGTCCGACGAGGACATGGGCTTCGGTCTCTTCGATTAAGCGGATGGCCCTCTGTTACGACGACGAATTCTCAATCTCCTTTTGTACTTCAACTTGCATGGCTATGGGGTTCCTACATACACCCGAAACCGGTGTGGCGTGAAGGTGGCAAGGGCAATATCTGGATGTCCTGTCTGGGCAGACAAAATGGATCGATTTCGCATAGTATAATATGACGATGCGCTCCTGGGAGTTATGAAGACACATGATTGCCGACCTCACTCAGATTGCCCAGGTGTGGACTCGCAAATGAAATGAGAAAGGGAAATGAGATTCCGACGTTCCTCGCGAGTGCCAGATCAATCGTATTGGGACAAGCCACGGCCGGCGGACTCCGATAGACAATAATTCAAGTCGTAAACATCAACCTCCATGTGTTGGCTACCTGCTCAAGGGGGGTCATATGCTATTGAGAATCTCCATTGTTCTAAAGAAGCCCATCATCCAAACGCCGGTGTATGCAATCGTGACCATCAACCCCAGTCCACTACGTTCTATTTCACTGCACAATCAGAGCTGCACTGGGTACGAATCCGGCCTCCTTGAGTGTCTTGCCGAAGTCGACGCTTCCCTCGAATGTCTTCTTCGGGAAAGTCATGACAAACTTGGTGACGGTTAGGCCGTTGTCGGTCTGAAGCTGTTGCGCCAGCTCGAACAGAGTCGTCTCAGCCGGTAGAGTTTTCAAGACGTTGCCGCCAGCGGTCTGTAATCTCAGCCGAGCCTCCGTGTGCGCAGCAGCTGGACGCGAGGCGGCCGGAGGGGCAACAGGAGACTCAGATACCACAGCTCTACCTTCGCGGGCTGCCTTGGCCTCGTCGGCCTTGCGCTTTCGCTCGGCCTTGTCGGCTTCAATCTTGGCCTTGATACGTCTCTTGGCCTCCAATTCGTCGGCTTTCTCCTGGCGCTTCTTGGCCGCTTCCTTCAGCTGCTCTTTGCGTTGCAGTTCCTCCTTGACATCCTGCGACTCACGGGTTGCCTTCTGACGGATTTTCTAACAGTATAAATATCAGCCACGCCATGACGTGCAATAGGGAGAGTTGCCTCGTACCTCGTTCTTCTTGGCTTCCTCCTTGTCAATCATTGCCTGGCCAGCGCGCTTTGCCTCGAGACGCTCACGGAGCTCTTGAAGTCTGGCAGCCTTCTCCTCCTCGGTCAGGGGTGCAAGCTCCTCAGTGGACTCGGCGAAATCGTCATGGCCAGTCTTCTCGGCATGATAATTGGCCAACTCTAGATTCCTGAATCGCTTGCTACAGTCGTTGCAAATGATGGACTTGGCACTCTCGCCCTCAGCGACGGAGGCGGCAGTGACCTCGGATGCTTTCTCCTCCTCCTGCAGTTCGTCAAGCGGGGTATCTTGGGTCTTCTCCAGCCAGTTCATCGCTCCTTCCACTGTAGAAATGCGTCAGTATGCATTGTGAATAGGTCATGGGATATTTATTCTTACAGCCTCCAGGCTTCTTCACGGCCAGCTCGGCACGTGACTTGTCAAAGCCCATCTCCAACAAAGTATCGAGATCCGACGACATTTTGGCTATCGTTGCTTTGAGAAATGCTGACTAGACTAGCAGTAGAACGAAGGAGTCACACTTGTTAGCGAGGATCAAATATCCGAGAGAAAAATAAATCTCTTCGGAATAAGAACACGGAGACGCTGGCTGCTCAGGAATCGAACGGTTAGATGGATTGATAATGTAGTAGTGCCTGGAGGCTACGAAAGAACGTCATGGCAGCTTCCCGACGATATATGGTTGGCCCGTGCGCACCTGCCGTGAATGTTCCCCGGCTGTTCTATTGTTCTTTAATGTTTCAACGTGTTCTTTACAAGCCCTTCGTACCGCCTTTATTATGCTATCTATATACAGGATGGAAACTTGCATCTGTGAAAACTATGGCTGCATCGTTGAACGGTTTAAAAATACAGAGAAGTCGACCATTAACAATACTACATAAAAATGCCTTGATAACAGTGAATAATTGCTGTTTGGGGATCTCCAGATGATCAGATGTGAAAGCACAAGCCCCTAGCCAGGGCCTGGAAATATTCCAGAGACTCCAGAGGGGGCTAGCGTACATTCGACATGCGCTTGAGCAAAGTGCCTGGTCCACTAAAACTTGAACTTGAATCCTGGCTATGTCGTAACAACTTGCTGTTCACTTTAATTTACCTCCCCTAGCAAGCAAGCATTCATTTACTGAGATATCAACATCTTGTCGCATGAATTCTCAGTGCTAATCCACTTCCGGCATCTTTCCACCAAATAGTATCAACTCACTGCAGCATCAGTTCGTTGTTACAGACAGCCAGCCAGCAAGCATTAACGTTTGCCTCGGTTGCCCCCCTAGAGCTGACAAAAACGACTGAGCTCCGCCGGAGTGAACGACCAACCCGACCAACCTTGGCCGTATTCCTGCGCATCCCCTCCTTCCTCCTGCCTCATGCGATAAACACGGCAAACCCTTGGCAAACACCAGACCACCATCATACTGAGCAAGGAACAATACACATTTGCCAATATGTCTGTCGAGATTGATCCATCGGAGCTTGGTTTCCGCCGTACGTCATTGCGTCCCGACCGCCTGCACTGGGCAGATAATACGGACTTGGGGCTGATAATGCAATACAGGACCCTTCACCGTGGAGGTCTCGGAAGTATTGAAGATTAGAAACCCCAATACTCACCCGGTTGCTTTCAAGGTAGGACGACGAGCGTTCCATGCCCAAGTCACCAATCGTGCGCGCTAACATAGACCAGGTCAAAACCACGGCACCGAAACAGTACGAACCAACCTATCGTCCGAAAGGACCCATCAGGATGGTACATTTGATTGCTAACTCGAGAATATCGTAGATATTGTGTCCGACCGAACTCTGGCAGAGTCGAGCCGGGCAAGGAGGTGGAGGTCTCTGGTACGTGATCGCCCGCGAGAACCAATCGGTATCTCTAACGGTCAATAGTCATCCTCCAAGCGATGAAGCAAGAGCCTCCTATGGACACAAAGTGCCGCGACAAATTCCTTGTTCAATCTGTCGCAATAACTAGCGATCAGGAATTCGCAAACCTGACCAGCATTGTGAGACCCACAGCACAACTCGACATGTGATATCTAAGCTGACAGCAGAACAGTGGGAGGGAATTGACAAGTCGTCAGTTCAAGAGAAGAAGATCCGGGTTGTGTTTTTGTCCGCTGGGGGCACGAGTGAGGGCAAGGCTGCCGAGACCCCCAATAGACGGTCCACAATTAATGGAGTGCGTGTGCCTCTTTTTATCACCTCGAATCTCGAGTTGCTGACCATCTTCTGTTTGTAGCATGAAGGAACGCCCGATATCGCACCTCCTGCCTACTCCTCTCCCGGTAACTACGGCAGCGCAACTCGAGCCGAGCCCAAATCCTCAACCGATGAGCCGGAATTCAAGACCGAGGACTCGCCATCAGTCGCACAAGGATTCGCGTCGTCGTCTTCTGCTGCTACGAGCAGTGTGGCGAGCCCAGAAAAACTCAAGGCAGAGCTAGCACAGGCCGAGAAGATAATCGCCCAGCTGAAGGCAGAACAGGGAGGGCTCCGACAACGCAAGACTGGAGGAGCAACTGCTGAGGACAATTCACAGCCAGCCCAGCTCGCCCAAGCTGTGAGAACAGGAACCGAAGGCGTGCCGGTGCAAGTCACAGCCGCGTTGTGTTTCTTGAGCTTCTTGCTCGCATACCTCTTCTTCTAAACTGGCCCTAGGACCATCTCTTCACTTTAAACGAGCCTTGCCCGGATGGGTTTTTTTTGAGTCTGAATCACAAGGATGGCTGGTGTTTTTTGAGAGCACTACGGAATTTGACTGGACCCATGCTGCCACGAGCAGCAAAGTCTGAAGACACTAAGAATAATGGTTGACCGTGGGGCAGAGCAGAGGGTAGATATTCTTGGGATCAGGCTGATCTTTAGTTAAAAGGTAGCCGTGGTCCGTTGAACAGCCTCTGTGTACTTTAGCATCTACTCTCTTTTGTTGGAGCCTGGAATCGACTTTACGCTTTATACGCGGCAATTGCTTTCCCCGAGTGGCAGGTGCTTCTAGTGGTTCAGATGCGATGCCTACACCTGCGTCATCTCTCACTTGATTCCGTTGACTGACCAAGCCGAATTGATTATGGAGTCATTCGCCCGTTAAGGACAATCAGTTGAGTTTGAGGGCCCACCTGAGGCCTGCGTCACCCCTTTGCTCGTATGTGATCCTGGGCCATCATGTGCACTGATTATATTGATTCTGTCACAAGATATCCATGACGGGGGTTGGGACCTTTGCACTTGATGACGCAGAAATAACGACACTGAAGGCGGGCGAGAAGCTCGCAGTGTGAAGGTGGAGACAGAGACGGACAACCAAGCTTCAACAAGAACTGCTGCCCTGGCGAACAACAGGAGATAAGAACCTGATGGCGTTCATCAGATCAACAGAAGTGCCTCAACAGGTAGAGTACCAGAACAGGACCTCAACCGTTCGCTCAATAGATGGATTACACTATTTGCACAGTGACTGCGGGCTTGCTACAATGCCTGAAGCTAGTCTATACCCAATTACCCAAACGCCGGACAATCCCAGTGTAATAATGTCCATTGAGAATGTATGTTCACAATGCGATCCTCTGGCTAGGAGCCGAGCCGGCTAGCCCCTCATTATCCTCAACGGTGGCAACCAACAGGCAGTTCCTAAGCCTCTATCTCATCCTGCTGCCAGTCCCCCACTGGCTCCGCTTTCTTCCCATTGGGCTGCGTGCCGAAACCAACTTTTCTTCCGCCTTCCTTCCGCTTCACGCGACACCGGATGCCCACGTTCTCGTCGAAGATGAACTGCCACAGAACATACGACCAACTCTGGTGCTGGGGCAGGTCCTTGTAGAACTCGTTGGCAATCTCGTACAGCTTCGGCAGCCGCGTCCACGGAACGGCAGGGAAATCGTGGTGCTCGTTATGGAAGCCGACGTTGTAGGTGAGGATGTTGCCCAGCCCGTAGTAGCTGAAAGTCTCGGGCACAGGAATCTTATTGTCCGGGTTCGCAGCGGCCGGTGTGATGGTGTTGTAAACGTAGTGTTCGGCGATGAAGTGGCCGGCCAGGGGGTGCAAGCTTCCGGCCAGGAAGGATGAGAGCAGGAAGTACAGCAGCGCGTTCTTGCCCATGGTCTGGATGACGACGTAGTCGAACAGGACCTGGACGGCCAGGTTGGTGCCCGAGACCCAGGTGAAGGGAACGCGGTAGACGGCCATGGGCCGCACGGCGTAGAAGAATATCTGGAAGGTGCAGAAGAACGCCTTACCGAGGATGGAGTCGAGGAAAACAGCCTCGAGCGCCGTGGGCAGGTCCGTGTCGAGCCCGTCGACCCCTAGCGACTTGTGGTGCGTCAGGTGGTAGGGGCGGAACGAGGCGCTGTAGGGCACGCCGATGGGCAGGTTGGCCACGATGGCGAAGAGCCGGTTGGCCGTCGCCGACCGGAAGGCCAGGTTGTGGCTGATTTCGTGGATGGCCAGGAATAGGTTCTGGTTCGCGGTCGCGCCGACGACGTAGGCGAGCGCCCAGTAGGGCAGCGAGAAGAAGGACGTGTTGCGCAGGACGTAAGCGCAGAGGATTTGGAGGGATACGACGCCCAGTACCACCCACTTCGTCAGGGGCTCCGGGCCGCAGAGCTTGGTCACCTTGATGTCCGGTGTTAGCTGGGGGCGTTCTGCGGTCTAATGAGTTGCGCAAGCTGGTTTGAGAGTATCATACCTCTGGATGGGCCTTGATGATGGCGATGCGGCGTGTACGGTGCGGCTCTTCGGTGTATGTCCAGAAGAAGTCACGATACTTGGTCTCGATGGGGTCTCGCTGGAGGGGCAAATCCTCGCCGCTCGCGCCTGTCACCTTTAATACCGGAGGGCTCAGGACAGCCGGAGCCGTAGTCATGGTGGAGGCTTTTGAAGGCGCCATGTTCGTGTCGTCCTTGTAGGTAGACCTCGAGAAAGGGACATCAATTGACTATGTCGCGGCACCACATAGGTAAAGAGGAAAAGTGACAGCGTGTTTGGTCGGTTTAAAGGTTGAAAGCTGGGGCAGCACGTCAAATTGCATCTGGATTCTGCGGTGAAGACTGCTAGGTGGCGATCGGGGAGGTGGAGTTTCCAGTAGGCTTTCGTTCAATTGGGAGCTCTAGACCAATCAACACCCACCATTTTGATTTACCCTCCAAGGGTTCTGCCCCACATCTCGCAGTGTGCCCCTGAACTGCAATTGCATGGTGAGTTCCGCGGATTGCGAGCAGATGAGACGACACTTGCGTCGTCAAGTTGCACTTGACCTCAATATAGATGCACTCTTTCGTAGCGAAATTATTGATATAGCCTCTTACAGGTTGCAGGGTAGAGTGTCGTCCAAATAAGCAGTATGTCACACTTGAATAATTTATACTGCTACTTGCGACGAGTCCCGCTGTGAAGGGACAAACAATCCTCTTACTCGTTCGTATCTGGCTTCTTGGCCTTATCAGCCCACGTCGAACCATTTTGCAACCGCACCATTACTCGCAGTCACGGTCCTCAAACTAGTCTCTGGTGAACATCCTCATCTGCTATGTCTCCTATTTCTGGCAAATTCCACCTCAATCGGTGGGCGCCAGTTAAACAAAGTTTTTTGCATTTTGCGTACGTGCCTCTGGTATTACATAGGTACCTCAGACATAACCTCCCTCCATTCTGCATAGATTCTGAACTCGTGTTGGATGATCCGGCAAACATATATCCATAGCCCTCATCATAAGGTCTGAGGCTCGGTCTGCGGTGGTCTTACATGTCTTATCTCGTTCCAGATGGGAGTGTCGGGTTAGCTGTAACGACATACTGCGGTATCGGAAATGGGCGGTAGAAAGCAGAAAAGAAGGGAAAATGTACGTGAGAACTCGTCTCATTGCTGGCTTAGTCGCTTCAAATGCGAATTCTACTATCCCGCGAGATTTGACCCGCGTAATCCCACCTCGCCAGTCATGGCAAGGTAGTAAGGATGTACTCAGGTCACTTTCCCTTACTGTCCAGGTGAGCAGATAGCCAGAGTTTTGGGGTAATCTTATTGATTTTCGTCGATACAAGGCATCTAACGGTGTATATATCAGATATTTCCTACGCCTAAGAACATATGATTGAAGAGAGGAATATCCGACTGATGTAGGAAGCGAATAGCACGGCTCTAAGTTACTCACATCTGTCCATCTCTCTAAACCAATCTCCGGGATCTTTCCCATATTCGCCTTTCGATAGATAACTGGTATACTAACTTTGTTCATAGAGGGTTTGCCAAAATTCTGCCATTCAACTTTGGTTATATACACCGGTACGACACCACCGCTGGCAGGCCTATATGAGAATGAAAATGAGACGATGGAGATGCAATTGCTCAAGTCAGACACATATACAAGTTCTTTGAAACCCCTTTCTAGGTTGGCTTGCGGGTGGGAGATGGATAATATCCTCGAGACACCGTCCAAGATTCGTCATTAAGCAGCGAACAGACGAAATGCTCCCCGCCCCTTGTCACCCATCGATTGCTGTTCAGTGCGTTTGATAAGTTTGATAACACTCATCCATCACGCCCATTTTGTTGATTGATTTTACTAGCTTGTATGTCACTCTGGGCTTTCCAACCTAGAGACCATCACCGCTTCAATAGCTGTCTCGCGTTGCTTCAACTGAGCGCCATGGTTCTCCTTCGATGTTATGAGGTCTTTGGATTTTCTTGGATCTATGCCATCAGTGGTCGTTTGCCACAGTTTCATACCTTCAGTCCACTCTCGTTTTGTTAGTTATCTCCTTGCTAGACAGATCCGGTCCATCGATCATGATCAAATGTAATCTAGCATGACGTCCTCTGATTGGCTCTATTCTCTGGCTTCTGCCATCTCCTTTTATCTGTACTGAATTCAATCGTCAAAACGGTGGGCAAATACATAAAGTCATAGTCAGAATGGCGGTTGAAAAAGCTGCGAGTTTATAGTTTGGCTTTTGTTTACGCTGAGGCAAAATGGGGGGCTACTCATAGGAAGGGTTGGCGAAGGCACCAGTGATCTCTCTCTGGTCTATTATCGTAGCGTTCCATTATGACGCTTAACAGTCAAGTGAATGTCACTAAAAAGACCCAGTGGGGTGGATCAGGCTATGTTCGTCTGCTATACTGAAATACCGAGCTATTCTACGTTATCATACCCTTCATGCGTTGTTGATGTATCACTCACCTGTCAGTGGCATCGTAGGGCTTTTCTGATATAATCTCGTGTGACAATATTAGTCCATTGTCAGGGTACGGCTAGGCCGAAGGCAATAGTACAGAGTGATGGGGAGTAACGGGCGTCCCTCCTACGTAGCACCGGGTGGTCACTGGCGGTCTCAGGTAGGGGTGCCCACGGTGATGCATTGATCTCTGCCCTCTCTATCTTCCTCCGTCTCGACTCCTTACTTATAGCCAGCCGAGGTTCTCTCTTGGATTCTGGATGTTTGCTTCCGTATGTCTGTGTTCCTCCGACTTCGGCCAATATCTTGGACAGCGGCTCCTTATCTGCAACCAAGCGATTCCCTATCCGCTGCAAACGGCTTCAACGGCTCTCATTCGCCACAAGCGGCTCTCTAGCCGCCACAAACGGCTTCCTACCTGGTGGAAGCCGGCCCGCCTCGGATGACACTTGTGGCTCTGACAACTCCTTCCCTATCCTACTTCGAGATGGTCCTTATATAGATAGCTAGGCCGCCGCTTGGACCCGGCATAACAGCAGGGTCGGCGATGCCAAGGATCTTGACTCTCGTCATCCCAAAGCTTCACATAGATTGTAATCATGATTCGGGAGTCTTTTGTCCGAAACACCCCTCCGGCGGCCCGCCGGTGTCCTGCGTTCAGTGTCCTGACACCCACTGGTGCCTATGGCATTCTGTTCTCTGACATCCATGGGGATAACTCCGGAGCAACTAGGCGCCGCGCAGGGAATTTCACCTACGATTTTTTACCTGCCGTGATATATTCGATGTCCCAAGGTAATATTGATAATCTAAGTCCTGCTCAGCCAGAGGGTGTCCTCCGTGGAGTACCATCCCCCACTACCTCGCGGTAACCTGAATTCTGCGAACCCTACCAAAAACTAACTTCGTTACTAATGACGTACATGAATTTAAAGAGTATTAAAGCAGGGAATTCGTATTTAGCTAGTTGAATAATTGATATACTAGTTAAGAATAATTTTAAGACTACGTAATTTGTGAGTAGTTAGGTATTAACGCTGTAAATCAGAGCTTTAAACTAGTATTAAGTCTAGGATTTTGAAGGAAAATCGGTTCAATAAAAAGAAAGTTAGTACTTGTTTATCTTATCTTACATAATTACTATAGTCCTTTAGTAATATGATTCTATTGTTAAGTAATTATGAAGTTTCGGCGTGTTAGCGTTTTTCCTTGATAAAAACTTCGAGATTCCTGAGCGCGGGGCCAAGATACACGGATTAGCATCACCTATTTTTAAATAATCAACATATCCTACTTCGTCAAATTTTATCGTAGTTATATTATAGTAGAATGTATAATGATGTATATACACTGTACATATGTTTATTCCCATTATACAGTTATAGCTTTTGGAATTTGTATGTGGCGGGCTATTTTACGTTTCTGAAATGGAGATGCTACCGTGAGGGTAGTGGGGGATGGTAGTCCTTGTTGGTCTACGGACTGCCTCAGTCCCCGCGATATCCTCGTTCTAGACTCAACCATGCAATATGTGATTCTCTCTGTTTCCCAGCTGGCATGGATAGTATTGAATCATATTGATTATATAATCGTTGTTTCGCCTTTTCTCCCGGGCTAGGTTAGTCTAGTACAGAACAGGGCATTCCGACCCCAGTGATGTGAGCACATATTAGACGAGTCCGTCCTCCTTCCAATGATGTTGCAGATAGATCAACCATGTCTTCGCACCGACTCGGCAGACCCACTGGGGGAATCTGAATGGCGAGGCCGGCACTAGCTTCTAGCACTTTCATCCCATTAGCCTAACGCCGCCGCTGGCTGTCATGCGACCGTTTGGTATGAGGCTCTTCGACGATCTGACTCGCTCAGATTACCTTTTTGGCTAACAAAAGGCCACACAGCTCCATCTCTTGGCATCACAGAGTGTCTGCAGTGTCTCGTTTCTATTTGCATCGTGAGTCAGCCTACCTGTTTTCCACAAAAGAAATGCAAATTTCGGGTTCCCGAGTGTGAAACCATCCCCGGCATAGTAAGAGCGGTGTCATATTTTAGGTGAGCTGAATGACCATATGTGACCACATCATCTTACCGTCCTTGGTCGTGGCGACATAGGAGCCCATCTCGTATATCCCGTAGCTTGCCCCCGCCCCCTTGATGGATCACAAGCGTTTTAGCCTATCTCATGACGACTTGATGCGAAGTTTAGTCAGGTAGAAACTCGCGCAAGATTGGGCTCCAAGGCCCCTTCCGAGTCCTGGACTGGCTGTGGGACTTAGCTTTGTGATACATGTGGAAGGTCTCCTAATCTCAACGATGCCTATCAAGTTCTCACACTTGTAGATAGACTGGTGACACTTCAGGTAAAACAAGACAGCGCAGCGGTCTGTTGAATGCAGTGTAGAAACGTGGTCTCCTACAGCTGGGTAGATTCGAGAGGACCAAATCTTGCCGGCAATCTATGGGAGACAAAGGTAGAAACGGTAGAAAAGGTAATAAATTCGGATATTTGAAATGGACCAAATTTGAAGAGGCTTAGACTGAATCAAAGTACTCTTCAGACGTCATGTTAGATGCTCCTTAGAGTCGCACAGCCTTCTGCGCTTGGGCGAAGCTGAAAATTCCAAGGTGCCACTAGGGGGGTAACATCATCTTCGAAAACGTAGCAAAGCTAAACCAGCCTGCATCGACAGGGTAATTGCAGTTACGAATTTCAGATCTTGCGTCGTATTGACGAGCAATGCGGGATTGGGGATATAGCACCCACAACGTAGGAGACCGTCAATATATTTCTTATTTGTGAGGCTCGCACTTCCTAGCCTCCTCAATATCCAAAATAGGTGGGGTCTATGCGTTTATCTATTTGACGCCAGCCATAATATTTGGCCTGATATTTCCCGAAGTAGTGGTCGGCTGGGGCTGATGTGTGTAAGTCCCGAGGCCAAGCGACCAGCTCAGCCTCCCTGTTTTCTTGTTCAAGCTTGTACGGCGACTAAGTAAATTTGGGGGCTGACATGCGGACTAAATCTATACCACCATGGGCCGGTTTATTATGCCAAAAAACAATATAATACAACATAGATAAGTAGATGAGCGAATCGACGAATACGCTCCGGAGAACTAATGTACATGACAGATGACAGCTCATTTCTCAGACGTATTGAGTTGGTGTAGCTCTAGTGGATCGATGAACGAGGCTCTTTGTAGATACTTGAGGATAACAAAGGGATCTAGCAGCCGACAGATCAAGCAGGGCAACTAGGAATGACGAATCAGGAGAGGCACTTCTCTCCGTCTTGGCGTCATGCGGCTCTTGAGGCGGCTCTGCGATCTCACTTTGATCCTGATTATCCAGCCGCAGGAAACGTTGATGGCTGGGAAAGAAGTATGGTCTAAATGCAGGGAGCTGAAGGATTTTCAATAATGCTCCGTGTAAAATAATCCATTGAGCCAATATCGGGTCTTCTCGAGGTCCAAGACATCTCGGGCTCATATGACTTGAGGCCTTTGAGGTTAGGAAAGAAGCAGGCGGGCTGCTGTCAATCCTCAGTTGAGGCTGAAACTCCGGAATGCTCCTGCCCCGCACTCAGTTACGTCAAGTGAGTGCTTCACTGGTCGTTGCTGCTTTGCGCGCGACCTAATTATAGAGACACATATTTTGAATCCAGTCCGTGTCGTCAACAAAGATGACTCTCTGTCACGGTAAAACTTCGTTCGAGTATGACAGGACATTATTCAGCTCTAGCATCGCGGGTGTTAGGTCGCAGAAGACACGAAATGCCGTACATGGATGCACTGCCTAGTCGGCCGCAGCCTTCCGATGGTGAGGCTCTGCTTGACGCATATCCCTTGCCCTGAGTACTTAAACCGAGCAAAATGGCTGTCCTAACCCCAGAAGGTCATTGCAGTGCGAGTACACAAACGACCGCCAATGCCCCGGTGAGCTGGTCTGTCTTTTCTCTCTGTCATCCAGGGCTCAAGATCAATGCTACGGCCGAGGCGAACTGCCGAGGCACCGCCCAGGAGGGTCTCTGGTCTTCAACGCCTCCCGTATGAAATGGTTTCGCTCATCATAAGCCATCTCACTATAGAAGAAACTTTTGATCTCGCCCTGTCATGTCACCACCTCGAATACTTGATCCGGGAAACAGATTTTTGCAAAGCTGTTGTCAAGGTGAGTTGATTTCCCTTCCCCAGCTCGCGTGGGCTTAAGCTCTACCTGAGAGGGAGGCGATGCAGACCAAGCTGCTGACCGTCTCCACGTAACCAGTCGAAGGCTCCATATTCATTGGAGGCCCAGGAAGCGTATCAGACCGGTCGGTACTCAAGGGCTATGCGGCGATTAGTGAAGAGGCGGCGTGCAATAGCCAATGCTCGTCCATTCATGTGTGGCATCGTCGGTGTGGCCGACTCTTTCAACTTTTCCGGTGGAAAATTATGCTATATTCTCGGGGACCGCCGCGAGAGGCGACTAAGAATCCTCGATCTACGGCAAACGACGAATGACGAGATCGTCGTCGATATTCCCGCTCTAACCAGCCTGGCTATCCCGGAGTCGGCCAAATGCCGCAAATACGTCTTCAGAGTCTTGCACACGTCCAATGGAATTACCTCCTGCTTGTTCTCCTTCGCACTGCCTACAACCCAGCACTGGCTCCTCATCATCAATCCTCAACAATACCAACTGATAGGCAAGATTCCACTGCCTTCGGCTAGCCGCATTTTCGTCCGAAATGACGCCGAATACCTCTACTTTGGCACCCACTCCGAGTATGGCGCTGACGGCTTTCGCAAATGGGTCCTCCGCGGCTTCGATATTCGACAGCAACAGTTAATGAAGCAGAAAATGCACCTGACCAAAGTTGTTGGCTACGAGATCGGATCGACCGTCTGCTTCGAAGTCATGGATGGCTACTTCTATGGCGTCTCAAATCAAACCGCTTTCGAGATTGAAGAGATTGACTGGACATCATATTACTACTGCTTCCGATTTCGCCTCAACGCACCAGATCCTCAAAAGACGCAGGTCATGAAAAAGCGTGACAGCTGGCGCAGACAGCATACTGAAGGCCCCATCGATGACCGATGGGGGTTTATAAGTCTGGAGAAAGACGAGGCTTCCGGCCGGGTCAGAATTGTCGAGTCGCGAAAGGAGTGGCTTACAGGGCAGAGTGGACACAAGCGTACTTACTATATAAAGGGTGTTATTTTCCACGAGAAAGCTAGCTCCGAGGCCGATCATGACAATTCGAGCGACGATGATGACGATGATGACGGCATTCCCGACAATCCGTGGGGCGACCTTGGCGACAGCAGCAGCAGTATCAAGCCAAGCTATCTGTTACCACAACAACGTTCAGAACATCCGGGCGATGAAAACTCCGTGATGTTCACGCGGAGCCAAACCTATCTACGTTCTTATAATTACTCTTGTCGTACGTTCTTCGACCTAGTGAATGACCCTCTTCCCTCGAATCCAGAGATGCGGAGACTGCGACTTAGATCGGGGGCTCGGGTGCTCAATAAAGCACCAGAATGGGAAACCCGGCAGCTTGGCGTTTATGAACACGGAATGGGGCAAGAAGATACCAGGAGTTCCTTCGAATACAACCGTATTTCCTATTGGCCACCCGAGGAAACATCAGCCGAGCCCAATTCGTATTGTGACCATCTCTATCGAGTCCTCAATCCGCCAGGGTACTGCGGAAGTGTCGTGGCTACGAGCGACGAACGTACGATCGTGTACACGATCGGCGAAGAAGCAGGCGGCTTGAAAGCCCTGGTTCTACTTAGTTTCGATCCCGCCGTCACCTTAGCAGCGGCTATGTGTGGGGGTGATTTCTCAGGAGTAACGGCCAGAAGTGAGGTTGACGGGAAGAATAATGGATCTGCAGCTGTCCGAAAAGAGATGGGGACGATTGGCACGCAAGAAACCTCAATATATGAGAGGGGTGCCGATACGGTCGTTGCCGAAGCTTGCATGGCCCCCATTTTACATGTTACGTCTTCGGCGGAAGACTTGGCCACAAATACGTTACCAGGCCCGGAGGTACGCAGTTCCTGGGCACGAATAGAGAGGGCATTCCATCACGATATTCATTTGAAATATGATTTTGCTGAACCCTTCCGGCCAGCACGATCGTGAAGGATATCGGAGGAGAGATGGGGGCGATAGCAGGGGCGGCTTTGGTGGGGGAAATCGACGACATGTAGACCGCATTTTCACAGGACGCACTACATGCCCAAGCGTGCACCTGCATCACAAACCGTAACGATCGCCGTTTGCAGACCCCTTGATCCTTGTCAACTGTGTCCCAGAAAGTAAAGTAGTGGTCTGCTCGAGGGAATATTACCTCGTTGGCACGTACTTGGCGGATAACAACATGCCCTCCACCCTGCCAGCCTCACTAATACGACCCCAACATACAGCGTTGCATGACAGATAGCCTGCTTTTATAGTCCCGGGCTGATGTGGATTAATGTCACACACCTACATCACATCCCCAGCTACTAACACATGGTCAGCATGTAGTGTTCACACCTTGCGCTTGAAATTAGTCGATTCTCACTTTGACAGCGAGGCTTCTCTGCAGCTGAAAACACAAGCAGAGAATATTCACCCGGAGACGGCAACCCACTTCTGATATGCTGCCAATTCAATATTACTACTCCATTCTTCACGAAGCCATGTTTTGCGTGGAATGGAATGTTACTAAGTCGACATGCAGCTGGCTAGAGATATCCGAACACGACTTGGACTTGGCCTTCGTTCTGCACTTGTCAAGGAAACTCAAATAGGTTAATGTCTTGGTATCTACAAATCAGGTTTCTCGAACCAAACTGCTCAATGCGTAATCCCAACGCGTTCAATAGCGATCGTGTCTGGAGTTGTGAGTAACGAAGCCACCGTAGTTTCTGCTCAGGGTCATGTTCATATATGCTACCAGGATTATGGGTGGTTTCTGTAGCCCTCGACTAGATCGTCGTACTATGCACAGTTCTCTAGACAAGCATGTTCAACATGGAGATACAAACTCCTTAGATGCGATCGATCAATTCAAGCCCCTGGTAGTCCTTTATCCACAAGATTATAATCATATGTCTGCAATGTAATGGGTATACCGCCGGATAATATGCAAACTCCCTCCGAGTCTCTACGCTGCCTTGATCTGGTTGATGCCATCTGCAGCAGTGTCGACAACTTGGAAGCCATCGGCATTACCAGCGCCTGTAGCAGCTCGATCGTAGGCCTCGTCGCTTCTATGCCGATTGTCAGTTTGATATCAGCACAACGGAGAGCTGGTACATACCGATCGCAAAGGATGTCCAGGTCCTCATCACTGAAAATGAGATCACCACCAGAGTGTTCATACACTTCTCCGTCTTTCAAGAGGAGCGATTGGAGCGTTTCCTTGTCCAAAGCCTCGTTCTGATCGAGCTTTTGGCCCATCGCCTTGAACCCCCCTTTCTTTATCACAAGCTTCTCCAACCGGCGTTTGGCATCGGCGCCGTGGAGTAGTTCCTCTTCGACGGTGCCCTTGGTTGCAAGTCGATAGACGACAACCGGGCGGGTCTGGCCGATTCGATGGCAACGATCCTGCGCCTGCAAGTCCTGTTGCGGGTTCCAGTCACTAGTTATGTGATGTTAGTAAACACCCCAAGTCAAAGCAAGGTGCTCCTACCTGTCGAATAGGATGACAGTGTCGGCGCTGGCAAGGTTGATGCCTTGCCCGCCCGCTCGCGTTGACAATAAGAAAATCTTGAAGTCCGGATATTCATTGAAGGCCTCGATCTGTTCGCGACGCTCCGGTTGTGGAACATTGCCATCGATACGACACACATTCCAGTGTCTCAGCCCCGCGCAATAATCGTGCAAGATATCAAGCTGTGTTGTAAACTGCGAGAATATCAAGACTTTGTGGCCCCGTTCAAACAAAGCCGGGAGCAGGCGGTCTAGAAGAAGCATCTTGCCAGACGAGGTGACAATGCTCTCGTCAACAGGGACTTGATCATCGTAGGCCCAGGGATTGTAGAAATTGTGCGGACTATTGCACGTCAACCGGAGTTGCATGACATTGTTCCCAAGCTTCTTTTCGCCAATTTGCTGTTCTTCTGGGTGTTAGTCGTACGGACCATACCGTCTTCACTAATCACTTACTGGCAAGCTCGAGTGAAGCCACCCTGGTAGCTTCTTCCTGATCTTGGGGAAATCCATCTTCCTCCTCTTGGGCGGCCGCGAGTTGTTGTGCGAGTTTCTCCTCAAACTCATCGTCATCCAGTGCATCATCGTCAGAGTCATCGGGCACTTTGTACGATTGTCGGCCTTTGCGAGGACGACTCCTACCTTGCCCACTTGCAGTGGATTGTCTATTTGATTTATGGTTCTTTGGCTCGGGGGCCTCGGTAGTTGGCGCCGTCTTTCTTTTGGCGGATACTTCCGAACGCGTGGGCAACGTCTTGGTGGTTGGTGTTTGGGGCGCTCTTCCGGACGAGCCCATCATCATCGCAAAAGCATTCTTCGCCGAGCCTGCGGGTTTACCAGTAGACCTAACACTGGCCGCGGGTGAAGATCTTGCACTCGTTCTTCGAGAGCTGAGTGGACTGTTGGTCGTACCAGTCAAACGTTCCACCGCCTTGTTTTCAAGATATGACCGCGTATCAGTACCCTTATCAAGGATAACCTTGTATAAGTCGGTCTGCTCCTTGGTCATGGGTGCATACAGCACATACTCCCGTTTCTTGGGTAAGTACGAGGCAACGTCCGCCTTGATTCTTCTGAGCAGGAGCGGCTGCAGGACTCTATGGATTTTTTTCACGAGATCTTGATTCTGTCGATCTTCTATGAACTGCTTTGTCCCTTCCTCATCCTGGATGTCATCGAAATCGAACCACACTTCGAACGACTCCCAATCAAGGAAGGTCTCTGGCATCAGAAAGTGAAGCAGGGACCACAGCTCCTTCAAGTTGTTTTGAAGTGGTGTACCAGTGATCAGCAGGCGGGTTGCAGACTTGAACTGCTGCAGCTCGCGGAAGAGCTTTGCATCGGCGTTCTTCAGCCTGTGGCCCTCGTCCTGATTTTGTCAATGAGGCAAATTTGAGAATGTTGGTGCGAGACTTACTACAACAATGAAGGCCCAATCAATCTTGGAAAGCACAGCGCGGTCATTCAAGATCATCTCGTAACTCGTACACACCACGGGGAAGCCAGAGGTGGGACGGAATTCTCGCTCGCCACGAGACTTCGTGTAGTGTCGCTTGATGTCGTCGCTGAAAATCTTCTGGCGTTGTTCAGGCGTGCCATGATACAGGACGAAGGGAATGGAAGGAGTCCACTTCTTGAACTCATCTTGCCAATTCGACAGAGTACTCAACGGGGCAATGATCAGGTGGGGTCCGTAATAGCTCTCTTGCTCCCGGAGCAATGCTACGAGTGAAATTGTCTGGATCGTCTTGCCTGGGACCAATCAGGATTTACGTCTGAAGCAATTGCGCAACGAAGGTAACCTACCCAATCCCATCTCATCGGCTAAAATGCCACTCAATCCCTGCAGGCAGATCTCATACATCCAAGTAAGCCCTTCAAGCTGGTAGTCACGCATGGTTCCACCAGACATGATCTTGGGTTGTGCCTTCAACTCCAAGCCGGCATCGGTAAGAGCCTGATTGTCGAAATCACGCCCGACTCGGCCGAGGGCTTTGGTTTTTTTGGTGAGAATGTCCGAGAAGACCTTGCTTTTCCGAAGAAGTTCGTCGAGTTCCTTAGCCTTGGCGGCTCTTTCCCGGGGCGTCAACTGGGCCTTCTTGCGCTTTCTACGTGCCTGTGCCAATCGCTTGGCCTCAGCTCTTGTGTTCTCAGCTCGCGCCTTCTTCTCCTCGGTGAGCATGTGCTCCTCGTTGAAAGTTGGCACGACAGTCATCTTGGCGTCGCCCGAGTCTTCAGCCGGGGGCGTAGAGGGAGCACTGGTTGGGGGTCGGGAAGGGGAGCTGCCTGAATCCAAGTCCGAAGACGAGCTTGAAGCCATTGAGCTTCGGGACGGACAAATTTTGAAAAAGTCCCGCGACTTTGCTAAGTGAGACTCGACCGACACGAAATCGCCCTACGAAAAGAAACAACGGGGTTGACGGTGAGGCTTGGCTGATCCGAGTCGCAGACGCCCTTCCAAAAGTGATGATTTCACTGCTCATTCATCTCGACTAGCGCGTCAGAGGCAAGCAAGCCCTAGGAGCGCGCCGGAAACGCGAAATGGCCCCGTTGTCACGCGAAGCACTTTAACTCTTGCTGCCCTGGATTTGGCATGACGACCCACTATTATCCGTCCTAATTGCTGACGGCAAGTTGAAGTGTGGCCGGCCCAAAGCGGTGCCTGCCAAGCCACCTCCTCGGTGGTTGCCTTTGTTCCGAACCGTACCTAGTTAAATAGCCAAACCTCGCCTCTTTCAACAACAACGCTACCCCCGGAATCGTCAGCGCAGCGCACCAGCAGACAAGATGGCATCCGCTCCCCAGAGCTTCTACGAGCTATATCGCCGTAGCAGGTACGGCGCCATCATTCACTTTGCTATCTACCAGAAGTGTCGTCGACTAACGTTTGCGGGTGACCACAATTTCCAGTGTCGGCACTGCCTTGACAGACACTCTGGATGATCTGATCACCGAGCACCGCATCGATCCCCAGCTCGCCATGAAGATCCTGGCCAACTTCGACCGCGCGATCGCAGAGGTCTTGCAGGAAAAGGTCCGCGCGCGTCTGTCATTCAAGGTAATGGAATACCCATCCCGATGAAGCGCAATGCGGTGCGGTGTGATGCGGCAGCTGAAATATGGATGTGTTGCGTCGCCAGGACAAAATGGGGCTAATGAGTCTTGACCACCAGGGAAGCCTCGATACATACCGTTTCTGCGATGAAGTCTGGACCTTTCAATTAAAGAACGTCACCTTCAAGATGGAAAATGGCGGACAGGTCGTGTCGGCTGATAAGATCAAGATCGTATCGTGCACTGCGAAGCCACAGGGAACCTGATGTGCTTAGAGGCATGGGACAGGCGGCATGCCATGTCGTAGGAACGTAGTGGGGGTTGGCGCACATCTTGCATGTTACGGCGTTCAGGTTTCAGGGAAGGGTCTACGATTTTGATATTTCACCCATGGATGGGTAAGCACATTGATACCAAGCCGAAATTTCTGGCTCTAAATTGCGTACATCATAGGGGGCGTATGATGCATTTGATGATCAGATGCGTACACCCTACAAAACACGTCCGGTTGTGAGACGAGGCCCTATTTATGCCTGAGCTGCGCTTTGCACTACCTGTTGCTCCCGGTAACGCGCCGAGCAGTATTTGATACGTGGTAGTGATCCCATACGTGGTAAATTTTGTGGTGCCTGCTTTTGCCACACAACACAACCTAGCGGAAGAATGTCTGAGAAAGGAGTATATAATTCCAGGGGCCAACGTTCTAGACGGCACACAAACGCCGGACAGACAGTCGGCGGCTCAGGCTCCTATTACAAGCAATTCCTGGGGAAATGGCACTGGCAATGGTACTCGCGATTATCAACTAGAGTGGGTCTGATTTGATTGAGATTCCGAATTGCGCTTTCCAAACTTAGGTGGTCATAGACAGTTAGCTTGTCCATGATCACCAGAAACCTATTACACCAAGTACTCCTACTCGTCAACAACTTCCATTTCTTGCAGTCACGTAACATTTAATGCACTTCGTCCAAAATCAATGAGCAAAACCTAGAATCGCTCATGACAGGGCGGCCAACTAATTTAAGCACCATCCGGCACACGAAGCAGTGCTGCGGTCTGAATCAGCGTACATGCAAACCACTGCGGTAATCATCATGGGCCTCCCGAAGCATCAGCGGCATGAAAATACCAATATGGCAGCCACATCATCAATAAATTAGGCGTGGCTAAGACTGGTTTGTAGAACGTGAGTCGGACAGTTAGACGTAGAAGCTACAACGATTTGCGTCTCAAATTCCGCTTTTCGCCATCGTGGATTGACACGAGCGCCAGACGTCCTTGGCAATTCATCTAGGACGTTAAGTGTAAGTCACTACTCCCCAAAGCATCCCTTGTCTTAGTACCAATGGAAACCCCCGGCTCCCAACACTGAGCAACGAGTATTCGCATCCAGATGGTAGCCGCCACGTTGCTTGCAACACTTCGCTCACTTAAAAGAGTTGCTTCCAAGTCCTTGAGCCACTCTGGCCGCCGACCATCTCCAGATGACCATCCAGGCACCGATGAACCGTATATGTACCGCCCCCTCAAGAACGCATCATCGTAGCCGGCTTTGGCATGGGTCCAGGTCTGTACCAGAGAACCCCCTTGTCGTCGTCGGAATCTTTGAAAACTCGCTGCGTACATCATGTTGGCCCGACGATCTTCCAGCGGGAAAGCATGGAACAAAACTTACCGCCTGGGCCGTCCTCGTGGGATCGGGTTCCACCCACTGACACTGCGTGAATGCGACCCACAAGGCACGCCAGTACGAGCCCTTGTCGACGTGGTAGTGGTCCCCGAGGAGAGGGCGTATCGCCTCTGTAGCCTCTTGGGCGTGGTAATGGGGGATTCTTCTGCAATGTATGGTCAGTATGATGGTTCAAACTGCCACACCACCTAGGAATCGGGTAGTCGATACTTACGGAAACAGGTGATGAGTAACGTGCAGATCGATAATGTGGTGGAACGAGTGTCTCAAGAGGAAGCCAGGGTCTCGGTCAACGGTGGCGAGGGCGCCGCGAAGATACGTCCATGATCCGGGGGAATACTTGGGGAGTTTGGGCGACGTGTGATGCAGATATGTTATCATTACTGTGCTAGTTGTTAGATGTTGCTTTGTACGGTCCATATCGCGCAGGGCAATGGAATAAGGACTTGCCGATCCAATGGTTGACCCAGGCTAGTCTATATACATGGGAGTTAGCAATCGACCTTATCTCGGAGATGCTCGCAACGTGAAGATTGTGTATTCATGGACACATCGTGACCCGTAGACAGCGACCGGCTTTGAATCAAACAGACTTACGGCATGACATATGTCCATGCAAGCTTGGAAGAACCATACAGCTGCCCAAGGAAGTAGAGCAAAATTCCCACTGACACAAGGCCAACATCCGAAGCGACTATGTTCCAGAACTCGTTGGGGCGAAACAGCGAAGACATGGGGTCGAAGTGGTTGTTGTCCCACCATCCCCGACTCTTCTTGGGTGAACTCTCTGGGGCAGCCTATTTGGCCAAATTCGTCAGTACCAAATGCTCCCAAAGACCGTGTAAGGTATCAAAAAAATACAGTGATATGTGTCAAGAGATACCAAGGCCACCCAATGACCTGCTGAATCACAATCCGCAGCAGCACAACGACGGGGGCATCTTCGATCATATCGTCAAGATGGATTTTGGACCGGAAAAGCTCGCTGTACTCCTGCCGGAGCGGCGGGACGTAGTTGAGATCCTTGGTCATGTGGTTCGCATACTGGTGATGCCGGGCGTGACTAGACTGCCATGCGAAATAGGGGCTCATTAGAGCGGAATGCAAGACGAATCCGACCGAGCTGGCGATGGTCTTGTTCCGAGAGAAAGCTCCGTGGCCACCTGAGCGAGATATTATTTTGAGTACGTAAAGTCAATCCCCTTGCACTAACGAACAACAGGCTTGTCCAGCTCTTTTTGCAGATCAACCCGAGATGAAATAAATGAGGGTAGGAAGAGTCTCCGTGACGGAGTATGCACTTACACTCGTGAGCCAAAACCCAAAGACCGGTCAGTGGCAAGCCAGCCAGAAAGGGGTAGACCACATAGCGGATGAGAAGACCCGTGATTCTGTCGACGCGGTTCTCCAGGGAAAGTGCCGTTGCCAGTAGAGCCACGAATATGACAGCATCGTTGAACACGAAAACAAGGGACCGGATCGTTGAGGGTTGGAAGCAGTGAGCCGGGATGCGGTTGCGGAGTTGCTGGATATCGAGGCGATTCTTTTCCCCGTCTACGTCTACTTCGATTTCCTATGTCTCGTTAGCTATGAGCAATCCGCGTGAGTATCTCGTAATCGTTGGATGTCTTACTCCGCCATTGACGCGATCAGCGTGGATCGTCTCGGTAGTGTAGTCGGCCGCCATCGTCGTGTTGAACTAGCTTGGAGGTGCTTCAAGGTTCGAGGCGATACAATTGGACGACAAAGGACTATTTAGTTGTTGCAGTTGCTATGAGCGAAGCCCGATGGCTCATTGTCTCTTTGCGTTTGAGCTTCTGGTATTTGTACTATCGACGAAGCAATGGTTTGAGTGGCAGGTGAATCTGCATCATGTATATATAACGCGAGGGTGAATTCACCTAGACAGACTCAATTCACAGGACGCCAGGGATCTTCAGACCAGTAACCAGGTTTTCTTCGTATTTATTACGTCAGGGAACTTTTCGAGCGGAACGGTCTGGTCACATACATTACGTCTGGCAGAGATAGAAACCTACACGTGGCTGTTGGTCAGATAGGGTGAGCAAGCCAACCACCTACGGGAAGACCTATAGGCGACTTGGAACATTTCTATCAATGGTTAATGCCCCACCAAGGTCGTTTCGGGTGTGATAAGCCGCATGGGCAGTTGGGGGGAGGGGGCGCGCGAAACGTATCATTGGATATTTGGATGATCGAGAGTAGCATTGGTTGAGGAGTCATTGTGGGCCGATATGTCTAGATCTGCAATACCAAGTCATGGAGTGCATGCCTTAGAATGCTGTGTAGTCCATCCTATAATAAGCTAGCCAAACAGAGCGGTAGTGGCCGTTTGGTCGGTTACTCTGTATGCTCGCCTGAGGGCTTGACCTGTTTCTTCATTTGATTGTCCAGGTCATATTAAGCATCAAAAGAAGACCGGTCATACTCCATGCTGAGTCGCCTTTAGACATAGTGCGATGGCAACATAACATAGGGTACAAGTGTGGTATCATGAAAACAAACACAATAGCAGGTCATCCCCAAGCACCCTGTCCTTATCCATCGCGCAATATTAGTGCTCCCTCCGAGAACCCGGCCCGTCCAAGAAATTGCTTCTTTCACAAATCCGGACCCCAATCCACGATCGAAACGCCCTTTCCCTTGCTCTCCATTATGCACTCCAATTTATCTTCGTTTGTGACCCATCCATGTCTTCGAGTGGCAACCGCGTACTTAATGGGATCCTTCCACTCCTCCCACCACGTCTTTTCGTCTTGCACCATACATACCCTGTCTCTCTCGCCATTCTTTGCGTTGGAAAAAGGCCACACGACCTTCACAACCTCGTACTTGCTCTTGCCGCTGAATAGCGTGCTGACACTTGTGAAAAATCTGTTCACTTTGTCCGGGTTTTGAATGACAACTCGCGAGTGCGTCACCGGGAAGGTCACGGTCACCAACCCTTTGTAGTCCGTCTCGGCTACGAGGTTCCGCAGTTGGCCACCAAGCCACTCGGTGTCCATGTTGGCGACAACGCGCTCTAGAAGAAAGGTTTTGACGTTAGAGTGGTCGTCAATGAAGCGCCGATACCAGTCTTCCAGCCCTCCATCACCGATGTCAGGCTTGAGTGAAGGCTGGATCCCTCCACGATACGCCATCTCGTCCCGGTTGACCAGGCGGAGGTAGTCCATGCGACCAAGCTTGTCGTCAGAAACTAGGAGGTTCAGGAGGTTCAATTTGATGCTGAAGTCGACCTTCCTTCCACGGGTGCCCGTCACGTGGATTTGGGGCTTGGGCGGAACGGTAGCCAGGTTACGCAGCAGCGCCGCCAGTGCCCTGACGTTTTCACTGAGATACTTCGCCTTGCTGGTGATGGTTGTTGTGTCGTGAGAGAGGTCAAACATGGGCGGGCTGTATTGGCGGTAGTCGATGACAGGAAGCCCGGGGTACCGCGGGATCGTTGTGCGGCTTTGGCCATGACTGCGTACGTCCAAAGAACTGCTCGACGGGATCGAATACGGCGGTGGATGTGAGAATGGCATCGACTTGGGGTTCTCCTCGGCAGTTGGCTCTACCGGTGGCGAACTGCTGGAACCAGGTATCTCTCCGGGTCGGTGTACTGGTCCGCCTTGGTTTGCCTCTTGGGCCTTGTCGTTTAGTAGCGATCTCCGGTTCTCCATTTTCTAGAGCCGACCGCGCTCAGGTGATGGGTTTGAGCCTTCAGTAGTTAATGTACTTTGCCCGAAAGAAGCCCTGCCGGTAAAAACTGCTCAATGCTGTTGAGAATCGGTGACCCTGGGTGAGTTGAAAGTCTTCTACGAAGGTCAGAACGTCGGCAATTGCCCCAAGTCGCGTGGATCTTTCGAAAAGGTTCCAATGTTTTGATGACAAGATTAAAATGTCCGTTTCGGTGGTCTTTATGGCTTTTCAGCGCTCGGATTGCCAGGGTAAAAGCTGAATGTTCACTGTCTGACCTCCCTTTCCACGACGACGACGGTGGCGCAGGCCTTCAGCGGTGTCTCCAAGCCCACATCGCTGCCTGCCTACACAGGCGCAAAACAGCCAGTCGCAGCGGAAAACGCAGCAGCTTGCATGGTTCGTGCTTTCGTGCTATAATACCTAATTGGTCACTACGGCGTTCTCTCCCGCCCTACTGAAGCGTCGCCGGCTTTGCGGCTGGACAAAAATCATCCGACCAGACCTCGTTGGAGATGCTAGACTATACGGTTTGCCGTAGAGACGTAAATTGGCCTAGCTAGAGGGTGGCCCAATAAGAAGAACTTGACGGGATCCACCATAAGAGTTCATAATATTTGTCTGTCATTTCGCACTGATTCATGGAAACTTGCTTATATCATGAACATTCACCATCTTTTTCCACGACGAGATAAGATGTGTTCAGAGACACAGAAATATCGATGTCAACCTGCGCAAGCTTGTTTCATAGTAGAAGAGGTAGCCGGATGCGTTGAGGTTGTTTACACAGTCGCAAGGTTTTGTTCGTGGTATATAGGCTGTTTTGACTTTTGCCCAACGAGATTGCAGCGCCGTGTCGCTCCAGACTACGCGTCGAAGAGTTGGTATAGTCATTGGTGAGCCATCCAAATAGACCACCAACACAAGACCCCAGCCAATTGACAATGCTCGTTGGGATAGGAGTACAGTGTGGTACCGAAAGTCATGACGCCCACGGCGCCGAGGTTGATGCTGTGGACACTGGAGCCATTCCCACTTAGATGCACAAGCCTTGCCATGGTTCTGGATTCAACGTATGCGCCTGCTTTCATTTGTCTCGTACAGCGTGGTATCACTATGGCGAAGACTTAGTCAGGGCATTGGGGCGAATCTCCTACATGTACTTACCTAGCTAGACATGGCGACTACAGGCCAAACTCACTGCGAAAGATCACAGAGTAGTCCGGGATGATTGTAAACTCATTTTCGAGCCCCATATGACGGTTGGAAAGAGTTTCCAGTCGAAAACCGACAGCCAAATCCATGATATGTCCACGTCCACTGATGAGTCGAGTGGCTAACGAGGCCCGTTCAAGCAACTTTCATGGGAGGGAACAGGGACATCGCTCAAAGAAAACGACCTCGCATCACTAAACGACGCCACACAGCCTCTTCGTCTTCATTCTGGTTGGCGGCGGTCGTATGTCCAATTTCAATGGGGTCGGGATTCTCGCAAATATTGAAGAAGTCTTCTGCCATGCCTTCGCCAGCGGTAAAGCCGAGGTTTAACAACGTATCAGTGGGAACAGATTCGTACCTATAGAGTGTCAGTTTCGCCCGTGATCAACTCGTTTCCCAAATACACGAAGTTGAACCAGTCTACGAAGTCAGAGGAGACCAAGACAGAACTGACCATTGAGTGGCATCCGGGAAATCAAAATCAAAGCTGCTCGCATCATGCTGGCTCTCGTGAGCGGAAGGGCTCCTCAGTCCCGGCTGCACGCCCGGTGGTTGACTAGGCTTATCATTGCCCGCTTGCCGATTGACGAGGGCCCCGAAACCGTTCATGCCCAAATCCGAGCCATGGCTAATATTGGCGTGAGAGGCGAAACTTTGCCAGCCCGGTGTCTGAGCTGTTCCTTGCGATAGGCCTCTTTCGTACGTGGAAATCTGAGGCAGTTCCGAACGAGAGGCCTGTTTTCGAACGTCTTCACTCAGTATATAAATGTCGCCAGGGTTCTGAGGAGCACCATGAGGATTTGAAACAACAGACGGCCTTCGAACCCCAGAGGTTGTGGATGTTCTTGCACGTTCTCTGATCCCGTTGGCTGGCTTGGTATGACTGCTTGTCTGGCTTTCCTGGCTGGGACTCGGGTTGGTTGTAGGAGGAACGGCCCCTTGCATGACCAATGATGGTTTGTCCGTCGGCACATCAGGCATCTCGCCCGTCTGCACGAATCTGCCGAGGCGGCTCTCATTGAATCGTTTGACAAGCTCTGATTGGTGATCGTTGTTTCTGAAATAATCGGCGGTGGAGATGCCAGTGTCACCGTACGTACCGTTGGCCAAAAGCTGGAGCACCAAATCCTCAATCCCTGGGTTTGTCTGTAGCACTAGACCCCAGAGTCGCTCGCCATGTTGAGCAGTGTAACCGGTGCGCGGACCCCGCTTGCGTACGGGTCTGTTGTATGTACAATCAGCACCCGCACGTTCACAGACGGAGCACTTGGGCACAGCATTGTCGCAAGGTTGGTGTTGAGAGTTGCATCGGTCACAAGCACGGCTGGCCTTGCGTTTCTTGGACGCTCGTCTGCCGTCGTCGCTCTCATCATCACTCATAGCAAGAACCGCCCGTCTCAGGCCTCTGTGGTCGTCTCGTCGCCCGCAGATAAGTGTCTCCTTTGGCTGTATTAGGTAATCAAGATTGTTTGCTAACGACGAGGAGGCTGAGTGGGTTTGCCTGTCGTGCTCTCACAATTGAATCCGGCCGATGGAAACCACGCATTTGTTGGTCCTGGCCTAGCTGCCGTCATTCAGCTCCAGCTCAAAGCGTAGGCTCGTCTGCTGGCATCGCTATCCGCTTCGTGGTGTTGAGACTGGGGTTGATGACAGAAGTTGAGAGGATTCGGCGGGCCGAAACCACCGCCGTTAGCCGTCCTTGTAGATCTGCTTGGAACACCTCATTTGTATTTCCCACGTGCTCCAAGAATTGCAGCAGAACAGCCGTCCTCTTAGTGTCTCGGTGAGCCTCAGTGAGCCTCAGTGAGCGTACTGTATGATCCGTCGCCCAATATGCTGCCAAAGAGAGGCAATGTCAAAACGGGGACTTGCCTCCCCAACGCTAGACCGAGCCTCATCCATAACCAGCTTTCCAAGCACAAGGACGGAAGAGCTGTTACAAGGTCCGAGGTGCAGTGGGGCCATGGCTGGCGATGGGTGTGGCTGGCTAAAAGACTGTTGGTACCCCACAATTGGAACCCAACCCTTGCCAATACCCGCTGCCGGCCGCGGCTTCGGGTGGTTTCAATTATGGGAGAACATTCTCACTGCTGTCGATGCTGTTGCCGGACCTAAAAAAAATCGGTGTCACGTAACAGCGAACGAGAATCGAATGACCGTCCTTAAGCTGTGGCTCTGAGGAATAATTCATAGCTGATCAGTATTTGATGATGTCTGTACAATTGGTTTCAGAAAGCCCTGGCCGAGACCTCTGACTTGGTCGTATCTTCGAACTTCACAAGCGACAACCCCTATTACTATCAATAGCCCTTCTTTCATCTCATATATCCGTCCTAGGGGAGAGCATCGTGGACCACATCAGATCATCAAATAGATGACCTAGACAACGGTAGGTGATCAGTTACGCTGTCCCTCCAGCCTACTCTGAACACAAACCGGCACTCGCCGAGGAATCAAAGGGTCTCCATGATGGCGGACTGTCCTTTCGTCAATCTTTGCCCGATGAATCAGCCTGTAATGGCCACTCAGTCTGTTGTTCCAAATCGCAGGATATTTCACCAAGATGCTTCTATCATTCTCGTTGGGTGTCGCGGCGCAGGGAAACGCACCCTGGGGTTTATTGGCGCTACCTATTTGCGTCGCCGCCTTCTCACCGAGGATCACTATTTCGAACAAGCCACCGGTTGCAACCGGGCCAAGTTTATTGAGAATTACGGCAGGCAAGCCTTCATTGACCAGCTGGCGTTGGTCTCGGCTCAGGTACTGCAGTCGAACCGCTCCAACTGTGTGATCGAATGTGGAATGGGAACCTTGAGTCGAGAGATACAGGAGCTTCTCCTTCAGTTGTCGCAAACCAACCCGGTCATCTATGTCCACCGAGATAAAGAGGACATATACAAGCTTCTGAGGTTGTCTGTTACTGACGCCGAACGGCTGTTCTTGGCAGACCAGAAACACCGCGATTGCGCCAATCTGGAATACTACAATCTGTTCGATCCAAGTGGCGAGGGTATTACTGCCCCAGAGAACAATGTGAGATCAGTTTCGAGAACCTCGGCGAGGTTACTACAGGTTAAGGAGGACTTCACCAAGTTCCTTGACCTGATATCTGGGCAAGGCCTTTTGCGACACTGGGTCGAGAACCCCTTCGCAATTAATGCAATACCTCCCGAGTACAGGGCACACTCCTATATACTGCGGCTGCGACTTTCGGACCTCCTTGGTCAAGAAATTGATTTGACCGAGCTTCAGCCAGGAGGGGATGCAGTGGAGCTTATCATTGACACCTGGCCAGCCAATATCATGGACAACATAGCCGCACAGGTTGCCCTCATTCGCCGCAAGCTAGACTTGCCAGTCATTTATCATGTAGAGGAGACCTCGCGGGACGGACACCAGCGTCCACAGGACGAAAGAGATGCGATGGATACACAGCTGTTACTCCACGGCCTCCGGCTAGGGGTTGAATATCTCAGTGTCGATCTGCGGAGAAGCGATAAGTTGGTAAATCGTGTTCTCGAGATGCGTGGCAGAACCAAAGTGATTGCCAATTTCACCATGAGAGGAATTGGCGCTCCTCAGTGGTCAGATGCCGTCTATTTGGACCATTACCAGCGTGCTCAAGCTCTTGGCTGCAGCATTGTCCGCTTCGCGAGATTCTGCGCCCACGACAGGAACGACGAGCTTCGGCAGGTCCTTTTGGATAGAGTCAACGCATTACCGGATCCAAAACCTCACCTCGTTGCCTACGAGTTCTCTATTCTTGGCTTGTTAAATGGGCAGCCTAACGAACGGGGCCAGAAGACGCCATTTCAAAGCCTAACATTCAATCCGATTGGCCACGACTCGCTTGAACCTCTTACTCGGGATCTTATCGCTGGTGTGAACACAGTCCGGGGAGCTCTGCGCCTCATGTTTCGCCACGGATACCTTGAAACTCTCAAATTCTATACCCTAGGTCAAAAGGTGTACTACTCGGCAAGCCCCGCAATGCACCGAGCCGCATACGACTTGCTCATGATGCCTCATTCGTTCGATGCCAGACAATGCACCGATCTTGACGAATTAGACTGGATCCGATGCGAGCCAAACTTCGGAGGTGCTTCTCTGACAGCACCGTTCAAGGTGGCCATGATGCCGCGAATCGATCATCTCAGTGCACATGCTACTGCCATTGGGGCGGTAAATACTCTCCTGCCACTCCGCGGACAAACTTCATCGATACTTGACCATGCCAATACTCGCAATAGAGCAGGTGCAACAAGGAAATGCTACGGCGACAACACGGACTGGAGCTCTATCATGACATGTTTGCGTAGAGCTATCAGTCCGAGAAATGCGGTCCAGCCCTCACGAACAACCGGCCTTGTGATCGGGGCCGGAGGAATGGCTCGTGCAGCCATCTATGCCCTGATCAAGCTCGGCTGCCGGAAGATCTTCATCCACAATCGAACAAAGGCGAATGCTGAAAAGGTTGCCGAGCACTTCAACAAATGGGCTCAGGGGCAGGGACTTGTGGGCACCCAAATATGCCATGTGCTTGGCTCATCAAATCAGCCATGGCCTGAAGGGTACCAACAGTACGTTTGTCAAGTATCCTTTCTGCTTCTTCCACAACGACTGTCTTCAGTCAACAATATGCCCATGGTAGCTCTAGTGCGTCCGATCTATTCTAAGAATCCTTGCTAATTCTCCCGGGCCGATAGGCCGACTATGATCATATCTTGTATTGCAACTGCGGTTGATTTTGATGGAAACTATGTCGAGTATCAAATACCCGAGCAATGGTTGAAAAGCCCCACGGGAGGAGTGGTAGTCGAGGTAAACCGAGCCCAGATGCCTCAACCTTGGAGTCGATTATTCTAACAAGGTCTTGAACGCAGTTGGCTTATGAGCCTTTGATCACCTCATTGATCACACAAATGCGGCACATCCGCGAATCCGGCGCTACGTCGTGGGTCATTGTTGATGGCTTAGAGGTGGTGTGTGAAATGGCCATAGAAGCCTTTGAACTAATGACGGGCGTAAAAGCGCCCAAGAAGTTGATGCGAAAGGTATGCAATGAGACGTGGGAGAATAACTTCTCCCCGTTTGAGCCTCGTCGATAGGGACAACTCGGTCCTTGGGGGCATGGTATTGACACTCTTGGGCTACTTGCTCTCGATTCTGTATACCCTGGGGAATTACCGCGATAAAGGTAAGGTATGCAAATGCCTGACCCATTAGTGCAACAATGGCATACCTGCCAGCTCTAGATGTCAGCACTTCGGGGGATCATTTTGCCCTGGCTGATACTAGATCCGTGACAAAATGGATTACCAATCACAGTGCGTTACCTGAAAGATTGATAGGTACTGTGAACTAATTAGACTAGGAATTTGATAGGATTTGGTAGGATTGGGTGGAATTCAAAGAGGCTTTGCCGACCAACGAGAACTACATGCTGCAATGAAAATAGGGGCGTGACAGGATAAACGGCACACCGAGGGTAGAATAATATCGAATAGCCAAATATTCCGGTATATTTATTAGAAATATCGAAGTGATTCCAACTAGAATATTCTGGAATATTGGGTTGTCCCTGTCATTCTAGTCCAGGTGCCACCTGGATGTTGATCCTACGAGGCCTCGTATGGTGTTGCGGTCGGATTGGCATCGGGAGGTGCTTCCAGGAATGGCTAGTTTTCTCGAAGTGAAGCGGGGTACACAGCCATCACAGTAGTAGTTCAGTTAGTGGCTGGATGAATTATACCTGGTGGATGCCTTTGTTCGTCGGTATAACCAGACTGTATCTGTTTGTGATTGTGAAGCCGATTAATAATTACTTGTCGGCTGGTGTAGTTGGTCACTTCGCTGGTAGATAAGTCCCGATTTGAGCCTCACCCAGTTGGGTCGGTGACGAGTCGCGGGTTCGAATCCCGCAGCTGACACACAAGGGGGTTTAGTCAACCCTTACGGCGCGCTGCCCACCTTGTTGACTTCGCCTACCTAGCGATAATAGGGAGATTGGTGCAGTTTAGGATTACGAGCATCCTAGCCAGTCGACCGTCAAGCACTACGTCGGCGGAATATAACTCGACAGCCGGTCCAGAATTCGAATCGTTAATCCGACCCCTTATCGGACCTCGCCTTTCCGATAACGCTCGTCGGCGAACCCGTCCCCTCACGATAGAAGGCGCGCAGCACGCCCTCTCGCCGCGATTCTTGCGAGCGTCTGACCACGTTACGGTCTATCCACTTGAGCGTATGGTTGAGATGTATACGCTCGACGAGAACCCCAATTAGCAGATACTACGACTTGTCGCGACAAAAAAATAGTCGAGCATCTTCTGCACATCAGCAGCATCCCACCCCTGAGGACGAATTTAAGTGCCACATTACCACACTTATCGGTAGTTCAGGCAGGGGTTGTAGCACAGACTTAGGGAGGGACAGGAGGTTTAGTAGTCGTTTGGCTACAAGTTTACCTGTATAACCGCCCGACGCGGCTTAAGGGCCCGCTATATCATCTATAGCCCCTTAAGGGAGTACTTGTAGAGGTACCGAGGGTTAACACCTACGGCGTATTTAATATTATTTTTTTATTTTAATAATTACTTCCAGGGGCACGGGGGTTCAACATGACTCATATGTAAAATATATATCGCATGCCTGCTATCCTCGAGTCTCGACCGCTCTCAATACTCTGCACAATATCGTGAAAGTAGAGAGTGGAGAGTCCTTCATCAACGCCAGACCATATGCAACTCAAATCCTTGATTTTCTCAGCCCTTGCGGCTTTCGCAGCACAAGCAGCAACCCTATCCAACTTCGACGACTGGGAGCACGGCCGGGTCGCCCTGCAGGATGTCAGCATCCACTTCCGTTACCACGGCACCGGCCCTCCCCTCCTCCTCATCCACGGCAATCCGCAGTACAGCCTTACCTGGCGCACCATCGGGCCCCTTCTAGCCCAGAACTACACCGTCATCGCCCCCGACAATAGGGGCGCCGGTGACTCTTCTATCCCGCCCGACGGCAATTACAGCGCGCCGGCCTCGGCCGAGGACCTGAAAGGCGTGCTCGACTTCCTCAACATCACCTCCGCCTACGTCTTCTCCCACGACAAGGGCGTCGGCCACGCCTTCGCCCTCGCGGCAAAGTACCCGGCTCTCGTCAAGATGCTTGGAGTGTCCGAGTACCTGCTTCCTGGCTTTGGCTACGAGGTCGTCGCCACTCCCGCCCCGTACTGGGATTTGTACCAGAATCCGCAGTTGGCGTTTTTCCAGATTCCAGATTTTGCTGAATTCCTCATGGCGGGGAAGGAGAGGCAGTTTCTCGAGTGGTACTTTTATCATGGGAGTTACTCCGGCGCTTTGTCCATGTCGGAGGATGTGGTGAATCGGTATACCAGTAGCATCTCCAAGCCGGGATTTCTGCGTGCTATGCTTGGGCCCTTTTCTGCGGCGTCGTTAGCGGCGGATGCGAGTTTTTTTCAGGGGACGGTGGGCGTGAATCCCCTTTCTATGCATACGTTGGCGCTCGGTGGGGAGGCTAGTTCTGGGGTTCGGGAACAGCTGCGAGGATTGTTTGCGAATGTTACGACTTCGCTTGATGTTGATATTGTTCCCAAAGCTGGGCACTGGATTGGTTAGTCTTCAATGTTCCCTACTGCGTTATTGGTCTTACTAACGAGTTTCATAGCTGACGAAAACCCAGCCTGGGTTGCGAGACGGGTGGCGAGCTTTTTGGCTACCGATACATCGCCTCTGCCGAATATTGACCTGTCGTATCTCGCGGATAAGGTGACGCTGACGGTGGGCTTCTATGGTACTTTGGGAAACGCGGCTCTCGCTGGACTATAGGGACTAGTATTGTTTCCGGACTGTGTCCAAAGCAGAAAATTGAGGAAAGAGGCTGTATAAATGCATACTCTGCTTTATAAGAGGACATAAATGACAATTAATACTATGTTTGTCTCATTAGGGCGAATCCTTGGTCCTTTATTAGGATGCCATATAATCAGTGCTTGGGAACTCAAGGCCCACAATGGCAGAATTAACAAGGTGACATACCTAAAAATCGGTTATGTAGAAACTAATTGGAGGGAAACAGGAGCACAACTCCCAATCACATCTCTACGAGTACGACCCGGTCTGATTTCATGCTCACGCCAAAGCCTCTCCGGCTCTGCTCCTTGGTGACGTTAAGTTCAAAATTTACATCGTTCACATTGTGCAGCAGAGGGGCCCGGTTGGCAACAAGGAGCATGCCGCCCGGCGCGACTCTGGGCCCAGGAGCTATCCAATATATCGGACCGCACCAGCCCTTTTCCTAGCTCTTTCATGCTCGTCCGGTCTCGACAGCCGATCTAGAGGGGGAGATTAGAGACACATCAAATTCCATGCTTTATTAAAGCTTGCAATAAGTCCGATACAAAACCACAGCCGCAGTACAAGAGACCAAACAGAGGCCACCAAGTATGCAGCGACGAAGGCAGCTACTGCCCGCTCCCGCAATAGCTGTGGACTGGACGCGAAGAGCCAGAAGCGCACAGGATGATGCTTGATGCGTATTGTTGGATCTTCGACCACTTGACAGTACGCACGGCTCATCACGGACTGAGCCAGAGGAGCGACGACGAGGGAGAGCGCGGGATTTTTGTCGGTGTCGAGATCTGGGCGGAGCGCCTTGGCACTCTGGTACAAGGCGACCAAACCTTGGTGGCCCAGCGATATATAGCTTCCTAAATTCACTAAACTCGAATGGCAAATGTTCAGGACAATGTAATAGGTTCTACTCCTCATTATTAATAAACAAGTATTGAGTTTCCGCAACTGCGTTAGTGTTAGGCCGAAACGCAGACTCGGACAAAAGAACGAACTGAGCTGAAGTGCAGATCCAACGTATATAAGTTACCTGATCAGCACTATGCATAATCGCCTGGGCCCATATTTGAACAGTATTAATCTAAGCTGTTAGTAATGTATATTGCCTTCTATCCTAGACAACCTGTTATGTATCGGGTACTCTATACTGAAACGGGGTCAGGCGGTCGGTAGGATGTACCTATCACCTAACACACTGAACAGACGGCTCCAGTACCAATAGATCACATCTGTTGGTCAGATCAGACGGAGATCATGGTGCTGGCCGTAAGAGCGAAGCTCTTATAAGTCTTGTGCGCAAGTTGGTCGGATGTGCCTCTGAGACTCTCGTGTCGGGATAATTCTCAGAATAGGATGTCTGGCTCCTAGGAGTCGAATTGAAGCTGTCTCTAGTACTGGATTGCTCTGATCAGAGCAAGACACAATGTCTCATAGTTGTCAAGGCTAAAATGGAAAGGATAGATGGATTCTTAGAAGCTATCCCTTGAACGTGTAAGTGAATCATGAACTGAAGCTTCTGAATTGCATGCATTGAAAAGAGTGCGATGATGGCTGACTATTGCTTGTCGAATCGAAAAGATGAAGAAGCCATTAAAAAGGGTCCGTCCTCGAAAAGAAAGTTGCAGCCACAAGCCTCCTTCATCAAAGCAAAAGATCCTCCCCATTCCGTCACCTATTTTCCCTGGCGTCCGGCCTTACCCCGCTACAATACGCACCCTAGATATTATTCAAGACACTAATAGCAGGACTCAATTCCTAGTACAAACCCTAATAGTACTTCTTCAGTAGTTTCGCAGCTAGAATATAGACGTTTCTTTATATTACGGGGGTTACTAGGTTCTATTCCCCATCATTACGAGGATATTGTACTAAGCAGTAAATTTACAGAGAAAATAAAGAAGTATACTAAGAGGTATGTATTGTTACGGGCTTCAAAATAAACCAAGTTTATTATCACACTTCGTATGGTCGTACTATACTTCCTTGGAGAGAGGAACAGCATCTTGAAGAGCCTCTCAACACCAACCTATGTAGCACAACGCATAGAGCAGGCACAGCGGTTAATATGACATCTATCCAGAGTCATCAACGGGTAGGCAATAGCGCCTTGAAATCTACGTCTTTACAGCAACACAACATGGAGGCACATGATTCTTAAGACATTATTACCCCTACACACAGATATCGCATGTAGGGGCAGTTGTACAACAATATGCAAATAACCACCATTCACAAGAATGTTGCTTTCACCGCCCAAATGCCCACATTTGTCAAATTTACAACACTTCGGCACGAAGCACAAGTAGGATCGATTCGTGCTCGTAGTCGATAAGTACGTCAGAATCATTGTCTATCCGTTTACAGTGCCAAGCTTTATTAAAGTGCTCCGAAATGATCTATATCCATTTCCGGTCAACGCATCAAACACGTCCAAGACTACAACGCCGCTATCCTCCCCCAACCAAAGTGCCGATGGTCAGAGTTAAGCCATGCGCCGATACCTCCACCCATCGCATTGTATAAGGGTAAGTAATGCAAGAATAATAGAAGCAGCCTGGCGATCGACCCGATATGCAAGAACTGATGCGCAGGTGAATGATGAGAAGACACAAAAGTCTAGTACACCCTTGCCGCTGGTCTCCAATGCTGTGATGTAGCTGAAAGCCTGTTGCGCGACACAAAAGACAACATCCTCAGAACCAAACTCCGCCCCAGGCCCGAATAAAAGCATACGTACAGTAATGTGCTCAATCGGAATATTTACGCCATCGAGATGGAACTCGGAGGACCGCCGATACCAAAAAGATTTACACAAGCTCGAAACCATCATCCTCGATAATCTCCGGCTCCTTTACGACGGCCGCATAGTTCGGACGGCGGAGGTTCTGGCGAGCCTTTCGACCCTTGAGCGTATCCCCGTTGGTGTCCAAAATCTCGTACTCCTTCTCGATGAACTTCTCGGTATCCTTTCTGTTGGTCTTGACGAAAATATCAAGTGATAAGGGCTTGCCAGGACTCTCAGCCCGGTCGAAGTTATATAAGAAATTATCCGAAACACTTGGCTTTCGCCGAGAATTTGGGGAAGGAAGCATGTCGATCAGTGATCGCGAAATGGCCGAATCGGCGAGTTCTTCCATGGCCTCGACCTTGGCTCGGGAGCGACTCAATGGGACGTCGTGCGCTAGCTTGGCCTTGACGATGTTGTGGTTGCGAATGTGGTAGCTGCAAGACTTGTCAGTACCTCTTTCGTGAAGCGACCTCGAAAGACTGCTTGTGACGACATACTTCTCATACGCACGCTCCGGTCGGACTTTTGCGCGTTGGCTTTCGCTGCCACTCAATATTTCTTCTCGAATAATGGAGTTACAACCAGGTGATGGTCGTTGGCCTCGGGACCACTTGCTGTTTCGCTCCTTGACTCTCTTCGGGTCCTGAGCAGCGCTTCGTAAGTCTCGAGCTTCCTCGAAGGCCATAGTTACGTGTTCAAGTATGGTGATGGTTGCGTGTTGATGCGTGTTATCGATTGAGGTGCTGGAGCTTTGTGATGTATCGAGCCCGGGATGCAAGCAATTGTCTCAGGCTTGCTAATATCTTCCTGCTTCTTTGTCTTCGTATCTATTCCTTTGGGGACTTGGCCAAAGGGTGTCGTGACGATGAACTTGATGGAAGGCCGGCGGCAGGGGACTAACCAAGTTCTGAGGGCGAGCCGGAGTTCTCTATGCAATTTGAATGCAAGGATGAACAAGTGGCGGTGCTAAGGATGAAATCTAGGTTCAAGGAGAAGGATGATATGGGTATGAGAATGCAGCTGGAGGTTTTTCTAGAAGAGAAAGATAGATGTGGCAAACAGCGAGTCACAAGGCGACAGGGCGATTAGGTAACGTGCGTTGGCTGCTTGCGCGGGCAGCTGCTTTGTGTGGATGCTTGTTGGGGTGAAAGAGTAAGCAAGTGCGGTTTCGTCAGGTGGGAAGTGGCTTTGTCATTGATGATGTCGAGAATCAAAAAGACGACGAAGCTGGGTAGGCCGGGTGACTCAGATAAGGAAAGCGAGGCTCCGATGATCCTTGACGATGATGCGATCAATGCGATGGACGCTTCGGGGTGTTGAAGGGGGCCGTTATCGATAACGATGACGTTGTTACAGAAGGCTACTTCTTAGTCAGGCACAGGATGACCTACGGAACGACCAGAGGAACGAGATTAAGGTTGCGTTGAAGATTCAAGCCAAAGACGGTTGCAACAATCGACAATCGTTGTATACAGAGACAGCAATACGAAGGGCTTGGCAAAGTCAAATTTCAGGCTGCTGAGTTCTGTTTGTCGCTGAGCAGGTACAGAGGAAGGAGAAACGAGCAAGCCCGTCCTCTAATGGGGGGAAACTCGGAACTCTCTTATCATGGTATCAGGCTAGATCACCGTGTGTCCGTTAGAGTCGGCGTTGCGCGTGGATGGGTACGAAATAGAGAGAGGCTTAGGTCAACCGAGCGATTGTGACGAGATAAAGCTGGGGGCGTGTGTTTTCCACGATGGTGGGTGTGTATCTTTGCTGGTGTGTGTGAATAACAGGTGACGTTTAGCAACAACACAGCCTCTGGCTGCTTAGATGTTGCATCAGCGGCTAGAGCGCTCTCCCCTTTGGCAGCGGGCGGGTGACCTCACGGCTCAGACTGTTGTTGGATTTGGGGGTCTTGTGCCCGGTTCTCGTTGTCGCGGGCTTGGATGATGAAATCGAGAGATTACCTTGTTGCAGCTGCCTGTACCTCAGCCAACAGGGAGTTGGATCAGGACACGCCTGCCTTGGCCGTCAGTTTCCAAGGCCCGACTTGGCTCCAACAGCTCAACCCGTGCCATCATCATAGGCCGCATTGCCACTTATCTGCAGCTAAATTACGTGCTGTACCTGAGGCAGCCCGGCTTTGACGGCTTCGGTCACAGCAAGGTCAAGGAACCGATCGAGGAACGCGTCGAGTCTCGAGGATTCAAGTTGCTGCTCCATCAACGTTCCCTGTGCGAATCAATCATGGCAGCCCACTTGCCACGTTATGCCGGCCATGTAATTTCTTGCTTGGTGTTTCGGAACAGGTTCCAGTACTCGGAAAGTCCCGGGCGCGCCTTCATCTTGAATATGAATAGTTTCTCAAGAGGCGTTCTATCGTGATGAAGCGTCCCGAGGTATACACCTTGCGCGATAAGGCATAGCAAATCAGAACCGTCATAAAATTGAGCGCTTGGGGGGGGGGGGGAAATAATAGTCCACTATGAGTTCCCCATGTCTCCCCGCACTGCCGGATGTCCTCATTTAGACGTGGCGGCAGATCTACGAAGGAACGTCTAGTGCTTCTGGACTGGATAAACTGAGAGCCTTCAGCTTTTTTCTCCATTTTACCAACAGGCGTAGACATGAGTCAGGATGCTAATTTAGAAAGTTGTCCCGGGATAATCTTGCAATCTCGCAGTCGCAATTAAAGCATTGACTTATCATGAGGTGAGCACTGCCTGCCCTAGGCCAGAAATTTGGACTCTCAGCTCCGCTGCCTCCGCTGCCATAACAAGTGGGGGATATCTATTGATAGCATAGCGACAACGATAAGCTAACGATGTACATAGTAGACGCCCCTACTACTGAACTTACGAAATGGCCTCGCGCCCCTGCAAAATGATTCACGTGAGGAAACAATCCTACATCATTCGTTGAAAAGGCGTTAGCGTACTAGTAAAGCAGAGTTATTCTTACCGATCTCTCCATGCCATTCTTCCATTACCTCATATATGCCCGAAGTGCTAACTAGTCTGACAATAGTCTACTCGTAGGGCCAGGGTTCGTGGCTGCGAGTGGCATATGAGCAGTTGGCTTGAGGAGCTGAACACACCTGGAATCACAGTCAGGGAATCTTCAGAGCTAGCTTGGCAAAAGGTCAGAAACAAGGCTCAGAACTGCAATGCCTTGAAACGTAAAAGTATCCAAGTACTCAGCTCGTGTTCAAACGATCGGAAGCGCTGTTTCCTCGGGCTTTCTAAGTCTACGCCCAAGACACCGGCTGCATGATAGCTTGTTTCTTGATCTAAGGATATCCTGGATGAAGTAACGGAAAGTCGGATACGTCAACAGTTCCGTTGTGCTGGAACAGAGCTGATGAATTGCATTAGACGGACTAGGGTGTCGGGAACCGAACCAAATGACCAAAATACTGCACTCACTCAATATCAGTGAACCATATTGACGTCATTGCTAGGTAACATAACATTCAACTCCAACGGACTATGCACACATGTCTGCTCTCTTTTGAATATAATAATCCGACTGCACGCCTGGTAATAAGATGAGCATAGCCCTTATCATAACTCATAGCTTGAGTCAAGAATTACGACCGTCCAATTAATCGGTGCTGACGCTTCTGTAATTTGAGCAATATAGTACTTAAAGATTGTGCCATTTTCTACTATACAAGATAACACGAGATCGAGGTTTAGATCGAATATTTAATTTGAGGTATTTTAACCATATCATCATTGACGGCAACCATAATGGAATGGCCTACGGAGTATTAAAACCGCATCTGGAGTTGATCACTAGGGACCAGAGGCTCTACACATAGTCCACATAGAAGCATACTGATTAGATATGCACTTATCGGGCTCTCGAAAGTTGAAGGTTACAGGGACTCCAAACCTAACGCAACAGTAGGAAGACATGACGAATCTATCGCCCATCCACCCAATCGCCTCAAACATCCTCAATACTCCACCAAAATGTCATCGGACCTCTCGCAATATCTAGCAACACATTACCTAATCGCAGACCCTAAGCCCACTAAAAAGCGTAAGCGCAAACAACCCGCGGCCGACGCAGGCGGCCTCCTTATAACCGACGAAGCCGACTCCAGCTGGGGCACCTCAAAACAAGATGATGACGATGAAGCCACCGCCCAAGTCTCCGGCACCTCAGCCGAGTTTCGCAAAGCCAAGAAAAGCAGCTGGAAAGTCGTCGGCACGCCCGCCCCCTCAGTAACCCAGACCAAAGCCGAAGACGCAGCCGCAGACGCCATCCTCGCCTCAGCAGCGGCCGAGTCTGCCGCTGCGGGCGCAGACAACGATGAGGATCTACCCGTCATGATGGCTGACGGGACGCACGCGGGTCTACAATCTGCCGCGGCGGTGTCGGCGCAGCTGGAGCGGCGCAAGAAGCGGGAGCGCGACGAGTTCGAGCGTGCGGGACAGCAGAAGGAGGCCGAGACAGTGTATCGGGACGCGACGGGGCGGCGAGTGGATGTCAGCATGAAACGGGCGGAGCTGCGGCGGGCGGCGCAAGATGCGGCTGAGAAAGAGGAGAAGAAGAAGGAGCTGTTGAGAGGAGATAAGCAGATTGAGGAGGCGAGGTTGCGGAGGGAGCAGCTGGAGGATGCAAAGCTGCAGGGCGTGGCGAGGGGGGTCGATGATGAGGATATGAATCGAGAGTTGAAGGGGCAGACGAGGTGGGGGGATACTATGGCCCAGTTTGTGGCTAAGGACAAGGTTGGGGGAGGGGATAGCGGAGGGGGGGGAGGGAAGAAAATGAAGGGACGGCCAGTATATCAGGGTGCTTGGGCGCCGAATCGGTACGGCATTCGTCCGGGCTATCGGTGGGATGGTGTGGATCGTGGGAATGGATTCGAGGCCGAGAGGTTCAAGGCCATCAACAGGGTCGAACGGAACAAGGGGCTCGAGTACAACTGGCAGATGGACGAGTAGCACCATACCGAGTCCGTTTAGTCTAACTACTGTATATACTTAGTTAGGCACATGAAAAAGGTCCTGGATGGCAGGCAGCATCGCCGTCCTCTTTCGGCAGCGTCATCCCAGCAAGTCAGGAAAAATATATCCAATAAGCAAATTTTGGAACCAGTCACAATGTGATCAAATTGCAATGTTTCTGTGCCAACTACATGTGTATATTATCTGCGCTCAATGCCAATGTTTATTGGACCATTTACCAGATAGTGCTGCTTCGCAATGACAAATTGCATCCCGCAATCCCCAAACCATGGGTCGTGATGCCATCATCACTCCATTGCGACAAGCATATTCCTTCAAGCCGACTGCTCCGCCCTGTACGGTTGAGTCTAGCATCCTACTGCTTACGTTTGAGAAGTTTCTGTTCTTTGGTGTAGACGGAATTCTTCTTAACCAAGGAGAGCCACTCCGTTCTGGGCATCTGGCCCGGGCCATCACCAATGCGTGAGCCAAACATCTTGAGGAAGTTGCTGATCGGGATGCCGTCGGGAAGCGGAGGCAACTTGTCATGGATCTCCTGGCCTGTAATGGGATTGCCGGGAGAATGGGGTGTCGAACCGCCGTCCTGGTTGGGAGGGTGATTGCCTGATGTAGGATTAGGGCTCCCAGCTCGCGAACCTGTAGGAGTGCCCTGAGCACCCGTACCTGTCCCGAGCATGCGCTGCTTCTTCTTCTTCGGACCACCAGCACTATCCGACATCTCCCCACCCGTCGCCTCACCGTCACTAGTGGAACCAGCGCCGCCCATGCGCCGCTGGCTACCAGGCATGGGGGTAGTGCTGCGGCTGCCCGTCATCGAAGATGACAAGGCTCCGGTTTTCTTCTTCTTCTTGCGGTTGGATTCAGCTCCGCTCGAGTCTGACACCACCGGTGACCCAGCACGCTTGAGCGACTTGCCTTTCTTCGCAGCCTCAGCTGCTGCCTTCTTGCCTTGCGCGGCGTCGTTGCCTTTGGAGGCCCCCTCTGCTTTGTCTTTACTATCCTTGTCGTCTTCCTTTTTGTCTTCATCCTCAGAATCTGAGTCGGACTCGCTCTGTACCTAGTTAGCAATGTTCCAAACTTGGTATAAGTGTGGCTTACAGAGGTGGCGAACGGATCCCTCTCCTTTTCGGAGTCGTCGCTGTCATATTGGAACTGCTTGTCGCGCCTCTTCAATGCCTTCTTGAGATCCTTTCCAAACAGCTTCCTCTCCAGCTCCTCTTTCGTTAACTCGGCCTCTTCCTTCTCAACCTTGCCCTCGTCCGCGTCTCCAAACAAGTTTGCACCAAGCTGTTCACGGCGGATGCGATCTTTCGATTCCTTGGTATCTTCATCCTTGTCAGGCTCGAAGCCGGCAGTTTCGTCGTCATCCTGGAACTCATCGCCTGACATGTCGATATCATCATGTTCCATTTTCTCCTGACGGGAAGCCGCCTTGAAGGTACCAGCTTCTTGCTTGACGAAGACCCGTTTGTCGCGAGAATCGGCAATCGCCTTTTCCTTCTCCTCGCGCTGAGCGTCTCGCATGGCCCATCGGGAGACTGGCGCCTTGGCGCCCATCACTTTCTCAGCTTCTTCGATCGACAGGGCATTTACAGCAGCTCGCTTAGAAGAGAACTTGTACCACTTCTCCATGGGTACCATGCGGAATCCTCCTTCGTGGATGATGAAGGCAACCTTGGTCTCAGATAACGGCGCCTCATACTGCCCAACCCATACGTTCTTGCCATCGGCATCTTCCAGATGCCACGGTAGAGCTTCCTCGTATCGAATCTCGGATTCCTTCTTCTGCTGTTCTGTGCGCGCCCCGTAGTGGGCCTGAGTGCCCGTCTTCTTCTTCTCGTGCGGCTTGAGCTGGCTCTTTTTGGGAGCATCTCTCATGACAGGTGCCTTCTGGGCGTCATCTATGGCACGCTGGGCTTCTCGGTCTGCTTTAGCTTGCGCAAGCTTTTCCGATTCAGCGATCTGCTCAGGTGTCTGTTCCGGTAGCTCTTCCTTGACTTCGCGGCCAGGCGCTGGCTGTCTAGGGTCTCGGCGGTGCAACGTAACAGGACGGGTAAATTGGTCTTGGTTGGTAGGGTCGATGGACTGGTTCTGGGATCTCTGGTGAGGAGGTGCCAGCCTCATGACGTGGAATCGAAGCCCTTCCTTAAGGCCCTTCTTGGTCAAAAAGAGGGGATATTCCCTAGCACCAGGTGGCGGCGGGGCGGACCATCCACCATTCTGTTTTCGCAACTCCTCGAAATTAGGCTGCGGTGGTAGACCATATCGCTGTTGTTGTGGCTTCATGTTTGCGGGTCTCGAAGCGGCAGCAGCTTTGGCAGCAGCAGGCATGGGAGTTCCGGGGGCATGGACGCCAGCCGGTCGCGGCTGAGGCTTTCGTCGCGCAACAAGGGGATTGTCATTGCGCGGCTTCTTGCGAACAAGCGGGCCTCTGGCGCCTGGTGGAGGGGTCGGGTTCTGGCCATTGGGGCCACCAGATGGTGATGCGCTCATGGTGGCAGTTGTACCAAGTTGGATGTGATGGAGTTGCCGGCGTGTTCGGTACGATTGCCTTGGCCAGGTATGCGAGACACCGACGCAATGTTCTTATTGCCAGTCCGCCGTCATGGGTAAAGTTGATGGGTGGTCTTAGGAAGTAATGAAAGCAGACTCCAAGTCTTTGTATGGGTTCGCTGAACGCAGACACCTAGGCAGGAAAGAGCAATGATGCTAACCCAAGTGTTCAATATGACAAGAGTGAGTGCGCAGGTCGACTTATCATTCGACAGACTGTGATAGCGCTTTGCTGAGCAGCAGAGAACGGATTAACGATGAAGCATGTACGATGAAAATAAGCGGAAGGCTGCAAAGGGCAGTCCCATTGAAAGCAGCAAACAATGACCAAGGTGTCAGGGCGTCAGTTGAGGCTCGAACGCGAAGAACGCATGGGTCACAAATGGACGTATCCGGAGATGCCAAGACCTTAGCCTGGCTTCAGCTGAGGATACTTTTGAGTGCAGTTTCCAAGGTATCCCTCGGCCTGTTGTCCATATAAAACCTACTGGAACTAAGGGCTGAAGATACTTTAGTCCAAAGTAGCTTCCCATCCACCCCATCTTCAGCCCTCAATGCTTGCTGATTGGCTGTCGCAAGTCTAGAGTTTCCTGCCAGACATGCTCCCTGCATGTCTCGCATGTCTCGATGAGTGTCTCTCACCTATTTGACTTCATCGCACTTGAGCTGCTCCTGTGGGCGACAGAGAACTTGGGAACGATTCATTTTATTACAAGTCACATGAAGCTCATACCTTTGGATTTTGGCTCTTTCCCCTACTACCTTGCTCCCTTTCTTACTTGTCCTCTATTCCAACGGTCACCCACAATCTGCAGCCTGAAAAGAATTATTAAGGGATTAGCAAATGCAAGGCAACATATTTGTCCCTTGCTGTTTTGGCACTCAGCCTCAAAACCTCTGGCACGAACTTCTACAAGAACAGACAGTTGATCACTTTTCCAAGGCAATTTAGAACTGTCACTGCTTTACCAGTTCATGCCTTGCCCGGATCACCTTTACCTCATTTTATTCGTCTCAGGCAGCTGACCAGCTTTCGTCTTTCCGGGCTTGTTCCTCTCTTCATAATCACTTCACTTCTGCATTAAGCTCCGAGTCCATGGAAGATCATTCAAAGCTTTAGTATCAATGGCTCGACCTATGGATGCTGCATCATCCTATATCTAGTCCTGTGCCACCTGTCCTTGGGATCTGAACGCTATACCTGAAGCCTCCGGCTCCATCAGCCAAGGAGCTGCAGGCTATATTCAAGCGGCCCGCTGCTCAGGCTGCGCGAGGCAGCACCATGCATGGTGCGCAAGATAGAGGACGGCCCCTTGAGGACCGTCTGCGGAATATCATCCTTGGCAATGTCGAGAATGTGGTTCCCAGCAGTCACGCGGATAACACTCAGGCATCTCACCTACGCGACGCTCAACCACTCACTGCCACAGATGGATCCAGCGAGTTTGGTACTGGCGCTATCCCCCCACCACCACCAACACCACCGCAACAGCCAGTTCCAGGCACAAAGGGTGCGAAGAAACGGCTAAATCAAGCTCAACGACGCGAAATGAGTGCACAATTGACCATCCCAATAGAACCTAGAGCAGCTGAGCCTGGAAACTCGTTCCATAGCCCTCAAGGCTTCCAACAACAGCGTCACGGCCCTGGGTATCATCAAAAGTCAGCGCGAGCCCCTTCCGCAGGATTCCGCGGTGGGTTTCAAGGTCACATGTCCGCTACTCCGTCAGTCCATGGTCACGCGATGCCTCATCAGCAACACCAGCACCAGAGAGGTTTTGGTTACCCATCACAATCATCTCCAACGCAGAGTCACCATCCTGACTGGAGACGATCACAGCCGCTTCAAGGCGAGCCGCCATCAAGAGGTATCAACGTTCTCTCAGGTGAAGCCTTCGCTTCTAGACCCCCCCGAAATACTCAAGGAGGCCTGTATAATCCTGGTGGATATCGCCAGTATGTTGTGACGCCTGAAGAGTTGGCTCTGCAATCAAGTCTTCTCGAGCAGCTCTGCAGTGTCGTCGTTCGTAGTGCTGAAATCGGACATGATGAAATTGCCGAGAAAGAGAATTTTCGTGTCCATATTGAGGAGATATGCCGTCGCGTCGTTGCACATCAGGAGATTGAGATCAATGGATTTCAATCCTTCCCATCTCAAAGCGTTCAGTTGAAGTGTTTTGGCAGCCTCTCATCAGGCTTTGCCACAAAGGCTGCTGACATGGACCTTGGTCTTTTGTCACCATCCTCGGCCATTCCTCCTGATGCGTCCGAATCGCCGGTTCCTCGGCTTATCGAGAAAGCTCTGCTCGATGCCGGTTTTGGTGCTCGTCTATTGACACGAACTCGAGTGCCAATTCTGAAGCTATGCGAGAAACCTACAAGGAAACTTTATATGGATCTTTTGGAAGAGCGGTTAAAATGGGAGAAAGGGCTGGATAACGATGATCAGGATGGCTTGGATAACGATGCAGGCATGGACGAGAACGAAGATCAAGATACAATAGACGCCACGGTTTTAACTGCGCAAATTCTCTCGACCGACCAGCAGCCCAAGGAATCCGGAATTCCCTCTGATGCACCACTCGCACAAACTCGAGGACATCGGCCTGCTTTGCTCAAGCAGACGCGAGGCCAGTCGCTGGCGAGCTACTACGGCCTCGCGAAAAGGACCTTGAGACGTATGAATGGATGCGACATTACGCATTCGAATGCTGCAGACTTCACCGATGCAGACTTCATGGCCCTTGACGATCTGAGCTCAGCATTTATTGATGGTCTTCAAGACGAGGGACTGCGGAATCGCATCAGAGCGTTCCACTCTTACTCGGCCGGAAAGCAGCAACCAAACTTTAGGTCTCTCCACGGGGTTTACATGATGGCTGAGGGAGAAAGACTAGTCATGATTTGGGAAGCTAGGGAAGTATTCGAACGTGACTCGCGGCTCGAGCATACTCACACCAAGCCTATTCACCGCTGGCGAGAGCTTCACGGTCAGCGCATGTTTGGCATCGATCCTCTGGCTTTCAACAAGGATCTGAAAATAGCAGCCGACCGCCTTCATCAGATCCCAGCGATACAGTTGATGCAGCTTCAACAAGATGCGTACGAGTCGCCCGCTGAATATTATGCGAGGATCACGAAGATAATCGCTGTACTGAGTGAGACCGCTCTTCTTCCCACCGGTCCAGGCAAAGCTTCACCTGTCGTCCGATGCTACTTGGCTGGGATCCGAAATGACGGGATTCGCGATGGGGTTGAGGAGTTTACACAGTCCACAGGCTGTCAGGACCTACGAGTCATTGCCCGGAGGCACAAGGGCCTCCACCTTGCGGTTGAATATGAGCAAGCTATTGAGAAGGACCTTTATCGGCCAGAGGATATTCCTGTCATCCGCGAGTATGTCGCCTTGTTACGTCACAAGTTCATCCAAGCGGCTCCACCTCACCAACCGGACTACGGCTTGCCTATTCCCGCCACTTTTGCGCCATTGTTCGACAAGATCCGCCAGCTGCCGGATCCATCCCAAACGGTGCCGGTGCAGCGCAAAGATCGGTATCATGATAAACTAGAGTTTCCCAAGGCGGGTGTAGGAGTGCAATGCGACATCAACTTCTCAGCTCATCTTGGGTTTCAGAACAGCCTGCTCCTGCGATGTTACTCTTACACCGACTCACGCGTAAGACCTTTGGTTTTATTCGTTAAACATTGGGCGAAAGTGCGAGGTATTAACACGCCTTACCGCGGAACGCTAAGTAGCTACGGCTATGTCTTAATGGTGTTGCATTACCTTGTCAACGTCGCACAGCCGTTTGTCTGCCCGAACTTACAGGAACTCGCGCCGGATCCCGGCCCGACAGGGACTGAAATCGAGGGCATCACCACCTGCAGGGGTCGCAATGTACGCTTTTGGCGAGACGAGCAGGAGATCCAGAGACTGGCTGGGGAAGGCGTTCTCAACCAGAACCGGGAGTCAATTGGATATCTCCTTCGAGGATTCTTCGAGTACTATGCCAATAGCAACATGATGAGCACTATTCAAAAAACAGGGTTCGACTGGGGCAGGGATATTTTGAGCCTGCGAACGCGCGGTGGGCTTCTCTCCAAGAGGGAGAAAGGCTGGACAGGGGCGAAGACGGTCTTGCAATCGCATACGGACCCTCCGCCTACCCCCACGGGTACGGAAATGCAGGGGCACCTCAGATCTCCCAACCCTGCTGTACTTGATTCTATGACAATGCCTGATGCTCAAGCCGATCCACCCCTTTCGCCGGACAGAATCGCAGCCGGAATCCCGACAATCCAAACCTCAAAGGCCAAGGAATTCAAAGAAGTCCGCAATCGCTACCTGTTCGCCATTGAGGATCCATTCGAGCTCGAGCACAATGTCGCCCGTACCGTGACGCACAATGGTATTGTGTCTATCCGTGATGAATTCCGTCGAGCGTGGCGAATCATCCGGTCAACGGGTAAGACGGCAGTGCAGGAAAACCTACTGGAGGATGTGAACGTCCACAGCGAGATCATAGACCAGAACAGGTTTGTTGACTTGCTCACTGATATTCACGGACTTCACCCTTAGGCAGGCAGGCATACCCTTTGGCGAGATGCGAAGATATTGGGCATAGGTCGTGGAGTGGATGCTTTCGAGCTTATGATGGGTCGTTATTGTCACGAGTTAACGAGTGAGCAATCATACTGGCTTTTCACGATATAGCGAATTGCTACGATAGCAATGCAATGTGGCCTTCTTGATCTAGCCAGTTTTGACACAGTTCTTGGTGTCCGATGCATATGGTCGACAAGGCATACAGGGTTATGCAAGAATTGTAATCTGGCGCCGCGCCACGAAGCAAGAGACGACTAAATCCTACGATACATGTGCCATTAACCAACCCGAACCTTGAAACCCCAACCCCAACCCCAACCCCAGCGCGTTGCGCATCCTGATGATCACAAATGAGATGTCCGTCCACCTGAAAGTTGGGTCCCTAAACGGCCGCAGTTTTCTCTCTTGCGAGACTCCTTTTCCCGTTGCCGCTGAAGGTGTGGGTATCAGTAGTGTACCTGATATCGCTCTCGAAGGGAGCAGAAGATGTTTTCGACGACCTGGGACCGTCTTGTCCAGGCCTAGCACGCCGATTCTCGGAGAGGGTTGGCTTCCCGACGATAAGGGCTCGCAGCGGTGGAATACTGGCAGCAACAATACTGGTGCCCCCCTCGGCGGCCTGCCAGATAAAACCACCGTACCCATATTCTGCTCAGGCGTCAGATAGTATAAGACCTGTGTTGACATCCAGGGAAACGAACGGAGGTTACTTACCGTAGAAGTCGGCTGAGTAGATACGAGTAACATAAGCGTATCTTAGAATCGTGATGATACCCGACCTATCCCAGTCAGTTCCCTGTGTAAAACTCATTTATCTTGGTTGACATCTCGGACTTACAGTATCCCAAAGCTCATAGCTAGTGCAACCCCAATCTTCTCCTCTGTTCGCATAGCCATAGACCAGACGATTTTCCAGGCGATAGCGACTAAGGCGAAGTCGCTCAAAGCACTCCATGCTTCACTTCATGTCAGCATATCTGTCACACCTCGTGTGAATGGGAGTGTGAACGTACTGCCGCTAGCCCAGCCGACATATTGAGGAATGTATGTCTGGCCACAATAACCCCCGAGTTCGTCCAATGATCCATAGACTCTCTGGGTGGGATGGCTACACAGTGTTTGCTTAGCCGTACGCGCTTTCAAATTTCCAACTAGGTCGCGCGCCTCTAGACCAGACCCAAGGAAGGGGTGATTGCATCAGTTGTCGCTCACACTCACCAGATCGTAACCCTCGTGACAATGTTGGGAATCATGGTGATGCAGATCAAGCCAGCAATGGCCGTCCACGTTACAACCTTCATCCAGCCCTCGGTGCACCTCAATATTGCAATAGCGAAGGCGATCCTGCTCACGGATACAATAAGGGTGGAGAAAACGCTGTAGGCCACCCCGTACGTGGCGATTTCGGACCGGGTCGCAAGGTCAAGCGACGTGTATGGTTTCCCGAAGCCGAGGCTTGCGGCCTTGGTAATAAAGCATATCTCTACGAACATGAGAATCCATGAGAATATCAGAAGCAAGTCTGCAATATCAGGTGGTCAGGATGGAGATGATTATTGGATGCTGTAACCCAAAGTGGGAAGCAAAGGGTGTTGTTTTACTCACCATCTGATAAGAGACGTCGACCGCGACTGATTTTGGCATAGATTCGAAGTCCGAGGACAGCGCCAGAAATGAAAGCAATCGGCCAGACGGAGCCGCATAACACAGTTGCGTTAGGACTCAGCATGTCGTCTGCCCTATTGTGGGAATCGTTGCTGTTGTCGAAGCTCTTGACTGGCGATTAAGTGAATTCGGCAAGGCTCAAGCGTGGACCTCAAATTCTTGAACCACAAGATACAAATATGGAGTATAGAGGAATCCCCTGGGCTTTATTCATAACAATGGATACCACTACTATCTAGTACCTTGAAAGAGAGTTAACGGGAACAAGCGAGACCAACTTCGAAGCGGGGACAAGCAAACCAGCAAACCGTAACGCTGAGTCGCATGCAGAGAACCAAACACAACCTTTTGTAGTTTCAAGTTCATAAGGCAAACACTGCAGTTCATTTCCTAGAATGCCAGGAGATTGATTAAAGGTGCGGACCCCATGGAGATCCTGCCTCAATAAGATCCGAAAGCTTGATGCATCCACCCAAAAGCTTGATGCATCCACCCAATATGCAGCTGACCAACTGTCAGCATTGGATATTGTCCCGTTGGAGGCGAGCTGGGGGCGATGCTCCCTTGCATAAGACACCGAAAGTGAAAGAGCCTTGTATATATATATCCACAAATACAAAGGAACCAAAAAGGACAGCCGATTCCCTCAAGGGCAAATTCTTTCCACTTGTACACACCACCCTATGAGCGGGCTTCTCCTTTGATTTCCATTTGACCTATTGCACAAACAGCCCAAAGTATGCGGGTGAGTAGAAGGGGTCGGCTGGCTGGCGGCGAGCTCGGGTCGCACAACTTGGGGGGACTCGAGAGCAAACTACTCAGTATCACCGCAGTAACTACTACCACCAACATATTCGCCTTCTCGAGAAATGATTGGCTCATATTACAAATTGACCGGCTTTCCAAGCTTAAAACCTGGTCTACGGGATGCCATACATTTACATAGGGTAACGCAAGGGCTATCCCATCTCTTGAAAGTGCGCAAAACAAGACTTTGTCCGTGACATATATATGTGAAATGTAAGGGATCGGCTATATATCCTGCAGCATTACGTTTCTGCAAACATCAGAAGAGAGTTGCAGAGAAGGCAAGGTGGCAAGCAGGTGCTCCTGGTGATTGATCTGGAAAGCAACCCGATCAACATTAATCAGGGAAGCTTCGGTGATATTATCTAGGCCGGCCTTTCTTGGAGCTCGTGAGCGACGAGAGAAGTCATTGGGTATAGATGGCTTCTTTGCCATCTAAAAGCTCACTCTGGTGCTGTACTACATGGTTTTCAAGGTGTGTCCAGTAAACTAAGCGATAACATCAATTTCTTTGTTGAGGGGACCTGAGAATAATGTGACCCATTAGGACTGTTCTGTTGAAAGGCTTTCTGGAAGGCTTTCCGGGGTTCTTATCAATGTTCAAACACGTCTGCCTTTGCCTCACCATCCTATTAAGCTGTAACAATGAGGTCTATACATGTAAGAAGTATTGATTGCTGCACATGAAGTCTTCTTCCAAACTCCATGCATCCACAAAAATATAGGCTACAAAACAGGCTTCATCATGTAGAAACTGCTCTGGGACAATGAACCTTGACTAAAACCAAACATTTTCCTTCTCTCAGACGGCAGAAAAACTTGTTCGCCACCCAATTTTCCAGAGATTGGATTTTCTGAGAAGTCTGCTGCTTTCGCACATTTTCGGGTCAGATCGTGGATTACAGAGATAATGTAGGATGGAGCGCCATACTTATGCCCCAGGCCGAAAGCGGTGCAGTTGCTAGTGTAGCTAATGGGTCAGACCCTTCCTTCCTTACTTCTTGAGAGAGAGCAAGAGCGCCTTACAGCGCCTCTTAAGACCAACCTGCGTAGCACAACGAGTAGAGCAGGCATAGCGATCAACACCACACCTATACAGAGTCATCCACAGAGGGCCGATTCCCTCAGATACTTCAATTCCTATATCTAATGTAGCAGTGACTCTGCAGTTCTGAAAGAAGCCGAGTTGAGTTTGATATTTAGACCATTGAACAATCACAACCTAGCTGAAGCTTGTGGTTCAGTCTTGCTCACCAATTCAATGGAATTGGTAATGAATTTTATCGATTCCTTGCTGATGAAGTAGGCGCTTGCATCTCATGCGGTGGTCGAATTGGAGCATTCCTGCAAACAGAGCTTTAACCCAGTTGCTGACCTTGGAGCCTGGCAAATCACATGCATACCCACTCGAGCATCGTCGTAGACAACGATGAATCTCGCACACAAAGATTCACAGCATGGCTATCTGCGGCGGCACTTTTAAAACGAACAAGTCCAAATCCCCTTCCAAACTCAAATGGCTAACACAGCCCCTCGAAACCATCGACTTCCTGAACCCCGAGCTAGGTATAATCCGTGGCGACGTTCACACGGACAACGTCCAACTCTTCGACTTCGGCCGCGCGGAAATCATCGACTCGGAGGTTACATAATGTCCCGATCATAACATCGTCAATTCTATATATACCATACACGATGTCGTCACGGATGACGAGAAGATGTGGGATAGAACTGACATGAATGTCGTGGGCCTCTTGCGGATGAAGAGCTGGCCCATAAGAGGGAAATTGGGTGGCAAGGTGAAGATCAGCCGAAAGCATGTGGTTGCGTGGTTTTGGTGGCGGAAAATGCTTCTTGATGGGGAGAAGAAGACGATGCTTATCAATAAAGGGACTTCCGGGAAGAAACCTGCAACCACTTCCTGAGGAAGATAACAGAGTGGGCCGATGAGCCTCCACAGAGCGTGGGTGTCAATGGAAAAGTAGTTAACGCCGACAGGGACACACCTGGCAGTCAATCATGTCCATTCTTCGGGGAAAGACCGCCTGCAGATGATATCGAGCTGCCTCCAACGAAGAGACGGAAGACTTCAGTCACGCAAGCCAGGTAAGGTAGCGAGCTGAAGCATATGTACCGAAGAAATATTCCAAGAGATTCTATCTAGAAACTTGTCAGGTACTCGCTCCATGGGCTCTTTCGGGTTTATGTGATCAAGTATTTGAGTTCCTAGCCATATGCCTCTTCCCATGCTTTTGGGGGCGGTCTTCAATGGTAGACTACCCTGATACCATGTGTATTCGGATTCAACAAATCAAGTCATATGTAGTGTGTTATACAGACATGGAATGCTGTGTGTATATCCAGTCTACCAACATAGCGATAAGTTGACAGGATGGAAAGGCCTCGAGCCAACCGCCGTCGGAAGTGCTCACCAGTTATACACATAAATTTGTTGATAGTTTCCTCCTTGGATTCTGTGTGCAGATTATGTACGCATATTATTGAATCAACATCTCATATATTTCACCATTGTTATTTTGACATTATATTTTGTTGCTTGGTGAGTTGTGGGCTTACTTGCGTACGTTGTGAGACCAGTTACCACTTATATCAGCAATGTGATAGGCAACACTTCAACGCATACCTTCAACGTATTTTTTAAGAGTAATAGAAGAGGTGGGCGATAACTTTAACAAAATGTTCAATATGGAGCAGATTGAATTACACTTGCGATTTTTGCCATCAAGGGTGAAAAAAGAGAGAGCAGAAAGCCACTTCACTCTGAATATGCACCTTTCAGGTTTGACTATACAGATGATGATCGTGATCTTTAATATCCGTATGCCCCAATATACTGTTGCCTGCTCTCTTGAATTTCTACCCTCAAAAGACACGTAAACTTGAGATTCTGGCACCCAAAGAAATTGAGTTGTCCATCTGAACTCCCCTTTGGTACACGGAGAATTGTTCCCTGGGCCAATTCCCTTCAACAAGTGCAATTTGCAATCCATCCTCATCTATTCTGACACCATTATCAACTCCTCACAGCCGCTTCACCTTGATCAACTCTTACCTGTCACCAACCCCCATTTGTCTTTCACCTTCGATCCCTCGACAACCACTTGGTTTCGACCATTCATCCATCCTAGCTTTGACTGCAACTTCACCTCTCAAGCAATCCATCTTGATCTTGACTGCGAATACATTTTGCGACCGAGCACTTTCGATTTCAAACGCAACTTCGCGCGAGGAACAAGCCATTCTGATCTTGACTGTAAGTTCGACTGGTGCCAACTCCCTCTCTTTCATTCACCACATCATCATCGTGGGTTCACCTTCACCTCGCCCAGGACAACCACTTTCTATCTTACCAACTGTTTCACCAGCGCATTTACCGTTCCATTCTGACCCAACCCATTTCAACTAACCTCTCCAGTCAGAAATACATTTTTCCCCTTCCCTATTATGCAACATGACCACGATGTCTCGCAAATACACCACTTCGCCCCTGGCGGGTTTCAAGCGATCAGCCAGCGTGGCTGGTCTTGCCCTCGAGCATCCCATTCCGAAGCGTTCGAGATCGTTGCCGCTGTTCTTAGATCCTGCTGCCCCTGAAGAATTCGTCAACGAAGCCTACGCTCGTGCTGGCGGTCTTCCTGTCTCTGGCGACGCGCCTATCATCGCACCTGCCAACTGCGCTTCGACCGCTACTACCCAACCGCAAGTAAACAATGATATGCCAGCAGCGACTCAAACTACTTACGACATTGAGTCTGACATTGAGCACACTGACTACACTGAGCATGCCGCTGCTCTCACTGAGGCCCTGACTGGCTTGGCCGAGCAGAAGGAAAACAACGGAAGCGACAATGATGAACCCACGACCCTCGCTGACTACTACTCAAATGATGGCGGCATTTCACCCAACTATGAGCCCGACCCCAATATTACCGATGGGGGCGCTTCACCCGACTACGCTCCCAGCGCCCTCTCGTCTGCCTCGATTAAGGATGAGCAGCCTGCTGAGATCCCCCAACTTGACACCGGCTTCAGTGGAGGGCCGACTGAGTACCTCTTACACGCTTACAAGAGGCTCGATGATGCCCTTGAGCGAATCAAGTCCCTGAGCTCTGGAAGGCTTGACGAATACACCATCAAGCGCGTGCAGGATAAACTCGCCGACTACAGCCCCAAGTCCGTTGCTATCTCCAACGATGGCGACACCATGATTCGCAACCCAACCACCCCATCTTCCGAGATCCGTGCTACCTCACCCTGCTTCATCCCCCCCACCTTCATCGCTGAGCAGAATGGCTCAGTCAAGTCGCACAAAATGACCATCGCCGATGACCATGGTTACAAGAAGCTCGGTGCTCTCACGGCCATCTCAGCTGGTACGCAGCCCAACCGAGAGACCTCACTCGGCCCCTTTTCGAACTCGGGGTCCGAACGCTCTACTTCCGAGAAGAGGAAGTTGTCGCCTGCTCCTACCACCACAAGCACCGATGCTGCTGCAACCACCGCAGCTGATGTTTTCATCGTCAAGCATGAAGGTCCCACTTGCCTCTCATCGTCATCTAAACACCCTCCATCCAAGAAGCGAAAGCTGTCGTCGGCTGCCGTCAATGCCACCAATGTCACTGCTACTACTACTACCGCCGCCGAAGCTGATGCAGAGGACACTAAAGATGAAGCTCCCACTTACATCTCATCGGGAACCCAGCCGACTTACGAAAGTCCCCCTAGCTCGATCACAAACCCCGAAAAGCCTGTCCTCACCGTCGATGCTGGAACTCAGACCGAAGCTGAAGAGCCCAAGCCCGCCATCTCATACGATGGCTCTGCTGCGACTCAAACCACCTCAGCCAGCTTCGTCTTCCGTGCCACCCAGATCGAGGCCAATGAAGCTTCTGCTGCAACTAATACTACACCTGATATGTCTATATCTAGTAGCACTAAGACCGGGGCTAATATCGTCTCTGCTACAACCCAGACGGACAATTTATCTCCTCCTCCCCAAATCTTGAACCCCAGCCTTGCTCCCACCAACTCCTGGTCCGACCATTACAAGAAGGAATTTGAGCTCATTCGACACGACGAACCCCTTGTCCCCTCGGTCAACCTCACTACAGTCAAGCGTAGACTCCGGCACGAAGTCAATAGCCAAAGCTCCACTCAGAAGAACAACGGGACCCCCACTGGACCCCGTGTTGAGGTCAGCCTCCTGAGCGATGACGATGAAGAGGACACGCCAGTCAATCCCCGAAATGGGTATCGTGTCGGCGGTTCTGGCAACGCCCCTGACTTCGACCTCGACGACCTCGACCCCGACGATCCTGAGCTCGGCCTTCCCGACTACGAATCTGACGAAGACACGGGATATTTTCTTAGCCCCGACCAATCCTCCTCGACCCTCGTGCAGGAGCTTCGCTACCAGATCCAACATTCCGACAACCAATACCCTGCTCCCCAGACCGGCAATCGTATCGATTTCCAAGCGTACCATGCCGATATCGGCTCCAGCCTTCGCCAGGACCCCGAACACCACATCACTAAGACCCTCGAGGACTCTTTATGGGACGACCCCGCCCGAGACGACCTGACGTCCTACAGGACGGATTGGCTTAAACGTGGTGAGTACTCCCTTCGCAAAGGCTTCCCCTTGGTGGAGGACGTCGAGTTCGTCATCCCCTACAACAAGGCTCAGCCCGACGGAGACTGCTACTGGCGCGCCCTCTCCTACCAGCTCTACGGCACCGACGAGCACTGGGCGCTCGTCAAAGCCGAGCATCTCGAGTACGTATACATGGTCCTTACCCGCCCGCAACACCCGCGATACGAGCTCTACCAAACGCTCAATAACCGCTTCTTCGACACAGCATCCCCAGCCTCCGAGCCGGACCGAGGTAAATTCAAGGCGAACATCTGGCAGATGCTCCTTCTTGCGCACACTTGGACCCCTGGCGTCATGCAGCAAATCACCGCTGACCTCTACAATATCTGTATCATCACCTTTTCCTACAAGGCAGACCACCTTCGGGAATTCGAGGTGTCTGAAGTCAGCGTCCGGGGCACATACAACAGCCGTCACATCTTCCTCGGGTTCGTCAACGATAATCATTTCCAGCCCATGACGACGAATCAATACAAGATGTGGGAATTCCGCTACCCCCGTGTAACAGTCGAGGCCACCGCCGCCTTCGCCCATGCCCCAAAGGAGACCTCTACCAAGACCACCACTCAGCACCCCTGGCGAAACGAGTTTACCAGAGAGATCCCCCCTCCCGTCCCTCGAGGCCATGGCTGTGACGTCAACAAGCTGCGCGAGTTCATGGGGTCTAAGCCCCTGTGCTAAGTGGAATGAGAGAAACCCAGAAAACCCATTCTTACCACACCAAAGGTGGGCTTAGTCTGGAATGAACTGGATATTCCGAAGGAGTAGTTTGGAATAGGCCCAATACCCCACTAGGTCAGATGAATGGCTTGGCAAATGGACTACTACACGAAGCAGTATTGGTATAGAGATAATCTTGTGCTTTAGGAAAAAACGCATCACCATGAAGATTAGTGGTACAGCGAAAGCGACTTTGTTTGAAATAAAAACTACCTAGATAAAACTTGGGCTTTGATTGTGCGTATGTACGAAAATTTCTCTTGCCCATCACCCATCTACCCCGAGGGAGAGTGACCATGAGATCTGAGTGATGGGCCTTCTAGAATCGTAGTTTTAATCTACCAACGTTCCGTTCAGAAGCTTGTCCTAGAGGGATCTTAGCCCTGGCCATCCCGAAGGACGGCACCGTTGGGGTTGCGTATAACGCGTAGGGGAATTGTGCTCATGATTTCACCGCATTCGGTCTGCTCAACATTGAGCGGAGCGGTTATGGAACGGGGCAGGGGACTCGTCAAGAAGAATTTTGGCTAAGGTACCAGATTGGTCATCTCGTCATCAGTGGAATCGAAGACACCACCACCATCTTGTCATATACAAGCGCCTGAAAACGTACCTCTCAGAGTGAAATCAATGTGGTATCTGATCCTGGATCTAGCCTTTTCCTCGGCCTAAGCACATTTGAATACGCCATCCGGAAACACCTTGCCAAAGACGCCGTAGATTCCGTCTCACGAATCTCTTCATGTCTCGTTATCGTTATGATTACAATACTGTAGCATGAGTAGCCCGCCAAACACATCTATATGTGTCATTCTGCGCTTTAGTCCACAATATGTTGGAAAAGCGGCGAGATGGACTCGCCGTAGTGGTTTCGCCGGATAGCCTCGGAAAGCAAGAAGGAAAGGTCCAGGATGACCAACTTACTCGCGTCCCTTGCCTTGCGTTCGCTGATGGGAAAACTGTTGGTAACGATGATCTGGTCGATGCATTCGCAAGCCTGAAGCTGTTCGAGGCAGTCACCTCCAAACACACCATGCGTCGCCATGCAGTACACCTTCTTAGCGTGGCCTCTCTTGACCACCGTCTCAGCTGCAGCAATCCAGGAACTTGGCTTGTCAATCATGTCATCAACGATCAAGACGAAGCGGTTTTTGACATCGCCAACCAGAGTGATCATGTGTTCCAACTTGGGATCCTGGAGCTTCTCATCTTCTTCGTCCGATGATGGTTCGGCATCGCCAGAACCACCGAGAGCATGTGGCTCGGGTGCAAAGAAGGAAGACGCATGAGACATGGCCATTGTGTCCTCTGCTTCGGTGGCCTGGTACGATTGGCTTCCCTCACCGCCCGCTTCTGACTGACTTCCCGAAGGATAATCGTCAGGCACAATGTGACCTTGTACCAGTCGGCCATGGGTAACTACTTGCGCACGTTCGTCGTTGTAATCCTGGGCCTCCTCCTCGTCCTCCCCCAGTTCGTCGATTGGGGAGGTTTGGGAGGGTGTATGGAGGGCTCGTGTAAACGGTGACCGCGTCAGACCATTAGTCCGCAACGGGGGGCCGTGGGAGCTTCTCGGAGAGCCCTGAGAGTCTGCCACGATGTGGCGTGTGGGTGCAGCACCATTACCATCTTGGGAGCGAGTCGAGTCCTGATCGTCCGACATGGCCCAAGAGTGCCTGTTCCCATTGCCGTTGACCGAAGGTGGTTCCTCAAACCCATCCAGCTGATTCATGATCATGCTGGCAGTCATGTTGGTGCCCGCACGCCTGCGGTCGGTCGTTACGATACCGAAGTTGAGCTTGAGGGCGTCGGCCAAGGATGTAACCCTCTTGGTTCCTCCAGCATTCTTGGAGACGACGACAGCATCTTTCCAATTAGGAACGTTTCGTCGGATCCAACGCGCAATCAGAGGCTCGGCATGGAGGTTATCCACGGGACATTTGAAAAAGCCTTGCATCTGCGAAGCATGGAGATCAACCGTAATAACATGTTTGACGCCCGCGACGTGCAGCAAGTTGGCCAGCATTCTCGCCGTGATTGCACCCCGATGAGACTTCTTCTTGGACTGTCGGCTGTAGGGGAAGTAAGGCAGCACGGCTGTAATGGAACGAAGCACGGTTAGAACATCGGCACTGTAGTAGCCCGGAGTGGTACGACTCACCAGTGATCTTGTTTGCCGAACCACCTTTGCAAGCTGATATCATGATCAGAAGCTCCATAATGGTGTCGTTGATCTTGGGGCTCCCAGACTGCACGACGAAGACATCCTTCTCTCGGACACTAGTCAAGATGCGGACGCTCGTTTCGCCCTATTCGAGGTCAGCCCAATGTTGGAGACGACGCAGGAGGGAGCCCCCATCGCCCAAGCCTCAAACAGAAGCAGAAGCAGAAGCGGCGAGGACTGGACCAAAATAACACACATTGGAGAATTGCGATAGCTCGGCCTCAGCCGGGGCCATGCCTAGGTTCTCGCATATCTTGCCTGTGAGGGCAGGGCACGAGGTCCCTGAGAAGATGAGTGTATTCCTCATGGTCCTGAACGAGAATCGAGTTGTAGGGAGGAGAAAAGTTTCTATTGTAGAGGGGAAATTAGGATGCGAGAAGATTTAAGTGGGGGCGCGGAAGCAGCTTTGTTCCAGACAGGGGACAGATCAATCTTTGCCGATACCACGGGCTGTCCATGGACGAATCGCAACCATGCAAAGTCAATTAACTGCAGCTTGTTGGTAGCGTTGGTATCCACGACGGGACTCTTCGTAGCAGCTTTCCGAGTGAGAGCTATACTCCATGCCGGGTAACGAACTGACCACCTGCATATCCAGGATCCAGAGTCATAACGTTTGCTCATGTCAACTTCGCAGCAATCAGTTCAGACGACTGGATCTGTCTGGTTCTGGCCACCTCAACTTGACCAAAAACTGTCGATACTGAGGTTGCAGATGAGAAGCCATTGTGCGAGCTGCAGAAACCCCGAAAACTCATAATAATACCGAAAAAATCCCACTATGCGCATGAGCGCGTCTGAGTTGCCACAAGTTGCCCGGCAGTCATGGGTGTACAAGGTCTCTACACGGCTTTGAAGCCGTTTGGCGTCGTCACTCCGCTCAGCGGCGAGACCGTCGTCATTGATGGACCCGGTTTGGTGCATCGGATGTGGGAGACCTCGAACAAGACGCAGACAAATAAGATGAGTAGTGCCATCACATGCCACATACCATACGCTTCTCTCGGCCAGACCGTTATCCACTGGCTTGACACTCTGCGTGCCAACAACGTAAACGTGTAAGTCGCTGCTGCCCTCCTTGTTTCCTAGTTACTAATGAGTTGCAAGGAGGAAAATATACTTTGACGGCTACCTTCCGCCCAGGAAGTGGGATACCAGGCGCCAGCGGCTGATACAGTCAAGTCGACAAATGAAAAACGCGTCCTTCAATACACATGTCGTCCACAGACCTGCCCAAAATCCTATCGTCACCACGGCAAGCGATGGTTCACAACAACCTGCACCTGGCGTGCGGTCCTTGCCTAAGCATCCATTTCTAGTTCCAGCTGTGATCGAGCAACTTAGGCAATCGCCAGACTGGAGGTCCAAGGTACAGGTCGTACCAGGAGAAGCCGATGCCTACTGCGCACAGGATGTTAAGAAGAGCGGCGGCATTGTCATGACGAGCGACTCGGATCTGTATATCGAAGATCTAGGGCCGACTGGCGCTGTCGTATTCTTTTCCGGCATCTATGAGAGGCACTCGGATCTGGAGGCAATGACAGGGGAGAAGTTCTCGCGAACGGCATTCGAGGAGAAGAATGAGCTCACACAGTGTGGAGGTTTGCCTATGGTGGCATACGAGCTGTCGGTCAACAAACTTAGTATGAAGGAGGCAATCCAGCATGCGAAAATGGGGTACGCGCAAACCTTGGGCCGAGAGAGTTATCAATGGTTCCTCGAGGAGCACATGTCGGAAGAATATATCGCGGCTGATCATCCCGTCCTTGCGACGCTTTCCAATCTAGATCCTAGGATTTCAGAGTTTGTCATCCAATCTCTGAACATCGAGGTAGTCCAGTCAGAGCCTGTCAAGACTTCACAAAGGGGGACACCCCGCGGGCCAGAGGAGCTGTCAATGTTTCTGCCCATCATGATCGAACAACACACCAGGAAGAGCTCGTGGTCCATGAGTGAGTCGGTAAGACAACTCGCATATGGACTTATCCAATCATCTGAGCCCGGGCGACGCGAGCAGATGATCGAATACCGAACCATGGACACTTTGACCGGCGGGCGGAAACTGACCATTCCTCCGCCATACAAGGTCGCCACGCTATGTGACACATTGCTAGCAACCCTCGAGGCACTCTCTCGCGATATCGAAACTCCAGGCTTTCGATGGATCGCTTTTGCGGTCCACCAGGATATGGAGTGGTCAATATGGGAAGAAAAGACTCCAATTTCTTCTACTCTGATCCAGAACGCTGTCCGCTATGCCGAGGGGCCGGAGCCAGATACGGTGTCTTGGGCCGTCGTCCACTTTGTTGCGCAGGCTCAAGCCTCTTTGTATTCTTTGCGAATGCTGAAGCAGATCCTGGCTGTCGTAGCGACGCTGTCCCCCGAAAAACTGACAGGTCCAATGCAAGAACTACGCGAGCATCTATCCACACTGCCCAACATCGCTGAATACCCCACCGTGGCGTCAGTGGAACAGACGCTGGCGCAGTTCGGCGAGGCGGGCGGGCTGTTCGTCGTCTCAGCTTTGCTGGGAATCCCCATGCAGGTACTTCCTAAACCCCCGGTGACCCAGACAATGGGATCCCGGGCACAGAAGGCTACCGCAAAGGCATCCAACAAGCGTAGCTTGCAAGACAGCAAAGGTCAAAATGAGGCCCTGAAGCAGAAAAAGGCACGAGAATCCCCAGCGCAGGCCAAGCGCAGCCTAGAGGTCAGCGAAACTCGAGATGAGGAGATTGAGAAAAAGAAGAAACCGCGACGACCGCTGAGCTTGAATCCCTATGCTCTATTGAGTGAGGCGGCTCTGGAGGAGTGAGGCTTGAGGTCTTTTGGTAGATACGTATGGTATCAAGAGGCAAGCCGGAGAAACCAAAAAATCACTTAGCAAAGTTCAGCTCGTTATAACTACGCCAAATTTCCAGTGGCAAAAGCCCAAGCGCTCGTGTAATTTGAGGCCAAGATGTAATCATGTGTGTAGAGCTGTGGTACTCCTCCTCGGCCAGGTAGGGGCCGGGTTGCTCTTTAATCTCTGAGCTGGAGGCAGAATGGGCGACCTGACTGTGTCAGATTACAACTTTATTGGGGTGTTTTCTTTTTTGACTACCAGATCAACGGGGTGCTGCCATCATATTTACCTCTTTCAAATATCAAATGGCGCGGACTGGGCTTTTGAAGCCTTGGTAGATCACAACGACATTGAGCGAGGAACACGCATGATTTCAATGGTGCATAGGTATTACAAAGGGTGGGACGTGTTTCCTCCCTCGAGTCATTCGGTCGGCTATTTGACCCTCAAGTCGTCGACCATTAAGACGCCATATCAGCTAACGTCGGCCCTCTGCAATGCGGAACCCCAGCAAATTGATCCTTTTGCATAGCCAAACCGTATCATTCTTAAAACGCGCGCAGTAAAAACAAATCAAGGTGCTTTTGTGTAGAGTTTGTGTAGAGCAAAATCACAAGGCAGAGAGGAAGGGACAGGAGCTTTCGTTATTTCATGCATACATTACTGTGTCGACGAGCAACGCCACGATCGATCCCACCACCCCACCTTCAACAATTTCCCATATCGTTCCGGGCAGGGCCGCCTAGGCCTTGGCGGTTTTATTTCCTGATGCCATCTGCTGTTTTGTGAGCCACCGTACCGTAGCAAACAAAGACGCTTGGGGGTCAGTCTTCACCTTAGAGATCAAGTCACGACCAACCGAGGCAGTCTCCTCCGCTCCCTGCTGGCGCTGCCAGAATCTGCCAGGGTGTGAGCGGAACAACATTCTATGGTGTATTGGATGTACTCACTTGATTTCAGGTGTACCACCACCAACGGTCGATTCGCGCCTGGCTTCGTCCTCCAACGCAGCTCTAGTGATCTTCTCGCCGGTGTGCACATCGGGAAGCTCAGGCTTTTCAGTGATATCCTGACCTAAGGTCTCTTCCAACATATGCTTTCTCATGCTGAACCTCTCCGCTCTTTCCTTCTGTAGACCAGGGCTGTCAATCTGGTTCATGACGTATCGGACTGCGAACTGTGCTGCAAGGTAAATGTGCTCGGCACCCAGGATAGTGAGCAGGAGACCCCACGCCTTAATGTTAGAAGGCGAACCACCAGGTCCCTCTGGGTCATTGGTGAAGAGGTAGACGATGGAAAAGCTGACCAAACTCCCGAACCATGACAGGAAACCAAGCGCGCTGAGCCATGGCCCAATTGAGTCCGCTCTCCATGGAATAGGTCGCTGGCTACTAACAGCAATCTTCATCGCGTCGGATCGCAGCTCCACCCAGTTGTTAATGAAGAAAGACATGGGCGTCAGAGGCCAGATGGCTGAAAACAGTGAGAGGTAACCTGTGGGTGTCAGTCACGAACATGTGGGTATGAATTGGAGCCAACTAACCAAATTGGACCACCATCTCCCGGTAATCGCCAGAGACATCATAGACATCAAGTCCTGCCTCTTTGCGAACTCTGGCCAAAAACGCCGCCTCCTCAGGAATATCTTGGACCGACGTCATGTCGTTACCATTCTTCTGAGCCATCTCAGACTGAACTTCCTTCACCTTTTGGAAGATCTTACGCTTCAAGTACGGTACGACCACCTCCAAAGCCAAGTTGACGACCTGGGCTGTCACGGTGAAGTAGATTATCTGCTTCTTCAGCCGATCAGGATTAATTTCGAAACCTTGGGTCGAGATCTTCTCGCTCGAAGAAATCTTCTCTGCAGTGATCTTCCAGATATCGAGATACGGAACAAGTAGGTTTCCAAACGGCATGTACACAAATGCGGTGAGGAAGAGCGGAAGGTAGGACGTGATGAAGTTGACAATAAAAATCTTCGTAATCAGGGCAGACTCGTGGCCTTGTAAATGCATTAACGACATGAAGCTACGTTGGGTTGCTTGACTACTCACCGTCGTGGGTCTCGTAATTTTCAGCCCCTGTGAGCTTTTCGGCAAGATTGCCTAGAACTGAAGACAAAGTGGGCAGTAGCCCAGACAGGATGATGGTGGGGAGGAAGGTCTGGTTGTAGTCAGCGGTATGAACTCAGATAGGAATGGCAGGTCGTACGAGGTATGACTTGAATGGTCCATTGTAGATCTCAGAGAGGAAGATCTCAATGGAGAAGCAGAAGACATATAACGCTCCCAAGATCAGAACGCAAATCACAGCGAATGGAACCTGGAGTACTTGAGTTTGCAGTCGCTTGAGAGGAGAGTAGATCTTGATAGGCTCTCCAGTGACTGGGTCTGTACCCTCGTGGTCCCATTGGAACTCCGTTCGTGGGTGCTGGATTTTCGACACTCCACGAACGCCCCATTGAACGGCAAGATCGACTTCCTTCTTCTTCCAATACTCAAAGAAGATAACAGACCACAAAGAATTTACCACGGCGTAGATCCATGAGTACTGTCCAAGGATCAACCAGGCACCAAACCCGAAGGCTGCAGGAAACAGCAGGAAGGTGAAGTAGGCCTGCAAGAAGGCAAAGTAGAATGCAATCTTCTCGCCGAACTTGTCACGAATCTGATCCAGGTCCTCTTCGCTGAGGACGTACTTGCTGCTCCACTGCTTGATCCAATGCCTGTTGAACTCATGGTTGTGAAGCGGGAATATCGAGTCGATGTATTTCCACTGGCCCGTCTTGGGGGTCAGACCAGCACCGCCATCGTTCTTGGGATTGGTCAACAAGAGGTAGACCATGCGGAGTCGCTCTGCATCGCTGACGGGCTCGTCTTCAAAGACCCTGTCCACACCTTTCTCAGGAGCTTTGATTCGGACGCCATACAGCCAATCTTGTACTCGTTCGCGGTAGATCTTGGATTTGAGATACCTGTTGGAGGCAACCTTGACGAAGACAAGAACAGAGGAGTTGTTGATACCAGGTCGTACTTCGGAGGCAAGTCCAGCCTTGGTGAGAACTGCAATCAACTGGGAGAAGCCAGCTTCGGCTTCAGCTTTAGCCTCAACTGGGATCTTGTAGTTGATCACATAGTCGACACTACCAGAGCATGATTGTCAGAGAATTTCAAAATCTAAGGAGTGGTCGACGGTGGGTGCCGTATAGGGGTCTCCCATCTACTAACTTCATGTTGGTCTTGAGCTCCAGGCGGTTGCCATCCGAGGCGTACAAGCTACCCAAGCTCGTCATGCTGTCGATTGGGAGCTCGAATCGGACTCGTACAATTCAGTTGGAGTGTCAAACTTGGTATTTTGAATGAGAAGAAATGCAATTGCTAGGGGAAAGGTACCGAGATATTAAGAGGCCATCACCTGCGAAATTCAAGCTTGTCGTCCATCTAGGAAGTTGTACGGTTGATCAAGATAAAACGTCATTCGGAATCCCCAAAAATGTATCACCCTTGACAATTTGGGCCCGTGCAATCCCTGTCTCCTTAGACATTGGAGAGCTGCCAAGCTCATTAACCCTGCTCATGCAACCCCTCCAGGTTTGACTGGTTTGACTCACAAAACTGAGGTTCTGGACCATACATGATATCTGCACCTGGGAGCTGACCTGTGAAGTGGCATCTATGACGTTTTCCACAGCAACGAGTTCTTTGATATCTTCAGAGATGGGCTTGGACTAATACGTGTGCCTCTTCTTTCGAGCCCTCGCCAGCGCAGGTTTGAAACTTACCTTGGTATCACCACGTATCAAGACCAACAAGCTGTCGATGCTCGGGTCGCTGCCGATCCATCGACGTGTGCTGTCTGAGATTTAGATAGGGATCATCTCACGCTGCAGCCCGTCCGAAGAATCATGGTAGCTCGTGTAACTTGCAATCCAAGGTAAGATCCAAAGGTACACTTACAGCGGCAACGAACCTCGCCTACAAGGGCTGCTTAATACCAGTTGCCACTGACCTTGGCACTTGTACGCTTTCCCATAGTCACTTCGATGAACGAATCTGGAATAACCAAGTTGATATTTGACTGTGGTGAAGCTATCCGCGATCGCTCAACACCCCATTGAAGATAATCTACGGTTGCCGCTTTGGTGAGGTTGACGGGCCGTGCTTACTCTCTGGGCCCCCCTGTCCTCTGCAACTTCCCAAGGCCCAAGGTTGTGGCAGTTGAGGAAGGGACGAATCTCCAACAGTCAACAAAATGGACTTCAATTGATGGGAACTTCAGATGATTGGAACAGACTGGTTCAGTATTAAACTGCCTTAAATGTCAATTGCACCAATTTTCCTCTGCTACATCTGAAGCTCTTACTTCAGCTCCTCTATTGCACGCAGAAACTCCCACCACTCAGTAGCTCTCATCCGCAACGTCATCGTGCATCAACTGCTAGGATGGGGCTCCTCACCAAGCTCGGCCTTCGACGCCGAATGATATGGGATACACCAACACTTCTGGACGAGGTCCTCGACTCGCCATTCCAAGCCCTCGTCCTGCGTATTTATCTCATCATCCTGTGGCTCCGCGGTAACCCCGTCAAACCGCCTAAAAATGGTCGCCCACCCATCAAGATCGTCTTTCTCTCAGACACCCACGATGAAATCGTCCAGAACGTGCCAGAAGGCGACGTACTTATCCACGCCGGCGACCTCACCAACGAGGGTCGCGCCGCCGACATCCAAAGGCAGATCAACTGGCTGGCCTCGCTACCACACCAGTACAAGGTTGTTGTCTGCGGTAACCACGACAGCTGGTTCGATCGCAACTCCCGACGCGAAGAGGACGTACTGGGAAACCAACGGGTCAGGTTGAAAGACTCAGGCGTGCATTACCTCGCGCGCAAAGCGGTGACGCTGAACTTCCACGGTGGAAGGCGGCTAGTTATCTACGGCGCGCCGGACGTCCCTAAGTGCGGAGGTGCTAGCTTTGCCTTCCAGTATGTGCGCCAGGAGCACCCCTGGGCTAACTTGATTCCCAATGACACGGATGTCCTCGTGACGCATGGTCCTCCAAGGCATCACCTCGATCTAGGGCTCGGATGTTCGGGACTGCTCAACGAGATTTGGCGGGTCAGGCCCAAGGTGCACGTTTTTGGGCATGTGCACTCGGCGCGAGGTATGCAGCCGGTGTTTTGGGATGATTGCCAGAAATCGTACGAGAGTGTAATGTCGCGCAAGAAGCAGGGCCTGATTCGTGACGTGCTGCCGAATCGTGGCTGGATCGATGCTGTCAAAGTCCTGGTCTACGGACTCATCGCTATTATGTGGGACTATATCATGCTTGGTGGCGGGTCAAGTGGAAGCATAATGATCAATGCTGGCTGCCAGAAGGGGACGACGGGTAGGCTGACAACGGAGAAGCCCTTCACTATAGAGATATAACTGAGGAGGAGCCGATAGAAGCATTGGTATGACAAGTAGAAGGAGAATGGATGTTGTGTGTGGCAATATTGTACGATGCCAATACGAGGCGACTTCTTTCTTAGGACAGTTAGGCATCATCAGTGGCCTGCTTCGAGGTATTCAGTCAGAAAGGGTAAAATTTCATTCTTGATAGCTCATCTTGGAGCAGAGAATCATAACACTGAAAAGGAACATAAGCTACAAGAACATCTCAGTATACCGCCATCTGTGAACAGGCCCACACGTAACGATTTGAAAAATAGGTTGAAATGGTGATCGCCATACGAAATTTTATATGCTCATCTACAAATGCAAGAAACCTGCGATCACTTGATCTCTAAACAGATTCGAGGCCGACAATAAGGGAACTCTCATATACCACCGCCCATCACCTCGTTTATCAATCGGCAAAAAAAGAACAAGACAAGACCTCCCTCCACAAAAAAACCAATTCCCCCATCTACCCTTTTCGTTGCTTCAAAATCTAACTTACAAATCCACCATAACCGCAAAAATCCCATGCTAAGCTAAAAGACCATGCCCTATTTTGCTACTAACCCCTAATCCCGTGGCGCTCGCCTCGACCGGCAGCTTTATCTCAGCGAAATCAGCAACCATCGCCGCGCTCACGGCCATGACAGCAGTCCAGTTCGTCAAAGCCAGGTTGCTCACGGCACCACGGTCTTCACCGTGACGGCAGTCACGACGTCGGGCTCTTCGGGCTCGGCCGTAGCATTCACCATGACGGCCGGCGCGGCTCGGACGGTGGGACAATTGTAAGATCAAAACCGGCTGCTGTTGTGTTGCAGTACGCGGTAGCCGTGGCAACAGGGATGACGGTGGTGTAAATCACGGTTGAGATCGGGTCCCTGACCCGGCCTTAGCCGCCCATGCCTGGGGCTCCAGGGGGAGCGGGTTCGGCGGCCAGGTTTCCGTGGAGGGTCAGAAGGATGTTGGACGTGGCGGCACGGCGATGGATGGAGTGACGCGCCAGAATGGTTGTGTTTGTGGTAGAGTTGGTGAAACCGCCCACGTCAATGCCCAGAATCATACCCGTACCCGTGCTGGGGCCGAAACCCACTCCCGCATGGAGGAGGCCCCCGCATACTTCACCGGGGTCTCCAGAGCAGGGGTATCGGCGCAGTAGCATGTGCTAAGTTAGTACTTCGGGATAACATGAGTTGATATATGAAACAGGTTACCAACGAATAATAGACACCGGTATACTTGCGCCCTTCGCAGCTAGCTGCACACGCCTCATTATCCTTGGTGGAAAGATCAGCCACGGAAGAGAAGGATTGCTAGCCCGAGCTGGAGCCAAAGCAGCCAAGGAGAGTGAACCCCTCAATGGTGGCTGGACCGCTTAGCCCGCCGCCGGACTCGGCCGGGATGGGGGTCGTCGTCAATGTAGTGAGGGGTGACGACCCGGGTGTTGGTAGGGGCTGGAGCTGATGTGTTCAGGGGCATTGCAGACGAAATCCCGGTGGCAGTCGGGGAAATGGTTGTGTTTGGGAAGGGGGCTGGATTTGTTGTGTCCACCTTTTGGTACACGTCAATATAGTTGACATTCCAGTAGGCTCCAAGGAGAGCCTCGGGGTGTCCCGCCACCCATTCCTCACAACCAGGGGCGAGTTCATTGCACTTGTCCGTGACGCCCCATACATTAGCGGCGTAATCGCCACATAGGTTCTATCCAGGCATCAGTCATCCATTTCCAAAGAGTGAACCTCGCTTACAATGTTGATGACCAGACTCATGTTGAAGAAAGAGTCAGTATCGCAAGAAGACCCGCCGAAAAAGGCTTGAGGAGGACCCCAGCTAGACGGGTCAGGGTGAATGATGGGCGCAAAGACGATGTCACCCGGGAGCTTGGATCGAGTGAAGTGCCATATTTTCAGGCCGTCCGAGTTCCACTCTAACGCATAAACGCCGCCACCCTCGACGTTGAAGGCATCGCCATACGACGAGTCGTTCCCCAGGGATGCATAGTTGCACCCTGCATTGTTATTCTGAAATAAGTATCAGTTTAGTTGACGTCCTAACCATGAATAAATACTGCAGGAACTTACACCAGGTCCACAGTTCGTTGGGCCTTGTTCTCCACTAAACACGGAACTTGGAGCTGTACACCCTGAGAGACTGTTACTCATGGTATTAGCGACGTGTCTCGCTGCCATTCGAGCTTGTTGGACTCACGTGTGCGCAGAAAACAAATTCTTCTTGGCTGTGTTAGCACCTTCGATAATGTCTATTTCCCCCCCCCCAACGGCCATTCGGCGCCATTTTCATTGTTGTTAAACGCCCAAACTGTAACCCATGTTAGACTATATTGTGCTTCAAGTCGATGACCAAATGACGACGACTCACAATCAGGCCAGGTACCGCATGTAGAAGCTGGCATGTGGGCAAAGTCCGCTATGAACAGGCCATGAGTGAAGCCTGCATAGTTCGTCAGCCTGACACTCTGTCGTCTGATATCGTCGACAGTATAATGGTTGACTGTGTCAACTCCAAGTCTAACCCGGTTGTACTCGTCAACGGACACAAGCCCTTGAGCCTCCGCGTTGGCTCGACTTTGGTAGCTAAACTGTCGTGAGTGCCTCGCCACATGTCATACCGTGTGATATATATATCATACCCGACTTACTCGACAAATCCATGACTCAGGTCCCTCCTGGTAAAGAAGCTGAACCCATCGAGGAGTCCCTGGTCCGTATAATGCGTGGAAAGAGAGTATGTCATAATGGCAACACAAAGTGCAAACGAGGAGAGAAACTGGCATGGAAGAGGTGTTCTGAATTGTTGAATAGAAGAAACAAGGCCTCAAAAAGCGAGAGACGAAACTCGAAGAGTCGAGAAAAAGGTGACTGGGCTGAGATCGCAAGAGGCAGCTTAAGAGATCAAATCGAAGGAAAACTACCTCGAGGTTCGAGACAGCCCCAGTATTTAAAGCAACTTCTGTGCAGAATCCCCAAACTCGTCATCATGGCCCAGGTGAAGAATGCAAATTAGACTTCAAGTTGCCAGCTGTTGCTTTGCGGCGGCACGTTTACATGACCGAGACATTGGCAGCCATGACAATCAGACATGTCCGTCTCGCGGCAAGCTTGAATATTTCGTGATCAAGGGAGGGAAACCGTGTCTAAGCCGTGACTTTCTGAGGTGCTGCCATTTTCAAGTTGATACCGATTCCAACAGCCACTAATATGTCGAGGTAGGGATATTGCTACTATCTCAAGCAAGCGCTTGAGACGAACGGATACATCTCAGATACTCCTTAGATCATCATGTAGTTGCTGCACGCATAAGGTTTCAGAATAATTAATCTCGTTGCTTGATGCCATGCAGGTTGTGGCCTCGCGTGTTCCCATTTCTAAAAACAACAGTGAGCATCTGCCTCGATGACAGTTTAGAAAGACTACTTTCAGGGACAAGTGGCTTGCTGTCAGCTCTGTAGATTGTCTCGCAAGCGAAATGACGAGAATAACTCAATCATCTATGAGAGTCGTCTTGCGTGTTTACTCAAGTCACACGCCTGGTCGATTTGGCACTGTACGTTCAAGGCCAGCATACTTCAACTTGTGGAATCGTCAAAGTCACAAGTCACTGAACTCGAATTCATCCAAGTAGTGTGGCCTTCACAATTGACGCAACCGGCAGAGCGAGAAGTATTCTTGCGAATTACCATAGGTTATGAGAAATGGAGTTGGAGCCACTCTGTGCCTTCTCCGCTCCTCCGACCGCACATTCTTTTCAGTTGATTGAGATCGTGAGAATTGAATGAGGGAACCAGAACCCTGACATGTGAAAGTACATGTGAGGTGTGGCTTGATATGCATGCTTTCAGCTGTGGCTTGTCCTCCAATCTTCGAGCAAACTTCGCCGGGACGAACCCAGTGTCTGGAACCTGACTTGCCAAGAGGCTGGCTAGATCCCTTTGCCACCGTCGCAATGCATCCTCCATCCCTGAGCGTCATTTGGTCGTGGCTAAAAATGTATGGTTATTTTACCTCGGCTAGACGGGTTTGAGCTCGGTCCAGTGCGGATGCGGCAAGAAAGGACGCCGGACGTCCTGCCGAATCTTTCCCCAAATTGACCTCGATCGACCCCATGATCCCACATTTTGTACGACGGGTATGCCGGCTTTAAGACACATGATCCTGGCCAGCAACGATTCAGCACGCGACAATTCTGTAGTACGACGACCGGCACATCACTAGCGATATAACGGAGCGCTGAAACGATCCTGGACCAGGGACACTAGTCAGAAATACCTAGGCTCGTGAAAGAGACGGGACGGGGTTCGGTTACCCACATCGGTTCTTGCCAACTGGATTGTCAGAAGCCCCTGCCGACGCCGTCATACCGACCCTTCCAACATTGAAAATAATATACCAGCAGTTTTCCTTTCGCAGCCATTGGGATGTTGACATATTTGGCAAAGAGTCGGGCTCAAGCTACGGCACTTCGACCTGCGGTAATAAGACCCATCCAGCTTCCCAAAGTGAGTTGCGCCCTTGTTCCATGTGCGGATTCGCTGTATTAGTATATTATGTATCCTCAATACCGGATACACTACACCTCAGACCGCAAATGCAACGCAACGCAAACTGACGATATGTTCTACTGCAGAACAGAAGCATACTAGTTATGGCACCGGCCGCGAGAAGGGGCAACAGCTCTTTGCCAGCTGGTATGTGACACGACTTGCTAATTACCCCAACACAGTCTGCATACAATAACTTACAAGAATATTGCGCAGGCTATGCGGAAGACAAATCCAAAGGTCCAATGCTTAGGTTCCAAGCATCGCTGCCGAAACTACCTGTACCGACGCTCGAAGAGACGGCCGCCCGCTATGTGAAGTCACTCAACCCCTTGCTAAGCCCGGTCGAGCTGGCCGCAAGCAAGAAGGCCGTCGAAGACTTCATTAAGCCCGGTGGCGTGGGTCGCAAGCTGCAAGAGAAGCTGGTCGCAAGACGCGAGGACGCCAAAATCAAGAACTGGATTTATGACTGGTGGAACGAGGCCGCCTACCTATCTTACCGAGACCCCGTCGTTCCCTATGTCAGTTATTTTTACTCGCACCGCGATGACCGCCGCCGGCGGAATCCGGCCAAGAGGGCAGCGGCTATTTCAACAGCTGCGCTGGAATTCAAGAAGCAAGTCGACAGCGGCACGCTCGAGCCCGAATACATGAAGAAGCTGCCCATCTGCATGGACAGCTACAAGTGGATGTTCAATGCCAGTCGTGTCGCAGCCAAGCCCGCCGACTACCCGGTCAAGTTCGACTACCAGACGCACAAGCACCTTGTTGCCATCCGCAAGAACCAATTCTTCAAGATCACGCACGAAATCAACGGTCAGCAACTAAACACCACGGAGCTCGAGGCACAATTCGCAAAGGTCTACGATTTGGCTAAGCGGGTGCCTTCAGTTGGAGCGCTCACATCGGAGAACCGCGATGTGTGGACTGATGCGCGTGAAATATTGGTCAACGCCTCGCCGAAGAACAAAGCCGCGCTCGAGGCCATCGAGTCGGCATCCTTCGTAGTATGTCTAGACGATGCGGCCCCAGTGACCTTAGAAGAACGCGCACACCAGTACTGGCATGGCGACGGCCAGAACCGCTGGTACGACAAACCCCTACAGTTTATCGTGAACGACAACGGTACCTCGGGCTTCATGGGCGAGCATAGCATGATGGACGGTACGCCTACCCACCGCCTCAACGACTACGTGAACGATCAGATCTTCAACAACAAGCTCGACTTTAGTAACCCCTCCAAGCGCTCCAACCTGCCTGACCCCGTGGCTGTCGATTTTGAGATCACCAAGGAGGTGCAGTCAGAGATTGACCGCGCAGTAAAAGACTTCAACGATGTCATTGGCCAGCACGAGCTCGCTGTACAGGCCTATCAGGGCTACGGCAAGGGTCTGATCAAGAAATTCAAGTGCTCTCCCGACGCATACGTGCAGATGATCATCCAGCTAGCCTACTACAAAATGTACGGCAAGAACCGTCCCACATATGAGTCGGCCGCCACCCGTCGCTTCCAGCTTGGTCGGACCGAGACGTGCCGTTCTGTATCGGACGACAGCGTGGCCTTTTGCAACGCCATGAACGACCCAGCCGCCGAGGAGAAGGACTGCATTGACCTTTTCCGCAAGGCCGTCACCTCGCACATTGAGTACATTGGCGCCGCCTCGGAGGGCAAGGGCGTTGACCGCCACCTCTTCGGCCTTAAGAAGCTACTCGAACCCGGCGAGGAGCTCCCCGCCATCTACAAGGACCCGGCCTTCGGTTACAGCAGCAGTTGGTACCTGTCGACGAGCCAACTGAGCTCCGAGTTCTTCAACGGGTACGGCTGGAGCCAGGTCATCGATGCTGGCTTCGGCATTGCGTACATGATTAATGAGAACAGGTAAGTGTTTGGATGAACGAAATAAGGGCGAAGCATTGATCAGGAGAAACGAAACTAACTAAGTCCACAGCATCAACTTCAACATCGTCTCCAAGGGTCTCGGTAGCCAGAAGATGAGCTACTATCTGAACGAGGCCGCGGGGGATATCCGCGACCTCATGTCACAGACCTTGGAGACTCCGAAGGCGAAATTGTAAAGACGAGGTGCTCCCTAGCCAGCAAGCACTTTTCGACACAATCAGGCCCTTGCAATAACACAGACTTGACCGGTTTTTTTTTTCATTTAAGCCCAGCACTCAGTCTCCTGTACACTAGATATGCATCTTGTCTTGCCTCTACCGTCTTTCTATCATAAGAGTCTTAAGATACTTAGATTTTTTATGTTCGTTCGCTCAAACTAGCATGAGAAACGGAGTTGGCGGGAATAAGTTAGACCAACTAGCTGCATAAAACTCAATAAAAGAAACCTCGACAAGTCCACGCATGGTCAATTGGTTACTTGTATCACTCTTGAATTTCAATCTAGCAAAATTAGACTGAGTGGGGTAGGAATGCGATATTGTAAATGCTGTCTACACAATACAATGGTGGTGTTGATGAGTTGAAGAGTAAAAAAGTCAAGTCCGGCGCGAAAGCGCTGCTATGCTGGCCTCCTGAACCTACAAGCAACCTCCCATCCCCAACCTAGCCCCTACTCCTGTTGGTTCTACACGTAACGTACTTGATCCAACCCTCCGAATTCTTCGCCCAAGTTCCACAAGCGCTGCACATGACGTACAATTCAGCACCTAAGAGTCTAGTTGAGATTGAGAAGTGGTTCAGCCTGCGTGCTCAACAATCTCGTTGACCAGCTCGCCCTTCTTCTCGTCAAAGTAAGTGCAGAACTGGCCCGGTAGCGGCAACTCCTTGTAATCCTCGTCGCCGTTCGCGATGACGTTGAGGTTGATGCCGGCGCTCTTGCTGGAGTAGAGACGCGTTGCCATGCTCTCCTTGCTCAGGTACACGGTAGCGCCGTCGAGTTGGTCCAGCATAATGGTCGGGACAGCGCCCATGATCTGGAGGGCGAAGTTGGCGGATTTGACCACGTCAACGGTGGAAACAAGGCTATCGACGACAAGAGACAGGCGCTGCGTGTTCTCGATTGTCACCGCGTTAGCCTTGCCCTTGATGATGATGGTCGTATGATTGCATTTGGAGATGAGGATCGATTGTGAAATGGTGGCTTCAATTTCAATGGGTTCAGCGTGCTTTTCGTAATTTTCCTGCTCCAGGGTTAGTCGTGTTGACAAGACGGGGGAGAGACGGGTGAATATGCCCACAATTGTCCATTTATTGCCATCCAGTTCCTTCTTCGGCGGCTTCTTAATCCGCATGCTTTCGGGCTTGGGCTTCTTTCCGGGAGCCGGGCTCTTGCCACGAGCCGAGCCGTCGTGATCTGGAACGGTAGACGAAGCTCGTAGAGAGGGGTTCTTATGTGTCATCTGGGACCTGTCCACTTTCCGCAATCCCTTCGTCACGTCGGCTCCCTTGTTCAACTCACTGAATACCGAGCCTAAGCCAGATGTGGAAGTAGTCTCTTCCTTCTGTTCCTTGATCTGAAGGACCGGCGGCGGGCCCGGAGGCGGAGGTGGAGGCGGCGCGCCTCCAGCAGCAGGAAGTGCTGGTGGTGGTAGAGCTGCAGCACCTGACGCCGCTACCGTTTTTGCCACCGCCGCAGCAGGCTCACCCTTGGGATTCCAGGGAATGCCGCTCGGGAACTCTTCCTTCACGTACTGTGTGAGGTCTTGGAAAACCTGGTAGAAAGCCTTGATCCAATCAACCGTATCGGGGTCCTTGTCCTTGTGCTCCTTCAGCACTCTGTTGCCGAAGAATTGCGCCGAGCCGAGCGACTCCTCAACATGCTTGTACGGGCGGTTGTCCACCGTAACCCACGCGAGAACCATGATTCCCTCGGCGACGGCACTCAACTGACCAAACACAGGCGATCCGCGATTCGACTCCTTGATGTTATTCACGGCCATGAGTGCTTCGTTGATGGGCTTGAGTAGGTCCTGATAAGTAGCCATCTCGGCGCCCGCCAGGTTGGGCTTCTTGGCTTTGGTGGAAATAAGCAAGAACCTGCGTTGCTGCTTGAAGCCCTCGAGCACCTTGACGGCCTGCTCGGCAACCAGGCCGCCCAGCTTGTTGCTTGCCTTGACATATTTGACGACCGATTGCTCTATAAATTCGTCGAACCTCTCAATTGATTCGGGGAGGTCCTCCTGGGGTATCGGCTGCGGCGTGGGCGGTTCCGGAGCTGAGACGGGTGGGGGCGGTGCTGGGCTGCCTGAGGTTGAGGCCGAAGCAATGGTTTGCGCCAGAACGGGCACGGCTTGGGGGAGCTCGATGGTTGACGAGGCGATGTCTTCCAATCGAGTCGTAGCAGCTTCCAGCCTGGCATTTATTTTAGCGAACCACTCTTCACATCCTTGGGACCGTAGAACGACGGGCATTGCGGCGCGCATGTATGGGATCGAGGTAAAGTCTAAGGGCTGGGATATAGCGATGAGAAGGTCTTGGGTGGAGCGTACCGCTTGATGAGCGTAGTTAGGTTATGCATATTGTTGGTTGCCATTTTGGCAGTCGCAGGCCGGCCGAGTGCCTCTCCGTCGTAAAGCTGTGATGGAGCAGGTGGGAGGCTGAGTTGTTCAGGAGGTGGTTGCAGTGACGTGTAACTCGCGGGAAATGGAGCCACTGGGTGTCGGTCTCGATGGTAAGCACGACTTCTATATCTATGGAACCAAATAATGGATGCCTAACGATGAAGCTTTTCAAAACTAGATGACGACCTTGTTGCCTTCAGAAATCAAGTGCTGAACGGAGCATGAATTTGCGAGGATTTTCTTGAACACTCAATTCCCACCAACGGTCCTCGAGTTGCGAGACCCCTGCATCTACAAATCCAATGCTCAGATGTCAGAGCTTCCTTTGAAGATGCCTAAAACAAGAGCCCCAAGGCCCTTGACAACGGCAAAACTCGGGCCCGTTTATCCCCTAACCCCTGCCAACTTCAAATGCAAGTAATCCTTGCAGCATTCTGATCGGTCACAGAATGCCCTTGCACCGAGTCAACAGTACATAGTATGTAACTGCCGCTCATCAATATTGCCACAGGCTAACTAGGTGCTGCGTAGTGACGGTATACAAAGTCGATTGCTTTTCGAATTCAATTGCATCAATCCTCAATCGCTAGCTGGGCTTCTGCTTGTATCTGCACCTGTAGCCTCATCTGACGTCGTACGACGTTGGTGCACTACGTGTGCGTCCTGAGACGATTTGGAGATCCAAGCTTCTTGCGACATTCATTCTTCAAAACAGCAGCTTGTTGGGCCCGTTTTTACCATCAAAACAGTACATCTTCACATCGGCCCGGGTGTCTCAACGCCCAAAAGCCTACATACATGACGGCTGGGTAATCGTCCAAGTCATCCACTTGACAGCTATCATGGATGGTCAAAACCAGCTCAAGCCGGACGGCGAGGATAAGGCACTCAAGCACCAGAGTCTCGATTTCGTGACTTTGGGCATGTTCATAATTGGTATGGCTCGACACCTTACATCTCCTGCCGAAATGACCTATTTTACCCCGATGATCATGGACCAGAACCATACAGCGGATAGCAAAGCTACCTATGGATCCAAGGAAACACTCAAGTGAGATGCCATCTAAGTTTTTCAGTCGCTTTTCATGGAGGTCTGATATCTTGCATTCAATTCCATTTACGATGCTGTTGTGAAAGGGTCCTCCAATGCCTCCATTCACCCACCTTTGGTCATCTCATCGAGCCATCGATATTCACTAACACGTCCAAGATGACATCGAGTATCTGCCTCCAACGCCGCCGGTAAAGGACATCCTCGGAGGTGCAGGGACTTACTCGGCTCTCGGCGCCAGGCTCTTTTCGCCCCCGCCGCTCTCCACTTCGGTAGGGTGGATCATCGATCAAGGCTCCGACTTCCCGCCGGCGCTGACGGAGCTGATTGACACTTGGGAAACATCGCCCCTGATCCGGCGTACTCCGGAACGGCTAACAACCCGGGGCTGGAATGGCTACGATGAGCATCAAAACCGCGCCTTTAAGTATATGACACCAAAGAAGCGACTTACGGCCGAAGACCTCACGCCCTCGTTGTTAGCCTCGAGGTCGTTTCATCTCATATGTTCTCCGTCCAGATGCCGGCAACTTGTCATGGAGATCAAGGAACGGCGATCCGGGCTGGCCACCCCCGACGGCAGTGGACTCCCCAAGCCTATCTTCATTTGGGAGCCAGTTCCGGACCTTTGTGTGCCGGATGAGTTGCTTAATTGCACCAACACACTTCCCCTAATCGATATTTGCAGCCCGAATCACAACGAATTAGCTGGCTTCATGGGCGATACCGGTCTCGACCCAGAGACGGGCGAGATTAGCACTGCCGCAGTTGAACGCTCATGCGAGCAGCTTCTTGGATCTATGCCGCTACAGTCCTTCGCCTTGGTCGTACGAGCTGGAGAGAAAGGGTGCTACATAGCGCGCAACGGCGGCCGCAAGAGAAAGGGGGGCTCGTTAGAAAAACGGAAAAAGCCGTCGGCCTTGATGCATGGCGGATTGCAACATGACACCGACATGGAGGCTCTATTTGCCGGTCTACTCCAGGATCGTGATGGTATGGTGGTAGAAGAGGAAATTGAGGTCGATCCCGGAGTTGAGCGCTGGATACCGGCGTACCACATCGAGAAAGAAAAGGTCGTCGATCCTACTGGAGGTGGCAACACATTCCTCGGGGGGTTTGCGGTTGCTCTTGCGAGGGGGGAAGCCCTGGAGACGGCCGCCGCGTGGGGAAGTGTTGCGGCTAGCTTTGCGATTGAGCAAGTGGGCACGCCTACGCTGGGGAAAGACGAGGAAGGAAAGGAAACTTGGAACGGTATCTGCGTTGATGACAGGTTCGAAGAGTTCAAGGCGCGCTTGGATACGATCCCGGCGTAAACTGCTAGGGTACCTGCATCCTTTCTTACCAGGAGCTAAAACGGTTACGGTTCGGTTATAGAAGGGGTTGACAAGAGTCTGGATACGGCATAGAGGGTTTTGAACGGCTTGATCAGGGACTTATGCACTCAGATGTGCAGTATACTCGGGCATGATGAGAGTCTGACGGCGCTCTAGTGTTGCTATTTTCCCTTACTGAGATTATAATTTGCGCAGACATGCTGTTTTTTGGCCTTTTTATCATTCAGGATGATTCTTTTAGTCCATTAATCCAGCCATGGCACAATTACAATATTGTCAAAGTTTCCCACTTGACTTGCTACATGGCAGCGATGAGAATGGATCATTTCGAAGGTACTGGGTATTGAAGTTGAGCTGCAGTTTGCACGGTAAGCACTTTAGTGGAGAACTGTGATTGTGGGCTCCATGTCCCGTTTAATTCATTTAGACATAGAACCTTTAAATCGAGGTCATCAATGAATGATGTGATGCATCGGTCGCAGATCGATTCGACTAAACTTTCGTAATCCCTACTGTCAGCTCTGCCACGACGCGCCGCCGCTCCCCAGCGGGCAGTTTCTCATGGCAAATCATTCATTATGGGCCCGACTTCGACCATTTCGAAGGCCGCTACTCTTCAATAAGGTGGCGCTCCGAATCCAATCGCATCCGAGAATCCACTCCGTCAACAGCCGGTGGACTCGATACAAGTCATTCCGCCAGCACCGATTTCTCGGAGACTTCACGTGGTATTCCTGGATCTTCTTAACATGGGTTCCAGTAGTCGTCTTCTTCAATGCGAATGTGATGGAGCTTGCGTTCATCAATGGTCCTTCCATGTACCCTTTCATGAACGCCGAAAAGGACCAGACCACGGCCCCAGACGTAACAGTCGCTTGGAAGTGGAATGCCCAGCATAACTTGGCCCGAGGGATGATCGTCTTATTCTGGTTAGGGACATCACTGCTAGAGGCTGTATGGTACTCAAGCTAATGCCTGTCGCGCTGCTCTAGGAACCCAAGGAAGCCAGAGATAACCGTCGTGAAGAGAGTCGTGGGACTCGAAGGCGACATCATCACAACGCGACCTCCGTATCCAGCTCTCGTTATCAGAGTACCGCCTGGCCATATCTGGGTTGAAGGAGATGGCGGGGAACGGGACAGTATAGATAGCAATGTCTATGGACCCATTGCGACAGCTCTGGTCATTGGAACAATTCCCTTCGTACTAAAACCACTCCACAGAGCTGGCTGGGTGCGATGGTGGGAGCATCCGGTGAACGGGAGAGTGAGGCATCGAAGCTAAGAAGAAAATGAAAAAAAAAATATTAACAATATTACGAACTTCCATGTCTAGCTCCTAAGCACCTTTATCGGTGATTGACTGTTTAATCTTGTGTGGCAAATTGTGCCGGGAAAGGTACAGAGTATGAAGTATATGCTTGAAAAATTCCCCAAACGCCTCTTTGAATTGATAACTTGGCACTCCATGATAGTAATGTATTCAAGCTTCTTCACTGATCAATCTTCCCATCCAGGTGCCGCTACATGCTAAGGGTAGCTGCAGGTGAGGTGGGGCCGGGGATATTGTAAAGTCCGCTGGCTGGGTGTGCACGAGCCGCTTACACCACGTCGTGTCTCGAGCCGCCAAAAAAAATAAGCACTGGAAGAATGTAGAGACGATAACGGGTCCTATTCCCTGTCCCCTTCGCTTCTCAACGATACAGGAAAGCTAGTACTTCAACTACGGCGATTCCAGCTAGCTATTCAACAGGGCAATGTCCCTAGCCCAACGAGTTGGTAGCTTCTTCACCGCTTCCACTCCCGACCCTCCTGCGACCCGTTGTCCTTCTGCGTCATCGCCCCCCATGATGGACCTTTGGACCAGTTGGGCTTATTGTCGGATTCCAGCACCGCAGCTCAATCGCATGGCGGAAACATGAGCCCAGACGATGAATTGGAGAGCCGGCCGCCAATCCTCTATGTGAGTACACCTGCCGGCTACTTCTGGCGCGTGGATGACATTTGGCTAACCAGCTGACTGTGCGCAGTCTATGATAGCTGGAGGATTGGGCGGCACCACCGGAGACATGTTGATGCACTCGCTTGATACCGTCAAGACTCGACAGCAAGGCGACCCGCATTTCCCGCCGAAATACTCCTCATTGGGCTCTTCATACTACACGATATGGCGCCAGGAAGGCATCCGACGCGGCCTATACGGTGGGTGGTTACCAGCCATGATGGGATCGTTTCCCGGTACAGTTATGTTCTTTGGCAGCTACGAATGGAGCAAGCGCCACCTACTGGACTGGGGCATCCAGCCGCACATTTCTTACCTGACAGCTGGTGTGTATTCCCTGCCTGTTCATAATTCAGGAAAATGCTGACGAGTCGGCAGGATTCGTAGGTGATCTCGCAGCATCGATAGTCTACGTTCCTTCCGAAGTTTTGAAAACACGTATGCAGCTTCAAGGCCGGTACAACAACCCCTTTTTCAAATCAGGTTACAATTACCGGGGAACCTTCGATGCGGCAAGAACAATTGTACGTGTGGAAGGCCCGTCAGCACTATTTTATGGGTACAAGGCGACACTGTACCGAGATCTGCCCTTCTCGGCATTTCAGTTCATGTTCTACGAACAATTTCGCAGCTGGGCAAAGCAGTGGAAGCAAAGCCGGGATATCGGAATACCATTGGAGCTTCTCACCGGTGCCGCCGGTGGTGGACTGGCCGGTGTCATGACTTGCCCCCTCGACGTGGTGAAAACCCGGTTGCAGACACAAATAGAGCCGACACCAACACCGGTGATCTTGAAAGGCCGAGCAGCTGTCGACGCCAAGGCTGCAGTAAAAGAGGCAGCAATCATGCAACAAAAGGGAGCAGCCGACCATAAGCAAAAAAGACCCATCTCGACATCTTCACCATCTACTCATCTGCCGCGACCTGGAGCAGTCACGTTGGATACGTCATCAGTGTATCAAGGTCTCAAACTCATATATAAGACGGAAGGCGTTGGCGGATGGTTCAGAGGCGTCGGTCCACGCTTCGTCTGGACTAGTGTACAGAGCGGTTGTATGTTGTTTTTGTATCAAACCATGTTGCGGCAGCTAGAGGTGTCGTTTCCCACGGAAACCCCGGAAGTCCCGGTCTGAGACGGGTTGGCCAACGGAAGGCCACCGTAATGTAAAAACATGGTAATGACCGGACGCATTTGCAGGCGTTGGGGAGACAATATAGACGCAGAGTCGAAGTTATAGACGAGTTTTAGACAGAAATCTCAAATCAGAAGATACCACAGGGCGCCAGGACAGCTTGTGCTACGATGCTTTCAATGTTTTCTACACTTGGACGACGTACAGACAGACCTCTCTGGTCGGCGGTCACAGTTGCGTTATGTGCATATACTCGTTACTCATCAGCCCCACCTAGCGGGAAAATCGCTTATCCTGCAACCCAGCCCATTCAATATCGAGGCTCGATTATCTTCCCCAATTGAAGGAAACATCGAACGAGTCTTAAAAAGATGCATGACAAGCATGTGCCCACCAGGCCAGGCTTTCGCAAATGATAACGAGCCGACCGACACGCCTTTTGTATCCGTCCCTTGACACTTGAGCTCGATATGGCCTCTACGATCAGTTTACAATCATGTCGCCTCCTTTACCAGTGCCCTCCAAGGCGGCCATACACGCTCTTAGGGGGATCGCGTTAGGGACATCCTGCGCAATCGGACTTATTGTGGAAGACCGGCGACGGCGGATGAGTACGTTGAGAACAGCGATACACAACAAGAGAAGGTTGAAATCGTCGAGGGCGTATCATGGGGCCGCCGAGGCAGTTGCGATCCGCACAGACGATGCTGGCATACTATCTGGAGATGAACTGCAATGGCATTGCCAACCGCCAGTAGAGACCCCGAGGAATTCCCGAAGTCGAACATGCGAAGAATCCCAATGTCAAGTCTTGCAATCCTTCCAGCCTGCCCAGGAACCGACAGCAGCAGATGCGATACCAGTGTCGATGGCAGGCCAACGCGCAGACCTGCCGCCATCTATACCTGGTGGACACACGCCGCCTCCCGATCCGCGTATAGCCTCGAAACTAGCAATCCGGGCCGCTCCTGCTCCGCACATACCAAGGGATAGTAGAGGGTGGGCACATAGCTTTGGAATCGATGACCAATCGCCGGGGAAGGATAGGGCCCCTCAGCGTCTCAGTAACTTGCAGGTGGGCATCGCGAAGTTTCTCGACAAAGATGATGCCAGCCTAGACATTGCCGTCACAGCCTTCCTGAGGGAGGTTCAAATGGAGACTGTGTTCGCAGATCTGGGCCGCGGCTGGCTCGAGCTCTCTACAGCACTCTGCAAGAAATGCCAAGCAACCGGTAGATGGAGGGAAGCGCACAAGATTCTTGTTGCTGTGGTTCGAAGTCGTACCCTGTCAGAAAGCCAATTCTATGCCCACGATCCAATTCCGATTATGGATTGGGCTCTGTCAGAAGTGGATATCAAGGACAAGATGTCGAGCTTGGAGAGGCTCCGTTGGGTTTTGCCCTTGTTTACAGCAACTTTTAAAGAGAAACCTCAAGCCCACGCCGAGGAGGTCGAGCGCCTCGGCAGGACCATCATCCCTCTCTTATTTGCTTTCAACCAACCGAAGCAGACCCACAGTGTGTTCTGGAGAGCCTTTAGCCAGATAAAAGACCCCACAGCCTTCACAGCGTGGTTCATCAATGCCCTGTTTGAATACAAGGATCATAAGTCGGTTGTGAAGTATTTTCGACTGAACTTCTCCAAGATGGCTCCAGATGACCAATGTTTCGAACGGATTGCTGAGATGGTTGTGCAGTCCGTCGAAGAATTACGAGGCGGGCAAGTGAACAATGTAGTGCGTGCCTTGGCAGCCATGAGTGATCCTCCAAATCCACGTCCCTTGAAGGCGGGATGGCTCATGAGGATGTCACAGGCCCACTGGAGTCGATATAAAGATCCACTTCAATCCATGGATCTCTTCCATCAATACAAGTGCCTAGGGCTCCTGGACAGAATCGACAACCCGGAGTATGTCTATAAGGTCATAGTGCAGCTAGCGGTACTAGCCGGACATAATTCCATGGCCCAAGACGTACAAGAGGAAATTTTGAAGAAGTTTCCACATATGGCGAAAGACGTCGGCTTGAATGGTTACCTCGCTTTGCTCAAGGCCAAACTTGGAGACTGGGATGGAGTCCGGGCAGACTTCGCAAATATGGAACACAAAACAGAAGGACAGCAAGAAACCTACGATCACACCTTTGTCACAGTCCTGAAAGTATTCAGCGAAGACCATCCACTGGCGGAAGTGGAACAATTCATCCATTACTACACCAATGTAATGGGTGTACAACTAAACCGTTATATGGTCACACTTGTGGCTAACAAGTACGGTGAATGCCACGATACAGACGGGTTCATTGAGTGGCTCCAGAACTGCAGTTCAAAGGGCTTTGCACTAGATTCAAGCTTCTGCAACGCTGTTCTGAATAACTGCCGTAAAAGGTGGAAGTTCTCCTTTCGAAAGCTAAGACAATTATTTTTCGAGATGAGAACACTTGAGCCCGCCTGTGTTGACGGTGTGACGCGGAACATCATGCGTAGCGCGGCTCTAGAGGACCGCAACTACGCCAATACTACTCGACGGAGACTCTCAACCCTCAAGATCCCTTCGAACAAGTTGCCCTATGCTTTCAGGTCTGCCAGGGAACGAGATGTGTTCAATGCGATGAATGAGGAACTCATATGTGGTCATCCGGACAGAGCAATGTTGATATACCGGCGCGCGCTGCGGTACGGCATGCCATGGTGCCCCCGGTGCTTCCGTGTCGCTATCGCATCCGTACTGAAACAAAGGGGCGACAACCTCGGCGTGGCCATGAAACTCATCCACAATACACATCAGAAGGGGCACGATGTAAGTGCGGCTGTTGCGGTTTTCATCAAGACACAGATAGATGGGTTCCGGGGCTCATTCGAAGAGATTCTACTCCATCTGAAGACTACAATCACCCGCTTTGAGTCTGTGGGGGTAATCATAGACTCGTCGGTCTTGACACATGCGGCCATCGCGTGCGTCAAATTTGGTCACCATGCCAAGGCCATTAGTCTCTGTAAGTTGGCCATGGAGAGGAGCGGCACGACAAATCCATGCTTCTCGCGTCAGAGCCTTCGCGCACTCATCATGGCGTACGCCCAAAATCTCGACCTAGAGGGGATGAGGTGGCTTATTGAGTCTCTGCCATCCAGCCCCCTGGCTGCAGAAAGAAGTACTTTGAGACTTCTCAAGGGCACGAAGCGGCAGTTGAAGAGGTGGATGCTGAGTCCCCTGGTCATCAATATAACGCAACTGGTCCAGGATGGTATCGACGGTACGAAACATTGGCGAGGCATCCAGGTTGACGAAGGCTGCATGATTTACGAGGAAACACTTCGCATCATGGGCGAAGCGGCGGCATGTATGGAACGCAATGGGGAGGAGCTTCGGCAGGGGGACGGTCCCCTTCCCGATGAGAATATATAGTTACTTGCTCAGACCTAAATAGAGACGCAGTAACTAGTTGTATATATTTTTGTGTAGCAATATAAACGTATGCGAGCACGAATGCTTGCTTTGGCAGCCGGTTGTGTGTAACATATGAATTCGAACTGCCTTCGCTAGAATTCCGGTTTCACGCACATCTCCATGCAGCTGAGAACATTTCAGATATAATAGACCAAAATGCTAACTTGTACGTTAGTGAAATACCTATATTCAATTTGACTAGACTCGAGCACCAATCCAGCTCAGCCCCACTGCACTGAAGGTCGCCTGCTTCTTCTGTTCGGATCTGCCTCAGACACAAAATCAAATATGTCCATCGAAGGCGTATCCGTCTCGGTCACTATGAGAGAAGGGACCAATCTCAATCGTTCCATTTGGGGCTGAACAGTACCTACTTCATTTGGGCATGCACAGCAACGGTCAATTACGGTACAACGGCGCCAAATACTATATACTATATGAGTGAGCTCTCGGTCTTAAAACTTACGGGAAAGATGTCCATCTACCGAAACACTCAGGATCTGTTTCTCAATGGAAGCGTTCGGATATGGTCATCACTTATGGCGGCCGCGAATTCAAGATCTATCGGGCAATAGTATGACCTCGGTCGGCGTCCTTTGCGAACCTTTGAGATAGCGGTACGAAGGTGAGTAGAGGCTGTTTGCCGAAGCATGGTAGAGACAGCAGGAGAAATCACAAAATACATACTCCTTTCGAATCACCAGTTTCTACTAGCAATGGAATACAGCCAGATATGCATATCTAGATCTTAACCGGTCAAACATGATACTTTCATGATTGCTGACTAGCACAGGAATCACGGACCGGGGTCTTTGATCTTCCTGAAGATGACGCTGAAATATTGGAAAAGTTTCTCTCATACTTGTGTAGGGACAACTACGACGATGAGGCATATCCGACATCGGAGGAACCAAGTGCCGCTACTCTGATGTCACTAGAAGACATCATGGACTTGCCCGTGCAAGGCGAGGAGGAAGCAGCGGACAAGCATAACGATTCCTATGTCCTTCGATTGACGGGGACGGATACTCAGACGCCGGCTCCTATTTCGAAGAAGAAACTTATTCTGAACATACAGGAAATATAAGAGGGCACGGCGCCGAACCATGTGAGCAGGTGGCGCTTTCCGTGTGCGTTGATTGGGGAGTGGCATCATACTGAAGGGGTTCAGGATAGTATGGTCCTGCTCATGCGAAGGTATGCGGATTTGGCGGTGGGGTTGTTGCAGCCCATAGTGAAGCATGGGTAGAGGTTATAGACATCTACGTTGAAGGTGTTATAGAATATAGGCTATCAAGTAATAGAATAGACGGCGTATTAATGGTATATTAATGTATGATAGCCCGGTATTTTAGCGTAGTAATGGGTATTGTTTGGTTGTTTTTCCTATAAACACCGCTCGTGAGGGTGTTAAGTGGTATCTTAATACGTAGTAGCGTAGTTTCTATTATTGAAAATTACATGCCTTCTTAAACTAGTCAGCTAGTCGTCTCAATTAACGGTTCGGTATTTCAAGATAGAACCTGTGTCTTGAAAAAATATCGTCACATCTCAACACTCAAGGCTATGTCCGCTAATATACTGAAGTATAAGATCACCAGATTTACAAGCAACTCTAGTTAGTTCATTGGGCCTTGAGGCTCGTTTCACATTTATAATCCCTTCCTCCTTCTTTATCGTGAACTTCATACTTGAGCAGATACGAGTTTTAGTACTTTTGCCTTATATATAACATGGTCGAAAGATACGGTAGTCGCTTGCAATAAGAACAACACACAACATTGATACATGGTGTGAAGTATTTGAATACACCGCCAGTTTGGGAGCGTAGCGCCGACAGGGAGTTCAGCATGTCGCTTGATTCGTCAATTCATAGACCTGCAGTCGACATGTCACCGGGTTTCTCGTTTCCAAACTAACCCGATGTTGCTCAAAGCACGCCAGAACCGGCCAGCCCCTTGAAAGCCTACGTAGATATGTGCTTTTACCTCTCCAAGTCCCAGCCCGTTGCCATTTTCTATACGACAAGTTTCTGTGACACGGTGATTTTCTATGAATGTATCACCCTGTCAGACCAGAAGCAGTTGCCAGATCCTAATGATGCAGATCTCAAACCTGAACCCGGCGCGCAACAAACATATCATGGTCACTTCCAATATCATTACGATCCGGCTTCGGCAACAGCACCCAAACTAGTGGCGCCATCACAGTGGGACCATCTTCCAAGTCAAGATGGTACTGGTCTTGTCCCGCAAGCACAGTATACTCGATTCCCGAGCCACAAAAATATGAGCTTGCCCTACACTTTCAGTGGCCCCCAGACAGATTACACTCAGGCTCCGCTGTACGGGAATATGCAAGTGGGCCGGCAGGCCACAGCACAAGCCTCCCCAGCAGCAGTATAATGAGAGCCTGGACCCGAATCTTCTCCAGCTAGTACCCAGCCAGCCTTCTTTCCATCTCAGATACAGCCATCACAGCTGATTGCGAATATGCCATCTGCCCTTGTGGCCGGTGGGAGCACAGGTCAAAATACCCAGCAGCACCAACGTGACGACTTCTTCACACCCGGCGGGCTATTCAGGCCTGAGGAACTCAACCGCCCCGCTTCAGGCCAGTCCGTGTTAGACCAAGATTCCGTTGTTGGCGATTTTGGAAGGACGTATCATGCCTACAATGAGGGGAAATACTTACTGCCGAATAATGGTGTAAGCACTTTCTGTGTATGTGGCATTATAGATGTATTAAAGGTCTCGTATATAGGCAGAGCAAGACCGATTGGATTTCCAGCATGCTGCGTTCACGATCCTTCTCGGCGATAGATTGACGCTGGCTCCGATCCCTAAGAACCCGCAGCACGTCCTGGATGTCGCTACTGGGACAGGGATACGGGCGATCGAGTTCGGTACGTGCAAGAGGTATTTGATCTGGAGATATGCATTGAAGCCTTGGGCTTTTACGCTGACGAACCCCCCGCCAGCTGACAAAAGCCCACTCTCACACATCACGGGGACCGACCTCAGCGCCATCCAGCCGAATAACGCGCCCCCAAACTGCCACTTCCTCAAGGACGACGCCGAGGAGGAATGGGTCTTCCCGCACAAGTTCGACTACGTCCACCTGCGCTTCGTGTTCTCGTGCTTTAGCGATCCTAAGAATGTGATGAGGAATGCGTTCGGCTCCATGAAGCCCGGGGGATGGATAGAATTCCAGGACCCTTTCACGAATGAGCTTATCAGCGTGGACGGAAACATCGATTGCGAGTCTGGGGACGCTGTGGCTTGGTCAAGGTAACTGGGCTAATGACTTGTGTAGGCACGGCTTATCAGCGATGGGGCCAGGCTGTAGTCCGAGGGGTTGCGGCGGCGGTTGGGCGAGATATTGCCGTAGCACCGTATTATGCGGCTTGGCTCCGTGAAGTGGGGTGTAAGTTTTATTTTATATGTTGTTTTTATTTGCTCGTAGGATCTCAGAGGAGCAATTTATTGCAATATTGGCAGAAGTTCTTCAAAGGACTAATACTACATATACGAAGTAGTGTTGCGCACGCTGACGACTTGACTTGCCACATCTAGTCGTGGATGTTGTAGAAAGGCGAATGATCTGGCCGGCCAATCCGTGGTCAGAAGACCCCGACTGAATTTGGCTGGTCGGTACATGGAGAGGAACTATATCGACGGCGTGTTTCTGTCTACCTGGAAGATGATGAGGTCTTCGGGCCTCTCGCCGGAAGAGGTACAGGAACTTATGGAATCGGCCAAGCAAGAGATCAAGGATACGAGGAATCGCTTCTTTATTGTTGCGTATGTTAGCTCCCGCCCGGGCGGTGCGAGAATCTCCTGCTTACCATGCCTTTTCTTCTAGATACGCTGTGTACGGACGGAAGCCGACTGAACAAGAGCGCGCCAATGCTGCTCCACTGGGATAGAGGATAACACAAGAGAGCTTGGGAATCATGGGGTTGTTGGCAAGTTGAAACTGCACTGAACATCGTGTTGATCATACAAAAGGAAAAGACGCAATGATCAGTACTGGGAGCACTCATTTTTCTTCCGATGTGACAGATGGACAAGTTGCACCTTGAGACCACTACAGCCCTTCACAATGGCGGCAGCTTGTTTTGCTCGATAGCGCCGTGCGATTTGTTCTTATGAAGCCTAAGGACAAGCTGCCCACTAAATTGTTTCGGGCAGTATTCGAGTGTCTTGACTCTGGATGTAACGGACAGCAGCGATTGGAAGGCGTTGTGCACAGAAATGAGTGGTTTCGGGGCAAAGAGGTGAGGATTATTGGCCAGGGTTTTGGGCTGAGCTAGGTTGGTTAGGAAGGCAGTGGCTAAAAACAGCATGTACATTGCCAGATGGATGCCCTCTTTATGAGCATATCATTCAATGCCAATATTGAGACGAACTCATTCTGATGGATGCCTTGTTTAGTGTTTCATCGAACTCTGACCTTGAACATGGACTCAAGGAAGACTGCCTGTCTCGAGATATCGGAGTCAGAGAGAGCTACTTTGAAATTGGTGGCGCGAGCTTTGGCTGACCTTGTGCTGGGTTCTGAGGGTTCAGAGCGGCGGTTGCGTTGTTTTCCAACAGACAGCACCAACCTCTTGAACTTGTACGTGCTGGTTCCCTAAACAGCGACATAAGCCGAGCTTTGGGTCATGAATGTCCGAATCTTGAGGTAAAAGCTGAAGCGCTGCTATCCAGGACAGCCTAACTCGGCTCGCTTTCTTGGACTGCTCATGAAGCAAGTGTGCTGCTCCGGTCAATGGACATGAACCAGATGTTCTCCATAAGCTCCGAACCAACGCAGGTACGTCGGGAAGCGGTAACCTAAAATCACCGTCAAGCTCAAGTTATCTAAGCTTTCAAGGTCACCGGGTTTCTGTTCTCCAGGTCCCAACGACGAGGCGGGCACCTGGGAGCTTATGAATGCAGCGGTCGTCTCCTACATTATGAGTTCTGCATCTTAAAACGAACAGTGTCTTCTATCAAGGAGGCATGTTTCTGTTTAGGTTGAATATGGGAAAACAAAAATGATTCGTCTCTCCGCATCGCACGTCACCATTAAGAGGTACGCTACTACGAAGTACATCGAATTGGAAGTCGAAGTCCCACAGGCGCGTAGGCGCGTTTGCAGGGAGTGAGTGTGGGGTAACGGACTAGCGGGCGATCTTCCAGGGGTCTGCTCTTCAGGGATCTCCTAAGAACGTGCCTTCGACCTTGCCCAAAGCTGCCTTGTACGTCAGCTTCCTGCGCGTCCCAGTGGCTGTCCGGACAGAAATTGGAATCTCCTAGGTGCGGAATATGATGAATCAACCTAGATGGTGCCTTATAAGACACCCTCCCTCTGAACAACTGAACACTGTATTCATCGGCGCAGAAAGGTACCACTCTCCATTGGGAAGGTTCATCCCCATGCTCTCGAAGTACCTACCCCAAATTCTCCAATTGACTTTGCTCCACCCCACTTGGCACCAAAAGACGTCCGTGGCTTTTTGGATCATACTCTCAACTGCTGCGCCTGTCTTGAGCACCCAACAGCCACGATGGAGGTCGCAATGGATGTCCTCAACCAGGTGAAGGCGACGCCCGTCCACATTCTGTTTGCCGGGTTCGTCACATTGCTAATAGCAGCATTCTACACCGTAAGTACAGCTACGACCGACCTGAGCCGACCCGAAATCTAGACTAATGGCTTTACCATAGCTTTATGCGGCACTGCACCTGTTCGCCCCCAAGCCTCGAGCGCCTTTGCAGTCGGAAACGGTGTACATCACCACGAATCCCGATGGAACCACCTCGAAGAAGCAGCTTCCTTGCTGGCATGACCGTTGGCTTGCCGAGCGCCATGCAAGCGAGAACAAAATCGACGAAACAACTTCCGTCCCAGACACGGGCTCAATCGAGCCTGCCGAAGTCCGCATGAGTGTTGTCATTCCGGCTTACAATGAGGAAACGCGCATTCTACCTGCGCTCGAGGAAGCAGTCAAGTACCTCGACGTCACCTTTGGTAGACAATCTCGATCCGACACCGGCAAGAACATCACTAGGCCAGGCACGCCTCGCAGACACAATAGGAAAGTGCTACCAGTGCAGGAGCCGGAGCCCCTCACCGGATATGAAATCATCATCGTCAATGACGGCAGCAAGGACCGAACGATGGACGTGGTGTTGGACTTCTCGAGAAAGCACGGCCTACACGACATCCTCCGGGTCGTCACGTTGGAGAAGAATCGAGGCAAGGGTGGAGGTGTGACCCACGGTCTTCGCCACGTCCGAGGCGAATACGCCGTCTTCGCCGACGCCGACGGTGCTTCCAAATTCAGCGACCTGGGCAAGTTGATGGAGGGATGCGAGGAGGTAGAGGATGGCTGCGACCGTGGCGTCGCAATCGGAAGTCGCGGCCACCTCGTCGGGAGCGAAGCTGTGGTTAAGCGCTCGGCTCTCCGCAACTTCCTCATGCGCTCCTTCCATCTGGTCTTGATGATTCTGACCCCCCCTGCCACTTCCCGACTTCGCGACACCCAGTGTGGCTTTAAGCTGTTCTCCAGAGCAGCTCTGCCCCACATCGTACCTTACATGCACGCGGAAGGCTGGATCTTCGATATCGAGATGTTAATGCTGGCCGAGTCCGCCCCTGCGGTTCCCGTGCTTGGAAGCGATGGCACTGTTATTGGCAGTAGTCCCGGCATTAAGGTTGCGGAAGTACCGATTGACTGGCACGAGGTAGATGGAAGCAAGCTGAATGTGATCCAGGACAGCATCAGAATGGCTGTCGGGCTTGCGGTGCTTCGTGCGAGCTGGATGATTGGTGTATATAGACGACGACTGGCATGATGTCAAGGATTTGTAGGTCCGACCTAAAGTATGTATATTGACGAAGAGGGATGCACCACAGCTAATGCTGTGCTTTCTCTCAACGATGCTGACTTGTCTTGCTTCTATTTCTCATTTTCCTCCATCTATTCTGCTGCTGCACCGGGAACCATTACCACCTGATCTTCTGATGAGCCAGCAATATTTTCAAAACTGTAAGCTTGCTGAGAAAGCAACGAATGTGCCCTTACGACTTTATAAGCAATGGTCCTTCGTGAGCACGTCTCGGCGACGAGCGTCGATGTTTACATGTTCCAAGTGTCCCCAGCAAGTACCTGTCAACGAGGAGGTTTCTGCGTCAGAACGGAGGATTCAAAGGCTGTGTAGCATATTGCCTAATCGACTTCAGACCCCAATACATATGGTTGAAACGTCGGGTAGTACTCGGCCTCAACGAATCGTATCGGATGCCAATGGGCAATATTAGGATTAAAGACTACCTAGTTGCGAGGTATATGCAGAAAACCTAGAAGCCATACTATATACGCACTCCCTAATTACCACGCCGACCTGAGCTGAGCTATGCGTCTCATGCCCACTCCCTCTTGCCCCTTTATGTGCCAAAATGCAAGGCCGTGAACTGGTCATCAGCCTTGCAGCAGGATAGCTGCCGTGTTCCTTAAGAGGTTACAGAGTTGGTTTCATCCCCTTTCCCTGCTCCCGGGCTGGTTCCGCTACCATGGTATCGAATGCTCCCCAAGCTCTAAGTAAACATGTTGTCTAATAATTCACATCAACTCCCTCCACATGACGGGCAGGAAGACCATAGAAGCAGTCCAGAGCACCGAGATGGCATTCCACAAGTTGACGGGCACGTTCCACAGCCCCGTGTTCTTCATGTCGACCCAGATGGCCAGGAAGGCGACGGCGAAGAAGTGGTACGCCAAGTTGAGCGGGTTGTGGATCAGGCCACCCATGAGCGCCATGGGGTCGGCCGTAATGCCCTTCTCGAAGTAAGCGAAGCAGCCGCGCTGCAACTTGCCCAAATTCGGATCGGCGGCGCTGAAGAGGCTGTAGAGCGCCATGGCCAGCACGTTGATGATGGAGGTGAGGCGCTTCCTGCGCCAGTGGAAAGTGGACATGGCGGAAGCGATGGCGCCAGTGTCGCCGAAGTTGGGGATGCGCTCGGGGGCCAGCAGGTCGGTGAGGATGACGACATCGTTGAGCGCGACCGTCATGCCACCGCCCGTCAGCGGGTGCCGCATGTTCATGGCGTCGCCCAGGAGCACGAGGCCCGGGTAGCATTGCCGCGTCGGCGGCAGCCAGCTGTTGGGCATGCTGCGCGGGATCTTGTTGTCCTTTTCCAGTGCCTCGCGGAAAGAGGGTTGGATGACTGGAGGGAGGCTGGGCAGCACCACGTTGGAGATGTAGTTGCGGACGCCGCCAAGGGATGGGGCGGCGGCGGGGCAGTTCTCGGGCACGTCGATCAGGGCTCGTGTCTCGTGCGTGCCGATTTGGTAGAGGAGGACCGGGGATCCGTCGCCGATGACGACGTGGCCGAAGCCTGGGTGAGGTAGGGGGCAGTCGATCAGCTCGAGGGCGTAGAACTTGGACTTCACGATGGGCGCTCGGTCGATGTATTGCTTGCGGAATTTGGAGGCGTAGCCATCGGCGATGATGGTCAATTGGCCGAAGAAGAAGTCGGGCTTCTTCTCCCCGGTAGACTGGTCGACGGTGCGCGCCTCAACGCCCAGGATTTCGGGGTTGTGCTCGCCCTTGATGGTCTTGATGGCCTCTGTCTCTACCACGGTGATGTTGGGGTGCTTGAGGCACGTCTCGCGCAGCTTAGTGATGAAGCGGCCGTGGTGAAAACTGCATCCTGCCGGTCCCCCCGCCTTCTCGTCGCCTTTGGCCGAAACACTGGCGCGGCCATTGACAGATCGGATTTCTGGATACGGAATCACGACATGGTTGCCGTGGAATATCACGTCGTACCCGGTGCACGGAATGGCGTCGATGTCCTCAATTGTGTGTCCCAATCCCAACTGCTTCAGGGCCTGAACGCCGCCCGGTTGCATCAGTTCGCCCACAATCCGGTCCGGCTCCTTCATCCACCGCTCAAGGAGCAGCACGCTTCGGTCTTGGTTCGCGAGGGCAAAGGCAATGGCGCATCCGAACACGCCGGCGCCTACGACGACCACGTCTGCCTCGTGGTACATCTGCCGCCGTTGAGCGCGCTCATCTTGGGTGATGGTTTCCGTCGTCATGGGTAAGAAGGTGTTGTGTGTCCCTGAGTGCTTGTCTTGATCGTCTGGTGGGGAGTGGGTTGTAATCGTGGTGTGGCGGTCACCGCTAGCAGTTGGATCGAGCACAGGTGCGCCAGGGGTGAATTGTTCGCGTCTCTTCACAGATATTGCTCGAGAAAAGGGCGGATGTTCGAGTCGAAAAAGAGCAAGGAGAGCCAAAGATCGGTCTGAAGGGGACAGAGCTCCCTAAATCCTCCCTAACTCGCCTAGCCAATGTGGTGATGGTCTGATGAGATATGATTATCGTCCGATTGGCAAATCTCTTTGGAGTCGGGGCCCCTAAAAGTCCCTAAAGTTTATATAAGTGGATCCGCCGGTCATGTCGGCCCCACTCGGCGCCGACTTGCTCCATGAGGCCCGGCTGTACAGTTCATAGATGCGGAGTTTGATATTTACCAACAGTTTGATTAACACTGCCACGCGGATGGTTTTGATTGCGTATCAGTTTCATTTTTAGCACACTACGATTAGTGTATATATGTAACGGCGCTTATTGGTCAATCGATCTTGCTTAGCGGCAGGCTCTCGTGGTATCTTACTTTGGGAAGGCCCAGAGCTGAAGTCGGAGCTGAAGTCGAGGCTGAATGGCGAGGCTCATTAGTATTTTGGTCAGGCCAGATCTACATTCATAAAATTATGGTTCGTTATTCTAGTTCGGCTCGGAACGTCCCCTACTCCATTACAGCGTCAATCATGAACTCACAATGCGTCTTGACACCGAATCTCAACGTCTAGTCACGCGGCATTTTACAAGTTGTCTGATCACCCAAATTCCTCACATAATTTGGCAGCTTCCCCAGACTACCATAGCAAGGCTGGCTGGAACAAAATCGAACACTTTTGTTGTCTGGCCCGCTCGCACGGCTTTCGGTATAGCTGGGTCGATGCCTGCTGCATTAGTAAGGCCAGAAGCGCAGAACTCTCGGACGCCCTTGATTCCTTGTACGGTTGCCACGGCGACTTCCAATGGTGTTTCGTCTATATGACCGACGTTCCTCCCGCGTGGACGTTGTCTCCGAGTTTTCATGCACAACAGCAGTGTCCACAACTCGGCACGGCATTGGCTGAATATACAAAAGCCGATATTCCATACTGGGCGCAGCCTGTTAAACCGTCCCGTGACTAGCGTGATGTTTCACAGTATCGCCACCCGTGTTACTTGTATGCGCAATCGCTATCGCATGCTGTCAATCCTTCCACTCAAGCATTGTCACATTTAGAGCTGTGTCTTGCACCATTGACAGCGATCCTCTAGCTGCCGAACACTATGCGACTGAGGAAGCCCGTAGACTTGCCAACTCGATCATGTTGAATCACTAGCCTCTCGAACCAAGAGCCAACCCGCAGCCAGTCTATCTGATATTTGGAAGCACCAGGCAGCTTCCTAACCCCGACTTGTTACAGGTTTAGCGAGGGCTACCAAACTAGGCCCCTCGGGTCGAAGGCCGGAAACGATTACTGAGGGAGCTGTGTCAGGATCACCCAAGGGGACCAGTTGCTCGCCATTTCCACGGACAAACCGATCGAAATCATATTTCCTCTCAGTCACAACATCTTGGCTATTTTCTATGCTGGCCTCGGAAATGACTCGCCTTTATCCTACCCGATCGTTTGCCTAGGGAGTCCTTGGTGCCGCTTAATAACTCGATCCAGGAAGGAGAAGTTCTCCATCAGCTCCATAACACTTATGTACTAAGTCTTGGAGCACGCTGCGCAGTCAAAACAACACTTCCTATCAACGGAACATCCAGTCCGCAGATAGTTTTGGAATGAAAGTAGTACTCATCTTCGCAAAACAACCATTCGCTGGAAATTGAAACACTTTTCGACGAATGGAACGACCACTACATAATGGCGCTGATATGTTTGTTATTTCGCTCTATATATGACGATTTAGCAAGGGCAAGGGGTAAAGCTGGTGAGCTAGAAGGAGAATGTTCGAATGCGACGGAGGGGCTTTGATAGATGGCAAATACCATACTGTCACTTGCTATTAGATACGAGTGGGTGTAGTGTTCCTATAATACCCATCAGGGTTTTCTGTTGGGAAATCGGCTACCTGGCTCAAGGCCGTAAGGCGGCTCCAAGTAATGAACGACCAGGTACGGTACTTGTAGGACCCTCATGTAATTTCTAGAGTATAATCACATGTCCCATTCGTGGCATATATATATATATATGTGTGTGTGTGTGTAGGGTCTAGTGGGATCGCTGTTGACCTATACCTCAAATACAATATCAAGCTTCTGTAGTATGTGGATTTGAGATCTGATTGCTGCTCTAGTTTTCCATGTTCAACTGATATTTCCCCATTCCTGTGAGAAGGCGGGCATTTTACATGGTCCAAGGACTTACCCACAGAGTTGAAGAAAGCCATCACATCCTCGAGCATGGGAGCCGTGAGACTAGTACCCGAACGATGAAGTCTCAGTCATCCGAAACAACCAAGCAGTAATCTATTGCGCAAACTTGCGGACTCAGCAAGGAATCTGCCGACTAAGCAACTTTGCGAATTGACGGGAAACTTGGTCATAGTCCTGAAGTTTAACAATGTCGACTCTGTGTCCCGCAGACCGGTCTACGGTCTCAGCTGCCAGGACCTGAACTCCTCATATCCAAGCCGGAAATCGTACAATTGGAATTCCAACTATTCCAACTGCCAGGCCGAATCACGTCTCGACCTGATGTACACATTCTTTATTCCACGACCCGCGCTATTCATTAATCGTCAAGCCCCTTGCCCACTACGGAGCCGCATCCGTGTTCCCTTCAGGTGTCGGTGCTATTTTATCTTTCTGTGCCGGCACCTTTGCTTCTGCAACGACTTCATCTATTCCCTTCAACTGCGACTGGCCCATCCGTTTCGGCGTGATCCCCCCCGCCGACAGCGGCCGTTCTGCCTTTCGCGGACTCGCTGGCGGAGAGGATCCAGCATCCGAACTGACGCCGTCAAGAAGACTCTCGGTGAAGCTGCTCTGTATCCCTGGTCTTTCCTTTTCGCTTCTCTCACTCCCTACCATCGAGTCCCTGAATCCCGCGGCCTTCCCCTCGGGCGGAAACCCTGGACTATTAAGCGGGGTGCCCTTCTCGCTGCCGAATTCCGACGGTCCCTTAGACCTACGGCTCAGTCCCCAGCCGCCGCCGCCGCCCCCACCGGTACTGCTGGCAGTACTTCCGCTCGACCGCCCCCAGCCTTGCTTGCGCTTTTCACCGGCCCAGGAGGCCCAGCTGCCGATGTAAGCACCGGCTTTCGCGCCTACGGAATTCACCGTCTGTTGTGCTTTTGCGAGGTCTACCGGAGGCGCGGCAGCCGCTGCCTTGGACTCCTCGGCACGTTTACGCTGTGCTTCGCGCATGGCCTCCATATCTGCGTATAGCTTGTTGAACATTGTGCTTGCCTTGTCACGAGCTGTAGCGGCGTTCCGGCCAATTACCTCCCGTCCCACCGCGAACCGTTCATCGAGGTGAAGTTCCTGCACTTGCTGTTGAATGCGCCGCGAAACATCATCGATGGTCAGGCCACCCGCGCTGGAAGTCCACGTTAGCATCCAGCCTACCATACAACCTTGGGGATAGAAGAGAGCGGTGTAATCCCGAATTTCACATTTTCTTCAGATACACATGCTATTGCATTGGAAAAGTACGTACCAAGGATGCTTCGGCTCTACAATATCGAAGAGGTGAGATTCCGTATTTGCGTTCCAGATGCGGTAGTTCTCGGTCTTTGCCCAATACTCGACCCATTCGGAGCCAAAGTCCATCGCCGGGTCACCTTCGACATATGACAACACCGCTTTTGGATTATTCACGTTCTGTGCAAGGTAGTTGTGATACTTGACCGAGGATATCAATGACAACAGATATTCCTCAAACTGCATCCGGATGAACTCTTCACTGCCCCGGTAGCCCATATGATTGGGTCGCCCAGGATTTTTCTCGTCCCAAGTGTCGTTAACTTCTTGTGTGATGAAATCGATCCAACGGCGGTCTGAGGCTGATAGCGCCAGAGCAGATCGCAATGAAGAGGAGGTGATGTTGATCGTGTCATCATCGAGATTGATGAGTATATCACTATACCGGTCTTTTTGTTGCAGCAAGAGTGAGTTGGTACTTCCTACGATGTAGGATTTGGTTCCAAAGTCAGCAAGGATGTCGAGTTGCTGAAGCGGCGTGTATGGCCCAAATAAGCTCCCCTGTTTTGACTAATTAGATCCAAGTCCTTTAAATAGCTGTTGGGAAAATGCGTGGACATTGACAGTGAGGGTTTAAGCATTTGATACGGGTGAGAATTCGAAAGGGGGCATTTTAGAACAGAAGGTAGATCCGTTGGCGACGAGACCGGTCTTACCTTGCCAAATATCTGCAGCGGCAGGCCCATGTAGCACAGCAAAGAGTTTCGATCGCTTGTCCTCAAGCTCGTCGGTCTGGTCAATTTCTTTTCGTAGTTGTTCAGTTCTGGTCCTGCGCAATCCTGGAGATTCCTCAGCAAGCCCGGTATTAATGATATGAGGGAAAACTGCATCATGCATAAACGCTCGCAACGCGCTCCAAAGAATAGCATCTGTCACAACAGCCATGTCAGTTTCATGAGCTCTCCAAAAATTGGTTGTCCCCATGCTTGCCTACCTTGGGTTGCAATAGACAGCACTTCAGCAGTACCAAGGTCTGCCACTTAAACTCCCTAACCAACTCTCGCAAGCTCATTCCCAGATATTGGTCGCGATCTTCTTCCTCGTTCAACTGCCCCCGCTCTTTCTCCGCCTTCAGACTGTCTTGGAAGCGTCGCAAGATCTCACAATCGGTGAACTCGCGCTGGGCAAACCACGCACTCGTCACCACCGAAAGTCGTTCCCTCAGCATGCCAAAGAACTGTGGACTGTCTGCGATTACCACTACGGCTTTTTGTACGGTCGATCGGGTGACATCGGCGGGTCGGTTGAGCAGCTGGGATGCGTCCAGCTGCCGCGTGCAAGAAATGCCGAAGAGGGATGTTGCAGGCTGGTCGCCAACCGCGGGTCGGAGCAAGGTAAAATAGGAGAAGTCTTCGGTCGAGGCATGTGCTCCATCGCTCAAGGCCATGAAAGGTAGCAACGACCAGTCCCAGTCCGCTGCCGGATCCGTTCCTTCGGGTACTCCGAACCACTTCTCAACCTCGGGGCCTCGCGCATGGTGAAAGTCCACAACTGTGACGAGAGGAATGAAGATTGGCTTCGCAGCTACCGCGACAGAGGATGCCAAGCTTGCCACAACATCTCCGCCGTTTTCGAGGTTCGGGGTCGTCATCGCGAAGGTTGCATGCAATGTGCTAGCTCTTACAGCGGTGCTTCGTGTGCGGTCGATTTGGAGCAGAGGCTGCCAATTAACAGCCAAAGTCGCAGCTCTAGTTGGCGTCACTAGGCGGGTTGAGTGGTGAATCACACTTCTTGCGCCAGCTCGAGGTCGACAGCCGGCATTTGACGTCACCGCAGCAGGGCGTCACGGTGCTGGGAATCGAGGGAGTCGACGTCGTCAGCTGTCTCAGACTATGCGCTGCAAAGCATTCCTGGGCTCCAAATCCACCGGCTTTGGCACGAGTCGCGACGCTTGCTCGAGCAAGTAAACCAGTGTCAGGCGAGGATGTCGTGGTCGGAAAGGAGGCGGTCTGAATGTCGTTGTAAAAGTCCGTCTCCAACCAGTCCACGAGGGCGCGACAAGGCTCAGCGGGGCGGGCCGTGAAATGAAATAACTGGCGGGGATCTTCTCAACGCAATGTGAGGACAGGAGTAAATAAACTACGGAGTGGAAGAGACAACCTTAGGCCACTCTGCCAAAATGAATATAATCAACGCGATTTATGCTACGGCCTTCACGAGAATAAGGGCACCCAATAATACTCCAATGCTCTGGTTCACCCAGGATACATGGAGAAGACAATGCCGATGCGATGCGGAGAATTGACCTTTCTAGCTGCTGATAGCCAATGTAGGATCTGCCAGCGAAGCAATTCTTCTCAATGGCCAATAAATCAGCCAATGCTAGTATCGTTATGCAGTATCACCACGAGGGCCTTCGGTCAATCAGCTGAGGCCTCTGATTCCAAGTACTTTTGGCTGGACCAGGATGCATCTTGTCAGCGACAACAAATTTCCAGATGTTGCGATGAAAGGGTCCAACGGCACATTCAACCGGCAGGGGAGCCACGAGTCCCGAGCCAAAGCCCCCACCAGTTGAGACGAGTCCCACCCGCATACACATAGCCAATCAAACGACCATGTCCGACACCTTGCAACTGCTCGGCAGCTTCTCTTCCAATGTTCTGTTCGCCATCTCGCCGTTCTCAAACTGCAGATATTCTCAACTCGTCTACTGGCATCAGAGTCTCGAGCTGAACTTTTGAGAGGCGAGCCATGTATTCTATTGTCCCGAGGCCACAAGACATGGCAGTACGCCAGGTGTCTTGCGTTGCATGAACGGAAGTTGATTGAAGTCATCTGGAAGCTTTGCCATCTATCGATATCCAAGGAATCTATGTCGCATCTCGGCCCGTTGATCTTGCGATGTGGCACCGACGGGTATTGCCTTTGCTAATTTCAATTGGATACCGCGGGTACCCAGCATATCTCTCGTTCCGGCAGCTCCGTGGGCAGGCATGTCGACATTCCTCTCCTGCGAACCAAGTGAAATAGGGACCGAAAGCATCGACTTTGCTGTCTAACTTGACGACTAGGGTCCGAGTGGGACCAACATCTCTTTCGCGGGACACAGGTGGTCCAGGGCCGCTGAGCTCAAAAGCGCAACGCCAAAGCGGTCGGATCCACTGGATGCAAGGTCAATACTCTCGAGATGCACTCGGGTTTTCTGCTAGTCAACGACGTCACTTCGTTGTTGTTCTGATTGGCTATATCACTCTCGCCTCGTCCCTCACAGTTGCCATCTATTTCATTTGATCAAGCCGCTGGCAACTCCGTTCCAGGTGTCGATTCAAGCCATCAATCTCACCATCACGGTGAATGTCGTGGTCCAGGCCACCGCTTCTGCCTTCTTTGCCCCAATGTCAGATTCATTTGGCCGTCGACCTCTCCTCCTCTTCAGGTTTGCGACATACGTAGCAGCTAACACCAGACTGGAGATCAATTAAAGCAATTATGTGGCCTTATTAGTTCTTAGAGGACTTCCAAACGCTGGCGGCTCGGCAGTGGTCGCCATTGCGTCCGGCTTTATTGTGGATGTCGCTGTCCACGCGAATCGTGGCAGCATGCTCGGGCCTGCCATGGGTACTACTCATTTGGCACACTATATTGGACCTGGTGTTAGGCGGCTTGATAACGCTGAAGACCGGCGACTCGGCGTGGGTGTTCTGGACCCTCGCTATATTCGGGGCCATTGCATATTATGCTAAGGCTCGACGTAAGCGCCACCGGAGTAGGGTAAAACTGGCCGGGGGAAACTCGTACCGAACCCGCTGACTGCCGTATCTTTCATCATCTATGCGGACATGTTTCTGACTCTATAGTGTGCGGTCGTAGTCTATGCCGCGTGGTACTGCATTTAAACATCGACTCTCATTATATTCGGGTCGGTCTATCATTACAATCAACTTGCTGTTGAACTATCATTCACGCCCGGCGGAGGCGGCGTCGTTGCAGGCTGTTGCCGGCAAAACCATAGTCTGGAGCTACAGAATCGTCGCAAAAAAGGCTGGCATCAACGTGAGATCCCACGGCAGCCTTCACACTCGCCCAGCGAGATCCAGCTCGAGTTCAGGTTCGAGGCCGCAGCCATCAAGGGTTGCGAAACAAGGCGGTGGGAAGAGACGCGGCGATGATAGGGCCCAGTCCGACAAGAGAGCTCGAGGCAAACGCCACTAGGTAGGGCGGTCGGTATGGTAGGGATATATTCCCTACACGGACCAGCGATTGTGAGCCGGCAGCCGCCATGGCTTCTTGGAATGGGGGAGAGGCAGTTCTCGGCGTTTTCTTTTTCTTTGGTGCTTTGGTTATTTTCATTGGTTTTACGTAGGCGTTTGGTTAACGAATGGGGTAAACCAAAGAAGAAAACAGGGCCATTTTGTTTTGCGTTGCGGTAGACCTCCTGGGCGGGACTATGGCAGGTGAAATTCAGACAAGCTCTGTACACTATTGCACTAGATAGTTATCCTCTCATTACGACCACGTAAAACCACTGGAAGGACTGAAGTTATCGGTCGAGATAACATGCAACTCGTCAATTAAATATGAAGTGAGGCGAGGAACAAGTAATCAAACTCGAAACCGCCGCATTATTGGAATATCCAGCATGCAACTCTTCGTCTAACCGGCAGGCAAAACGACGCAATAATCTTGTCTAACAAGTATGCTTGTGACATCCCTATAAGAAGTTGTACATGTCAAATCTGTGGTCATAATGCGTTGTATTTTTGCACAAAAGTGCATCGTCAGTTTTAAATTGAGTATATAAAAGTTACAGATTTTAAAAAGAACAGGGGGTATCCGCTCATCTGTACAAAACAGCAAGCCAAATCAGCGATCATTCCTTAGGAGGTGTCCATGTATCCTTACTTAACCAACTGTTCTCTATCTCTAGCAGAGTTAATCTTCTAGAGCCCTGCTTCTACACCGCATAGCTAGACGCCAGAAGAGCTGGACCCAAACTCCGACTCTGATTCTCCCAAGCGCATGTCACCTAAACCATTCCTCTGGTGGAAGTCTCCAAGAGGAAAAATAAAAATTGAAAAAAGGAACTCGGAAAGACAAAGGTCTAGTAAATATGTATATTGGGCCCAGAATCACCACTGGAAACAGAGCCAAACTTACGATCCGCATTCTTCCGGATCGAGAAGCGCGACAGGACGCTCTTACCCTCGGCACTGTTGACGCTAGTATCGTCGCTGTGGTTTACCGTCTTGAGTGACTTAGGCTCGATGTGTGATTGCGGGAAGATCCCCCATCCCTTGGACGATGTGCCCGACCAGCACCAATGGTCTGTATAAGACCCTAGTGTATGATGTCAGCCTTTCAATGTCATCGGGGGAGGGTTCTGAGTGTGAACCTACAGCTGATATTCTTAATGGTTTCCCCCTTGTTGAATTTGAGCCAGTTGCCCTCGCCGCTTTGGTTCCACTTCCACCTTGCCAAGGCCTGCATATTACTCGTTCCCTGCATGCGCACTTCGTTGCGCGGTGGCGGGTCCAGACGTACCGAGTCCGCTTCGAACGCGGCACGCACTCCATCGTGCCAGCCGATGCCCCATTTGCCATCATACCTGAGTGGGAATTCGATGCCCACTATCCTGGCGCCCACGGCAAACTGCAAAGCCGTTCCTCGATCGGGAGGGCTACGCAGAATACCGTTAGCGTTCTTCCTTGTCTCGGTTGCCACCGCTGTTGGCAGCTTGCCAATCTCGCGTGCAATTCCTTGCATTACCGTTTGGACGGGCGGGTTCGGGAAATAAAGGTCGAAATTGTCCCGGCTGTGAGAATGCATATCGGCGCCTTCGACGATGGTTAGGCCAGGGACAGCAGGCAAAGGGCGTGGATGCCTCGCCATGTGGGCGAACAGCTGTTTTTGATTGAAGAAGACTGTCGAATCACTCTCTTCGATGGTTTGTCCTGTTTGAATGCAAAACACACATCCGTAGAGCTGTTCATCAATATTCTTGATCGGCAAGTGGCTCTTCTGTAGGATGCGGAGCCGAAACCCGATGCCGTGGGACGTAAAGTTGCCAGAAGCTGCATCCTCGGTCAGTATGTTTCAAACATGCTGAAATGAAAGCCATGGCTCACAGTCATTATTCAGATCTTGCTCTACCGACCTATAGTCGAGTTCAAACAAGCAATGATTACATTTTGCGACAACCATCATCGAAAATCCCTAGAGGAATATAAGTCTGGGCCTACCAATCGCCTGGGGGGTATAGGGTAATACGTACGCCTACTGGTCTCTTAATCCTCTTAAATCCGAGTTCGCCCTTAACGGCCTCCTCAGCACCTTTACAAAAACCTTTGAGTTGGTAAAAGGAGCTGTAAGGTCCTATGCTGCAATCGGGTGCTCGCGATGGCATGGGCGGAATGGCCTCGGATTCAACCGGAATGATGCCTGGGTCGTCCATTCGCCGTGCTTCAGGAACTGCTGGTGTTGAGTCGGCACGCGACTGACCCTGAGGCTGAGGTGTGAGTGTTGATGAGGATTGGTTCACAATGGTGTCGGGATAGTTAGTGGATATGGATTGATTCTGGTAGACTGGGGGGTTGGCGGAATATTGTGGCGGTTGTGATATACGGTTTCCTGGGGAGTAAGGACTGCCTGGCGTCGTCGAAATGACTGACGAAGTTCGCTGTGTGCTAGGGACAGGACTCGTAGCGCCGTCGTATGGAACACAGTCAAATATGGAACTATTAAATGAGTCGGTCGAAGGCTGGCGTTGTGGATGGTTGTGGCCAAACGATTCCCCTACCTGAGGATAGAAGCTCGGGTTTCCTGCAGAGGCGTTTGTATGAGTATGATTGTCGACGGCACTATGTTCTGGGATTGATGGGGGACCATTGGCAAACACGGACGAGCCATTGGAGGGTGGCCGACTCAGACGCATAGAGCCGCTAGATGAGGGATTGGAAGACTGACCGGAACCGTTCAAAGGTGGGGGGGTTGAGCCTGTACGCAAACGATTGTTCTGCCACTGCATCGAGCCCGCACTGTTGTAGGATACAGACTGAGAAAGCGAGGGAGAATGCTGCTGCTGCTGCTGCTGTTTCAACTCACTCCCCTGCGACATCCGTGGCTGTATTAGAGGAAGGGTGGGAGAATCGCCGGGAGTTACGGGAAGACGGCGTTCAGTGGGATCTCCTTCGTCAAGTTGCCTATCGGGACTCCCAGGAGGTGGATTCCCAACTTCCCATGGGTTGGTCGACGGTGGTCGCGGTGGAGGTTCTGAAGCGCGATCTGAAATCCTGGACCGGTTGGAATTGCTTCTGTCCACGGGCCTGGCATTCGATGCGCCTTTCAGTCCTTGATCCGGTCCGGCCTGGGCTCCCATCATATTACTCAACTGCAGCTCGACTTCGTCCATCGTCTTCTCGGAACTCGATGGTGGTGCATCGATGATAATGCTGGCTCCGTCTCTTGACATGTCCATAGGGCTGGGAGACACGGCGCGAGAAGGTTGCAGCGGCGCAAGCGTGGGTGCAGGCGCAACAAGCTTCATCCGTTTGAGGATGTCCACAATCTTGGGCGCCGCATGTCTGGAGGCCTTTTGTAATTCGCTAAACTTATCGCCATCAAACTCATCAGGCTCAATATAGTCGTCAAAGTCCCATAGTAAATCCTCCAACTCGGATCGAAACTGCCCGATTCCATCTGTAGCGAGTTTAGCCTCAGTCGCAGCGAAAAACAGAAACAGAAACAGAATCAAGTCACAAATACTGTCTTACCATGTTCCTTGATTGCATCGACAAAATTGGATCCATAGTCGTCGTTGTTCTTCTTGCACAGAGGCTCGATTTTCTTGAGTGCCCTCTCACCCTCTTTGGCTAGGTTTTGAGCAGCCTTGAGCATCGGCGCCGATACATGTTCGTCGGCGTCCCCCGCATTTACTATAGCTTGGTTTGCCTTCTCAACAATCTCTCTAAAGGGCGCGACCACAAGCCGCTCCACTTCTTCGGCCATGGTGTCGGTCACGGCGGCGCGTGTGCAGCTTCGAATACGTAAGAAGCCGGGCGACGTGTTGGAGTGGGGTGAGTGAGTTCAAGATTAGTAACACGAATGCGCCAGCTTCGGTGTGTCGTCAAAGTCTTATGCTGGACAATGCTCAGGATCCTTGCCAGCAATGAACGATGTTACAAAACATTGAAGGATCCCGTGTTAAATCGCACCGACATTGAGAAAGAGAATGAAGAGGAGAGCTGGCTGACAGGCTCGTCGTCGGGCGAGAGAGACCCTTGAGAAACGGTTGCAGAGAGGCTGAATCCCGCTGCAATAGTGTACTATCCCACTTGAGCTAATGTTTGGAACAGCTCTAGGGCGACCGGATTCATTCACGCTCGCCCATATTGCTGGGGCAGTCAAGAAGCATGCAAGGGTACTAGGGGACCACCTCCGCTGTGGCACTCGATCGTCCGTTGGTTCGTCCTTGCAAAGGTCACTGGTTACACCCTTGTTGACAGGGGCAGGGTATCCAGGCTGCGCACAATCGGCCTGGTAGCTGGGAATTTGCTCTTTCATCAAAGATCCGAGGACCTCTGGGCCTATCCCGCAACAGTGCCTATCGTACCCTGAATCCGGATATGTTGGCATCACACCAGGAAATGCTGTCCAGCCGTTGCGGCTATGCTCCATGTGACCGGCTGACCCCAGAACAACCCCTTGGGTATTGCTCACTGGCATTCGTGGGGTTGCGCGAGAGATTGTCATCGTTAATGCGACCAGTCGCTGCGTCAGTTATTTCAAATCACCCTGTTAAACATGCGTTTTCAATAATTCATGGTTATTGCGGCCGCTCCTTCGATGTAGGTTTCTGACCACCGGCAGCAAGTGGTGCAACCGAGGCGTCACTCCAGTATTACCCGCTTCGCAACTGACGAGTCAAATTTCGCAACTTAGAGACTTCAGGTGTGACTTCGGCTGGGATCAAATCCCAGAGACGGTGAAGCTCTGACAGTCTATCATTCATTCCGACGTAATAGACCGGACGACACTGAGAGCAACATTTGGCTGCACTTGCTTCAGATTATTTTGTTTTAGCTTTGGCACAGCTACCCGTGAGCTAGCTGTGAGTGTGAAGCTTTTCCAATTGGAGTGTTTAGGAGGAACTGCCCGTTCTAGCGCCCAAGCTGTCAGGGGAGTCTCTCCAACATCAAAGATGGGGACAACCATGTTAAATCTATTGGAAGTACGATGCGTCTTGGAAAGCTTCACCTACCTTGCTACCTTTGGGTGTGATCCCCATCGATGCACAAGTCACAGCTACATACCTCTGCGACTCTAGATACGACAAATAATCAAATTCGCATGGTGACCATCGGTTCGCTTCAAATCCTTCACGAGAAGCCTTGCGCCGTAGGTATACCGCCAAAACTGCCTCGAACTTGCCCATAACCGATCACGTCGAGTCCAGTTTTCGGTTTCAACATTGGACCTCTCAGAGCCAGGCTGAACTTGTCAATCAATATTGGCTATTATGAGGCTGCCTAAAATTCCGCCCTGCGAGCAGAGAAGTCCCTCATATCTAGATCGTAAACGGCGGACCTTGGTCAGCTGGGGTAAATGCTTGTGTAGCCTTGCGACGAATCCCAGCTTGCGATATTTGGGAGCCTAGCTGCTTTGCACTACATAAGGGCGCAATTGGCGGTAAGATAACAGGCGATCCCACGCGTGTGGCTTGTGTCACTGCGGTGGCAGGCCGGTCTCGTAAAAGCTTGTTAGTCTTATGCGATCTCAATTTGGAATGCTTCGAGAATGTTGACGGTCTTTCATGATGACATTATCTGGTAGAGGGAACGGGCTGAAGCCGGACTGTTCGTCGTTCAGCAACCCCGTCGTAATTGGGCTAAATTGCATCTGTCATAACAGACTGATCGTTCGTAACGTCAGGTCATCGACTAACAATTTTCCTGTCGCTCAGTAGAAACACTGTCATACCTAGGTAGCAGCAGATGTAGTGATTTCTCATTTTCCTATCATCTCTGTAAAAAAAAATTCACGCTTCAGAACCGTGGCTCTACATTTCAGAGGGTCGAGTTTTTCATATTACTTGGATTGGCTGCTAGCCCTAATTGCAACATGCACCAACGTCAAGTGGGTCGATAGAGTCTCCTAGTACAGCAAGAGAAGTCGTTCTGTGCTGTGTACGTATACCTAGTGTTGCTGTTATCTTAAGTGGAGATGGATGGTCCGACGTTCCTGTCTGTAAGAGTGAAAGCTATTTTAGTTTTATCTACATGCAAGCCTAAAAACGGCCTGTTTAACCCATCGCTCAACGCAGTGAGCCGCTACTTCCGAACTTCACCAATTCACAGTAAATTCCGAAGTATCGCTCAAAGTTCGAATATTACACTTAGAAGCATCCTACTTTGTTACACTTCTACGTCCATTTCAACAGCCGCCTTCATCAAACCCATCGATTCTACAATCACGGTCAAAAAGTCTCGAGCCCACTTGACCTTACTCCTCAACGCGTTGTGTCAAAATGGATTCCTCATCTTCAGTAACTGAACATAGAGGATACCCCTACAAAATCTCTTATGCACGTTTGAATCGCAAGCCACGAAAAAGGCCATAACATTCTCCAACTACTCGCGCTAACAAGGCCGCCTAGCGTGCCAGGGGCGTTAGTATTAGGCGTGTAGCTAGCCGATTCGAATACTCGCCTTCAGTGGTTAAGACTAAGCGCCTATTCACGATTCTGGTAATAGATCGAGCCTGCTGTACGGTTAGGATCTTAGGCGGCCGCTACGGGAGTATAAGGCGAATTGCTAGAAGCCCACGGTATATGGACTATCGATTAGCCCACTCATAGTCCTGATCAGTCGCTAAGCGGTAGTATATGGTGCTATGTGAAGGCTTAAATATATCTGTAAAAAGCACCCTAGTGTACATATTTTGCAGGATAACGAGGCTGACAGGAAGACTATAAAGAACTAGGTCTGGGAGGCGTGGTAGGTAGTGCTAGTGCCACAGGCTATTATTAACCGGCTAATCGATTATGTGCCTAACCGCATTCAAAGCGGAGAAAGAGGGCTTCAAATGCATGTTTTATTGTTTAATTCACTAATACAACTGAGCCGGCAACTATGGTGTTGAAAGTCAGGGTGTCTCGAAGTGGGGTCGATGGGCTCGAGACTTTTTGAGCCTGAATTTACAGACCTTATGAGAGACAGATAAATCCAACGTAGCGCGAGATCAAGAGCCAGAGTCTCATACTACAGACAAATCGTGAATACGGACGCTGCTGTTGTACACATGTTGATGTTTTTCTTCAGAGCGTCTGCTACAATCGCTCACATTCCAAATCTTCTGCTATATTATGTGAAACTACGATAAGTCATGATAAAGAGCAGTGCAGTGTTGTCCACGCATATCTGGTCAACTTGAAATATCCTCATCTCAATTGTTTTGTGGCCGGCAAAATCCCTATATGTAAGAAGCAATTTCGCTCTCCAATAGTTTCGCCGCAATTTTAGAACTTACGTAAGGAATGTCTATTTTGGCAAACTTGTCTCTTTTGTACAGGAGTATCCTGGAAAGGAGACCCGAATAACTAAATCAGTTGTAGGCCTAATTCATGTATCGAGAGTTGCCAGTGTTGATGAACTACACAATTCCAAATAACACATTGACCTCAATACTCTGCACCCGATCATGGTGAAGTTCCGATTTTGAGATAGTTTTTATGCAAAATTACCACAGTAAATAGGCCGGTCAGTCTTCTTCTATTTGTAATAATTCGGTAGCTCTTGAAGCTAGCCTCTACTTTAAGAACAGCTACACCTGACCTGAGTTAGTCTACCCCAGATGTTTGGCCCTGGGGACTCCCCTGGTAAAAAGATGAACCGCCTTTGAATATATTGTCTAGTAATGATTCGTTTATTTTATGTCATTGGTTTGTGATAAACTACGGCTTAAAATAATGCAAATAATATATTTAAGCGTAGTAATCCTACGCCTTTGGCCATTAAATGATTCTCATAAAATTTAACACAATGGGGCCTAGTGATTATAGATTCTACCATTTCCATCCAACTCGACTGATCTATAGCTACCCCCCACGTTTACCATGTTATTATTTGAAGTTTCCTTGATGGTTGCAATGTCGGCCAGTTCTCGCCTGTTCCTGCTATTTTTCTCGATAGCTAGGTTGAAACGTCACAGAAATGTTGCGGCATGATTCTGCGGTGTTATTGGATCACTCTTGCGGGGAAGACTAGACACTTTCCAGGCCTCTTGAGGTTTCCATATTTTGCTTGTGTGGACCGTTGTGCAAATGGGTGAGGATTGTCTACCGAAGAGGATATCGATTATAGGAACATTCTTATATCGAAGAAGCAGTCACACTAGAGCTGGTTTTACTCGTGCTACGAGCAACATGAGAGTTTTTGTCGCTATTTTTTTTAAATAGGCATATTGTCGAGCCACTCTCTGTGGAGCTAGGCCGGCGGGCAGACTGGTTATGGAACGATGATACGCGGAATAGGTTGTTACGTTACAGAGTCGATATTCTTCCTGTTGTTCGGTAAGGTCGAGTTCGTTGTCAGTAGACTTTGAGGAAAGGATTGATCAAAGTTGTAGAAACTACCACTGGTTATGTACCCATTAGTTTTAACCCGAGAACTGATATAAACCGAAAGTTAAGTCTGTTAAAGAAGCTCTTGGGAATATAGAAAGAACCTGCTGTTCAAGCCAACAAGAGGCATGGATCGAGTGACATGGTACCCTGTAAACGGGTATGTTGTTAATAATGATTTCATATTAACCCTACCAACTTACTAAAAGGATGGTGTTCCTTTTTTCCTTTACGTTCTTGTTTTTTACTTCTCTTCGACATTTTTTCCCCTCACATTCTCGTCAAAGTTCTGTACTTTCAACCAAAAAGAAGCACGAGAAGAGCGATGTGGTCGAGATAGGTATGCCGTCAACGTTTTACTACATGGCAAGTTTACTAGCCTATGACCAGGATGCCTTGGTTTGAGTATCGCCGGCAGTGTGACGAAGTGCCACGAACTTTCGTGCCTTCAAGACGCCACACCGGTTTTACTTCTGACTTGACTATCATGAATACGAGACTACTGGTAAGATACCGCTATATTGGTATAAGGGACCTGGTTCTTGCTCCTCAACAACCCGTAAAATGCCCATAACTTGCAGAGACCTGTCTTGACAAGTCCCCGTTTCAGCGTCTTCTACTGCTTCCAGCGACAGAGATATCCCTGTATTATGAAGATTAGCTGCGGCATATGCATACGTGGACGTATATGAAATATCCGGGATCCCCTTCGCTCTGCAAGGGGTTCGCAAAAGTTGTGTTTGAATAGTTTCGGGGAATATATGGGAGCTCATCATAACATGTCGAAAGTTGATATCTTACATGCCAGGACGGCTCTTGAATCATTCCAGGGCTTGGCGACTTGGAAAAGTCGAATCGCAGTGAGGATTCCGTGAGAAGTGTAAACAGTAGTAGAGTTCGGGAACAGCTTGATCACAGTATGTCTTTTCACCTTGTCCACAACACGACAGCAGCGATTGGCATGCACGATGAGATGGTTCGCTGGGTGGCTGGGTGTATCCTTGTCTACCAAGATGGGTTAGCTCCTTGGCAGGGGCGACGAGTTAGGCAGTTGAATACCATCCTGGCTGCTTATTCGGCATGGAAAATGCAGCTGTCAGTGTTCATAACACCCAGCCCATTCCGGGAACGAGGATTTGAACATATACTTGGTTTAAACGGTGATAAGGATCCGAGACTGTTGCGAATTGAGTTACCAGTTTCGTACAGTAGTCCCGTAAGTATCACGAGTACTAGTTGAGAGACCACGGGTATGAAGAACAAGGCAGGCTGCCCTGGGCTCCTGGTATAGCATCCCATCCTCAATCCCATGCGACAGACTAGAGGTCCGTAAAAGATGTCGTAATTGTCGTCCGGGATTCTGTAGGTTTTGTAATTACTGTAGTGGCCACCGTAAGTTACAATGAACACTGTTATGGCGGTGAAACTGACAAGTGACATGACCGACATGACCACTTGCTTCAATCTTGATACCGAATGAACTCATCCATGTACCGCTTGGTACAACGTAGATGCCGCCCGGGGTTCGAGTTTGCGTCCGATGCAAAAACAAGGAAGGATTTTCTCGGACAGACGACACGTGGGTGCACAGATGAAAAGCCAATTTGAAAAATTAGTGAACAATGTGGTCAGGCCTTCGCGAAGCACTTGCGTGCGTGGAAGTTCTAGCTTCTTGAAGCTGCTCTCACGACAGGGCTTTTTCTCCCACCTCATTTTCCACAGGAGACATAGAAGCTTATATTTTATTTCATTTTGTTTTTACTCGTACGTGTAAAGTAAATACGTAACTAGGATGCATACTTTGGGTACATTTTTGACGCAGAAGCTTTTCCGAGAATGAAAGCAATGCAACTGGTTGGGTCCTAGTTTCTTCAGATGGACTCATCCAATCAAAATATTTCCGAGACCATGGTATCGTTTCCATCAGGACCTTGACGTACAGTTGAAGAATCAACAAAACTCAGATTCTTGTAAACCCTGGCCATAGAACGGAGCCACCCAGCCAGATCCAGATGTCGCAATTGCTTATACCTATAGCCCTCTACCCGCGGTCCCGGTCCGAGTCTATGGGTTGTAAGGCTCGGACAAGAACACCAGAATAATGAGTACAATTGCTGTTATCTAGGGGTGATACAAAGTACATTGCAACGTGCCTTTCAGTAATAATCAAGTGATGGGCCTTCTGCCCTTTGAGGAGTTCCAAGAACCCTAATTACTACGCCGCGATGGGCCTATCGCTGCAGTTGGATCGGAGAGTCACCCGATGCAGACACACGAGCATCGCAGCGTTGCACTGTCAATGCTCTGTAATGCCGTCTAACGGAAGACGAGTATGATAGCAAGATCAACAAACAGAAGTACGAATGTATCTCATGAGCAGGCTCCTGGCCAAGTAACAATACAGAAACGGTCGCGACTGACTAATGCCCCAGGCGTGGCGACCACTAGTGGTGAGCATCAGTGACTTGATCCAAAGAGAAGGACCCCCACATGTCCGAAGCAGCCGCTAATGATCGATGTTGTTACGCTTGCCGTCCCTCCTGGAAGTTGCTCCTATTCTCAAGAAGTTGGCCTTCTGGCGGTATTCTACAGACGTATTCTACAGGTGCCGACACAACCTAAATGTGCTTTTGGGAAATTACCTGCGACTCACATACGGCAAGGAGAGGCTGGTTTTGATGACTGACGCAAGGTTCAAAAACAACTGGGGATCCGTGATTGCTTGCATCTTGGGGCAGGTGGGTACTATGTACGGAGTAGATCAATTCGAAGCCACTTGATACCCTGGAACAGTTTTGGTGAGTTTCTCGGGGTAATCAACTGGATGGCCAGGCGCAGCTGTGATTGGTGAACTGCGCGGCTGTTTAAGCTCTGAGATACGTACCGTCCCAGTTCTCCGCCCGCCTTTTCTTCTGAATTGTCCCATTTAGCACCAGCAGCCAGCACATGCAGCCAGCCAGCGCCCAGCTTCCACCTATCTTCTGTCAAAGTGACCTATTATATGTCCTACCTAGAGCTGCTGGAGGACGTAAATGCCGCCAGAGACAGCTGCGACCATTCTTCAATTCACCCGCACCACCCAATTGCACACTCCACGTCCCATTTGAGCTTGACCCAGCGTGGCAGGCAGACTCCAGAGACGAGTTAGTTGTCAACAAATGACTGCATGTTGCAGAACTGCGCCGTCGCCGCTTCGTCCAGTCAGTAATCCGAAGTCTTTCTGGGCTGCCGTTTTGAGGGTATCGGGCGTGTCGGCCAGTGGTCTTCACTGTTGTGCACAGCCAGGGCAGATTGTGTACCGTCGCTTCATTTGATCCATCGTCGTCTCGAGGACTGCCCAGTGCTCCCAGATTTCGTGCTTTCCTCACTCAGCCCTCTTCAGGTCGTACAAGGATACCGGCAACCAGTCGGCCGTGCTAATTGTCACCAGTTGACACACCTTGAATTGCAGGCTGCTGTTCGTTTCGGCGCAGCTTCTGTGCATCTGGAAACTACATACCGTTGTTGCGGCCCACGGCGGACGATACTGCCTCTTACGAGCAAGGTGCATTGCGCACCGCCCTCGCCCACTTTATAAACGATCGACCGGCTCTACCTTTAGTATAGTCCTCATCGAAGGCCAGACGCAGACGCCGACGCCGACGCAGACGCCAGCGCCGGGACCAGCAACACAAAAACACAACTACTTGCGCTTCTGCCAACAGAACAATTCCTTCATTTCGCCGCCGCCTCTCACCGAGACCGATTACTTGGACGACTTGGGCTGGCAAGTGCGTGCTTCCGTTGCAGCATCACTGAACATCCAACACGCATCGTATTGATGAACAGGCATCGGCCAACGACGATTCCGACGCTTGCCGAGAACGACGTAGCGAGCTCCTCCGTCAAGCTTTAAGCTACCGCAAAAGCTTGACAGCAACCGTCTGTTCCAAGTCAATCCCACAACATTGCAGCAAGTTGTTATTGTCTTCCACAGCCGCCGAATGCGAACACCGCCGGGCGATGAACTTGTAAGCTGCGTGGTCGTCACCCTGCGCAAGCATCGAGCCCCCCTGCGCAACGGCCTTGCACGAAGCATTGCCCGACATCAAGAGGACCACTCCGGTGTGTAGAACGCCTGAAAACCCCGCCCTGGGTCCGAAGCAATGGGCGCTTGCATGAGCACAAGTAATGAGGAGGAGGAGCAGAAGAAACGAAGCCAAGCCATCGACCGAGTCCTCGACGAGGACTCTAAGAGACTAAGGCGAGAATGCAAAATACTTTTGCTGGGTAAGCTGTCAGAAATACATTTGGTTGCATCTCTCGTGCTAATGGTGGTCTAGGATCTGGCGAGAGTGGGAAGTCCACAATCGTCAAGCAAATGAAGATCATCCACTTGAAAGGATACTCCGAGGACGAGCTGTACAATTACCGAGCGACGGTCTTCAAGAATCTCATCGAATGCGCGAAAGCCGTCATCAATGCCATGGACCAATTCGACATCGAGCCAAGCAACGAAGCGAATAAGGAACACTGCGAATACTTGCTCAATTACTCTATCGAGTCTGGTCCGTCGGCTCATATTGAATCGAGGGTTGGAGCCGCGGTTCAGGCAATATGGGGTGATACGTGCATCGAGCAGTTGATGAAACATCAAACCGAGTTTTATTTGATGGACTCGGCGGGATAGTAAGTAGCAAGCACTCTTTCGGCTTCTGGATTCCGCGAACTGACTATCTGTCCACTATAGTTTCTTTGACGAGGTGTCGAGGATATGCGCTCCTGATTACCTTCCGAACGAGATGGATGTACTTCGAGCCCGAACGAAGACCACGGGTATTTATGAGACCCGATTTCAAATGGGAGCGCTCAGTATTCAGTAAGCAGCACCCCCCACCAACTTGGCTTCACGTAGAGTCTCATTTAACGGTGGGACTATAGCATGTTTGACGTGGGCGGTCAAAGAAGTGAGCGGAAGAAATGGATCCACTGTTTTGAAAATGTCACGTCCATCATTTTCTGTGTTGCCCTCAGTGAATATGACCAGGTGCTGTTGGAGGAAAGCAGCCAGGTAAGGCCATCGTGGACTCAGCCCTCTCCTGTTCAACACACTGACCCATGCCCAGAATCGCATGATGGAAAGCCTGTTACTATTTGACTCGGTCGTAAACTCGCGGTGGTTCATGAGGACGAGTATCATCCTCTTCTTGAACAAAGTGGATATATTCAAGGTCAAGCTACCGAGGTCACCTTTGGGGAATTACTTTCCGGACTACTCGGGGGGCAATGATGTCAATAAAGCAGCCAAATACTTGCTCTGGAGATTTAACCAGGTCAACAGGGCTCACTTGAATCTTTACCCTCAGTAAGTTCAATAGTACCCATTGGAGTTTCCATGATAACTGACAAGACCAGTTTAACGCAAGCGACGGACACCTCAAACATACGATTGGTTTTCGCGGCAGTGAAGGAGACAATCCTCAACAACGCGCTGAAAGATTCCGGCATCCTGTGATTCCCCACCTCTCCTTTGGTTTATCTACTCACTTTCTCACCCTGACTTCTGACTTTTGGGAGGCTATGATATTTGCAAGCATTGGGCAGGCGTTATTCTTTTCCGGTGGGACTATTGCAATTTTTGCCATTTCATGCAAGGCGTTCCGGCTGCGACATGCTCAACCTTCGATACATGTCACGACTAGACGTGAGATGAAGTGACAAATGTCATGAAAGCGCTGATCGAAGGCATTATGTCGGCTTTCTGCATGAAATAAGATGTTGGCCCAAGATACCTTGGGAGAGTTGTGGAAGATCAAGTGCCACAGAGCATTGGGCAGTGGTTGAAGTAGATCTCGACATCTCTCGACGCTTCCAGGGGTACAGCACAAATATGTGCTGTGTGGGTAAAATTTCCAGTGGCGCGAGCTAATAGTATTGGGTCACAACAAGGCAATCAGATCCAGACGGGGATGAAACGCAGCAATAAGAGATGCCATGTCGACTGCCCTTTGTGCGCCTGTGATTTGGTTTTTGCCGAGAGCTCATGACCGAGAATCTCAATCTACTCCTGACGTTGTTCGAAGTCTGAATGCGAGACAGCTTAAAAGTTCCTATGGCATTATCAAAACCCAACCTATCAGACGAACAGGGACCTGCTGTTATCAGTCCTTAAGAGTCCTCTCCCGCATCAGCATTATCGCCACCATTGGCGACGATCACAAATGCTTGCAGATGATTTGGGAAAGGAATGTATTTACGGGTTATGTGCGCCTCTCCCGGCGGCTACTGCGACAACCACTATTCGACAGGCAAAGTCTACTAGCCATCAATTGAAGGGCGTCATGGGCCCGCGTATTCCTCCACCCCATGAATATTCCCGGTTCAGTCAAACAATTTCACATAAACCGTGTTGCCCATGTTGAGTCCAGACTTGCAAGGCCAGACGGTCAAATGCTATACAAAGGATTTCAATAAACATTGACCGAGGAAGGTTGGGTGAGGAAGGTATTCCTCGAGCGGCTACCTAAGTTAAAGCAGCAAATCGAGTGTACAATGGCTACTTCTTATGTGAACCCAGACTATGCAGTGCAGCAATAACCGCCGAGCTGTTTGTGTCATCTGCGCGAAAGTGGACCTCCTGCGGACACGGCAAGACCGGTTCAAAGGACTGCATGGATTGCCCAATTTTTGACGAGGAAACTGCTGCTGGGTCTAGAGGATTCGGAGAATGGCGGGGGAGGGGGCTGTCCAGTTGTGGATATGGCTGAGATTGATAACAGATAGGCAACTAACGGTGAAAGACCCATTTGCCTCCATGGGCTTTTTCATGAGAAACAAACGGCCGATGTCGTTCGACTATGGCGAAGTGAGGTTGGGACCTGGCCTCAAGACATGAGGGAAGCAAGAACAATAACTGGGCCAACTTGGAGGCATGGAGCCACTACACCCCGCATTGCCCCTCCGCTGCCGCTATTGCTGCAAGCTTCCAGTGCTTGCTCGGAAAGCTCCCAGCAAGTACCCGCTTGATACGGGCCAAAGTAGTGGGTTGCGGCTTGCCTAGATTGTTCAGTCAAGGGGCCAGAGGGAGGAGGGTAAGCAGGCAAGCAAGAATGGAGCATTCGACAAGGGACGCACTTGCACGATCGATGCATGCAACACCCAACAGCGAAGAAGGAGCCTTGCAACCTAGTAGCTCAACAGGAGCTTCACATTGTTGCGTCCCGATGAACCCCTTCCCCTCGCACGTCTAGTTATCATTGTACCTCTACTGCTAGCTCCTTGTCCTCAAGCAACCTTCGCCGAATCCACCACCCGAGAGAGCCTTGGACAGCTCTCATAAGTAGTAGCTTACAGCCAGCCACCCATATCTTATCTGTTCCTCGGCTTTTCGTTCTCTTCTCTTTTTGCTCTCCGAACCCTCATCGTGTGAACGTCGAAGGAATCGTTCCAGATCATAAGTCTGTGCTCTCGAGTCCCCCTCGTCCCAAATACCCCGCGTTGATCGTGGTTGCGATAAGGTGTGTTGACCGGAAGCTCTGAGCTTCTTCGACAACCCCGCCCCCTCATTCCCAACGCCCAAAGCCGACGCCAGAGGCAATTTGCGTTGCTTACACCCGCTTCCGATTCTCTCGTAGGTAGGTGCTGTGCCAACAAAGCTGCATCACCACAGCTTGCCTGCCTCAAGGCACACCTATATGAGTTCAAACGGTATTCTAACTATTGACGAAAGCTGCAATCACCTTGTCCTCGGTCCTCGTTTCAACTTGCAAGCAGTAGCTTTTCCTTGACAATGTCTTCCGAAAAGAGCCTACCCACGCGCGAGCGCCGCCCCTCAATGGGTGAGTAACGCCGTGTTGGACCATGGGTGGACATGATCACTTACTCAGTAACCAGGTGCTCCAATTGTCGACATCGTGGGCTCCGTGGGCCCCGCCGGCATCTCTCGGCCGAAACACAAGCGTACTTACACTGGGTTCGGAGCTGGTGATGCCAAAACTGTCGAAGGTACGTCGACAGTACTATCCTTTCTTCGTTGTTGTTGTTGTTGTTGTTGTTGTTGTTGTTGTACATGGGTCGTGGAACCCCGCAAGCAGTTTCCTACCTCGAAGCATGCCATTGCTAACAAGTCAATTTGTGCAGCTTCCATTCCCGAGCCTCAGCGCGAGGCCTGGACCAAAAACCAAGTCAAGGCCTTCACCGACAAGGACGGCTTCGAGAAGGAGGTAGTTCGTCATGTCGAAACCACACTCGCCCGCAGTCTCTTCAACTGTGACGAGGGTGCCGCCTACTCGGCTGCAAGCTTGGCCTTCCGTGATCGCTTGATTACAGAATGGAACAAGACCCAGCAACGCCAGACCTCGGCCGACAGCAAGCGTGTCTACTACCTCAGTCTGGAGTTTCTGATGGGCCGTGCTTTGGACAATGCCATACTCAACATTGGCCTCAAGGACGTTGCCAAGGGTACGTATTTACCATCTGGTGGCCAGTTATTGCATGTAAGCTGGAGTTAGGCTGACCATGAAATCAGACGGCCTGAGTGACCTTGGCTTCCGCATTGAAGATGTCATTGAGCAGGAGCACGATGCTGCCTTGGGCAACGGCGGTCTGGGACGACTGGCTGCCTGCTTCCTCGACAGTCTCGCATCTCTCGACTACCCGGCCTGGGGTTACGGTTTAAGATACAGATACGGAATCTTCAAACAGGAGATAATTAATGGCTATCAAGTTGAGGTTCCCGATTACTGGCTCGATTTCAATCCCTGGGAGTTCCCCCGCCACGACGTCACTGTCGATGTAAGTCAATTCATTAATGAGATGGATTTCAATACGAAGGTGCTAACTTTCTAAAGATCCAATTCTTCGGCAACGTCCGCAAGACCCAGGATGACAATGGCAAGACTGTGGCACACTGGGAGGGCGGCGAGATCGTCACAGCCGTCGCATACGACGTGCCAATTCCAGGTTACGCTACGCCTTCCACAAATAACCTTCGGCTGTGGTCGAGTAAAGCTTCCAGCGGCGAGTTCGACTTCCAGAAGTTCAATAGTGGAGACTATGAAAGCTCAGTGGCCGACCAGCAGCGAGCTGAGACCATCAGCGCTGTGCTGTATCCCAATGACAACCTAGACAGAGGTAAGGAGTTGCGCCTGAAGCAGCAGTACTTCTGGGTGGCGGCATCCCTGTACGACATTGTCCGCCGTTTCAAGAAGTCCAAGCGTGCTTGGAGCGAGTTTTCCGATCAGGTTGCGATTCAACTCAACGACACCCATCCTACTCTTGCCATCGTGGAACTCCAGCGAATACTGGTTGACCAGGAAGGCCTGGAATGGGACGAGGCGTGGAATATTGTGACTTCCACCTTCGGCTACACCAACCACACGGTGCTTCCCGAGGCGCTCGAGAAATGGCCTGTTGGTTTGGTGCAGCACCTTCTGCCGCGCCACCTCCAAATCATCTATGACATCAACCTGTTCTTCCTCCAAAGCGTCGAGAAGAAGTTTCCCAACGACCGGGATATGCTGGCTCGAGTCTCCATTATTGAGGAGTCTCAGCCCAAGATGGTCCGCATGGCCTTCCTGGCCATTGTTGGTTCTCACAAGGTCAACGGCGTTGCCGAGTTGCACTCCGATCTTATTCAGACTACCATTTTCAAGGACTTTGTCCATATATTTGGAGCTGACAAATTCACCAATGTCACGAACGGCATCACCCCCCGAAGGTGGCTCCACCAGGCAAACCCACGGTTGTCTGAGCTGATCGCCAGCAAGACAGGTGGTCACGGCTTCTTGAAGGACCTCACCGAGCTCAACAAGCTTGAGCAGTATGCTGAGGACAAGGAGTTCAGGAAGGAGTGGGCCGAGATCAAATATGCCAACAAGGTGCGCCTGGCCAAGTACATCAAGAAGACCCTAGATATCACGGTCAACCCTTCGTCTCTGTTTGACGTCCAAGTCAAGAGAATTCACGAGTACAAGCGCCAGCAGCTCAACATTTTCGGCGTCATTCACCGTTACCTGACACTCAAGGCCATGAGCGCTGAGGAGCGAAAGAAGCAGCTACCGCGTGTGTCCATCTTCGGTGGCAAGGCCGCGCCTGGCTACTGGATGGCCAAGCAAATCATTCATCTGATCAACAATGTCGGTGCCGTCGTCAACAAGGACCCAGACATTGGCGACTTGCTAAAGGTTGTCTTCCTGGAAGACTACAACGTCAGCAAGGCTGAGATGATCACCCCAGCTTCGGATCTCAGCGAACACATTTCGACGGCGGGTACCGAGTACGTATTTCCCCACCAGTCACCCCGCGGCAGCTGAAAGCTAACAAGACTGCAGGGCATCCGGAACCAGCAACATGAAATTCGTTCTGAACGGTGGTCTCATCATTGGAACCTGTGACGGCGCAAACGCAAGTGTGAACCATCCGTTGACTAAGCGAATTACTAACAAGTTTTTGTAGATTGAGATCACTCGTGAGATTGGCCAGGAGAACATTTTCCTCTTCGGCACCTTGTCCGAAGACGTCGAGGATCTGCGCCATTCACACACGTATGGCTCTCACTCGGTCGACTCTGACCTCTCCAAGGTGTTCGACACGATCCAGAGCGGCAAATTCGGCGAACCTAATGATTTCGGCGCCATGATTGCCGCCGTTCGTGACCACGGTGACTACTACCTCGTTTCGGACGACTTCCAAAGCTACATCGACACGCAGAAGATGGTCGATGCTGAGTACCGCAACCAGGACGAGTGGATCACCAAGTGCATCCGTAGCGTGTCCAGAATGGGCTTCTTCAGCTCAGACAGATGCATTAATGAGTACGCCGAAGGCATCTGGAACATTGAGCCCTTGGTGGTCAAGAACTGAAGGGCATGGAATTGAGCATAGAGTTTGAACAATTCTAAACCTCGAGACTCCTAGACGGTAGAGCACGACGGTTTGATGATTATAGCGAGAAGATAGCCGAGATTTGGACCTGCCAATCTGGGCAGGTGGTCGGTCTTGATGCGACTCTCAGGTGTATGCCTAATCCAGATGGTATCGGTTGAAAATAGCAATACGAGTATCTTACCTAAATTGAATCCGGGACGCATTGTCCTGTCATTAAAAGAACTCACAATCGTTTATAAGCACGCCTTGTGAAGTGGAATCATGATGTAATGCTGGCCATTGATAGCTTCATGCTTCTCTAGTCCTCCCGAGCGAAATAATAACCATAAATATACGGTGAGCCTGAACAGCAATCAGACCAAACCACCAGACTTCACATCAATCAGGGCCTATCAACATACTGTAATAGTGAGAGTAGAGGGGCTATTTATCTCGTAACCATACATCATGAGCCATTAGTTGGTTCACACCAGCCGGCGTCGAAGAAATATGACGCATATAGCAATAAATACACAACCGTAGAGTATAATAACTACTAGTTCCATTAACGCACGTTAGTATTTCACCAGATAAATCTAGTAAGAGAGACTTCTACTACATTCTAGTCATTGATTGTGCTACTTGGTAGTACAGTCCCCTACGATAAACGCGGGTGGGTACTGATCTTCACAACGGGATACTAAACGCGTTTATTGATAGAGCTAACGTGGTTTAACACCGAGTCGCGCATATCACCGAGTCGCGCGCTTTTTACCACACTATAATTTCAAGTTCAATTAAAAAGCCACAACAGACTGAAGTTTATTGAAATTTATTCAGAGCTATATACATCTGACAATTATAGTTCGACCTGACAAGTCTTTACATTATGTCCGGTCTTCTTACACTTACTACATCGTCGTACAGTCGACGGACCAGCCTTTTCTTTACCCCCCCTCGAGCGCTTGTCCTCCTTTACCTGGACCTCCGCGTCCTTCCGGGCCAAAATGTACAGGGCATCCTCGACAGTAAGTGCACCTCCTTGCCAGACACGCGATTTTTTTGCCCTCCGACGCTTGCTTAGTGCCTCATTTGCCTTGCGAAGGGTGGAGCACTCAGCCTTCAAGAGGGTATTCTCATGGGCTAATCGAGTTATACCCTTCGCAAGGTGGCCAACAGCATCAAAAATTGGGGTCGGAGAGCTTCCCTGATGTCTGGCGATTCAGCGATTGACAAAATCGGACGGCGAGAGAGCCTCTGTCGGGTTATTTGGCGTTTGCGAAACCCAAGGGTCAGCATCTAGAAGAGAGGGGCTAACGGGTGTAGGCGATCGAATCCTAACATCCAGCTTCGAGATAACGGCTTCAGGGTCGTGGGGGACTAGGCCGGCCCCTCGAAACCCTGCCTTGATGTTTTTGTCGGTTATTGTCTTTAAATAAGCCTCCTTAAAAGCGATAAAGAATTCGACCTTAGTAATGTGGTTAATATGGGACTTGATAAATATATCAATCTCTCGACCGTATATACGTTTCAAGACCCCAAAGCACCCGACATCAAGTGGCTGGGTTAGATGAGACGAGTGCGGGGGCAGACTGATAGTAATAATGCCGTTAGACTTGCAATAAGACTCGAAATCGGCCGATGTATGACTCTCATGCCCGTCCAATACTAACAGCCGATACACGCCTCTTTTGGTCGAGATAGTGCTTGTTGAAATGTTTGATCCAGTCTAGACCAGTCTCGTTGTTCGTCCACCCGTTTTCGGTCGGTTTGACTACCCAATCGGCTGGTAGGTCCCCCTCAGTATACCAATTAGCAAGGTGATAGTTCCCTTGAATTACCAGAAATGGCGGGATGTCGCGACCCTCCGAATTGACACAGGTAATCGCCGTGGCCCATTCCCGGTTACCTGGCTGGACCTTCTTGCCTCTACCATTACGTTCAGACGAGGTAACGACCATCGAGCGTTGAATAACGCCCATCATAAAGCCCGTCTCGTCGAAGTTCCACATATCGCAGTCCTGGATCCCGTATTTGGCCCTCATATTCGATACAAGCCGGAACCAGTCCTCAATAATCTTTGGATCCTCGCAGAGGGCCCTCTGGAAGTCATACGAGCGAGAAAAACGCGTCTGTAACTCTGGGGTTCGCTTTACAAAGCGATGCGCCCAGAGCTTGCCGACGCGTCGGGTACCCCGCGTCGCAAGAATGGAATTGGCCATATCTTCCATACCCTCTAGCCGGGGAGGAAACCCTCTCAAATCTAGGTCAAGTGCATGCTAAACAATAGCTCTTTCCTCTATCTTGGCGAGTAGTGCGCTATTCGGCCAGATTTCGGTACGTGGGGTGCGACCGTGGATTCTGTCACGGAGTGAGGACTCGGGTACACCGTATAGCTTTGCTGCTCGACGTTGGCTCATATTTTTGGTCGATCGGATAGCTTCGATGGCAAGGTTGATTTTGGCTTCTTGGGTTTGAACTGACATGGTGTTGTTGTTGAGGAAATAAGTGTTGAAGTCAAAAGGTTGGAAAAGTTGAAAAAGTGCGCGACTCGGTGATATGCGCGACTCGGTGTTAAACCACGTTAACAGTTAGTATGCTTGAGAGTTGTAGGACCCAGAGGCGTAGGTAGCAATAAATACCAGTAGCTCGAAATAGGTGGAAACAGATAAGCCGAGACGGTATGTAGCGAAACCTTTCCCTCAAATGCTAGATTTAGCATAAGTGAGCCGTTATCTTCCATTGCTGATGCTGTTCGTCGTGTCGGTATCAGGACCAATCGTCCGGGTCCAGGCTTGGCGGACTCCGTTCCCTGAGAATACTCGAGTACAAACGTGCCCCAGATCTTGGAGCTTGGACTGAATTGAAGTCTGGCTGGGGTACCTAGTTCAAGCAAACGAGGCTGAAGTCGGTCGCGACAAGCCTAGACTTGTGTCCATCACCGGGTTTGGCTTACATTACAAGTCCATCGACAGAGACAGAGAGACGGGGTTCTTCGTATTCCAGGAAACCCTTCCCCACCTGCCGGCTCTGTGCTCCCCAGCCTTTTAGGGATACATATAGCACTATTCTATCCCATGGCGATGATGCCACAAAGACGTGAGCTGCCCATTGAGCCGGTTTTCTTGCAAAAGAATTACTTGAATGGGATGCTTGACCATGCTTATCCCGCGACAATCCCAGCGTGTCCCACAGCAAGTGGCAGAGCCTGAGTCAAGCTGGGCAAGGAGAACAATATTTTCAGAAATTTCTTCCGATGCGCAGGCCTCCACATGAGAAAGCCGTGACATCATTCGTCGAGTTCGTCACATAAAGTCGGTTTTTTCCCTGAGCTGGACTTATGCAAGCAAGACCCTGATGCGACTTTACTACGATAGTATGACGTCACGTTTAGCTATAGTGGACAGAGGTGGATACGCTTTGGTTCCATTGCGAGTATACAAACCTGCAGAATCTGACGATATATCCTAGTGGCCCCTGCATAATATCCATATCGGCTCCGAGATGCCCCATAGTCTAGTCGACTTGAATACTAACAAAGCTCGGGTTAATGCCAAATGGTAGTCCAATGCTCAGTAACGTAACGGTGACATGATGGCCTCGGGACTGTGCCTGAGTAACGCTGTTTGCAGCATTGTGTTTCCCGACTGCTGACCGGCCAATAGAATAATGCGACAATACCGAGTTGTTCGTTTGTAACGGCAGATCCTGTCTCGTTTCAAAAAAGTCTTTCCTCCCGATTGGAATGAACCGTTTCCCGAATGTGTGTGACTAACCAATCGAAACTTGTGTATTGTTCCGTATCCTAATTTGAGCTGAAGCAAATCGTGCAAGGTCCCCTCTTTAGGAACAAAGTCTCCGGTCTGTGTTGTTATCTGCACCCGCCCCCCTCATGGCAAGCAGTGTTTGTGTTCCCAACGGTATAGCTTCATCGAGCTATCCGAATGTATGCTGACATCAAAGCCTTATTTCACGACCTCGGTGGAGGCACGTCATGGCCTACCCTAGCCATGAAAAGTGGGAAAGTGGGTTTTGATGCCAATTTGCATGGGATTGTGGGAATATGTTGCAAGTCGGCAGCGTCTGCCATGGCGGGAATGCGGAAAACGATGACCAGATTCCGATTGCGTCGCAGGCATCAGCTGAGGGTCTGGGTCCGTTGGTTGGGAAGTATCGTGCTAGGCGTGCCTCAAGCCTCTTCAGCTTGCAAAATCGGCGATGAAGCAGCAAACACGTCGATGGTCGGTTAAATCTAGAACTAACTCAGCAACGACCAAGCTTGGGTTCTAGCGCCTGCACACCCTGGACTGGCCTGGACGAGATTTGCTTGTCTCTGTTCGGCCATGCGCTAAACGGTAGGTAGAGCTGGACATCGCGGCGTTCGGCGCGTCTTTCTCGAAATGATGGAGCGGTGACATCACCAGTTTTGGGCTTAAAGAGCCCCAATGATTGGCTTGTGCCCCCAATATTGGTGGTGGGGTGCTGTCAGAAATGCCCCTCGTTGTTCTCCTGTTATAAAGTCGGATTGTTAAATCACAGCCCCACTTGGCTAGACTCTTCTGTAGTGCTGTAGGGGCCATTTCGGGACTGCCACAAAGCCATGCATGTTACGAGGGTACCTGGGACATCTGGGTATCAAAAGCGCCCGAGCAACCGCAAGACGCCGAAGCAGCTTGACAAAAAAGTTGCTCGACATCGGCCGGCCACGCTGGGCAGCATTGGTATGCTCAGCAGGAAACTCTGGTAGTGCAGCGAATAGGCCGCGCTTGTCAGGATCAAACCTAACCCTTGGGACTTGGAAAGGTGTGGCCCGCTGGTGCCCGCTGGAATAGAAGCAACAGCTTACAAGCCCACTCCAGCTTGATGTTATGGTCCACGGCATTTGTATATTTCCCACGAGAAACCTGCTTTGGCCGCAGATGCCTTCCACGCGACTTTTCCGTCCAAGACCAAAAACGGCCCTCTGCGAACCTAATAACATAGTTCTGTGACAAGCGTTGGTAAATCCGCAGCTGCATCGACTCCGCCCAATCGCTCTCTTATTTTGATAACTGCCCCCCAATTTCTCCAACCTAAACTCGACAACTCGGCGTCGGGCTTCGTTCAGGAAGACAGAGTCTTGGACAATCGCAACAACAACCCGCAACTTGCTAGTCCGTTCAATCGGTTGTGCCCGACTTAGCTGTTGTTGAAATCGCACCACCGACGGGACGAGCCTTTGACCCTCGCATCTAGATCTCGCCCAACCCACATCCGACGGCCAGAGGCAGAAGAGATCGACAGTCTCCAAAGAGCTCTATCCTCCTTCACACATTCACTCGTCGCCGATCGACCAGAAAACCAGTACCTGTCTGCGGTGGACAGCGATACAGCATTTTGACAATCGCATTGTCTTTGCGACGCTGCAACGGTGAAAGATTATTTCCACTGCTGCGCATGCCGGGTAAGCGCCTCATCTTGTCCCTTGCTGCTGCGACTTTGCCATCCCAGCACCCACCATCTTGCCCCGCCTTTTGCGCCCACGTTGGTTGGCACTTGGTCAAGCTCAGCTCTCGTCAATTTCATCTATCGCAATAATCCCCTCGCCTTGTCGTTTATCTGTAGAAGCCAACGGGCAAATCAACTTCATGTCATTTGGACGCATTGCACAGATTCAATTGCTAAACCCTCGTCATGTGCTTAGATCAAATCATAGAGAACAAATTCTGTTAATTCGGACGGAGTCAACCAACTTCATTTGCTGCACTTGAATCCGGTCACTCCATCATATTACAGGCGGCACTGGGCTCACACATAAAACATCCCGCTTAGTGGAGACATACTTCATCAACTAGAACGCCTACTTTTAGTACCTGCGTACCTTCTCACTCTAGCAACTGTAGCAAGTAGCACCTGCCCCGTCCAGGAGTTGCCCGCGCTTGCCCACGCAACCGTCCAAGTCCCCGATCGCGATCGCCACTCCCACACGGCAACTCGTGCATTCTCCAGTTTCCCGTGCTGTGTGGAAGAACCTTATACACGACCGACCCGAAAAGTCCTGTCCCAGCTTTCCGCCTAACATAATTCCGACGTCCTTTTGCCAACTTCACGAATCCCCTCACGGCGCAGTCGGCAACCGTGTCGCCTCATCCTCCCCATCCCTACCCCGCTTCCTAGAAGCAAATTTCCACCCAAGTCGCCGCTGAGTATAGCCGATTTGCATTCGCGACAACAAATCTCCACCCCCATCCTCCCGCCTACCACACTTCCTTCCTCTTAGCCACCTAGAGCAACTCAGTCATCATGGCGGAATTCGTACGAGCCCAAATCTTCGGAACCACATTCGAAATTACCTCGAGGTATGCGGCGAGACCAACTGGATAGCACCCAACTTTGGTCCGGATCGTTGACAAGATGACAGGTATTCAGATTTGCAACCGGTGGGAATGGGCGCATTCGGCCTGGTCTGGTACGCAAAGTCCCGACGCTTGCCTATGCTTTGGAGGAAGTGCTGACCACTCGCTGTCGAATTACAGCTCCGCCAGAGACCAGCTGACTAACCAGAATGTTGCCATCAAAAAGATCATGAAGCCCTTCAGCACTCCGGTTCTTGCGAAGCGGACGTACCGAGAGCTGAAGCTGTTGAAGCACCTCCGACACGAGAACGTCATTTCTCTCAGCGATATCTTCATTTCGCCCCTCGAGGATATGTGCGCTCCCCCCCCCCCTTCCTTCCTCTTTGAAACCATGCTCTTTAGCTGACACCTAGTAGCTACTTTGTAACCGAACTTCTTGGCACAGACTTGCACCGTCTGCTCACTTCGCGGCCCTTGGAGAAACAGTTCATCCAATACTTCCTCTACCAGATCATGGTTCGCAACCCACCCCTAAGCACACACAGCCACCGCATCAAGTTGCTAATTCAACTTCGAAACAGCGGGGTCTAAAATATGTTCACTCAGCTGGCGTGGTCCATCGTGACTTGAAGCCTAGCAATATTCTCGTCAACGAAAACTGTGATTTGAAGATCTGCGACTTCGGACTGGCACGTATCCAGGATCCCCAGATGACTGGTTACGTCTCGACGAGATACTACCGAGCCCCCGAGATTATGCTCACCTGGCAAAAATACGACGTCGAGGTCGACATTTGGAGCGCTGGATGCATATTCGCAGAAATGCTCGAGGGCAAGCCTCTGTTCCCCGGAAAGGATCACGTCAACCAGTTCTCCATCATCACCGAGCTCCTCGGAACACCCCCTGATGATGTAATCAACACGATCGCCAGCGAGAACACATTGAGATTTGTCAAGTCCCTGCCCAAGCGGGAGAGACAGCCGCTGAAGAACAAGTTCAAAAATGCCGATCCTGCTGGTACAGCCCCCCTAAGAACCCCCAACTTTCGAGACCGTGGTGCTGACAGCTACAAACAGCCATTGATCTTCTCGAGCGCATGCTTGTATTCGACCCTAAGAAGCGAATAACAGCAACGGAAGCCCTCGAACACGAATATCTCGCGCCGTACCATGACCCTACTGACGAGCCCGTCGCCGAGGAGAAGTTCGATTGGAGTTTCAACGATGCTGATCTGCCAGTTGACACTTGGAAAATCATGATGTGAGCTGCAACTTGCACCCGCTGCGCCCCCTCCCTCTCCCCTCCTTCTTTGAACTTACCGTTCTTTCTTCGTCTCTCGACAGGAACTCACTAACATGACTTTCTTCCGAGGCAACAGGTACTCGGAGATTCTTGATTACCATAACGTGGAATCGAATGGGGGAAACAACCCACCACAAATGGATGAACAGTACAATGGTCACTAGAATAGGTATACGCGTTCTTGCCTTTGGGGGGCCGGTTCAAAATTAAACGCACGTTATGATACCATGAATGAGAAAACCACCATACCGTCGGTCAATCGATGGGCATCAGGTTCGAGTCCCCGGGCGTTCTAAGAGAAGGTCGGGGTTTGGTGGCCTTAATATTTTATTTATGATTTTCCTTCCACTGCCACGGAGGCTTTTTTTCCGTTTCGGGAGGGATTGCGCCGAAGACAATGTAGACTACACGAGGATTGGCATTGAGCGTGCGCCATTGTGGATATGGGAGGGTTGGCACCATCTCGAGTTTATAATGAGGCATAGAGAAGCGGGTAAGGAACAGACAACTTTGCGGAACTGGTTCGCATTGTCAAACCAAGCAACAGGGGGCCGAAGTCTTAGTTGATGAAAAGCGACGAACGTTGTATGGCTCACACAACAACAGCAATGTGTCTAGAGGTTGCAGAAAGGCAGAATGGTGAAAGACAGCACTGTCTGTTTTTGGGCAACGAGAACCTTTATCCCAGAGCGAGCTGGCAAAGGTGATGACCCATGTTTCTGGGATTACCAAGGAGAACAGAAGCAAAGCAAAAGATGAATAGAAGCGGAAATCGCAAAGATGACATGTTTCCCGTTTTGGTGCATGTAAGTGCTTTTTCCCATGGTGAGCGCCGCTTCCGCTCTGGGGATAGTGACACATGACTGAAGGCATTGGTGCTGTTAAGGAGTGGCATGGATCTAAGTGCAATGTGGGTAAAGTCAGGTATAATATTATACACGGTCGGGTGCTTCCAAGTAAACCCCAACATTAGATTCCCTCACCAATTTCAGAGGCGTGATGATATAGGTACATGAGGACGAACAGACGGTTGTCATACCACGTGCCATCTTTGGAGAGATGGTACGACAGTCTTGCACGTAGCTCTGGTTTGACTTGGACATCACATGAACGATCCAAGCCCCGTCAATTAATCTCAAAGAGCTTATCATTCTAACCCTCTGTTGGGCCGGTTCACTTTCATTGCTGTTTCAAGGACACGTGAAATAGTCAACAATGTATTGAACTATGTACATAATCCGTCATCCTTCCTTTTCAGTATACGAATTCCACACAGTCGTTCTTATATTGGGTATTTATCCTCCTAGCATCCACAAACGCTCCTCGACAAAAACAGCAGCACACATGAATCTACCACCACAACACCCGAGCTTTCGTCCGTCTAACACTGTCTCCAGACATATCCGAAAGACTCGGTAGCTGCCACGTCACCACCCTTGCCAAAGTAGGCGTACTGGTTCCCGTCGGCCACCAGGGCGGTGCGGAAGTTGACATTCAGGATACCGATGTCGCCCGCGGCGTCTGAGCAGGGGCCCCAGACGATGAGCGTGCTGGGAATAGTCGCGTGGGCTGTGGTGATCTGGTCTAGTCGCGTGGTTCCCGTGTTTTGTAGCGTGCCACGGGCGGTCACCTGTTTGTTTGTCAACATAAGCTCTTTGTCTGCTCCTATTTGGTTCCTCCATTCTGTCCTCTCTCTATATGCCGTAAAGGGGGTGGAATGAGGGAACACATGGAAATTCATACATAGAAAGAAAGGAAAACCCACAGTTTTTGCAGCATCCTGACTCCAAAAGCTCGTCACAAAGAAATTAAGCACAGCTCCCGGGTCGAGTACCAAGTGACCCTTGACATAGACGTCCTTAATGCCGACCTGCCAGCCGGCCTGGCATCCGGCGGCTTGGATGTGGACCTCACAGTTGGCGGTGCTGTCGCTGCCCGGGAGGGAAACCTCGTAATTGTTCATGCGAAAGGTGAGGTCATTCCAGCTGCCGGACTTGGAGACGGCCGGGTCGCTCGACGGGCACCCGTTTCCCGAATACTGGATCGTGGTTGCGTGCGGGAGGGCCGCGGGGACGTCGCGGGGGTAAAGTTGAGGGGTGGCTGCTGCTGAGACGATGGAGGAGAACGAGAAGAGAACGGTGAGGACAAGGGACCGCATTGTGGAATTTGGTAGGTAGATGTTTGGGTCTATCTTGGGGGTGTGTGTAGGGAGGATGTGAATAGACCGGTTATGATGATGATGACGATGATGATGATGCTATGTCAACAAATGCCAAGAACTGTACTTGTTGATTCCCAGAACCGTCTCTTGAACCTGACCCACGATGGACATGGCATCCTCTTATAGAACTGCTCGTACATCAGAAACCCTCACCTGCGGTACCCTTACATATCTCGCAATCTCGACAACACCACCCTCCCGATAACTCTAGCCCTCCTGAGGCGTTCGCCTCCCTCGAGCATCCATAACTCAAAAAATTGCGATTTCTGCGAGTTGGTTATTTTCCGTGCTCCGTTTCGCCACCGCTCCCAGCTTTTCGCTTTTTGCCTTATGTCGTTGTTGGCCGGGCTGGGGCTGGGGGAAAAAGGGTCCTTCTGCTTGCAGCAGGCGACAACAACCCGATTTAGCCATATTAATTAGCCAGCACGCAAGCAGGAAGCAAGAACAACCAACTCCATGTCCCCGGGAATATAGGGATTTGCCTTTCCCTTATGTGCTCGGGCTGAAAAATGTCAAGGTGAAGAAATTCATTTCGAGTCTAAAATTAGCTGAGTTCTCTTGCTGTACAATATCGCACAAATACCGCCGGGTAATGTGAAGGGCGAGGAGTGCTCGCTACCAACAGTAGTTCAACTCCGTCATATCTGGGGAGGCTCAGATTACGAAATCTTCGAGCTTTAATATACTAGACTGTGACTCTGGGTTCCAAGGGCCGCGTGCTGGGAAGGGGACGTTCGCCGACGGAGTCGAGATCGCCTCGACATATTACGTCTGAGATGCGGTTGCGACGTCAGGTGGTTCCGAGAGTCCAGAACGAGAAAATTAAGCTTATTTCCATCGCGGTCTGGATCGTCGTCAAGAGCTATTTTGGGGGCCTTCTTGGACGCACTTGCGTCACATTCATATTCATTTCCACCGAGCCTCAGGTGTGAGTCTGTAGTGACGTGACCGCAGAATGCAGTGTCTCGGGCCTCCTCGCCACTCGCTCTGTAGAGCCGGCAGGGATTCCGAGAAGACTGGCCACAATAAATAGATAGAGCGCTCTGGGCTCACTTCACGTGCAAGCCATGTTTTCGCGGTGCTTCGATGTGGTGGTCTGCAGTTTGCAGTGGCGCGACGACTGAGTTTCGGCCGCGGCCGGCTTATAGGCAGTGAACTCATTACCGGTTTGAATTCAGGCGAAGTCATCATATGTATACCGAATCTCGTGGTTGGGATGATAGGTAATCTGATAAGTCAGGTTGTCTCGGCAGCGTGGTAAGCAGGTTGTGATGGCGGTGGAGTACTCAAGGTTTCCTCGTAACCCGAAATACGATTACAGCTGGGACAGACGAGTTCCTAAAATGACTTGAGTTGGCACAACAAGACGCGTGATAGAGTACTTTTCGTTCATTCCATGCCTCACCGACAGGCGTCGATTCGATTTCATATGGGACGGTAACACAGAACACACAGGCTCCAAATATATGCTGCAGACCAGCAGTAGTATGTTGTCCAATTTCTACTTAAATTGTCTCAGTTTCTAGCGTTGCTCCAGAATAGTTACTTCCATTGACTCAAGCCGGCCCACGGATCATGCTGCGACTGCTGCTGCTGTGAGTTCTGAGGCGTGTTGCCGTAGGGGTATTCCTGTTGGGAATAGTGGACTGTCTGTTGGGGTCCCAAAGGCGGAGGACCGGGGGGTGGGGGAGGAGGTACGAAGCCAGGAGGCACGTAGTGCTGTGGTTGGTTCTGGGACTGCTGTGCTTGCATGTTGCCGTATGTGTTGTACTGGTTCTGGCCGAAGGACGCCTGTGTCGGAGGTGGTGATGCTGGACCTCGTCCACCTGCTCCAAGGTTGAAACTGGTCTGGTTCGGGGGAGGAGACGTAGGGCCTAGGTTGCGGCCCCAACTGCTTGGGTTGTATGGTTGACTAAAGGACGACTGATATTGTTGCGCTGTAGGAGTGAACGAGGTGTTCGGCGGGGGGCTGGAGAAGGAAGGATAATTTGCTTGATTGGGAGGAGGTGAGCTCGGAACCTGGTACTGGCCGGTAAAGCTTGTTGAGGGATAACGTGGGGTGCTGTTTTGCCCAAGAGATAGAGGTGTTGGGACTGGTCTGCTAGGTCCCGTCTTCTGTGGTGGCGAAGGCGCATGGTCCATCGACATACGTTCCATCAGACCACGCAGACGCTCTCGCTCTTGCTCGGCTTGTTGACTCTTGTTTGCTGCCTTTTCTTGTTCGATCTGATTGAGGAGCTGGCCGCCTTCAGACCGCCGGTTATTGACGAAGGTCTCTACGTTCTTCTCAAGACTGTCCACTGTCTCCTTCATCTCACTGTACCACCTCTTAGCACTCTGCAACCCAGCTTCGAGGTCCAGGAACTCTTGATAGGCTCTCTTGTACTTGTTCACTACCGACGCTCTCTGCCTCTGAATGGACTCGTATTTGCTCTGCTCTGCGCGGACCCGCTTGTCCTGGAGAAGGTTGTTGAATGCTGCCGTGAGTTCCTTCATCAATGAAGATTGCTTATGGTTTGCCTGAAGGAGTCGATTCTGATGGGGTCTAAACTTCTCCAGTTCCGTCTGGAACAACTGGTTCTCATAATTGGAGATGGATTTCTTGTTCAATATCAGAATTTGTGAGATGTCGTCATTATGAACCTGGAAACGGTCAATTTTAAGTATCGAATAGGGGTTGTGGTGGAGCGTACTTTGTCCTTGAGGTCCTTCAGTACTTGGTTGCGTTCCCTCTTGATCAGATTTAACTTCTTGAGTATCTCCTCAACCCTGTTGATCTGGTCCATGACACTGGGCCTGTCGTCGTCGAAGTCTGCGTCCAGCAGATTGGGTTCGGCAGCAGCTGGGCTCGTGGCGTGGCTTGACTTGGACCTCACCTTGTTGACAGCACGTTGAAAGAGGGCATCTGCGTCACCACTTTGAGCAGCGGTTCGCATCTCCTCCAAGTCGCTCTCATTTTGTCGAAACTTTTGGTATAGTTGCACATCGCTCTTGGACGCTTCATCCAATGCTTCCTTGTAATTTCGAATGTTTCCCCTCAACGTTGCTGTGAGCCGAGAACTTGGTTGCTGGGTCCATTCACTCTCATATTTGGACCGCATCTTCTCGCAAACACTCTCCTCCATATCGAGCTGTTTTGAACTTTTGTCCAAAACAGTCAATATTGAGTCTTTATCAATCTTCAAGGTGTCGAAGATGGAGATGGGATTCTCATGGCCTGCGACGTCATCGCACCATGTCCTGAAGTCCTCGTCCGGTAAAATATCCTGATCGAATCCTCCCTTCAAAACCTGCAGTGCACCAGGCAGCCTCAGGTAGTCAAGACTAGCCGCCATCTCGCTGTTTGCAAGATCGACTCTCTCCGTCTCTGCGCGAACAAGTTTTGCCTTTTCCTCATCATACATACTAGCCGACTCCGTCACCGCCAAAGGGACAATTTTAGCAAACAAATCCGGCCCCGTGATGCGCTGAATGTCCTGCCCGGCGTAAAGTTCGCTCACAGGAATGGGTTTGGCCGCCGGCAGTTTTGCTACTGGTGCCAGACTAGCCTCAGCCGGCACTGTTTGGTGATAAAGGAAATCGTTGTCCTTCACGAACTCTTTCAACTTCTCCTGAATAGTCGTCAAGGTACGTTTCGAAAGATCTGCCAAAAGAACGCCAGTCTCTGCGCTCAAATTTGAGCTCGGGGGCATGGAGCTGGGGAAGTTTGATGAGATCCTATGGGCTTCTTTAGCTTGAACTTCAGCGGCTGTAAGTCTAGCTATAGCGATGCCATGTGAATTTGCGTCGTCATCCGCGATGGCCTGGTAGTACTGAGACTGGGCTGCCGTCAAGTTGTATTTGATCTATCACGCATTAGTCGCAACTCTTCTTCCACCCTATGCTTTTCGGCAGGTCAAGTCCCCCGTGGCCAAAACTCGTCGTTATGGAAAGCCAAACGCACCTGAACGAACAGAAGCCAAACTTTCTCAAATATGGCCTTGTTGACATTTTCCTGAACGCCCTCCACGGCCTGTGAATACAGATACGCGGCCTGGCTGGAGAGTTTTGCAAGCAGTCCGACCTTCTTGTTATCCACGACTTGTTTCTCCAGAAACACCTCCTGGGCCTGAGCAAGTGTGATGCTTATCAGAGTCTTGACCGTCTCTCGGCTCAGGTCTGACGACGGGGCATGCAAGAAGTTCTCGTTGATGTACGTGAACATGCCCGCAGAAGCTTGGAAAGAGTGGTAGGCGGCCTTGAGCCCGGACTCCTCATATCTTGGTTGGTTGGCGGCGTGGCAAGATAGAATGGCGGAGATATTAAAGATTATGGAGGCTTTTTCGAAGGCGAGAGAGTATTGAGCGGTGGACTTGTGCGTAAAGGCGTCAAACCTAAGAAGACGTGGCAGGTCAGCAATTTGGACAAAGATAAGCAGGGGGCGAATCCAGAACGAACCATGTAAATGAGATCTTGATGTGCTGCTCATCGACCGGGAACCGCAAGTCGAGCAGCTCCAGTTGGCCGTAGTACCGGTACAGCAAGTCTCTACCGGCCGTGCTGTCCTTTCCGGCGCCCCTCATATCCTGGCGCAAGCGGTTCAAGGTTGCGCATTCCTCGGCGTAGCGTTCGGGATCATCGCCATACGTGTCTCTGATATATTCCTTCAGCGGTGTCACCCAGTCGATTTCGTTGGTTGCCTTGAGCGGCACCGATATCGTAGGTGTTTGCCCCATGGCGAATGTGTCCTCTGCGTGCTGCAGCAGCTGTGTCGTTGGATATACACACTTGCAGTTGTGTTGCTGTGTCAATGTTGCCTTGCATTTATGAGACTTGCGCTCGAGGTGCGTTGGTGGAGGATCGTGGGGCACTGGAGGTGGGGTTGAATTCAACAGTCAAAGGACAGCAGCGCTCGCAGCGCTGTACAATGTCGATGCCGTGTGGACGTCACCGATTAAATTCACAGGTACCGGTAATGGCATTCGATTGTCGGGATCTGCGGGGTCATGCTGTCGACAATACCGGCGAGTTGAACTTAACGATTAATCAACGAGGTGGCAGAATCGTTTCTCGTGCAGCAGTGACGAAGTTGGGCCTTTGGTGGGATGTACCGGGAGTCGTAGGGTCGTAGCGACTAAGACAGCATTTGCGCAGCGCGGCTATTCCGTCACAGGCAGGCACATGAATAACACAGCACAGGTTGACGGAGAAAGCATAAGAATTTAAAGTCGGGTTTGGGATGAGCATCTAGCCGCCGATCTTAGAAATCTCTCGTCTCTCTGAGTCAGTGACTTTGGCTTCTAAGTGCCTCGTGGCAGGCGGAGTCTATCGTCAGTGCGCCACACTGTAACATCGTCGGCTTCCCTGCTCCAGACAAGCAAGAAACACCAAGGAGTTTTCTACAGTATCGGACAGTATCGGAAAATAGCTGGCAACTCGAATAGCAATAGATCATCTTTCGAAGTTGAATGTCGCCGTTATCGTCAATCTAAAGTGCTCGACTCCTCAGTTTCGATTTCTTATATTGCTGACCTCTCCAAGTCGAAGGTCCGCCACAGTTCCCACTTGCAGGTCTAAAATGTATCACAGTCTTGGCACTCCGTCGAATCTCCATGTTACCGTACGTGACGACATTGGGTTTGCACAAGTAGGTAAAAAGACGACGCAAGCTCATCTCACCGCCGCGCCGACACCGCTTGATATTGGTCAATTTGCATTGTAGTCCCAGCACTGGAGGGGCGTGTTGCCCGCAGGATCTCTCAAGCACGATAACGCCGTCATTTTGATGCCAGCAAGTCGGTTGAGCGCTCGCAAGCCATCACGGCCGTGTACTCAAGTCGAGTTGCGCTGCAGTGCGACGACACAGCCCCAAAACTTCCAGTCTTCTTCTAATTTAGTTTGTTCCTTTCTGGCGTGTCCCATCTCTCGTTGTCTTTGCTTCCAAGACCATCGAGGATCGGGCATACAGCAGCCCAAATACTACCATCATAGAAATAAACCACACTTATGCAGGCGACAGTCCAGTCAGCAGGCTCGGTGTCTCTCAATCAGGTGTCATTGGCTGGACTATGTAATTCTCTTCACCAGAAACAACAGGGATGTTTCCGGGGCGGTTACGGCCAGAGGGGTCCCCCGAATAAATCAGTATTGACCCACTAGCAGACAAGATGTTGGGGTGCAGCAGGCGCGCTGTTGCAACTGTTCTCAGCAGTCAGCAGTAGATCGCAGCATTTGGCCAATTCTGCGGCCATGTGCGGCCATGAGAATATTATATGCGAGATCAAGTTGAGGTGGTTACAAAAAATATATATATACATAATTGCTCAAGGCGGATCGGTATCCAGTTTTGATTATTTATGTGTACTTGTCATTGGTAGAGAAGAGTGGCCCTCAGGCTCAGATTCGTGCTATTCTACAAGTTGGACCGGTTCGAGATCGAGGCTCAGATTCCTAGCCCTCATCCGTTGCTGCCAAACGCCCGAGGATTCCCTTCCTCAACACCACCGGCTCATGCAATGCAGTCTCTATGTCTCTCTATGGTATGAATATGTTCACAGAGGTGTGTTCTGCACCTTTCGCTTTCGTATCGGTACAGCATCACAACGCGCCTAGTCAGTCAAAAACGTGCACGTTCATCCTGAGCCTGAACCGGCATCTCTCTTGGGCTCTTCACCAGGCTTTTTCTCCACCTTCTCATCTAACTTCTTGTCGTTATTGGATTGGTCCGCTGGCTTTTGGTGAGCAGAGTGGTTTGTTATGTTGTGCCACAAAGACTTGAGGAAGCCCTCGGTCTGATGAAATTCGGGATTATTGTCTTCGGATCTAGGCTGGAACTTAGCAGGACGCTCGTCGAGGTTTGCAAAGGGCACTTACCCAGACATGTTGACATTCATGATCCGTTTCGCCGTCTTATCGCCCATCTCGTCCGCTAGCATCTCGAGAATGGTCCTCTGGTTGGAAGTGAGATATTTCGGCATCGTAACGCGGAACTCGACCTTTAGGTCACCAGACCCGCCTCTTCGACCGCCAAGTTTCTTCATGCCCATGCCACCAAGAGTCATCTTGTCTCCCGTATTGGTGCCTGTGCCGACTTTGACGTCGACCTGCCCGTCCAGAGTGGGAACCGTGACGTGGCCGCCAAGCATGGCTGTCGTGAAAGGGATGGCCGCCGTATACAGGATGTCTGAGCCAGATCGCTTGAACTTGGCATCAGCCGCCACCCGAACGAGTACATAGAGATCTCCTCGGGCCGTCCTAGCCTTGGGATCGACGCCTTGACCGGTGGCAGGAGCATCGCCCTCCCCGTCCACCCTCAGTCTCATACCGTCCTCAATCCCTCCCGGTATGTCGATCGTGATCGTTTTGCGTTCTTTGACAACTCCTTCTCCAGCGCAGCTTCTGCATTCAGACCCCCTAGGTACGGTCTGGCCTGTGCCCTGGCAGCTACCGCACGTCGAAGCCATCTGGAATCCGCCAGTCATGAAGTGTACTTGGGTGCCAGAACCACCACATGACCTGCACTCCGTCCGTTTCGTGCCTTTCTTCAAGCCACTTCCCTCACACGTATTGCATGACACGGCAGGATGTATGGTGATGGTTTTGTTCGTCCCCTTTGCCGCTTCCATGAATGATATGCTGGTCTGAACCTCAATGTTCTCCCCAACTAATATCTCCTGTTGAAAGGGGTTCCTGGCACGCCGGCCACCACCACCAAACCCCCAGCGCCACCGGTGAAAGCAGAGAAGATATCTTCGAAGTTGATATTTGCGCCGAAACCCCCCTGGCCGCCGCCAAAGCCGGAGAATGGATGCCCGCCACCGCCGAAGGGGTGGCCTCCGGCACCTGGATGAGGTTGCCCGTTAGGATCGAATCCAGAGGCACCAAATTGATCGAATTGTTCCTTCTTCTTTGGATCCGAGAGTATTTCGTAGGCGGACTGGATTTCGCCGAACTTATCCTTGGACGTTGGGTCCTTGTTGGTATCAGGATGGTATTTCTTGGCCAGGCCATAGTACGCTTTCTTGATATCTGCAGCGGAGGCTGACTTGCCCACACCGAGTGTTTTGTAGGGGTCCGTGACGGCAAGGGAGGTACGGGTTGCGTGAAATGGCTATGTATGCCTTGTTAGTCAAGGGTTGAAACGCTGCCGCAATCGGTTATACTTGCCCGTCTATGTAGTAGAGCCGGAGATGCAGACTTTGCTGTACATTTCGACGCCCTCCTCGCGACGGAACTGATTGTTCGGTCGGGCTCGCGCTTCCCAATGTTTTGCCGTAACCTCTGCCTTCGAGTAATTTGGGCGGGGGAAATCAGTCGCGACGGAAGTGCGGCCTTGTTTAAAACGCTCGAATTCATCTTCGTCCAGTACAATAACTCATATGGGATTTGAAAACGTGGGCTTCATGATAGGCCGGGTCGGATCAGAACTGAAGATAGCATGGAAAGTGCCAGAATAGACAAACGTTGGATGCTATCATCGAAGCTTCACAATTTTTCTAGAAACCGGCGCGGAGCTAAGATTGATACGATGACAAGAACCCCGGTCTCAATTGAATGCCTCAGGCATTCAGCCGAAACTGCAGGGGGCTTGCTAAAGTGCTTGCTAATAGCTGCGCTCAACGCGTCCCGCGTCGGAGGGTCGGGCTGCACAGGTCGAACGCCCAGCCACCGATGTCGAAACTCAGAATGCGCCTCCAAAAAATATATATGTCAACCAAAAAGTAGGAAATACGTTGGTAATCAATCATATACGATATAATTCGGGGTTGAAGCGAGGAGATGCGCATTTCGTAATGATATATCATTAAAAGGAGAAGCTCTTGATTTCTTCAAGTTCATAATCCCCATCTAAGGGATCCCTGTAGCGCCAAAAACTCCGTGTTCCCAATGCCAGAAAAATTGCGGCGAGGCGCCCCCCAACATTACCGCCATGGTATGAAACATTTACAAAGTAGCCAAAGCTCCGTATACCCAGAATCAACTATATCATGGCATTGGCGACGAGTGAGGTTTTTTCTTGTCTCTTCTCGGCTTGATGACGCCAGGACACCTGACTTTGTGAAGGAAACCAACAACGACGTCATTCTCCTGGATGCCGACTCCATTAAAGTGTTTTCTGACCACTTTGGCGAGGTCCTCTTTGCTTTGCCGTCTGTACTCTTGCTTTCGAGCCATCGTAGGAGAGTGTAATCCGACGCCGGGTCTTGAGAGCACCCATTGGTGGTATGAATTGGAGAAGGCGGTCGGCGTGTCGAGGCGGTATTCGCGGCGGTACTCGTGTAGCACGTCTCGATCAAACGATGACCATTGCAGCTGTAGGGACACATGTATGTAAGCCAAAATGAGATAGAGCATCGAGGGAGAGGTTCGGTCGTACCCCCGGTTGTGTCACTGCCGCCGCTGTTGCTGCTGTCGCAGTCGACTCCTGGCCGTTGATCGACGTTACGTCTCGCAACTGAGACCCCGTGGAACTGGCAACTCGGCGGAGCTTGCCACTCGAGTGGTGATGGTTATACGAGCCATGGCCGTTGCGCTCCTTGACGCTCGGAGTTTCCGACTTTGCATCGTCGTGATTCGTCTTGGATTTGGGGGGCATCGTAGTAGTGGTGTTGATGTCTTCAATGCTTAAGATGTCGAGTAGAGTGATAAGGATGAGCTAAACAGAAACGACGCCAAAGTATGCAGTAACATTCCCGTATATACATAAATGTCGGGTGCTAACGAACAGGCGAATCCACACGCTGGGAAGTTTGGAAGAGGAGAATTCGGCAGTCAGAATACATTGGTGTGGCCCTGTGGGAGGAGATCAGCACAGAGCGGCGAGACGCAGAATCCGACCGCATGGGAAATTCTCTTGATCGGGGGCTCGAGGAAACAGCCACCGAGTGACCAGTGACATCAGCGCTTTGAGTTCTCTTTATTCTCCAACCCCCGCTTCGAAGGGTGCAAAGGGTGGGACCTACCCTGCATTTTGACAGTTACAAATGTGGGGTCGGTATTTCGTACCTCGTATGGTCCCTTTTTTCCCGGAATTTCTAAGTTGCTTCCGAAGCATGAGCAGGCACGAGGCCGAGCTCTTAGAATCATTCGAACTTGAGGCGTATGAAGTGCTCATTATGCTAATTGCAACTCATCGCTTGCAGCAGCTCCAGAACAATATGGTAGACTACATGGCAAACTTCCGAATGGTTTAACATGCAATACCGGGCACAAAATCAGGTGGACTGCATGATTGTCAACGAACAATGTCTGCGAGGTAAGTCATTGAGGCTTGCTCTCTATTGTATCTTATTGTGTGAGTCCATAAAGCTGCATTAGGTTGATGAATGCTCAATAATAGGACGAAAATACGCGACTAATCGGACTTCTTGTTCCTCCAACTCAACCTATTTGACCATTCCAACAGCAAAGGCAAGACTTGGAGACAGCGCCAGTGAGTGATGACGAACATGTACTGTAGCTTTTCATATACCGTCTCCTTTGGCAGCTTCTGATATTCGGGAGGACCGCCGGCAGCAAACGCTTCATCAAGACCGGGTGTCAGCCCTGATTTCTCCGGGTCGTACCCTATCCTTTCGTTGGTAACAGGGTCGTAATCATAAAGGTACGCTTCGCGTTGACGTATCCCGCCCCATTGGCAAAATATGTTGGGTAAATATAGCGTGTAGGGGTCCAAGGTGCCGTACTTCGTTGTAATAAGACGGTTATCATCATGTTTGGTCTCGTTATCGTCATCTGATGATGATGTCGATTCCGTCTCTGTCTCGCACAACGCCTCAAGACGCTCAGTCCATTCTTCGATGTGCGTATTCCGGTCAGCAATGCGGTCCAGGTAAGCCTGACGGTTCTTGAGGGTGCCTCTGGTGTTACGCCTGAGGGCCAGCACGTCGGCCCCGTTCCAGGCCCTCTCGTACAGGACCCAATCTTCTATCATGCTCACCCACGATTCGTGCTGGCGCTGGCTCGAGGAGGCGATAGCTACCCTAAGATGCATAGACCGCAGATACTTGACATGAAAAGCAGATATTCGAGACTGCTTGTTGGAATACTGGTCGTCTGGGAACTCTAGATACTCTTCTATGATGTCCCTTGTCTCGGTTATCTCCTTTTCAAGGCGGTCGAGCAGCCAGTCAGTATCTTTGGAGCCATCCTCCATCTCGGCATAGAATGACGCGCACTTATCAATGATATCCCTGAGAGCTCGTTTGTAGCATTTGAGAGTGTCCGGCCGAAGCCCAACCGTCTCCATGATAGGGGAATTTCCTGCCGACGGTTTGACTTTGTTGAGGCCGGCTTGATATCGGAGGGTCTGGATCAGAGCATCGACGTCCTCCAGGGTGCATTCTTCTTCCGTGGGTTCTGATTGGCTTACAGCTATCCTTTTTCTCTTGGTTGCCGACCGTCCAGACCGACTCGAGGCAGACCGTTTCTGTCCCGCCTTTGCCTTTTCTTTCCCCTTTGTCTTGACTGCACGAGCTTGCTTCTCCTTAGCCGAGTCTTCCGCACTGACCTCGCCCCCGAGGCGACGCTTCAAGTTTAGAGCTCCTGCCCGCTGCTCAAGCCCGTAAAAGAAGGCAGGATCGGTACACGAATGGTCAACATACGTAGGGCTCTTGTGCTTGTCGAAAAGCGCAGGTGGCGGTGCTGCAAGCTCATGATGAAGCCGTACGGTCTGTAGGGCATCACGAAGTAATGACTGCGATCTTCTCACCAATGACTTGACTGCGGCGTCTTGGGCAGGCGGATTCTCGTGCCCAAGTTCCAAAAATTTCTCGAACGTCTCCTTGAAATCATTATTGGCCACGAGTTGGCCGCTTTGCCATACCGCCGATGGAGGAATCTTGTTGTCATACAGGAAAAATCGCATGTCCCGCGCGTGTTGATTCACTTCGTCGCTATAGGGCATTGGGGCTAGGTTGTCGTAGCGTTTGGACAATACCGGTATCCACTCAGCCACTGTCGACTCATTCTCGGTAGCCAGGTCTCTGAGGTGCTTATCAAATATGGGCAAGATGGCGATGAGCCTGTCGTAAAGAGAATCCCACCATGCATCCTGCTCTGGTGGTTGGCTTTTGAAGGGTTTCTGGCAATTGTGCGCGTGGATGGCGTTCAGGGGTGATATAATATCACCGTAGACCTCATCAACCAGATATTGGATCTGAGAAGTGTATTTTTGAGGCTGGAACCCTACTGGGAAGTTGGTGAGTTGCTCCTCGACGACATCGACCATTGCAGCCCAGTCAACATCTGCCTTTCTGGTTACTTGATTGTGTGCCATTGCTCCGAAATCATGCCAGCTAATGCATGCGTTCTTCGGATCTTGTAGTGATGGCTTCAATTGCCAAGTCAGGCCGAGGTTATATTGTCGGAATTGTGAGAGATGGCGGGGAAGAAATAGTAGGAGGCTTAAGGGGATACCGTTAATCTTCTTGGGCTGAACTGGATGAGGTCAAATTTAGCAGCTTACACGCAAACGAATATATGTTAAAATGCGTCCCTATATAATCTCTCAAAGTGGCGCAAGTATCTCGACGTCGACGGATTCCATGGAAGATGACAAAGGAGCAGAACGAAAACGGTAGACTTGTCAACACAGTATCTTTCCCTACGTATAACACAATATACTGTAATAAAATATAACTTGCGGGCCCAAGATAGTCAAGTATAAACTAGTTAGCTATTAATGCAATGACTGTATTTGCCAATAAGAAGAGGATGTATATGGATTCTCCACACTATTAGCATTGGGGCATGATACAACAAGCTATATAACTTGTTTGCAGTGCTTAGCATTTTCCTAGAGAAACTATCTCATACGGTGAATACCGGGATTCCCAGGGATTCCCAGTCCAGTCCACTTATCCGCATCCGGCTACGAGTGAGTCATATTCTTTAACATTTAGCTCGAGTCTTTAATGAACATTTAGGATTCTCTTTCGGCGTAACTCCCGTGGCATTCCACCTTTATAATACTTATGAAGATTTGAAATCTTTTATTTTACATAATTATTGCTAAAGACCGCTTTTACTTTCCATGCTGTGCATAGTTTATCTCGAGAGCGGCGCCATATACCAGACTTTACACTATAGTGTCCGTCGAGAGGCTTTATTTCATTCGTTCTCCTTGTTACTGACGAGAGACGACGTGCATCATGGAGTACCCAAAAACCGAAAATGAGACTTGCTACGAGGTGCGCGAAATTCCGCAGAAGCACAAGGGGATGGTTGCTACGCGTGATATCCCCGTTGGTGAACTTATACTACGCGAGAAGTATATCCTTGCGTGCAATCAAACAAAATACCCTGCCGAAACCAAAAAGCTGATGGAAGGCTTTGACGCCCTCTCAGATGAGAAACAGAGCCAGGTGATGGCCCTCTGGAAACACGAGACTCCCGGTTACGATATCATTTTCAGAGAATCATTGAGGGCCTGTCGTCAAGAATATGATTGGCTACCTGAAAGCCAGGACAATGAGTTTTTGAAGTTTTTGCATATTTTCCAGACGAATGCGTACATGATCCAAGTCGAGGAGATGGATGATGACGAAGACCAACCCCTCTTAGCCCTGTTTATAGTTGCCAGTCGGATCAACCACTCATGTTATCCCAATACGACCTATAGGTTCGAGGACAAAAAGTACATGACGATAAGGGCCTCACGTCCCATCGTGAAGGGAGAGGAGATCACGAACTATTATGTCTCGGCAGGCAACCCATCTCGAAAGTCGGATTTACAGGTCGCATGGGGCTTTGAGTGCGCGTGTCCCGTATGCTGTCGAAATGATCCGACGGTGGACTCGGATGCTTTCGAGAAGATACTCGTAGACATCGCAAAACTGAAAAATTCCAGGGACACGGGGGGGGAGATCAACGGCATCAAAGTAGTCAGAAAGTTTCGTGGCGACCAGGATCGTCTCAAACGTATGCTCGACCAGACTGAACAGCGTTTGGCATTATACGACAAGCTTAACTGGGTACCCGAACTGCGTTGCGAGTAAGAAATCCTTGCGGCATACCCCTTTTGAGATATTAGCAGCTGGAAACATAAATTGACCTTGTGAAACAAAGACACGCCACTAGAAGCGATATATCCCGCCACCTCTGGGACCTCACCAAGGTTCCAAAATATTTAGAAATACGGTTGGAGTCGGCGAAAGAAGCTATACGCTGGGGTAAGGTCGATTACGGCCCGGACACGAACTTCTTTGTCCCGCATTTCGTAGACGTCGTAAGAAGGCTCGAGGCCGCGTTAAACCCGCCTTCTGAAGACGACGCTGCAGAAGATGCTGATCCCGCAGATGCAGGTGACGAGGATGGAGCTTAGATGGATCAATTACAACTGAAGCACGTTTAATCACGTTTTACGGTTGCTCCCTGGATTCTTCAAGGTATAAGATGATCATGAAGTGGCTCTTGACAGGTTAATGAGAGAATATCATCTAATCCAAACCTCCCCTTTGTGAATCACTAACTCAACTCTGGGAACCCCGTAAATGTCATCAAGCTTGAAAAGACAACGAAATTGGACCAATATTGGATTTTATTAGCTTAGAATGCATAATCGCGCGTTATTATTTGAGTACAGACAGAGAAGGTGGTTAATCGCTTCTCTTCTCGGTTGAATAACCCGCCTCTGAGAACTCATATTATATCTAGGAAAATCAGCACTCTGGCCAGTTTGGATGACAGTTGTCCACCGTACCTGCAACACCCTCTAACCCCATCCTCCTGCTTGGAATGCCTATTCTGGTTCCAGTCTCTTAGCACATATGTGATGTGAATTTCTCCAGCCATGCCCTCCCGACGTTCGGACCGATTTCGTCTCCGAGAGTCCGCAACCCTTCGAGTTCGTCATCTTAGGGATGGTTGCGGCTAATGAGAAATACTCATACGACGTATTTACAAAGCATTAATTCGTTATGTTCCACGAAAACGAAATTAGCTGGCAATTTATCCCTATGGGCAAAATACCACAAGTCAAAGGAATCAGAATATTGGCCGGCTACTCGATATCTTTCGAACACGAGTCTATCTGGAGTTTTACAGAGGTGGAACATTTGAAAATCGGCTAACGAAAGACAAGCAGGAAACTTAGGTAGATGTAGACCAGACCATCCTATGTAAGATGCATTTATCGAGCGCCGTAGAAGCTACAGCTGTGACCTTGGGGAGATCGAAATCTAGATTTTCAGTGAATGATACACAATACGTGTGGGTAAAAAGTCATAACTGAAACATGTTCAAGATATGCTATGTCCATACTGCATACACTTCGTGGTTTCATACGATTTTTTCGTCTCGCGAAAATATTGCTTGGAGACTACTACACATGGACACGTGGATCTAACCCCACCTAGATTCTTACATGTGAGTTTTCTCTGAGTATGCAAGACCTTATGTCATGCCTGTATGTCTTCATACTCATTTATATTTATAAACTACTCTACCATTTGAACTATTTCGTGCTAATACTAGGTCCGGATTCTCGACTACAACTGGTCCACCCAGACTAAGTATCGAGATGCTCTCTCCGATGATATCAAGCTTCACACAATCAATACGGCACATAAATACAGGTACAATGTTAGCCATTGATGACTTGGCTTTCGTCATGCTGGCCCAGTCTCTTTGACGTACACGCGCACTCGACACCGGACATGGCATATCTCATGATTTGGTCCGGAAGACATCCCAAGCATGCATATAAATGGCAGGCATATGCCTCGCGGAAATGCATGGGAAATGGACACATGACTCGCAGCATCTAGAAAGGAACGAGTAAACAATTATATATCATTATTAGTTATATATCACTGAAGTTCCATCTATTGACAATGCGAATGACGCAGATCCATGAGTGGAAAGTTCCTGGCCGTATTTCCCCAGTCTTTCAGATCCGACAAGCGCATTTACTGTTCCGTCTTGTACGATGATTCCAATCGGCCTGTGGTTTATGATTATAACCGAGCGGATGTCGGCGGGGACGGTAGAGTATGCGGGCTCCCGTCCGGAGGACATCGGACGGTCCACCGAACCCGGACCGGGCCGGGCCCCAGCAGCCAAAGTTATGGGACCAGGACGTGGGATCGTGGGGGTTAAACTCAAAAATTCCCACGATGTCAAAACGTGGCGGTTCTTCCTCGACTCTCGGTTACAGATTTTGTTTACCATGCACTTGAAAGATTTGATTGCATAAAAACTCTCGACAAAACCTGTGCGGCTGGGCCGCTCGGAGTCTAAAGCCACAACACCAATGGCACGCTACTACATGGGACTTGTATGCGATACGTGCTTTAACAGTTGGTGAAAAAAGGGGCTGGGGTAAGCCAAGCTCTCCGCCCCGATTTTGTGGATCTCTACCATATCCGGAAGGTTCTTACATGACATGGTGGTTTTGTCTGTGGGGTTGGCACACTACCAGACAAAACATTGAAAACAAAATACATAGCCAAGTAAGTACTTGAAACCAAAACTTTCCATGATGGTGACTCTCACCGGTTATATACGTCGCCGTTTCTGCCTATGTTAGATAGCCTCCGGTCACCTCGGCGTTCTTGTCTGTGTCTCCATCAGTGGTGAGCCCATCATCATCACACATGCCACCAGCTGGTATTATTGAACTCTCTGAAGCGCATGTCTCGTGGAGAATTTGACAACATTTTAAGATGATAACATAAATTGGTGAAGATGAGTGGAAAAGAACAATAACATGCTTCTTCTTGTGTCGCTAGTTGTAGCTGACCGGTTAATCAGGTGTGGTGAGATGTGCATCAGTTTTTCTTTGTATAACCTGCGCTCTTGCCTACCTTGTCCTATCATTTTTATCGACTTGCAGATCGCATGTTGCAGCCAGTGCAGCCAGGATGCATGTGGCTTTAAGTTCTCCAGCACATTTGTGCTTTTTTGAGTCCTGAATAGAGAAATCTTCGGGACAAATCAGCACCCACCCCACTTATTCCAGTGGTCAGGTGCCAAAAGACCGGGCTCCCATGCCGTCCACGTAGGTAATAGGCGGCATCTTAGCTGACTTGGCTGACAATGGTTGGGATGGTTCTTCCAGAACAAATCTGACGCCCTGTTGACGATGATCATTAGTTTGGCATGAAGATGCGAGATTGTCGCAGCCAGCGTGCAACACAGACTATTTCAAGCTACTGCAACACGGAATATTTTTGGTCTCATTTCTGGTTATGCATCTCATGCGTGTCAAGTTTAGCTGCCTTGGCTCCTGGTTTCATGAGGGAGGACACGGCTTCTTTGGCAGTCCCGTATCGAATTTCATTCCCCATTGTTTACGCAAACTCCGATGCAGATCTCGCGCTAGATGGATAGGCATGAGTCTGGCGTCGATTTCTTCATAATCGGCTTATAGTTGATACGGCGTATCCTGATGGTCAAACCAAGAACTGACAAATCCGGTTCTTGATAGTAATATAGTCGCCAGCTGTAAGCATTTTCAGAACCTGCCCCGGTCGCTTGCGTGTCAGCCGCCTGGAACCGACTGATGTTACAATGGACGGTTGGAAGTGGCCGACGACGCCCTTCAACATAACAGGCTTGCCTCGAAGGCCGCTCAACGAGGTTCGACAGCTACTTAGGTTTGAATTCTGTATTGCGAGGCTGCGGCAATTTCGAACCATCGCTACTGGTTACCAATAAATTGCCCTGTCTCGCAAATTTGAAGGAGGGATCTATTTAGCGTAATGCTTGTGCCTTGCCCTTTTAGATGTGCTCGACTAGTAGCGTCATGGTCCAGATGCCCGGTCTTGGCAAGCACATCTCCGTGCAAACTGGACCCCAGGCTCCTCCCCCAGACACCAAAAACTGGATGCGAGCCAATCATCTTCTCCGATGCCAGTCCCCATACTTCTCCGACATACGTAAGTACATCTAAACACCATTCCGTGCAGGCCGTACGGTTGATCCTTGTCTCAAGCTACTAGGTCTAATAGCAGGACCGTTCGGTCCTAGAGTTCCCCGAATTTGTCGGTGGGAGACGCAGTATCTGCCCTTGCATTTCCATCAATATTATCAATAGTAGAGCAGTTGTAAAGAATGCAACTGATAAATACCTTTGCTTTTCACAGGTGTCATGTACTTCAATGGACTTGCGCGATGCAGCAGCTGCAATGAACAGGGGGCCAGTCTGCCCCTCCTCGATTTGGCCCCACCCTTTGCAAGTCCGGCGCTGGCCGTCGCAAGTGGAATTGGGAACTCTTACCTAGGATGGGGCGCATCTTGTCCAGTGCCAAACCAGAATGCGCTCCACAAACTCGACGACGCATGACGAAGTGAGATGCGGCCCTTGAGAATGATGTTATCAACAGATGATTTGATCCGGCAGGCAGGTTCCGAGGGAGCCCCCGCATGATTCCAATACATGTTGTCCCGAGGGCAGATTCCACTATCGCAGAACCCCTTGAGGTTGCGGAATTCCACATTGCTGGGTTGATTGACATATTCCAGGGTTGAATCCCTTGTAACCCACCGCCTCCACCCTCCCGCATGCCTGATGTCCAAACCCTGGGCCTGGCCGTTCATGATCACGTCGACGAATCCCACTTGGGATCGGAATGCGAGGGCCGTCTGTGTCGATGCATTCACATCTGTAAAGGAGTCGACACTTGTCAAGCAGCCCGCATAACTCGCCTCCTCTACAGTTTCGACGCGATGCACCTAGGTCGTAAGTACGGGCTTGCGGGCTATATTATTATTAGTAGCTGGTAAAAGTGTGGCAGCAACGCAGCCAGACCTACCGCCGATCCTACGTCTATTGAGACCAAACGCCTGCGATATTAAAAAAGCAAGCCACAACGGCTTGTTCCCATGGGTCATTCTGGTCTTGATCCTTGGTTGTAAATCTGCACTATTCTCTGTCCAGAGGGTACATCGGGAGTACGACGCAGGCGGGAGGCAATTTTGGTCTTTCCTCGGGACTAGACAGCTTAGAAGACAGTTCTCATCTGGGCAGGCAAATTTCGATGCCCCCCCAGCCCATCGTTGTCAAGCGGCTCTCCCGATGTTCCTTTCTCTCATTGAAAACGGCACCCCGGAAATCTGCCAAGGTGGTGCCTGCCATAAGACCCAAGACGACCCCCACACTCCGTCTGCCCCGTCACTTGAATTCTATTCTCCTCCCACATCCCCAGATTTTGACTTTGGCTCATCGGCACAACATCACCCGTTCTTGTCAATACGCCGAGACCTGGTATAAACCATTTTCAGTCGTCAACTTTTCTATACTCTCAATTTCACAGCTGCCGCCCACCGCGCATGATCTTGTTCGGCTCAGCTTGACTGGCTGCTGCATCCAGGCAACGCCCGTTGCTGCCCTGGCAAAAAGTCCGTTCAGCCGGAGGGGATCTTCTGAAAAATAGGTGCGGATTATATGACTTCTCTTGCTTCGTGAACCCAGTCCTTTTCGCCCATCTGGTCAGTCGCCCATTACACAAATCTGGATACAACAAGTCAGGGCGTGGCATCGAGTCAAGTGCTCGTGCTGCTTTGTGCAAACCCCGTACGTATCTTTCATCTGGCGTGCTGTGCTGCTGAAGCCCAGCAAATGAGTCTTGACATGTTGACGAGCCGGTCACTTGAATAGCCCCCGGTCATCCTTTTCTTCCATCCTCCACGACCATTCCAGCCTTTTCCCTCTGCAGCCACTCAACAGCTTGAGCGATTCCCCAGGGTCGCCATGGACGCTTGGTCCACCAGCTTCCCGTCCCCAAGGTCTTGCACACCCCGCTCTCTGCTCGCTTGTTACCACGACTTCTAGTAGCCAGTTTGCCTCCTGTCATGCGCGTCCAAATGTAACCCAAGTCGTACTTGCCGTATTGCGCGAGCGGCATTATACAAAACCACCAGCTACCCTTCCTCGTCGCAACCCATTCTAATTCACTTTCTCACCAGTCGAATCTTGAAACTGTTACTGTCTGGGCAGCATTACATGTGACAGATATCTGCCAGCCAACAGCATTGCATTGCTATTTGTTCGCTCGCGACCCTCACCGGTAGACAGCCGGGCGCCAACTTTCCACACTCGCCGGTCATGTGGTAACCTCCCCCGGCTACTGGTCCTGGCGAGGTAGCCTTGGTCGCTCGGAAACCACTGTCACTAACGGTTTTAATCGGCTTTGAAGCTGCCCAGTGGCTAGGAAGCTAGCTGATTGCTCGTCGGGACGTCGGTTCACAGCCAACGTCTTCTGGGCTGGGCTGCCGTGTAACACTGAGTTCCCCGGATTGTGGAACGTAAACTGCGTGTCTCCCAGGGCTTGAAATTCGGTCTGGGGCTCTCGTCTCCCGCGGGTTCTTTGCGCCACCAAGATAATCAGCATCGCGCAGGTGTATCTACCAATCTTTTGATTCGTGCCACAACAGCATAAGCGCTCCTAGATCGCAAGTCGCAACTCCAGGACCGGGTCGTCATACTTGATGGAACATGACCTCCATTCTCCCAGCACCGTCCAGCGACTTCAAACCAGTATTGTCGGTTGCGCGACACAAAACCATTATGAATCAGGTGCAAGAGCCGTCTTCGCCGCAGACCATCAAGCAAGAGCCTGATATCGAGCGAGGGCGACCTCGAAGCCGCTCACGCGAGAAGGACTCGAGAATGTCGAGCGACGATCATGACAGAGATGCGGACGGAGATGTTGACGTAAAGAATGACAACTCGTCCAACTCAGATGGCGGTCCCACGAGGAAACGAAGGAGGAGCCGCAAAGGCCTGGACAAGAAGTTTGAGGTATGCTGCCCGCTAATAAAATCCTGATGCAGCTCAGCAAATTGACTTTTACCTCCAGTGCCCGAATGAAGGTTGCGGTAAAAGCTACTCAAGGGCCGAACATCTGTAAGAACGTCAATTTCCAAGCGGGGCCAACCACTCCGTCCTTGAGGATTACAGTTGAGTACTGAGATATTTGAAGATACCGGCATCAACTGAACCACAACCCCAAGAATATATACAAATGCCACCTCTGTAACCGCACGTTCGTCCGACAGGATCTTTGCAATCGCCATAAAGATCGCCATACAGCCAAGGGTTCGACCCTCAGCCGCAAAGATTCCATAAGCAGCCATACCATGAGCAATGTTGACAGCCCACGGGCGTCGTATTCGGGAACTGCGCCGCCGGGCTCAACTTCACCAGAGGCCAACCGGTCAGGCGCAGGATATAGTAAATACCATAATAACCATTTGCAGTACCAATCTCCCAAAGATGTCAACGGCAGCCCCTACACTCCCATCACAGCGACACCCCCGGCAGGCTTCCCGCATTCTGCACCACCGAATGGCATAGAGGGCTATATGCATCAGGAGACACGGTATCCCAACGGCTCTGGTCCTCGGCATTCCCAGCAGTCGCCGTCTAGACCACCGCACCCAACGGCTCAGACAAATGTGGCGCCTTACGGAGTCCTGTCGCCTGTATCGACTCAGCACGGCAGCTATCATAGTCAGCCGACCAACACGCCTCAGTCCACGACAACGCTGCCATATGTTTCCCAACAGAACTTCCCACCATTCACGCTACCGCCCTCTGAGTTTGCTATTACCTCTCCCGCTAACTCGGCTGGCGTCTCAAGGGAATCCGGCCAACAACAAACCTACGCTCCCGCTGCCTCTGGCGAGTATAATGATCAGCCGCAGCCACAAGCTTCTGGTGAAATGATGCTTCTAGATCAGATGGGGGCTCAGACCACCATACCAGTTTTTGGTAGTGATGGTGTCCTCAATAAGTCCCCGTATATATCGATCCCAGAGGACTTTGTCGCCTTCCTGTTCAATACTACGGACCCGAACAGCTCACCTACCATGGGCCACATGATGCCACAGGGTCAATACTCCCAGTATGAATACGTACATCTTTTCCCACATGACTGAATCCAACGCTAACGTGGTACCAGCTATGGTGATTATCAGTCTCAGTACAGCATGCCGTACTATGGCACGGACGGTGTAGCTCTTGGGTACTTCCCACCATCAAATCAGCCACAAAAGGTCATGTCAGTCACGAACCTGCTTGACCAGCACCTTCCCGAGTCTCTCCTTTCCGAGGAGAAAAGCCAGGAAATTTTTGACTTTATCAAAGAGCGGTTTCACGAAAATGATCATGCTCCGGTCAAGCGCCAGAGGGACAACATCCTTGAAGGTGATAGGAGCGATGAGAACCATCTCTTGAGTCGCAAGATGATGCAGGCTTATATCGGCTCTTACTGGCTTCATTTCAGCGATCAAGTACCAATCTTGCACAAGCCGACATTCTCCCCCGACAAAACACCCAATCTGCAACTAATCGCCCTGATGGCCATCGGTGCATCCTGCCACGATCGGTCCCACGGCCAGAAGGTAACAAGAGCTGGCGCAAACCTCTCCGATTTTCTGGCGTGGCATCTCAGATGGGAGATCTTTATGGACTTCAATTTTCGGCCACCTGCCAAGCTGTGGATCTTCCAAACGTTGCTGCTGCTCGAGGTCTATGAGAAGATGTACTCGACCAGGGAGCTGCACGAACGTGCTCACATCCATCATGCGACAACCATCACGCTAATGCGCAGAGGCCGGTCATTGATCGGCAAATCGGCTCTGGATTCGCCGCCGAATCCACGGGACGACAAGCAGGGTATGAATGGATCGCGACACTCGTCGACGTCGGGTCTTGCGCATACCCCGGACGAGTGGTGGAACCACTGGATCACCAATGAGACCACTAGGCGTGCAGCATTCGCGGCCTTCCTCATCGACTCGACACATGCCACAATGTTTGGTCATTCAACGGTCATGGTAGCCCACGAAATGCGACTTCCCCTACCGTGCGATGAGCAACTCTGGAAAGCCTCGAGCGGCGCTGAGGTCGGTCGGATTGAGGCCAATCTAATGTCTAATGGAATCAAGCCCGTCTCATTCCTCGAGGGGCTGAAGCGGACACTTGCAGGACAGGAAGTGCAAACCAACTCATTTGGACGACAAATACTGATGGCCGGCTTATTGAGCGTCAGTTGGCATATGAACCAACGAGATCTACAAGTGAGCTCATTGGGCGGTGGTATGTCGCAGGCCTTGGGTGGTCGCGACAAATGGCGTTCAACCCTGACTAGGGCCTTCGATTCATGGAAGACAGATTTTGACAAGTCTTTGCAACGCGCCGAACCCATGACGGACCCGTATAGCTACGAAAAACGTATAGAGGACTCTGTCGTTTTCGAGAGCCGGAATGTGCTGCACCATTTGGCGCACATGGCCATGCATGTGGATATTGTCGATTGCCAAATCTTCGCTCGTGCCAAGCGCCTCCTGGGTCGTGCCATTGGTACGCAAGATCTCAATAGTGCGCAGAGGAGAATGAAGGACAATTGGGCACCATCTGCGAAGGCCCGGGATGCGACATTCTATGCGCTCAAATTCCTATCCTCGGTACTGTTGACCGAGGAGACGGGATCGCCTGGTTCGGATGGCTACAGCCAAACGGGGGTCCCGTATTCGGCAAGAGATGACGTTTTACTAAATCGCCCGTGGGTTCTTTACTTTGCCGCTCTGGTTGTTTGGTGCTACGGCTTCGCTCTGGAGGGACCATCCGGTGCTCAAGTACCGATACCCACAAGCGACCACGAGAAGATTGACCAGATGAGGGAATATCTTCAGAAACTTGGGTCAGTGCCGTCGCCCGGAGACCTGAAGCTTGTTAAGGGAGTCAACAACAACAGTGCAATGCTCATGGTGCTAAAGGACTCGTTTGAGTCCACTCGTTGGGAACTCCTACATGAAGGTGCAGCTTTGTTAACCAACTGCATCCAGCTCAACAGTGGCGCTACAGTGGTGTGATATCCGTCACACTCACAGTTACCAGGTTAGATCCCCGTCAAATACGAAATCCGGGGTGAACAGATGGATGAATTATGAAAAAGGGCGGGGGTAACGATACTAAAAGTTTCCTGTGGGCAAGAAATTATACCGATCAGCAGCTATATTTACCATGTAACTGCATCCTTATCTCGCTATATCCCCACGAGGCTGCCATCCAGATTCCAGAAGCGTCTCTTTTATGCATGTATGGTTTTACTTACAAAATTTTCGGCTTGACGAGGAGAGGGGTACAAGGCAGGCAGGCAAGGATTGTAGTATTTAGGGACCATAGGGGGCAACCCAGGATTGGTCCCCACACGCATCTTTGTAGTACCAATACAGGCCCTTGTGATTGGAATCCGACAACAATACTCTCCTATCTGTATATTGAGTCTATTTGTGAGCCGTGAACAGTCCACCCCCCTTGCTTCTATAGTTCCGTATAAGAGTATCTATCTCATTGACTGCAATCGCACCATGCACCACGCCACAGCACCCGACTAGTAGGAATTAATCTTAACACCGATAGACGGCCCCCTATCGAAGGAATTCGGCCCTAAGCGGGCGATGTGGATATCTCGATTTCAGTTAAGCATTTCGATCAGCCACGATTTAAGCCAGTAATGCCGCGGGTTTCAAGAGAAAGCCCACGTACTCAAAGACGCAGGTTGGCGATTGGTTTCGGAATTTAATACGATTTAACACCGGCCGCGTCCGCTGACGACGTTTGGAGGTAGTAACGACCCCGCTTCTGACAGTTCTTCGAGGATACCGAGGCCGGGATTAACAGAACCTGGGGATTGCATTCGATGCTTCTCTTCGAGACCTACGATATATTTCGTACGTTGTGGGATCAAAATACAGACTGGCAGGTTCATGTTGTCTGCCGTGATTACATACTTAGGTATCTTGAGGTATCTTGGGTACTAAGTGGTGCTAAGCTGGGCCTGTGATAGTGAATGTAAATCCCAATGCTGGATTGATTTAAACCTTCGCAATTGAAGCTCTCCGGGACCTGGGACCTGGAGTGCTTCGTCAACCCCGGTCTCATTAACCCCTACCTCCCGAGGTCCTCGCAGGCCAAGTCAGTTTCCCCAAATCTTATCCTCAGCGACTTCCTCCATGGGAACGCAAGTCCATGCCATATCTCGCATCAATACATCCACAACTGTAGGTTCGTGATGGTTCTGATAACTGGACTTCCGCCGGAGATCATCCATAACATCCTCACATTCGTTGACCCGGCCGACTTGGTGTGGATTCCTCGGGTCTGCACGAGCTTTCACTACAGTGTTGCCCAAAACAAGTCCCTCTTTAAGCATGTCTATCTGGGATATTTTGACACCCCAGAGAATCATGACATTGACTTCGAGCACATCCTCAAAGACTGGGTGCGACTGCAGGTCGTGTGTCGCAGGAAAGGTGTTGAGAACAAGGTATACTATGGGCTTTTGCTCAGGTGCCTGCCTGCATTGGCCGCTGACATTGCATCGCATTTCTAGAAACATGAGCTGTCTTTCGTCTACGACACGGTGACCGAACTGCTAAAGCATGCAACCCCTAACGGTCCGAGGGCCAGCGCATATGCTACACATCCACTATCGCGTAATGCGACACTGCTTGCCCAGCTTTTCAGTGACTACGAGAACCAGCATGCATTCTTGGGACGGTCATTCCTTTACGAACGGGCTCGCGCTGAGCTCCCTGTCAGCGAGAGTTTCTCTTCGCCGCCCAAGGATGAACACCAGAAGAGTGCGAAGCTGCACTGTCTTTATGGTGTCCCCTTGCTGTACGCCCAACGTGGCTCACACGAAACCCGTTCGGGTAAGATGTCGCCCTTTGCATGTTCCAGAGTGTACGATATCAGACAATACAACGAGAGGACGAAGTGGGGCCCGTTCATGGACGACGACACGGACAGGGTCGACTGGGAAAGGGTGGAAGCCATCATGTTAGTACTTGGTGCCAACCTAAAGCGTCTTGGACTATCGGAGTCCCCAATTTGTAAAAGCTTCTTGGACACACCTTTTGCCGGCGTCTGGCCACAGAGTTATACTGCACACCCTATCAACCGGGAGGAGTCAGACCCGTTGGATCTACAGGACCCCTATGGCGTCACAGGTACCTGGCTTAGAGTCGTCTGCTTCCTTGACTACTGCGACTTCTTCGCCTTCAACTTCGGGCCTGGCCAACGCTTGCCGCCTAACGTCCCGCGCCAGGCCATTGATGTTGACGAGGTCACGCGCTTGATTCTGATGAAGATACACGTCGTCAAGATTGAGCCGGCGGGGCCTGAAAACGGCCAGGCTCTGCCTGTGGTGCACTTCAAAGGCGTGTCCAAGTCACTCGACGACAGCTGGGATGAGAACGCAAACTCAGATCTCAGAGGTACGATTGCTGTCCAATACCCGGTTGCGAGATGCTGCCGTAATCAGGACTTACTAACGTATGTGCAGGCACTGTGCGCTTGACCCGTGACGGCGAGGTTAGGTGGACAAGCTTTTCTGTCTTCAGTGGCGAGGAAAGATGGCGGAGTGAAAGTGTGCAAGTAGGGGGCGTAAAAAGTGCTAAGGGAGTACTGGGGAACTGGTTCGACACGTGAGTTTTACTGACCATGCTGAATTGAAACGATATTCGCTCCGCGGAGGATGTCATTAACCTGCAATCGTAGAGACTTTGATCCCCAAGGACCTGTTGGGCCGACGGCCTTCTGGAAGATCTCGGAGCTCGCAGACAAAGATAATCACTTTACTGAAGAGAGTAGAGATCTCATTCATAACGTTTTGCCTATTACGGAGTACGTGTAGGAAGAGGACGCTCATGATGACGACAACAACGACGATGACGATGATTATGAGCAAGAAGGCGACGAAATTCATATTGACTTGCTTATGAGTATAGACTAGAGTCTTTCAAGTTCCCTTCCTAGTCTACTTCTCAAGAGCAAGAACAACCCACACGAGACTGTTTCGGGAGTTTTTGCTTCCAAGCCATGACTCTTAGGTCGGAAGTCGGTCTACAGTACCTCCAAAGGAATACTCTGCTAATATCCGTTCCTGCAGCGGCGGCTTTGCATATGATTCGATCGGCAAACACGGATGGGTGATTTATTCGGGGAGCCAACATGTTATGTTTGACGACATTGACGTGCCACTTAAGGGGTCGAAAGCAGTGTCTACATCAAGTGAGTTGCTACTGCGAGGATTACCTGCTACATTTCATGTTTTTATTGGACCGTCAATATAGAAAATTGTCTCCTGTTTTGGATTTTGGGTTGTAGAGATAAAAGACGTACTTCTGAACTTTTACGTACCATTGCCAATTTGATTTAAGTATGAACTACAATCAGGATCCCGAGTCATAAACTATTTTGAAGTTGCTTCGAGGGCCTTCTAACTCCATATGAGAGGCTCTCATACTGATCACCACCCTGACAAGTCACGCCATTCCCCGCAGTCAAGACCCGTATATATTCACCCACATGTACCGCGGAGTAGACCCCCAGAGCTTAGCTTTAGACACTAAACTTGCCATGTCAAGTGCTCCAAGCCAGATGCCTCCAGGGCAAGTAAAGCTGAACCCGGTATTTCTCCAGAATTTTCCCCAACCGAGGCGCGAGTGTTGACCCTGCATGCCACATGCTGCACCTCACCTAGTTAACATGATTCCATCAATCGCAAGGCGGCGGGGCCAGACACTTGGACTCCAACAGCTGCCCAGAGACCGGGGTGCATTATGCAAAGAAACCGAGTGAGGCCGGCACTAACCTTCAATAAGGAGGCAGGCCGGTCTCTGCTGGCCGACCCCAGGCTCCTCCGTATGTTCGGCAATGATCCCATCTGATCGTCAGGCACGCATCCAAGTTGATGTACGCCTGGGTTACGATTCAAGTTCAAACCATAGGTTGCATCTGATAGCCTACCCGGCAGGCTCTGTGCCTTGCATAGGCGTCCAACCGTCCAAGATAGTCAGGTCAGAATCCGGAGTTCCTACATGGCACCTGACGAAATGACACTGGGGGTTGTCAAGGGGTGTAATGTGATCGGTGAGATGTTGCTAGTGCTTGAAGATCCGTCACACACCATAATGGGCTCCACGGCCACTTACACTGGCGCGTATTCGTGCCATATTGTAACACCCCACATCGGTACGTCGTCTTAGTTGCTGTTGTTATGGAAAGAATGATCTATCTGATTTCTGTATTTCGCAAAAGAACGAGCTTCCTGATGAGTGACTAGGCCAAACGCCACCAAGGGCAAGACCAACAACGCTGACGGGCAATTAGTGAAGAAAACTTGGCGACCAGGGAAGTCCACATGTACAACACCTGCCACGCGAGACAAAAAGGGCCGTTTTTATATCACTTTATCGAACTATCGTCGCGGGACAAGTGTGTGGTCTAGGATTCGAGGCCGAACTCTAGATGTGGCCTTCCATTATGCCCTCCGCTGTACTGTCTCTGTCGGATTGCGAATGAAACCCAAGAACTAGGCGAGAGTATTGCGATGGAAGACAAATGCCGAACGGAGGGGAGGCCACCTTGGAGGGGGCCCACGATTTCCTCTCAGCAGCGCCTGCTGTAGAAAGACTGAAAAGAGAGAGAGTCCCTCGGATTGGGTTGAAATTATAGATATATCACGACGATGTTCCTCACACAGACTGGAGCTCACATACCTCTATTCATGATTGTTTCGGTTTGACGGCATTCGTTCTATTCTCCACCATCTTCAAGGTCAGTCGGACTATCCTCCCCCCTATCATGAGACTACAAGATGTTAAACGAACACCCTGTATCTCTAGTCGGCACCTGCATGTACAAACACAATAGAAAACATGTTCCCCTATCCACTCTCCATCTCGCTGGCCCTCCTGGGTCTGCCCCTGACCCGGGCCGCCATCCCCTCCATCTCGGGCTTCACGCTCACGTGGGGCGAGGATTTCATCGGCACGGCGGGCAGCCTGCCCAATACAGGCAACTGGATTATCGACACGGGTACTAGCTACCCGGGAGGCGCCTCAGACTGGGGCACGGGCGAGATCCAGACGTACACAAGCAGCCCTAACAACCTGCGCCTCGACGGCGACGGAAACCTGGTCATCACGGCCATCAAGGACAGCGCCGGGTGGACCTCGGCCCGCATTGAGACGCAGAGGTCGGACTTCATGGCTGCTGCGGGCGGCAAGATGCGCATCCAGGCGAGCTTGAACTTGCCTTCCGTTTCCAACCCGATAGGGTATTGGCCCGCGTTTTGGACGTTGGGGGCTGCTTATCGGGGGAATTACCTGTAAGCTCTAACACGACTTCCTGTGCTTCCTTTCTTTCTCCCTTCCTCTTAGAGGCTGGTAGTATACAGGTCACTACTTTTTCTCTATAGGCAGCATACCTAACGAGTACCCACAACAGGAACTGGCCCGAAATCGGCGAATTCGACATCATGGAAAACGTCAACGGCCTCAACCGCATCTGGGCCACGCTACACTGTGGCGTCAACCCGGGCGGCCCATGTGACGAGACCAACGGGCTTGGCGGCAACCTGGCCACGGGTTGTCCTGGCTCCAACTGCCAGGGCAATTTCCACACGTACACGCTCGAGGTCGACCGCTCGCAAGAGCTAGAGCATCTCGCCTGGTTCGTCGACGGCGTCCTGTTCTGGCAGGTCATCGAGACGGACGTGCCCTTGGACGTCTGGGAGCAGACCGTGCATAACCCGCATTTCATCCTTTTGAACTTGGCTATGGGTGGCGCTTTCCCTGATGCGATTCAAGGGTCCACGACGCCGGTTGAGGCGACGAGTTCCGGGGGTATGTATCAGATCGCTTATGTGGCGGTTTACAACGCATGATGATCCTGATGGTGTTAGGACTCACGGTCTGCTTCCTAATTCTTTTCCTTATGAATCTTATGGTCGTTTCTTTCTTTTCTTTTTACTTTTATTATTTGCTCATGTGCGGCGTCCTTTGAATTTGTATATAGCAGCACTCTGGCTTTGGGAATAGTGTTAGTCGGATGCGGTAACGTCTGTTGTACATATTGCTCCACATACCCAAGTGTTTATACATTCATATCAGAAGTTATTTAGGTTCATTAGGTACTGCATTTGCGGGCACTAGTATTCGAACGCTATTAAAGCCCTGATAGGCTATGCACTGATCTAGTAGTTATAATCTTATTGATACTGTGGAATTGGTGGCCTGAGGTCATGGTGAGGTACACCTGAGATACCTGAGATACTTCAGTGCCCTTGCACGGCTTGGAACCCCAGCTGTACTTCCCATTCTTCACCTTCTTATGTAGCCGAAATGCCAGTACCAGTGCGATCCACAGATACTGTATTTCTTGTTAATATTTAGAAGCTCGTCTTGCCCGAACACACTATAAAACGCGGGGGAGACTCTACAGTAGACTGCGTTATATATTTATAGGATTAGTAATAGCTTTCATAGAATAGTACTCTCAAATGAGTGTTATAACAAGACACGAAACACGGTTGAGTTGAAATATGGTGTACTTATGGAGTCAGTGATCTGGATTGGCCTGCTCCAGAAACTCTGGTTTTTTTTCAGGATGATCTACCTGCTTAAGTGTCTAAATAGGTAGACACAACTTGTCTTCAGTCCGCCGCCAGATTCCCTGCTCGACTTAATCTAGCTGGACAAGTCCTGAGTAGACAAATGCAGATTTGAAATTTGGAAATTGACAGCTATATCAAAGCCTTTTGGTGTCTACAGACATGATTGGAGCATGTTCACTACTAACACTTATACTACCCCTGCGGGAGACCGTGCTTTCGCAAATGGGCGGCATCGGTGGACCTCGGCACAATGATGAGATAGATACCCGACTGTATCCATATCGCACCACAACAGCTTTCGACTTCAACACTGACAACCAACGGACGCACCAACCGTTCCCCCACAAGCGATCAGGAACTGACGTGACCGTTCCATGACACCGGAACTCAACACCTCAATGGTGAATCGCGATCGATGGAGTTCGTTACAGCCCTCCGGGGTACGTTCGACGACCAAAAGCCGTCCCTGTTCGAGCTCCTGTCCGAGCAGCAGCTGAACTCGCTCCTCCCGCCAACGCTGCGTTATCTCCTCACCGTCGCGACCCAACGCTACCCACGCTACCTTCTGCGGGCCCTTAACTCGTTCGACGAACTCTACGCGCTTCTCATGCTGATAGTGGAGCGGCACTACCTCCTCACCCGCGGCGGCAGCTTCACCGAGCATTTCTACGGCCTCAAGCGCGAGAAGAGCCTCCACGCCGAAGTACCCCGCGCCGCCTTCGCCGCCGCTCCCCTTGTCCGCGAGACTCTGAAGCTTAGCCGCGGCGATGTTTGGCGCAACTTGGCTGTCATGGTTGGCGTCCCCTACCTCAAGCGCAAGCTCGACGAAAGCCATGAGATCGAGGCCCCGAGGGCGCTGCTAGGAGCGAACTACACGCGTATGCCGGCCAATCCGACGGCAAAACAGAGGATCCTGCATTACTACAAGTCGTTCATCCGGAACGTGTACCCCTCGGTGCACGCGGGGTACTGCTTCGCACTGTTGGCGTTTAACTTGGCGTATCTGTTCGATAATTCCAAGTACCACAACCCGCTTATGTGGCTCATCGGCACCCGGGTGCGGCGCATGAACGGGGCTGATTACCGCGCTCTTGAGGAGTTGGGAAACCCAAAAATGGGGCACCCGCCCGTGCCGTCGACATTCTTCTCGCCGCGGACGCTGGGGCCGAGGATCCTGGGGAGCTTGTCGGTGTTGTTGCCCACGAGCATTTTTGCGCTCAAGTTCCTCGAGTGGTGGTACGCGTCGGATTTTGCGAAGCAGTTGAGTCGAAAGGCCGCCGAGGACTTGGAGCTGCCGCCGCCTCTCACAAGTGGGTTGTCGGGCTTGACGGAGAAGAAGAGGACAGTGGAAAGCGAGGGAAAGGGCAGTGATAAAGAGGAGGGGGGGAAGGGGAGATCAAGGAAGGGGATATTGAGAACGCTCCCATTGCCACCCCTTCGCTACTACCGATATACACTGTCCCTGCACTCAAGAACTCGGAGCTATGTCCCATTTGCGAGGACGAGATTACGACAGCAACAGCGTGTCAGACTGGCTTGGTGTACTGTTATACTTGTATACACAGGTGGGTCGAAGGGATGCATCCCCGCCAGGAGGCCTTCATGGTTGAGAGGACGGGGAAGTGGGAGAGTGGGCAGGGAAGGTGCGCTGTTACTGGACGGCGGGTCTTGGGCGGCACCGAAGGGCTGAGAAGGATCATGGTTTGAAGAGAACATCACTGCAGAGCGGATCTGGGTTTGTATGATCATAAGCGGGCACTGCATTGTTTACGGAGTTTTGGAGTTGCCGGGCCGATAAAAAGGTTGTCTGTATTTGTGTGGTATTCTAGTACATACTATCCACCGAGCACTTGCTCTTCTGTGCTAATCTTGTCATGTGCCTATCCTTCCGACATCCAGACGTTCAAGGATAAGTACTACTTGCCATTTGTGGGGGTGTCAGTCGGCGCAGGGACACCGGGCCCTGGAGCCAGAGCGGGTGCACTCGTCGTGGTTGTAGGGGCAGTCGAAACTCGGACATCTTATTTGCTAACCTACTCAAGTTGTTTACCATACTGGCAATTTGTCTGCCATATTTGAATCGTTCGTAGGGTACGTATACAGGGGTGAATGCTGGGTACAATTTAGGTCTAAGTCTTGGTGCTCGCCATTAAGAGGTCTGAAATGTTACCTCCCCTTGGTTTCAGTGTTCGTCATTGCGAAGGGCTTGGGGCAAAGTCACAATGGGACTTGGTTCCTCTTCCAGCGGCCTGATGGACTACTTCTTATCGCTGTGCACTCATTGTGTTAGACCAGTAGTAGGTTTCAGATGGTAACTTGGGACATCTATTCCTCATGATTATCCCTCGCAAAAGATGACACGAGGTAGCGAATAGGTTGTCTTCTCCACCAGTGGTTACGTGCTTCGCTGTGACTCTTTTAGCAAATATGCGCATATTGGTGTGAATACACATTTCTTGAGGCAAGGAATGATCTCTTGACTAAGTCATGTGAACCGTGTATCTTTGCTGCAAACGTTTTACTCGTGGTTTGGCACACATGTGGAAGCCATCGGCAGACAGGGCATGGAAGTGGCAGTGGCAGTCTACTGGCTATTTCTCTTCACATTTGTCCTGGCGTTTCGTCACAAGATAGCAAGGAATGTAGAAGGCATGCAACTATTCAACCATACCAAGGGACTTTTTATCTAGAGACATCAGGACGGGATAGCTACTGCCTTCCTCCTATCGTCCTCAATGTAGGGTCCTCTCTTCCATGCGTTCCACAGCCACTAACCAGTCACTCCTGTACACCTTTAGTCCGCCTTGATGCTGAACGACGAGGTTAGATAATAGTCAGCATATCTGCTCACGGTCTGGGTCCATTATGACTATAGCATGAACAGTGCATTTAGGAACCCAAAAGTCTGGCTGTAAAACTGGTATTACCATAGCATGATGCTTTATCTGAATGCTGCTTTTATACTCCACATGTGACGAAGGTCCCCTTGATGGACCTGAACCTGGCCGTAACCTCTATGTTCGTATCGTCGTCAACTTCCGCGAATCATGCTGGCAATACTTAGTGTTCCTTCCCCACAACTCCCAGTTTTGGCTCCCTAACCTTAAGTACAATGCAAATGAGACGCTCAAACCGTTCCGGGAATGTTCTCGTCACTCTCGCTGACGCTCTCGTCACCACTGACTTCAGCATTCTCCCGCTCTCTCTTCTCCATCAATGCCTGTAGTTGGGCATCATCAGATTCCGTGACAGCCTTGGGCTCCATTTTGACGATCAAGTTCCCGCCGGCTGCTTGGATGTGCTTGCGGATGTCCACGATGGCCTGCTCCAGTCTCGCGATACCGGTATGCTTCTCCAGGCACGTGTTGGTCAGGACGTAGAGGGGAGGGGAGACCAACTTGACCTTGACCTGGTTTTCCTCGGTGTTACGTGCCTCGGCGGTTCGCAGGGCGGCCTTGACAGCGTCGATTCCCTCGTACTCGAAGCAGGTGACCTCGACATCGGCTCGCACCTTGGTCGGCTGGGGTGTCAGACGCTTGCTGATGTACGACTTGAGCTCTTCGGCAACAGCTTCACTGGGGAATGTGATATCACCCCATACGTCAGGGTTGCTATAAATATCTCATCAGTTCATGATTCTAGACAGCATTGTCTACAGGGTGGTGAAACCAACGTGATGGAGAGCTTGAACGCGTCAATGGAGTGGCCGTATTTCTTGTTCAGCGGCCAGGCTATGCTCTCGTATAGGGTCTCAATGGGCACCAGAGTCTTCTCGGCGACGTGGCGCATGATGGAGTGCACCATCTTGCCCTTGTTATACCGCTCCTCGCACTTGACAATATCCTCCGGAGACACTCGACGTTTTGACAAGTCGATGTAGCCCTTCTCTTTGTCAACTCGAAGCACTACGACTACTTCATTGCGGCCAACTCGGATGAGTTTCTGGATCGATCGGATACGTCTTCGGGACAGTTCGCTAAGCAGGATCATGCCATCGATGTTATCGTATTCAAGCAGCTTGACGTATGCACCCATATCGGCGATCTGTCATTGCCAGCTGGTCAGTATTTGTGTATCCTGCAACGTGATTGCCTACGGGCGCCAGTCGGTTGCTCCGGGCGCCGATTCAGGAGGACAAACCTGCTTGACGTTGACCATGACAAAGCTATCGATCTCGGGGAATTTCTCCTCGTAAAACCGGCAGTTCGTTAACGACATCTTGGCGGCTGGATTCTCGGAGCAATCTAGATTGATTCTTGGGTGGAAAGAATGCTGCTGGGAATGCGCTCAGAGCCGGGCGCGAGTTGTACGGTGGCGTGAATGTGGTTGCGAAATTTCCCAGATTGACTCACGGAACAATCAACCTCAGGAATGAACCTTTACGAACGGTCCTTGATTTTTGGTGGTGGGGTGAGTGACAGGTGCGGCAATGGCGGGGTTTCGTGCTTGGGAAGTTGCACTTCACCTGAAATCAGCTGTCCAGACAAGCCAAAATGCTACTTTGAGTATTTAATAATAACTATTACAAAGCTTTACGCCTTTAAGCACAGCACAACAAAGCATTGCGGTTACAGTTACCGAAATCTATGTACATCCTAAATACTTTGTCATTCTTGCTGGTATTGACTTTTCTTGCGTGTCCATTGAAGACCGCGGGATTCCATTTTGTGATTTCTCCAAGTTGATATCAAAACTTTGGTGGGCCGGCCATCGGAACAACAAGCGACCGTTCACCGATAAAAAAAGCTCTGATTCGAGTTTCCATCATACTGTGAGTCTCTGAACCTCGGTGACTCTCTCCCTCAACCAAAAGACGGTCGAAGGCTGGATCCTTCTTTAAAAATGCATGTGGCGGCGTACGCCCCTCTGGAACCATGTTTCCAGTCTGCACCAGTCTTTCCTCCACATGTTTAAGCTCTTATTAACGGCAGTTTGATTAGGGTGCCCAAGCACACAATCTTACGAGCATACACATCATGAAGCTCGGGCTCAGCATTGCTGGCCTCGACAAGACGTAAAAACTTCCCGTCGCCAAACATGGACTCATCTGACGCATCTTCACTCACAATGTCGGTTTCTGGGAGCTCATCAACTATTGTCACCATGGCATCCGTTGCCTTGGACACAGTTACCGCTCGCCCAGATGTCGCCTTTGCAGCTAATGGCTCTTCTTCCTGGCTTGGGCTGGTTGGGAAATTGATTCTGTTTTTGCTTCATATTATCTCCACTATACTCTACTGGAGCTTGAAACTTACCACCATCTCTGCACCGACCTTGCTGTTCAACCTCTTCTCGACGAGCTTGACAGTCACGATGAATGCCACAACGCTGTAAGTAGCATCGTCTCAACACCGCTGGTTTACCCCATGCTGATGCCTGTCAGGATGTTGATCATGGCCCTGATGTTTTCTGGTGTTACTTGGGTTGTGCGATATCGTTATCTGAACATGTACTCTCGCCTACCCCCAGAACCCCAGCGGAAAGAGCCCGAGTTGGACTTGCCCCCAGACTCCCATGAGGAAGGCAGCAAGGCGGGCTTGACGAACTACTTGGACGAGTTTCTCAGCGCCATCAAAATCTTCGGGTACTTGGAGCGACCAGTATTCCACGAGTTGACCCGAAGCATGCAGACCAGGAAACTCATTGCCGGCGAGACTCTGAACCTCGAGGACGAAAAGGGTTTCTGCCTCGTTGTAGATGGGCTCGTCGAGATTTTCGTCAAATCGTCCCAGGCAGCACGCCAAACCATGTCCATGGAGTCTTCGTCCACGGAGGACGACGAAAGCTCCAGTTCAGGTCAGCAGCGGTACCAATTGCTGACAGAGGTGCGGAATGGGGCGCCGATGTCGTCTCTCTTCTCCATCATGTCCCTGTTTACTGAGGATGTCAAACTGTGTCTGCCTGCCGACAGCGGGGCAAGTCCAGGTCCGGCGAATGGAGCGTTGAATCATGATCAGTACCCGACGAGTGCTGGTTCACCACCAAGCCGTCACATTTCAGGCTCTTTCGCAAAGGTGCCGCGATTCGAGGAGCCAAATGGGAAACCCACAACGCTAGTGGAGGAACCTGAGGATATGTCGCCTGTTTCGCCTCATGGAAACTCCTTCCACCAGATCCCGCCCATCTCTCTAGACGAGTCGTCTATGCCGCGTCTTCCTCGTCGGCCAGCTCCCAAACGAGTTTCCACCAACTCTGCCCATCCCGACGTTATCGCAAGAGCCACCGTGGATACGACTATTGCAGTTATTCCCGCCAGTGCCTTCCGCCGTCTGATCAAGATCTACCCGAAAGCAACCGCTCATATAGTCCATGTCATTATATCGCGGTTTCAGCGTGTGACACTTGCTACAGCGTACAACTACTTGGGTCTCACCAATGATGTCTTGCAGACAGAGAAAAACATGCTCAAGTTCACGTCATGCCCGCTGCCGAACCTCTTACGGGGTGATGCGCTCGAGCGTCTGAAAGAAAAGTTCCGAAAGGAAAGGCAGCGGGCTGGTGACGAAGACATGGGCAAGGGCATCGCTCTGCACAACGCATCTGCTACAGCTCGCCGGCGTAGGTCCAGTGCGGGTCTGCGGAAAGAGGCCGCTATGCAGGCTATGACGAAAAAGAAGCCGACCTCCGTTGTTGCCTCGACCCTTGCGCCACCACGAGAACGTTCCTCAATTCATACCTCTGGTCCTGGGGACCTACTGGCTAACATCCAGTCCGCGCGTGCGGACGGCCCACGGGGCTTAATTGAGATCGCTTTGACGCAACCGTGGCAATCGGGAGATTCACTTTCGAATCCCGATGCCAGTCCTCTCGCCCAGCGTACGTTTGATCCTTTTCCGACTCAGAAACGAGCTCGCATTTCCGTTGACCCACGAGAGTCCGTGGACGAAGACAACCTGTTTCGGGTTTCGATTTTGGAATGCGTTTTCACTGCATTGGGGATGAGCTCCGGTGGCTCATCACATGGGCCAGAATCGACAGAAGGATCTCCACGGCTTGTTTCATATGATCAGCGTCGGCAGAAGGCCGTCTTCTCTAGCAATGCCTTTGGATTCATGGAATCCGTTGATGGCTCAGCTGACTGGGATGCCGAGTCGATGACTTCAGGTGGCATATCCATGGCTGGGACGCCCAATGCTCACGTGCTGGCTGCGGACATGAAGCATGAAGTAGAGATCGTCTACTTTCCCAAAGGCTCGGTTTTGGTAGAACAAGGGGAGCGTAGCCCTGGTATCTACTACGTCATAGATGGGTTTCTCGATATCTGTGTCCCGTCTGATGACAACACCAGCGACATTCTCAGCTCTTCGGGCAAGTCCTACCATTCCGCCATGGAGAAGGCCGAGTCGCAAGTCTCTAGCCGGCGTTCTACAATGCCTGTGCCTCATATGGACAGCACTAATACGATCCCTGGCGCTTTTGATTCAACCAAGAAATCCAAGCTGGGCCATCGCCGCGTTGGTCTTGTTAAGCCCGGCGGTCTAGCTGGATATATTGGCACGATATCCTCGTACAGGTCTTTTCTTGACGTGGTTGCCAAGACGGACGTGTATGTGGGCTTCATTCCTCGCGCAACCTTGGAGAGAATCGTCGAAAGATATCCAATCATCATGCTCACCATGGCCAAGAGACTGACCAACCTACTCCCGAGGTTGATTCTGCACATTGACTTTGCCCTCGAGTGGGTTCAGGTCAACGCCGGGCAGGTTCTTTTCCACAAAGAGGACGAGAGTGAAGCTATATACCTCGTTCTCAATGGACGCTTGCGCCTTATCGAAGACAAAAGGGAAGGTGGGATGAACGTGCGAGCCGAGTTTGGTCAAGGTGACAGTGTTGGTGAGTTGGAGGTTTTGACTGAATCTGCTCGTAGTGGGACCTTACATGCTATTCGAGACACGGAATTAGTCAAGTTCCCTCGGACTCTATTCAACAGTCTAGCACAAGAGCACCCCAATATCACGATCAAGATTTCCAAGATCATCGCATCTCGTATGAGGTTCATGATCGACGATCCTTCCAAAGGCATCGGCAAGGAGGCCAGCACGGGTACTTCGATAAACAAAATCTCGTCCACGCTGAACTTGAGGACTGTGGCTATACTTCCAGTTACATCGGGTGTTCCAGTTGTGGAATTTGGAACCCGTTTGATGAATGCGCTCACGCAGATTGGCACACCAAACGGGGCGACCTCCCTGAACCAATCCGCCATCCTCAATCATCTCGGCAAGCATGCATTCAACAAGATGGGCAAGCTCAAGTTGTCTCACTACCTTGCCGACCTGGAAGAGAAATATGGGCTGGTGGTCTATGTTGCGGGTAAGATTTTCTCAAGCTTCACCTGTCTGTCCCTTACAACTACGTGATGAGAAAACACATTTTCCAGAGCTCTGTCAATGAAGGCAAAATAACTCTAATTTTTTCCTGATCTTTACTCCCTCAATTACTTCGTCCGACTGCAATCAGATTTCACAACGCTAATGCGACGAGGCAGACACCAACGTGAACTCCCCATGGACGCAGACATGCATTACTCAAGCTGATTGCATCCTTCTTGTCGGCCTTGCTGAAGGCTCTCCAGAAATTGGAGAATACGAAAGGTTCATGCTGGGCCAGAAGTCGACGGCTCGAAAAATTCTCGTCTTGCTTCATGCTGACCGTTACTCGCATCCTGGCCTCACGAGAGCTTGGCTGAAGAATCGGTCGTGGATCAACGGTGGTCATTTGCACATGCAAATGGCTTTCAGAACCAATGCCGTACCCGTCCACGCGCCTTCTTCCAAACTTGGAGCGACATTAAAAGAACGGGTGCAGATATTGCAAGCTGAGATTCAGAAATATACCACCAAAAGACTACGTCACCGGCCATACTACTCGCCAGATGCCCCGCATAAGGGCGACTTCCACCGACTCGCCAGGCGGCTCTGTGGCCGGTCCATTGGTCTAGTCCTCGGTGGAGGTGGTGCGCGAGGCATCACACAAGTCGGCATCATCACAGCCATGGAGGAGGCGGGCATACCAATTGACATCGTCGGAGGCACCTCGATCGGCTCGTTCATCGGCGCGCTGTATGCCCGCCACGCAGACGTCGTGCCCATGTTTGGTCTCGCAAAGAAGTTCTCCGGTAGGATGGCAAGCATGTGGCGCTTCGCACTGGACCTCACCTATCCGTCTGCCTCGTACACCACTGGACACGAGTTTAACCGAGGTATCTTCAAAACTTTTGGCAATCACCAGATCGAGGACTTCTGGTTGGAATACTACTGCAACACGACAAATATCAGCAAGAGTAGACACGAGATTCACACTAGCGGATATGCCTGGCGATACATCCGCGCCTCAATGACTTTGGCTGGTCTCCTGCCGCCTTTGTGCGATGAAGGCAGCATGTTAGTCGACGGTGGCTACGTCGACAACTTGACGGTGTCCCACATGAAGTCCATCGGGGCTGATGTTATCTTTGCAATAGATGTTGGTGCTTTGGATGATACGACGCCCCAAACCTATGGTGACTCGCTCTCAGGCATGTGGGCCTTCTTCAACAGGTGGAATCCCTTATCCTCGCACCCAAACCCACCCACTCTGGCGGAGATCCAAGGTCGGCTGGCATATGTATCGAGTGTTGATGCTTTGGAGAGGGCCAAGGCCATGCCAGGCTGCATTTACATGCGGCCACCAATTGACGACTACGGAACGTTGGACTTTGGCAAATTCGATGAGCTTTACCAACTGGGGCACCAGTATGGTAAAGATTTCATTGCCCGCCTTCGGGAGGAAGGAGCGCTCCCTGTTGCTACTGAAACTGAAGCCAAGAAGGCACTGAGGAGGACTATGGCGCCTCGCAGAGCCAGCATATAGTAGTTACATAGCCTCGAGGGCTTGGTGCCTCGGCGACTATAGAGCGTTCTGCATCCTAGCTCTGGCAGAATTTGATGACATAAACTATGTTACCCAAAGCCTACCCCCACGAACTCTGGGATAGGGCAATATGGATGGTTTATTGCCGACCTATGCCTCCATGCGGCAGGTTTGACTTCACTCAGATTTGGAATGCATCAATGTTGGAGATAGATATGTGGCATTTATACTTCTTCAATGGGGAAACTTGACCAACCGAGTATAACCAGGGATATGTAGCACGTCGATGGGGTATAACTAACTTGTAGCTGACGTATCTCCCAATCGCATACAAGATGTAGGCTGCGTCACCACTACGCCCGCGCTCCTCGAGACCGGCCACCCAGTGATGGACGTGTGGTTCCTGACTCCAGTACGAATATGAGGTTACCTAATCTCTTCAGCTCGGTGCAAGCTCTATTACAACAGAACTGGCTGGCTGGCTGAAAAGTCTCAACTCGAGGTGACAGATCTTTGAATAAAGATAAAAAAATTTTGCCTGTTTTTATAGGCTCTCGCAAGGATGAACTACGGCAAGTGACGGGTATGTTGCACGATATTAGGTATAGAAATTGCGGCTTTTGATCTATACTGTCTCTAGTAGAGGGGCTACCTGAAAGCGAGATACAGTGCAGTGGGCAGGGATATGAAACTTGGCATTGGTTCGTGACGGACCAGGCTGTTAGTATAGCAAAATATACTATCTCCATTTACCTCTCTTCGCATTTTTTCACCTTTTCTCTTTTCAGGGGTTAAGGATATGTGACTGCAAAACAACAATCCTCAGATGTCACCCCCATCGTCCTCAGCCAAGCGCTCGTCGACGTCATCAACTGCGCCATCCCCGCCTGGGCCTCAAGCCTCAGCACCACCACGTCGCCCATCTCGTCATCGCCATTGCCAAGGTCTATCCCTTGGGCCACACGGGCTTGAGAGAAGGTTCCCATCCCATTCGTGTCGGATGTCATCACAGCGAATACTCTGGCGCTGACGGTGACTTGGGTCATAAACTCGAGCACGGCGAATATTAAAAGGTCGCCGAGACTTGCGTAACATGACTTCATTGTCTCTGCTTCTGCGCTGAGATTGAAAAAGGGGGTTTCGGGTTTTTCCTTCGGTTGTACATATTGTGTTCGCTACCAGATAAATTAATGTATACATACAAGCGTCGCATTGCTCAGAGCAGAATTAGGGCTTTGTCTTCAGAAGCCCAAGACTGTGTCTCACCTTTGACCTTTTTCTAGCAGCCGTACGAGAGATCCAGCTTCGCCTTACCCTTTGGCCGTTGGAGGACTTCGCAAATCGCAAACTCATGGCACTTAGTGCTAGCCATAAAACATCTCGCGAACGAGCCCCTTTCCTCTGAGCAGCATCTGCCTGAACGTAACCTTTCCGCACCCACTTGAACCTTCTATCCCGAACCCAGTGTGTGTATATTTGTCCCCATATGAGCAACCACCCCTTTTTTTCGACTACGTCAAGAAACGAATCCAGACAGCATCCATGCTAAGCCTTCTCTCACGTAGCTAGGCAGATATGCTGTGAGAAGGGCAAAATTCCACAATCCAATGCCCCGATGTCTTTTTTTTTGGTTGGGATATAAACCGCAGATCCATACAACGCAAAAGATTTCTTCTCTATCCAGTCCAGTCCCTGTTTTGTCTCTGGCCTAAGTCACAAGTCTGCAGAAGAAACCTCACTCCCGTCCTCTCCTCGGCTCACGCTTGGCTACTCCGAAAAAGGTCCTCCAAGCCAGCGTCCTTGAACCCGCGCTCCCGCGTCTCCCAGTATCCCTCCTTGCCGCTCTTGAGCTTCCACACCTCCTCGCCGTCTTGCCCATCCCCGATGCGCACAAACCACCTGGGCTTCCATTCCTCGCCACGCGCCTCGTAGTCCCTTCTCCTGACTCTCTGCGCCTCCTCCAGGATCACCTTCTGCTCCTCTGCCTCGTCCAATTTCCCGCTCTCGCAGAACCTCTGATCGGGACGAAGCCTTGTGTCCGTGATGGGCATCCTGCCCCTCTCGATTTCGGTGATCTCGTTCAGCGACGCCGCGAACGTCGTCATGCCGTAGGTATTGGCCGCATTGGGGACCAGTTCGCCGACGCGCCAGATCTCCTTGCCGGCTCCGCGGCCAGTTTCAACGATGTGGAGTGCCGATGTCCAAGTGCCCGTCAGACTGGTGCCCGTGTGCACGCCATCGGGCCCGTACGTCTCGACCTGCACGTCCTCGCCGCGGCCGCCGAACATGCCCTTGGACCGGAACTCGATGTTGGCCTTGGCGCCGGTGCTTTCGTTGCAGATGGCCATAGAACCGACGGGCTCTACGTACTTCTCGCCCATGACGACGTTTCTGAGGAACATGGTTGCGATGTTCCAGCTGTACAGCTCATCGGTGCCATCTGCCAGGCGGAGCGCGATGCGCACCTTGCCCTCAGTCGTCAGCTCGGCACTCTTGCCCCAGAATTTCTGTGTCGGTGCCGGGCTCTGCGCAAGGGACCAGTTGGCAGAATCGGCATGCATCGCGAGCCGGACGGGTCGATGGCACACCTTTTCCACGATGAGTCGGAAACCGCCTGGCACCTCGGACTCGGTGCGGAGCAATTCGAACGTCTCGCCCAGCAGCGGGTTGAAGGGTTTCCGAATAGAGCGTTCTTTGGCACGGTTACCACTGAACTGCGACACAGCAAACGCCGAGACATAAAGCATGCGTTCCTTGGGTGTCTTCAGCTTGGCGGCTACGTCAAGGAGTTGCGCGTATTCTAGCTGTTCCGATACGCGCTGGAGAAGTGACGTCGGCTCGTTCGCGGATACTGGCATGGAGATGGTGCTAAGATCCTTGCCTACGTTCTTGCGTACGAATGCAATGAGAGACGGCGGGAGGACCGTAGACGCTGCGATGGTACGACGGCGCTCAATGCCGATATCAAGCGGCAAAGGGGCGAGCGACTTGGGTTTCGCGGGGAACAGCGCAACGGTGCTGTTGGCATCCATGGGCTCTTCGTCGTCGACCGACGAGACTGACGATGATGAGTGGATAGACCCGTCATCTGCTTCGGACCCCTGCGAGTCCTCTTCGCTTTGGCGGTCAATCATCATGACTTGGGCTCTACTGTCGGTTTCGCCCGCTTCGGCGTCAAAGAACTCATCTGTGGAGGCGGTAGACTCCAGACTCTGCCTTGACCCCGTCGCCGATGTGGGAGCTGGCGCCCGGCGGCGCTTGCTCTTCCCGATCACCGTGGTGAACTCGGCCACTACCGTGTCCAGATTATTCAATAGCGCAGCGCAATGGTCATGGATGCTTCGCTCTTCCTGCTCTGGTCCTTTCGACTTCCTCTTGGGATGAGTCTCGCTTGGCGTTATGGTGGCAACAGAAGCTGGCGACGGCACCGCCAACACAGATGAGATGACAGGCTGATGAGTGGCCGTGGATTTGCGCCTCCAGAAGGGGCGCCTTTCCTGTGGCGGCGTAGAGAAGTAGCCCTCACTTTCGTCTATTACGCTTGGCGTGCCGGGCGAGAGGTAGGAACTCGAGGGACGCATAAACTGCTTCTGGGCCGCCATATCCTTGACCAGGCGTCGCAGTGCGTCTCTTGTGCCAACAACGTGGCTGACAAGAGACTCGACCTGTTGCCACTCGCGGTCTTCCTCCTGCTGCTGATTCGGAATCTGCAGTCGACCCCCCGGAGGAACAGGAAGCTTGTCCTTGGCGGCGGTGGGGTCCTCCGTAGCAGGTCCTGGCTCCATGCCACGCGCAATGCGGCTTGCCTTCTCGAGCGCTTTGGCCCAGTCGGTGAAGTCCTTGGCATTGGATGCTCGGAGATGCCAGACCTCGGCGCCAGAATCGATATTGATCTCCCTGCGTCGTTCATCGGCAGCAATGGCGGCGAGGCTCAGGGGGATGGCGCCTCTGAGTGCGGACGAGTTTCGATTATAGTAGTAGGATAGCGTGCAAGACGAGAAGTCGAGCGAGAAGAACCTCCTGGCAAAGCCCTGACCCTTCTTGCGCCGTCTCTTCAGCAGGTTGCCTGTGTGGTATGTGACCGATACCGATGCCGCTCCATGCCCAGGATCACTACGTCCAGCAACCGACAAAGCACTATTTGCGCGGGCGCGCTGCAGACTAACCACCGACTCCGAGGCCGCCGCCCCCAACCGCGAGCTCGGCTTTCCCAGGCTTGTTGCGCTCTTGGCGGCATTGGGTCCAGCCTGCAGGTTGGGCAGATGGTGGGCTCCCTGAGGCGGCTGTCCGGTGGGAAAGGTCAACAGGACAAAGGTGGCCGTCTTGCTCGTCTGCTTGGAGAAGGTGTTGTCGAAGACGAGACCAAACATGCCGCCCTCGCCTTGCTGGACATCGTACGTGCCCATGGACACCTTGTCGGCCTCGCACTTGCCATGCCACTTCATGGGGATGAAGCCCTTGCTCGCCAACTGTTCCTGCGCCGTGCTATTGTCTCTTTTAGAAAACCGTCCGCTCTTGGCGTTGGTACCGCTGCTGTCGACGTTGTCGAAGGTGCGATTGAGCTCGTCGACATTGGCCGCCGTCAGGTTAGTCGCGCCGGAGCCTGGGTGTTTTACGATGCCGAAGTTGATCGATTTCTTGTGCGGCTGCACACTCCACGAGATGGTGTGGCCATCGTCAACTTTGACCCAGCGCAGGATGTACGACTGCCAGCGTGAAATCCCATCGTTAGTCCTGAAAGTGAAGGTGAGAGTGAAACAGCCGTGGCAATAGCCGTCGCAGCGCGTAAACACTGGCCAACTGAGCGCGTCTACGTACCTTGCTATGGATCTCCAGCTTCTCTATCCCGGCCATGGTCCAAAAATGTCGTCGTCACCTTGGCAGCGCGCGTCTGTCACATGCGAATACTGCCGAAGCTGAAGCAGAAGCTGGGACTGGAGCTGACGCTGCTGCTAGTGGCTTGAGTACGGTCTATCGGCTCTGGCTTTGCATGTCCATTTCTTGTGACGTGGTCCGTCAGACTGACGAAGAGGAGGGAAGGTAAGGCTTCTTTGGCTCCGGAATCAAGTTGAGACGGCTGATTTGAGACCCTGTCGCCCATCTAAAGATATGTCAATCGTCGTTTCGCTTAGGTCCAATTTCAACGGTGCGTGCCACCGAGCCGTACGTCAGCTTCTAAAGTTGCTATTTAAACCATGTTTAGCTGTCTTAGCGGCCGACGCGCCCCTCCTCCCGCCGCATCCCGCTCTTTGGCTTGGCTTTACCGTCAGCCAGCCTCGTGACATTTTGGCCCATTTAAGCACGAGTGCAGCTCCAATATGGCATAGCTTCGTGGCTTCTACGTCGTGGTAAATTACGAGAGGTGAATGGCATGTTTGTGGCAAGGCTACATCGATCCATACGGAAGGAGGTTATTGCTACTCTTCAATTTTGTTCTCCTTACTGTGCCCCATCCACCATCTCCGTTGCGCGCCCCTAATCTAAGCCTCGGCATGCCCCCGACTTTCAACGTAACACTGCTTCTGAGGCTCAGTTTTACACCAAGTACCGTGTATTCGCAGGGCGCCATTTATGCTCTCGTCCATGTGCTCGGTAACTTGTTTCTCCCTCTTTGCTTGAAACACGCACAACGAACTTTGTGTCCTCCAAAAGTTTCTTGGTCATGAGCAAGAACACACTGACCCCAACGCATGCGCTTGTGCAAATGTGTATTGCTGTCCGTTGGGTAATGCTCGAGCCCACCGGCCCTACGCAGTCTGTCTAAATCCTATTACAACGCCATAACCTACAAGACAGACTGAACTCAACCGAGCCCCAGAAGAATTCACTTTTCGCCTTATATGGAGGTTCCGTTACCATGAATAAATTCTTCTCTCGACAGCCTGCATTAACCAGTATCCCGTGGCCTCCTCTCCTGCCGTCGGGCTGCGCGGGGACTCCTACTCAGCGTCTCTGCTGCATCTTGCCCATCTCGCTCTGGAACCGTAGCTTGAACCCGTTACAGAGAGCCCGCATGTCCGGGTACTGGTTCTTCATCATCTCATACGCGTTAGGCACCACCCGAACAACCCACGTCCCCATTCTGGATCCTTTGCTTGCCTTGAAGCACAAGAAGAAGTAACCAGGGTGCTTGGGGTCGATGCAGAACGAGTAGATCGATCGTTGCGGGTTGGCATCCGAGTAGGCTGTCAGCCATTTTTCTGGTCTAGGTGTTAGCGATGCAACATAGCTGATGGTTATCAAATGAACGAGTATGCTTACCCAAGTCGGCAATGCTGCCCTTTCTGAACTTCTCGTTGGCCATGAGCTCCTCCACTTTACGGGCCATCGCCTTGACGTGTTCTACAATCAGCTCGTCGAGATCGGTGTACGTATACTTGCCACCAATCCGGAGCGTCCGTCCCACGGAGAACTCCGTCTCTTTTTGCAGTTCAAGAACATCGACGTGTTGATAAACACCATCTGCCACCTTCCAAGTGATGGCCAAGTGGTCATTGCCCTTGGACGATGGGCGAATAACCACATCGCCATTACCTTGCGATCCAAGGTATTGCTCCGCCTCCATGGCGTTGAAGGGTTTAAACAGGGGGTGTTTAATCACTCTCTGCGTGCGACCAGTCACCTTGTCTTTTTCTCGAAGCGCCTCCTTGTCATCATCCTCGAGTCTGTAATCCCAGGTTCCACGATCATGATCGATGTGCTTGCGGTATGGCCGACGAAGGGCGTCTTCACGGATAGACAACTTCGCAGAGAAGTCTTTCCGGTTGAGGTCCAAGATCTTCGCTTGCACCGTCTGGCCTACGTGAATGACTTCCTTCATTGATACGTTGCTGCGACTGGAGACCTCGTGAGCTTCAATGCGTCCCTCGATACCGCAATCAAGCTTGGCAATGGCAAAGTCATCCTTCACCACGCGTATGTTGACCGAAAGAATCATTCCCTCGTCCAAGGAATCTTTGGTCTCTGCTGTGAACATGGTGAAAATCTGCTCGGGATTCAGGGGGGTGTAATTGCGTCGGAGTTCTTCGTATGGCGCCTGGAGTTCGGCACGAATTGTCTCCAGAGTAGCACGCTTCTTCTGGTTGTAAGTACCCTCCAGCTGCTCAGCGTACTCCTCGAGAATGAGTTCGTTGACTTTCTCCTGCTCCTCTTCCTTGAAGAGCTTTCGAACGATGGCTCCCGCACCGTTCTCGTCAGTCTCAGCTTTAACGTCTTCTTCGTCAAGCTCAAGGGCGTCTGCGGCCATCTTTCGGCCAAGTTCGTAGTCCTCAGGGTGGACGCGAGTGTTGTCCAATGGCTCCGAGGCCGGATTAGATGGATCGTATTCAATGTAGAGGAAACTTGCGCAGTTGTTCCAAACTCGAGGACCAACGACCGGCAACTTGTTGTTATCAGGATCGCCGACGAGTTCGTCTCGCGAGTTAACAACCCCACCATTTGTGTTGATTGCCTTGATCACGCTCGTTGCCTTGCGAGGGCCAAGCCCGGAGATATAAGGAAGAAGATTGGCCGTGTAGGAGTCGCTGACAGCCTCGTTGATTTCTACACCGCAAAGATTTACCATGTCCACCATTGCCGTCTCGAGGTACTTCAGCAGCTTTTCCTGAGGCAGTAGGTTCTGGCAGGGGTGGAAGAGCAACGATGTAATGTCTTTGCCAAGTGCGGCATATTCCTTCATGGGATTCTGAAGGTACTTTGCCAGGGCGACGCAGTAGCGGGTAATCGAGCCTAAAGTTGGATGATCGGAGAGTGCTCGCGGACTATCTTTGTAGAGACGGGCGACCTCGTCATTCACAATCAGAACCTCCAAGAGTTCGCTGCGGAAATCACCAGACTCTGGGTCGTCGAACTCGGGACCCATCAAGCCCTTCTCGCTCACGAGGCTCTCCAGATCGCGAACCAGTTTGTGAGTATCGGCAGTGAAACCGCTTACGGCGATGACGTCCGGTTTCCTGCGCTCCACAAGCTCGACAAATGCTTCGCGTTGAACGTCGTCGCGGGCCAGGTTGCCGAATGTCCCCTGTTCAATGCATCGACCATCCTCCTCAACCCAAGCCCAAGAAATCGGGTCTCGCGCTGCATCTCCCATGCCGTTGGAGAGGGCCAAGACACGGGGCATTGTTCCTAACACCATGCCTTTTGGCTTATACGGAGCCTGATCTAGTCTTCGCGAGTATTCCTCTCGGCAGAGCTTGAACAACTCGTCTTGGCAGGCCGTTCTTAGGTTGTCTTTGACACCTTTGGTAATAATCCTCTCGAGCTTGGGGAATGCGACATCAAGAACTTTCTGGCGCTCCTCGTTCCAAGCGTCTGCCAGCTCGCTATAATTGTCCGAAGCAAACTCGGCGTGCAGCTGGCGACGGAACTCCTTCTCGTTCTGCAGTCGGAGCTTGACTTCTAGCAAGCCTTCCTCCTCGGCCCTCATCATCTTGAGAAACAGCTCTGGCCGTCGCGCAAGATCCGGGATAGTCTGATTGATGAGATACTTGATCTCGTAATATGGGTGAGACTCATCTATTCTCCGCATTCCTTTGTCGGTACGGAAACAACTGACTTCACCCATCTGATAAAAGACAGTTCTGAAATGCTTTCGCATTCTGGGGCTCATGAAAAGCTCCTCGGCGTACATCTGGCGAGCTTGGTAGAGAACTTGGTCACCCGTAGGGAAATCGACATCGACGAGGCTGTCAGCCAAGTCGATTGGCAGTTTGACATCGTCATCCGCAATGACCTTCTTGCCCTCGCGGAGAGCATTTTGCGCGAGACGGTCCGGTGTAATACCATAGGCCTTGACCAGTTTGTAAACCTTGCTGTTTCGGACACGCTCGAATACCGTCGACTTGGCACCTGGGCGTTTCGTCTGCCTAATCACTCCGTTCATTGCAGCAATGTCCTTGAGCTGAGGGGCGTACTGGAAGTTGGCGTAGTCTTGCAGATCTTGAAGTTCTTCCATGGTTTCCGCCTGAGGCGTCATTTCGGACAGCATCTCATCCTGGACATCTGCTGACTCTCGGAGGTTGAGCTGGTTCTTTTCAAGTGTATTCCGCTTTTCAATGAGAGATCGGAATTTTATGTCCAGCTCTAGAATCTTCCAGAGATCATCTTGCGTCAGGAGCTTCTCGGCGTGCACAACATACTCTGGCGCTTCCGGGTCTTCCCGATGTTCAGGATTCCGTTGCTTGATGGCGTGGATGAGGTAGTCTTTGCGGTGTTGGAAGACATAAGGTACCTCGAGCTCCTCCACAACGAAATACTCAAGTACCTTCCCGATGCCTTTGAGGAAAGGTTGATGGAGTTCGGGCGACAGTTGTTTCTTCGGCCACAGATGATTTGTGATCCATTTCGCCTCTTCCTTGAACTGCTCGGGCGAGATTTGGAGGTGTTTAAATGGCTTACGATCAAGCTGGAAGCGTTCGGGTTCATCGGTGAAGCGGATTTCGTTGTCCTCTTCCGTCAGCAACTTCTCCTTAAGCTGCGAAGGTTCAAAGACGTCCTTTAGTTCCAGGGTTGTCTCCTCTCTTTGGCGATCCTCTTCATCCTCCTCCAACTGCAGAGCCCAATCGTAGTCTTCTCCGTTGCCGAATATCTCTTCCATTTCATCGAGTACCTCCTTATCCAAGCCCGTTGGATCGAGGACGCTTCCCGCGAGACCCCGATCCCTGGGTCTTGCGACCTCCATATCCTCCATGTGACGAATCCGCTCATCTTCGTCTTCGGGGAAATCATCTTCAATGAAGTCGTCGAATTCGTCGGCCTGGGCGCGATGACTAGGACGGCCATAGGGTCGTTCGTCGATGTCATCGTCATCGTCGGAAAATATCTGATCGAGGCCTCGAGACTTCTTCCCACGGTCTTCATCTCGGTGACCGCGCTTCAGCCGCTTGAATTTGCTCTATTTCCACGTCATTGGTACTTGCGTGCAGCTGCGAGGCTGGGATTTACGTACCTTTTCGGCTTCTTTGTCACCGTAGCCATCGATCGTCTCGCCGATGAGGTCAAGATCTTCCTCATCAAGCTGCGCCTCCTCCTCTCGCTCTTGACGCCTCTTGCGCTTCCTTCGTTTGCGCTGCTCATCCGAGTCCACGGCGTCTTCTTCTTCTTCATCCTCGTCGACGATGAAGCCTTCGCGCACCTGTTTGCAGCACCCAATCAGTGATTTTTATCTCAGATATCAATAGTGTATGTATCTTCACCTTTCGTGCCTCCTCTTCATCCTCGTCTTCCTCTTCTTCCTCGCTTGAATCGTCCATGTTGCGATCGCGGTTTCGTTCTCGAGCCTCGCCGGTTTCCTCATCGAAAGACTCATCATCCTCTTCACTACCCAACTCAGCCTCCCCCATCACGAGATCCCGCATAGCGTTACTCATTTTGGCAATTCGGTTTGCAAGGTCTCCGGTTGGGAAGGGGCTGTATTCGTTGCGAGGCGAGGCGGCTGCCTTCCCTCTATGCTGTGCAACAGAAGTAGCAACAATGTATCGAGGTAGAGAAGTCCGCGCTGAAGGCGATCGAAGGATTGTGAATGTGAATGATCGAATAGGGTGAGCCAGAAGTCGAAATGTGCAGGAGCAAAGCTGCTGGCACAAACGTGGTCTGCTTGACAGCTGGAAATTTGTAGTAGGTTCAAGTCGCGTAGCCTTCCAAAGTTGCGGCAGGGGTCGCCATGGTAAAGGCCGTGCGCACTTTTGACTTGTGGCGCCTGCGCCTGCCACATCTGACAATTATCAATGTGGCTCAAAGCTGTTGGATTTATTCACCAACTTTTCAAATTGCAACTACAACGTGCATCACACTCTGTAGTTATAAACCTGCGAGCTAGTTTGTGTGGCATTCGATTATCATGGCCGTTGATGGATCACAACTGTCGAATGTGGGTTCTCATAAATGCTTATTGGTCACAGCCGCAGTCTCGGATTCCTCTATGGAGACTTAGAACTGAAGAGTGTAATGGCCCAATTGGACTGCAGAAGACATGGACTTGGTGTGTATTGGTAACTGCCAGTATGACTAGCAGTTGTCGAATGCTGCTCACCAAAGAGCCTCGAATTGTGCCCTTGAACCCACGAGCACCTTATCTGTTGCACACATATCTTGGCAGGCTTTCCTAAGTCCGATGAGAAACGGGTGGTCCGTTTTATGAAGAGGCATTCCTATACATAGAGCTACGTAGTACAAGCTCAAGTGTTTGAACGTAACAGTATTGTCAAACGAGTAACAAGTCGATGTCCACGACTTACTTGAAGGTAACACATTCGCCTGCCCTTGGACAACAATTCTTTGTTCTGCAGCCGCTTGAATCTTGTCCAGCATTGGTCAGTCTCTGGCACCCGGTCTGCCGAGTATTCCGTCAAATCCACCATGTACTTGAGGTTGCTGCTTGACGATATTTGTGCCTTTTCTGGCAGTACTTCTAATCAAAATATCCATTTGAGAGCAGAAGGGTATGACGTCACATGCACCAAAGAAAGCCAAAGACTAAGCTTGCATATGTACTTCTTGGCCTTTATGGCGGCAGTTGGCCATGAGGTCATGTCCAGATGGTTGACTATTAGCGCCTACATCTTTGGCAGCCAATCAAATTGCTTGCTTGACATGAGACACCAAGGGCCCATAGGCAATACAGACCAGTCCTTTGATGCAGAAGAAACAACCACTGATGGAGTGAACAAAACCTCGGCAGTCTCTGGTCACATACTGCCCTGTTGCCATGAGTACCCCATCGACATGAAATTCGTTAGACGTTAGGTTGCATTAGCTCCAGTACACCAGTGTGTGGGATATACGATCGACGACGTGATAGTTGATGTCCACTTGTCGTTTTTAGGGAAAAGGGGTCATCCAATGGATCCAAGAGCACGGAGACCCAGGACCTAGCTTCTCTCGGATCCGTCCAGTAGAGTGTATTGGAAATGTTCCTGGACTTGCGATTTGCGGGAAGGAATTGAGGAACTCAGGCGCAGAGAGATGCTGAAGTGTTGATAACTTCGAACATAAATAGCTGCTGAGCCCAGCTACAGCCGTAATACTCTTGGGAAGCTTGAATTCTTCATCGAAACTTCAACCCTCCTTTATTTGGTTGTGATCGTCCTGTCGACTGAGCCTTGTTCAATCACGGCCCGCTTGATAGCGCGCTTTACCTCAGCCGTCCCCCCGCGCTTTGTGAGAAAGAATCTTTGGCCCTCCTTTGATACAGAGCCACTCAGGTTCCGGCTGTAGACGCTTTGAAGAGGTTTCAAGTTTGAAGATTTGGGGGCAGTACCAGCATTTGCTCTCTTATTGCTATTGCCGCCTCCGAGGTCCAAGCGTGTCATCATCATCTGCCTGCAGCTCAAGATACTGGCAACCAATTTAAAAAAGCTCATTTGGCTACGTCCAGCATTAGCTATAGTACTTCAATAGTCGCCTCGCCATTCGAAAGCTGTGTCTTGAGCAGCAAGCACCACCAATAGCAAGCGCCCGATCATACGGATAGTCGACTTCAAAGAGAAGCTTTGGGCCGTGGACAATCGGGAACATTGACATTTCGACAATTCGAGACGTCAATCAAGACTTGTTAGAGGCCTGACAGCAATAGTCGGTGTTTGGACTGGACAAGGAGCCGAAAGAGAAGCAACTACTGCAGGTCGCCTACAATTGGACTCCATTATTGATCAAGTGCACTGGAAGCCGCAGTCTTGGAGCCGGAATTTCCAAATATTGGGGCCTGCGAAGCAATAAAGTAACAGTACTTTATTCCGTACTCTACGAAGTCGATTGGATTTAAATAAATCACCCGACGTCGACCCTCCCCTCTCTAGGCCGACGCCGACACCAGCGCACGAGCGTATGACCGGAACATCCCACCTTGACAGATTGGAGCATTGCGCCTGCTGCTGACAGACCTTGCTTCCCAACGGTTGCTTTCATCCACACCTCGCCCCCCAGACTTTTCACTCCGCTGTATTACAGCACAGGTCCACAGCTTGTCGCGGAGCACGACTATTGCTGCAAGATACAGGAGGAGTGTTGCGCCGCCGAATCTCGATAAAATTTTCCTCGCATTACCACCACGGTTTCGAGTTGGGCCTTGACTCGCACTTTCGCCGAGGGCCAACAACGCACGCCGCTCCGCTTTCGACCCAACCAAGAGGGCGACAGAATCAACGGCGCAATTTCCGTGGAACCAACTTGGATAAAACCATCGCTTAAGAGACTGCCCTACTCGCCCTCATACTGTTTGGAACCGGCTGCTTTCGAGGTTGCTTGTCCCCTTGGGTCTTCTGGTGGAGTAACCCGGTCTTGATACGACGGTGGCTGTTGTCAGTGTGTGTGAATGTCACATTGCCCGCTACTCTCAAAACACATCGACGACTAGCTCATTGCTCCCTAAAACCGCTGTTTCTTCTCAAATCCCTCATCGCCTCCCACCATGGCCGACCCCTTCGCTCCTCGCTCTATGAAGCGTAAGAACGTCAAGGGTCTTGCGCTCACTCCCGCCGCACCGAAACCGACTCCCAGTTCGAACAACGACCAACAACAACAGTCTGGTTGGGGTGCTGGGGGCTCCAGGGCAGACGATGGAAATGAAGCGCAGCTCGAGATTGGTATCGAGTTCAACCTGGACATCAAGCAAGAAGATCTCGAGATAATGAAGGAACTTGGTTCGGGTAATGGTGGAACTGTCAGCAAGATCAAGCATCTACCGACTGGCACAACTATGGCTCGCAAGGTACGAACCCTTTGTACCCCTGGGAATATGATGGGCAACCCCTAATCTTGCTGCTACCAGGTCATCCACGTCGAGGCCAAGAAGGAAATGCGGAAACGAATCGTGCGCGAGCTCCAGATTATGCACGGCTGCCATTCTGACTACATTGTTACCTTCTACGGCGCATTTTTAAACGATCACAATGATGTCATCATGTGCATGGAGTATATGGACGTCGGGTGAGTTAGGCAAGAACTGTCAAGAGGTTCAGTAGGTGCTAACCGGGATACTATAGATCCCTCGATCGAGTCTCCCGCGTCTTCGGGCCCGTTCGAGTTGATGTCCTCGGTAAGATTGCCGAGGCGACGCTGGGTGGCTTGACATATCTGTACTCGAAGCACCACATCATGCATCGTGACATTAAGCCCTCCAACATCCTGGTCAACTCCAGGGGGCATATCAAGCTATGCGATTTCGGTGTATCTGGTGAGCTTATCAACTCCATTGCCGACACTTTCGTTGGAACTTCGACGTACATGGCGCCAGAGCGAATTCAAGGCGAGAGGTACACGGTCAAGTCGGATGTCTGGAGTTTCGGCCTGAGTATAATGGAAATGGCCATCGGGAAGTTCCCTTTCGCCGCAAGCGAGCAGCTCTCTGATGGGGATGGCGCACCGGCTGGCATTCTGGATCTCCTTCAGCAAATTGTCCACGAGCCAGCGCCAAAACTGCCGAAAAGTGATGCGTTCCCGTCCATTCTGGAAGACATGATCCAAAAGTGCCTGTCGAAGGTGCCGGACGAACGACCAACGCCTCAGGAGCTATGGGTAGGCACTCCTTATATATATCCTCTTAGTTACTGGCATTCAAAACTGACTTGTTCGCAGGACCGGGATCCCTTCGTACAGGCAGCTAAGCGAACACCGGTGGATCTGCGAGCATGGGCCGTAGGAATGATGGAGAAGGACAACCGCAAATCTCATCTTGCGCCACAGCTCTCACCTTCTACCCAGGATTTGCTTAGATCGAGCGACTCGCCCACTCACCAAAACGATGTGAACCCAGCTTTCACGCCCACTTCGGGGGAGATTCCAATTGCTGGAGCCATTGCATCGCCCCGCGACCAGGTTCACATGCAAAATCGATCACCCACTCGGAACGGCATCGGAAGCCATGGGCGCGCTGCAGGAGCCCACGCTCATCCAGGTTTGGGTCAGCGATCGGCAACGGCAAGCTCCATACCGAAAGCTGGAGGCTCTGAACTGAACCTACCGGCCAGTGCGAGTCAGGCGACATTCACGCTACCAGTACGGCCCGCAGCGCCTGGTGGTCCATTGCCTCCACCACCGCCAAGGAAAGGGACGCCAGATGAAGCAAGAAGGGAGAATCGGCGACAAGCAACTTATGGCTACGCATCGAAATAATGAGATGGATTCGCTTAGCTGCTGGACAATTGGTAGATCTATGCCAAGTTCTCATCCGGCGTTGCGTTTTCATACCTGCATGCACCTGCAGGTCTCTCACCAGTCACTATCTAGCATTTTTCGGCGTCACGTTTGGTCTATGGATACCGCCCTCGTATCCGGGTTCGACATTCGGAATTGCATACGGACCATACACACATCCATCCATCTGAGGAGGCCGTGGCAGAAACTCCCACCTTTGTGAGACGAAGTGAGAGGATTTGAGTGGATTATGCGGGGATTTATGCATATGAGAAGGTCGTTGCCAACCAGGAGACCTGACTTATGTAGGTAGTGAGTGAACTGTGGTAGTAAACGGGCATTTCACCAAAGATAGAGGCGCGGTAACAAGCCCTACTTATTAGGCTATGTCATCATCGTAGACGCACGTCGTGACTTTGTAACCTGCGTGTCCATACGTCCAATACCTCCCCAGCCTACGGGTTATGTGCCGCCGCCCAAAGCCTCTAAAGATCTAACTGTGGCTCATGGGAGCCCCTTACAGCATAGGATCGAGATGGATATGATCTTCTGCGCCAGGCAGCGTTCGATAAGCCAGCTGCGGGGTTACTGCCTGGGGAAATAGCCTGCGCACTATGTTTCTAGCCACTTGTAAGTCAAGAGCCCAGATCCAAGATTCACGTCCCAAGTTTCCCAATTAAGAAGGAACCAACAATGTACTTGCTTACGGGAAAACGGTTGCACTGCCTTCTTTTCATCCCCAGCGCCGCCTGGTTGTCGAACACGTTCGCCTAGTTGGGCGCCTGAGTGACAAGGAACATGGGCATCATAACAAGTTTTACCTTCCAGAGGACTTAACGCGCCTCTTTGTTTGACATCTCGACGTCCAGGCTTTCGATGTACTCTACAATCTAGAGTCCAATGTGTATACCACCGGTTGACCGCATGAAATTGGTGGACACCAGCCTTGTGCATTACATCTAACTGGGAGACATGCTTCTTCTTGTTTGACGGCTGTGTTGGGTTGAAATACTGAACAACGGTTCAGTGCTCATATACTGCTATTGGTCAGACACGAAATTCGACGACTGCTCCGAGCTCAATGCCACATGTAGCAGTGCATACTGCCGATTTCTAGAACACGAACCCGCAGATAACGGTTTCAAATTATTCAGCGGAATATCTGCTAGCCTACATCGTATTTCCGGACCTTAGAAAAAAAGACGCGTTCACACGAATGGTCAAGGAAGAGTTCCTTCAGGGCATCACTTTGCTCCCATCCTCGCACAAAGGGTATCTGTGTGGACGGTACGGATAACCTTAGGGAATTACGAGCATAATCATCGTCCCAGTTGAGGAGAAGACTTTGAAATGACACTCACCATGGCCACTCAAGGCGAATCTATGACCAAGCCGTCCGGCCTACGCTGCCCCGAAGGCATGATTCAAAAAAGAAATCCAAGAGGCAAATTCTTAACCGTAGCCCAGGTCGAGACGTACATATCGTAGCCTCCGGACAACAAAGCAAACGGGAGTGATTTCCTGCACTTCCCAGATGTCTGGGGCATGGCTACGAACCGGCTACTTGTCATAGACGGCTTCGTCGCGGCGAGGTACTTGGTTTGGGGTTTGGATGACTCCCGTGGTGTCACGAAACATAGGATAACGCCTCATGGCCGCACGACTGAGCCGGATTTCGACTATTAGGCTTGGATACAGAAGCACATGGCGTTCGCCGACGAGAAAGTGCCGGATTGGGTAAAAGAAGTGAAGGAGCGAAGTTTACGGGGGGTGGTGGAATGGCTTAATTCCTGGCTATCTCAATAGAGTAGTTAAACAACGGAATATTAAGACATAGGTCTTTACTTTGCCGCTTATCGGATCTAGTCTAGGTGCTCAAAATACTCGTCCAGCACCTATGTCTAATATCAGCCACAGAAAACCCAGCTACATAGCTAATCTATAGATCTCTGGGACCTACAGGAGCCCCTGATAAAGCCTCCTAAGCATTATGAAACCTGACGTCCAATAAATCCCTCCTCTAGCACGCCTACCAGATCATCCAACCGCTCTATCACCAGGTCAGTATGCTCGTGCTCCGCCAAATGCCGATTCACATCATTGATAAGTAAAACCGTAGCCGCACCAGCGCGACGTCCTGCTGTCATGTCGTCGATCGAATCTCCCACCATCAAAAGATGGCTGGCATCCCCAATTTCCTTATGGCCCTCGCCATCCGTCCCCATAGCACCTTCCTTGACTCTCGCGTCCTCATCCGCATCCGCCACCATCTCCTTCATTTCCTCCATCTTCTCCCTTCCCAGCTCCTCACTCCGCCGCACTAGGCCCCAGCTTCTTGAGATGAACAAAATGCCAGCGGGATCCGGCTTGGGTGGACGGAAGTCCCGCGTCACGATAGGAAAGAAGGTAGTCCCTTGAAGAAATTTCTCCAGCAGGTGCGTGACGGGTAGCTCATAATTGCGCGTGCAGATGCCTTTCCGGATCGACTTGGAGTCCAGGTAGGCCATGAGGGTGGCAAGTCCAGGTTGAGCGACCTGCTCGGCCATATTACGCCGTTCGATGGCCCGAATGGCTTCTTGGGCCGCGTGCTGCGCCTCGGGCGTGGGGAGGGAGTAGATGTGCTCGAGTATGTCGACAGTTTTGGGGATGCCCAGGACGGAGCGCATCTCGCCGAACATCTGGTTTTGCGGTTCACTTGGGATTAGGTGTTAGTGTTGGGTATGAGGTAGCGGTGACCAGCAGAGAGGGGGTAGAAAGTGCTTAGTAGGGGATTAACCAAGTGATTATAGTTGAAAAAAATGCAAGCTTGGAAATATCACGAGCGTAAATCATGAAATCTTAGTAGTTGGAAGTTGCCTCAGACTAGTTCACCCATACCCATGGCTTCATGAATCTCATTGTACGAAGCAACCATTGAGCAGAAATAAATGCAAATGATGGACAATATGGCGGAATGACAAGAATTTGCTCACCACAGTGTGCCATCAACGTCAAATACCACGCCTCGTAGCTTTGGCAAGTTGCTTGTCAGGCCAGCCGCTTCCTTCAACGGTGCGAACCGTCTGCGGTTTGCTGAGGCCATGGCTGAGAGGTACCTTCGCATGAAAAGGTTGGGAGGACAAGTTCAGTGATAGCAGTGCAAAGCTCCTGGTCTTCTGTTAATTGAGGAGGGTGTGATCATGAGCCAAGGAAATGTATCCACTGATGTAAGATCTCTCAACTGAATCGGCCGAGTCTGGGAACCTTTAATCAGATGCTCAGAAGCCGACTATTCATTGAGGGTACGAATAGTATGTGATGGCCCGTGCACTCGACGGCGCCGTTCAGGGGTAGGGCCGGCCGAAGGAACTCTACGGCAGGAACTGTGGACAAGCTGTCATCCTACACGGTTACCTAAGTAGGTACACATGGCCAGCTTCCTTTGATTTCAGAAACAGACAATATAACTCGGCACATCAACTCTCCAAATCTTAGCCTCATTACAACTTAACCCAAAACACCGAATCAACCGACACAATGGCCGACGAAGACAAGGCTAAGGCCGAGAAGCTGGCTGCGGCCAAGAAGAGGGTACTGACGACATCTATACTCAGCTCGAATAGCTCTCAGAGATGGCTAACGCAGGCCCACAGGTGGAGGAAATGAAAAAGAAGAAGGCGAAGAAGACGGGCGGCACATCCAAGGAGAAGAAGGAAGATGCGCCAGCAGCTGAGGACAAACCCGAGGCATCGGCCAGCACACCAGCCGACGAAGCTGTCCCCGCGGAACAGGCTACATCACCAACCGGCACCACGGCGACACCCTCGCAACAATCCAAGCTCCGCTCGGCATCATTCCGCGCAGGATCCATTTCCAGCCCCGTATCCAGCCCCATGTCCCCCAACTTCAATCCCGAGGGCGAGACGGCGGCCGATATCTACCGCAAGCAGGTGGCGCGCATCGAAGATCTGGAGAAGGAGAACAAGCGGCTCGCAAAAGAGGTTAAGGACTCGGAAAAGCGATGGCAGAAGGCCGAAGATGAGCTCGCTGATCTGCATGAGGCAGAGAGGCCCGAGGGCAACAAGGCAGAGGGTGATTCGGATAGTCACATTGAGAAGCTGGTATGCGCCCTCCTTTACTCCCCCTATTCCAAGATAGACAAAATCCTGTTGTTTTAGACAGTACAGGTGCTAACATACATTCCGCAAAAGCAAGCAGAACTGGCAGCACTCCAACGGCAAAACGCCCAACTCCAATCCGCCGCCTCGCGCCGCGGCCACGTCACCTCACCCTCCGTGTCAACGTCGTCTCCACCCGCCGCGGAACTACAAGCCCAGCTGGCCTCCAAAGCCTCAACCATTGAGACAATGGAGCTCGAACTATCCCGTCTACGCGCGCAGGCCGAGCGCCAGGCCAGCGCTGGCGGCACCGACAAGGAGCAGATCGCCGCCCTGGAGGAGAAGCTAGCGCGAGCGGAGCAAGCCGCCTCCAAGTCGTCAAGAGAGCTCGGCGATCTGAAACGCAACCTCGAGCGCACGACCGAAAAAGCCGTGCGCGAGGGCAGCAGCCGCACCAGCGCCGAGACCAAAGTCCGGACCCTCGAACAAGAGAATAGCGCCATGGTCGAGGAGAAAGCCGAGCTGCAAAAGAAGCATGACGCCCTGGAGAAGAAAGTCGCGGCGCTCGGCACTCTGCACAAAGAAAATGACAATCGGATGCAGGCCCTCCGCCGTGAGAAGGAGGTTGCCGAGAAGGAAAACCAGGAGCTAAAGAGCAAGATCGAGCGGCTTGAGGCTGAGAACGTGCGGCTCCGCAAAAAGGACGCGGCTGAGGGCGGCGGTGATGATGAGGGAGTCGACGAGCTCGAGAACGAGGAGCGCCTGCGCCTCGAGAAGAAGGTCCGCGACCTCGAAGCCGAGGTCTACGACCTGCGCCGCGGCATCTGGCATCAACGTCGTCGGGAGCTAGAGCCCGGCATGGAAGGAGATGCCGACGCCGCTACCCCAGTGGCCGATTTCACCAACATCGACCTCGGGAGCGGCGGGCTACCCTCGTCCAACACGGCGCGCAAGGAATCCGCGAAAGCAGGCGGTGGCTTTGGGGATTTCTTCAATGCGTTGACGGGCGGAGGCGGTGGGGCTGGGGACAAGGACGAGCTTCTTGATGATGACGATATGGAATTTGACGAGGAGGCGTTCCGCAAGGCGCATGAGGAGGATGCTAGAAAGCGGATTGAGAGGATTAAGGAGATCAAGCGCGGGCTGAAGAATTGGGAGGGCTGGCGCTTGGATTTGGTGGATAGCCGGAGGGGGGCTGCGTATGGTGTTGGGGAGGTGTTTGACATTTGATATAAGACGAGCAAAGGGTGTGGAATAGACAGGCAGCTGCTGGTGAGTGGTTGCGTTGTACGAGCTAGACTGGACAGTGAGGGTTTGTAAGGATATACCGATGTGCATGATATGATTTAGAGAGACAAGATATGAATTGAGGGCGCAGTTGTCCATCCCCGAAATATTCTTGCGCAAGCGGCCAACGGCACATTTACCCTTTTGTTTGATCCTGGCATTCACTCATTATACATTCCAGCCTTGGTGGAAAGCATCCATGGAGACACACTTTGCGTGTAAGTGGCCTAGTTGGTCATCTCAAAAACCAGACGTCAAACTCCCAGATATAAGACCACATCGGTTCATACATTATTGTTGTATTCGTCTGGTGTATCGGGCTATCTGAATCCTTGCGATCAAAGATTTCGTGCAGAACCAGATCCACCGGGTCCCCCGCTACCAAGTTTCTAAGGACATCAGTTGGTGATATAAAGTTCATCACCGTCCTCCGCCGTCATCAAATCCACAGCGATTGCCAAATCGATGGCAATGATAGAAGCGAGCGTTGAGGCAGCTGTGTCGTACATCCCCGCTCGGAAGAGAGTCAGTCCATTATGAATCCCCAGTGACACGATTTAGTTGTTCGCCATTGCGTCATGATTCCATGTCTGACCAAGTCGATACGACCCCAGTTCCTGGCAATTTAAAGCACGAAGCAGACAGACATACTCTATACTCGGATGCGTGTTTAATGCCCAAAGCGTATGGTCTATGACAAAGCCACACTTCTGAACCCCCTTATCGAAAAGTTAATCTCATTTTAGATATTTAGAATTGCTTGATTATTCTATCAAAAGCAGCCTGGTATGGCATTGTCACCTGCAGTCACATTCGCTGGGCTAGCGCGATGAGAGACAATGCATTGAGGAAGAGGCTTCATCGCCCACATACTTTAACAATAGTTTTAACTCGGATGGGCGACTCTACCGCTACACCACAAAGTCTGACTCAATTGGTACAACGAAAGACAAATACGCTGACCCAACGTGGATGAATTTCTAGCCACCCTTTCCCTCTTCTAGGTGATGCAACTCAGCCATGAACTCCTGTGGATGCGGAAGGTATTTGGGATGAAGGATTCAGAAAAAAAATATTGCGACGTTGTCTTTCTCCCCACGCGAGCCAGCACAATCATGCTTGCCTAACGGAACACCCTAGTCACTATAGAATAGTCAGTATACGGTACCAAACCTTCAAAGGTTAGACATGGGACTTACTAGATTTCCTTTGGCGCCATCAAGTCCGTCTGATATAGCCAATGGTTGTCCTTCTCCTCGGCCTCGAGCCAGTCGTAGGAGAATTGCACCAGATGACCTTGGATCAAGCCACACAGTTCTTCGGCTTCCTCGCGGCCGAGCACATCATAAGGGAAGATGGCACCACGCCGACTACCTTTAGTAGTTGCACGGCGCCGTCGACGCGTCGATCCTGTATTGTAGATGGTCGACGAAGAGGCACCACCTTGTGATGATGTCGGTTTGTCCACCGACGAGAAGGTTGTACGTCGGTCACGTGTATTGTGATTTTGCGTGCTCGTTGGTTCCAAAAGCTGAGTGTCGGCTTGACCATCAAACGCAGGGAAGGGAATATCGCCCGCTGGTTGGACCGGCGATGGAGCGTCAGCAGGTCGGTGGTTGGCCACCTTTTCGGTGTCGAGGTGCAGATTCGGCTTCTGAGGGGTTTCAGGGGTGGTGTTCTTCTCGTCCATAGGTCCGTCCCCATGAGAGACGACCACGGTCGGGTTTGTGTCAGGGCTGAGTGTCGACTGTACCTTCTCCAACAGACCAGAAGACTCTTGTACTGATGATGGAGCCGCAATTCCGGCACCGGCTCCGCCAGCCCCGCCAGGCTGGCCGTTGGGTGGCTTGACCTCATGCTCATCGTATTTCTTCTGGCCTGTCATGTTTTCATGGAACCTGTTTGAGTATTCCATATATTGCGTATAGTCTGACCAGGTTAAGACCTCACTATCTGGCATGCAGCGGAAGACGCGGCGGTAAAGTTTCGTGTTGTTGGCCGCAACCCTGGACCAAATTTCATCCCAGAACGCTGGATTCACCGGATCACGCATGCAATCTTTGTCGATACTTGCAAGTTGAATATCGGCAGCCAAGGGATGCACTTGCTCAGCCGCCTTATGACCGGATTCGTCGAGACGCAGAGGTGGTCCGCCAATATCGGTATCGTCAGAGACTGGCAGATCTGGAACTTGCGTCAGGGGAGGAAGTCCAAGCTGAGATGTAGTCTGTCGCTGGAACGGGCCCTGCGGGGGCAGTTTGTCATTGCTCGTGGTCAGCTCCTGCTCCAAACCTTCCTTACCAGACCACCCCGAACCATGACTGGCTGGCTTCGAAACCTCACCGGGTAGTGGTGCAATAAGGGTTTCACGCCCATTGATGATCACGGTATCTCTACCTCTGTCGAGACCACTTTCATGCGCAGATCTCCAGTTATCTGGGCCGTATCCTTCGACATCGGCGTTGTGCTTCTTGTTGTTGCTCTTTCTACTACCCCTTCCTGCTGATTTGCCTTTGGACGAGTTTGCAGATGATGAGGAAGAAGAGGACGAGGAAGTGAAGCCGGGGTCATGGGTAGCATTGGTGTCGTGGTTGAAGCTGGAGCCGTGGGGAATCTGGGGGCGTTGAAGGGAGCTTGGACCGGCTTCTGCAAGGTCGTGTTCGTCGCCGTAAATTTGGCTCATTTCTTCCTCGTATTGGGCCTCGGCATCAGCTGAATCCCTGGTTTCTTCCTCAAGGATCGCGTCTACATCCAAGCCAAGATGTTCGCGCATGAGACGCATACGGAGTGTGTGGGCGAAGCGACCGACCTGGTAAGGCTCGCCCCCCATGGTCGACTGGATCATGTCTGTGTCGCTGACGATAGCGGCACATTCCGAGTCTCTGTTGCCGTTCATGGATCGTTCGTTGATATTGGCAGATCCGATCAGCGCAACTCGGTCATCTACAATGATAGTCTTGGCGTGAATGTAGAGCTGCTCCGTCACGAGATTATTGTTCGGCCCGATCTTTCCCCACTGCCTCAAGCTGAAGAATGATATGTAATCTTCTGGTTCGATCTGAGCCGCACGCAGACGTCCGAAGATGGAGTCTGGCCCGCGGCAGATACTGCGGTACTGGAACTGCATAATAAGTCGGACGCTACTGCCAGAATCCTGATCAACAGTGTTTTGGAACCCCGGCATGAGAGGAATCAGAATACAACACCGCCACTCCTCGTCATTTGCGGCGGCCCGAATGATGCGTTCCACGAGGGCGTCACCAATCCGGTTAATGACTTTGGTGTTCATAGTTTCGGTACTCGTGATGAAGAACTGATTTTCCATGTACACAAAATGCTCCGACTCTTCGATGAGCTTGATATAGGCAGACTGGATGCTCATTTCCAACACATCCTTTGGGAAGCCAAGCGACCAATCCCCAGCTGAACGCAAGATCTGTACATTACAGCTTCCCGTGAGCCCAAGCTCTTCTAGATCAGCAGGGCTGGCATCGGGAGGAGGAAGCAGGAATGGCATGGGACGGGTGGGCTTGCGTTCTCGTCGCAAGTAGTTCCACCGTTGCACGAAATGACGGGTTAAATCTCTGGCAGGCTGGCCAACAACCTGCATCGCGACATCATGCCACGGCATTCTCGGAACCTTGCTTCTGTTGTACATTTCCTCGTAAGGCTCGTCGAGCTTAAAGAAATCCAACACGCGGGGGTTTGAGTAGTCCTTCCCCGGAAAGAGCTGACAGTGCTCTGCATCTTTCGGTGTTTCGCCTCCGGGTTCGTACCCAGTGGGCCGGTCATCCGTCAAAGGATGCTGCGGGTTGTCCCACCGGCCGAAGCATAGATCAATGCCACCAACGAAAGCTATGTCGTGATCGACGACACAGATCTTTTCGTGGTGGGCGTAAAAGAACTGGTTCTTCTTCAGCTGGTTTGGCGACCTTTGAACCATGATATTCGGGTGTAAGTTCAACAGCGAGAACTTGGTGTACTCAGAGTCGATCGGTATGGCCTGCTCCACGTTTCTGTAGACGATGACGAACACTTTGACGCCTTCTCTGGCTTTTCTCTGAAGGAGTCGATCGAGTCGCCATTTCCCACTAATCGCTGGTGGTCGTCGCATATAAAGCTCCGGGCTAAGCCACCAGTCATGTATGTAGATGACATCTTGTGCCATGCTGATGGCGCGAGACACGTTCCACATGTAGTCACGACCGTCCACCAGCCATCGAGCAAAGGCATTGCTTCTTACGGGGGCGAAGCTGTCGAATCTGTGTGGTTCCGCCCATGTGGTTTGTTTCAGCATCTCAGTGACGGACTGCTCAAATTGGTGAATTATGTGCTGGTTGTAAGCCCAAACTTTGACCTTGCGCTCCGAGGTGTATATCTTGAGGCTGTGGTGCGTCCCCGCGGGTTCTTCCTCCTCGTCCTCGTCATCGTCGTCGTCGTCGTCGTCGTCGGCGACACCTCCCTTCCCTTTCCCTTTCCCCTTCCCCTTGCTTTTACCCTTGGCCTTGGCCTTGGCGCCAAGTTGCTTCAGCTTGTTCCCCTTAGACACAATGTGGAACTTGGGGTCGACGAGATAGACATCGTAGATGTTCATGGTCGAGGGAGATTCACACACCACAATGTAGTTCTGTCGCACTAAGAACCACTTTTTTGTGTGGCGGGCAACGAATTTCGCTGGGGTAAGCACACGTCTGAAATCGATGCCTTTGGTAGGGCCCAAGTGCAGAAAGCATTCTTTGCCGTGATAGTTCCCTTCAGCGGCAAGACGTACGCCAAGTGCAGAGAGTTCCAGGAATTTGCAGAGCCGGTTGCTGTCAGGACGAAACATGAGCCAGTGTATCATGTCCTGCAGGTATTTTTCCACCACTCTTCTTTGCTTCTCGACAAATTTTCGCCTCATCAGAGCGGCCTCCACAGCAGATTTCTGAGGGTTCAAATTGGACCCCTCGCCGATCTCACCGAGGCCTGACGACTGGCGTCGCACCCCGAGCAGGTGGATCCGGGACCTCTTCCTTTTTGCGTTGGAGGGACGCCCAGATGGCCTATCCATTTCACTCGCCGTGCCTTCCGCAGCCGTCATCTCACCAGCAGTAGCCTCGGCGGCCGTCTCATCCGCCAGAGGTTCTGCAGCTTCAGGAGCTTTCTCCTCGTCCTCAGACACCTCCCCCCCTCGAAGACTTCGCAGCCATGGGAAGACGCTGCTTGGGAAGGCAGGCTGCTTCGTTCGGCTTCGCAGGTTCGGGATCACTTGAGGGTTATTATTGACGTTTGAGAGTTTATAGCGACCGTGAAGGGCAGCAATATCTCGGATGGATCTTTGTATTGTCCAAGTCATACGACTGGGTCCGCTTCCATATTCCAGTGCGATGGTAAACAGGTAATGTCGGTCACTCTGACCTTCTTCGTTGTCGCCCTTGCTCGGTTGACTGTCGATAATTCGTAACTTGAGCTGCTCGAGTAGAACTGGTATGCGTCTGTTGCCGTGCTCGTCTCTTTGCAGCATACTGGCGAGCATTACTACAGCAGGCGTGACGGCTCGCAGCTCAGCCATGAGTTCTGCCGATTTGCGCATGTCAAATTGTTCGGTTCTCTTCTTGCCCAACATTTTCAACGTGTTTTTGACTTGTTTCCACCGTTGCACGCCAAAGGTAGTAGCCCTGTCCGTGCCGAATATTGGCCTTCTAGGAGTGGCCAATGCCTCACCATCAGAAACTCCGCCGCTGCCGAACATGTCCGATATTCGACGTCGGTGTCCAGGCATCCGGCTGGGACTTTCCAAGTCATCTCTGCTGCCCGTCATCCAGGAGCTCCCACGCGTCCACCCTCGTCGCCCACCCGTTAAGTGATCACGACCTTCACCCTCAGAAAGTCCGCCACGGCGCTCTGTAGAATCGGGCATGGTAGAACGTCTAACCATCGTTCTAAAACGACCCTGGCCGGGAGCGGGCGAGTCTTCGCCGTTTATCCTCGGTGTGCTGGGGGCCGTCATCAGATCCAGGTTCTTCAGCCGCCGTCGCATCCTCTTTCTCTTGCTGGGTTTGGGGGTTAGCCGTGGTCCATCTTCATCACCACTCTCCTCCACGTCCGCATCACTGCCTTCTTCGTTCAACGTATCAGGTACTCGGGATGGTCTGGCAAGGACGGGCGAGCTACTACTAGAAGGAACGACATGCTCCGAGGGCGCTGGTGATCTTATAGTCTGCGTTACTCCCGTGGCAGCCAAGTACTTCAGCTTGGACATGAGCCTCTCCCCACGAGACTTCCCAGATCCATCAGCACCATCCCACGAATCGTGTCTTGTGTGCGCATAGGGAGGTGAGGGCGCATCAAAGACGACATCAGCTCTGGCGAACTGGACACTTCGACGCGAGGGTGAGACAAAATCAGCCGGACTGACATCACTATAACCAGATCCTTGGGCAACCAGGTGTCGCCTTGGAGAGGCCGGTTGCGATGTTGCAGCCGGCGACGGGTTCTTGTGCGGCAGCCCTCCATTCAAATAGTCAGGGGCCTCTGGCAACCCATTCTCTACGGGTGACTCGGGGACAGAGGTATCGTAACCGAGGAACCCGCTCGATAGTGCTTTTGTGGTTGGGGCCGGCCCGCTGGAGGCACGTAGGACGGTCGGTCGGGTATTGAAGCGCTCCGTTTCTGGGCCGAGAGTCATAGGGCTCGTCGTTGGTGAGACGGAATCGTCACGCTCGAGGGCAGACATGGCGGCTGACGCGATACTGAGTTTCTCCCCAGGTCAGGATACTGTCGCTTGAGATGTGAGTGCTCCGTCAAGCTGGTAGGATGTCGCAGCGTCAGTCGAGGCTTCACGGGGTGGCTGCACAAGCATTGTGGATTCTCGACTAGGTACCAGATTGAACCTGAACTTGTCGTGGGCCAATAATGATCGGTCTCTGCGCCGCCTTCGTATGGCACGAGGACTTCAATGGTGTCAGCTGCGGTCTGGCTGGTTTCTGTAAGCCTCGCAGGCGATTCGAGATGGACAAACAGCCGTTGGACCGCTGAAACAGTTGCACACGTTCGGATTGGCGTGATGCCGACGGAATGGCATAAGACAATTCGAACACCTCACTGCTGGTCGCGTGCCAAAAAAAGGCAACTATTCTCGCAGCGATATGTGGAATTGGGGAACGGCGAATGACGAGGGAGAGATGTCTACTCGGATGGAAGTGCTGATTGGCAATCCGCCATCCCTTTCCAATTTCCACTGCTCCAGGTTAGGTTCTAGGGAAATGGGTCTATGCTGTACCGCGTCGGGAGGTTCAGAGTTCTAAAGCTGGCGATGAGATCAGCCCGGGATCTGCTAGTTGATCCACTAAAGCTTCCGCAACCAATGGTCTCACTCTAAATTAGCATGGTACTCTAAATGAAGCAATTGTTGGGGAATTTCAAGACCATGGAGCCCCTGTCTTTCATTCTGTCGCGACTCAAGCTTTCGATGATCCTGCGAACTCACTACTCCAGCAAGTCTCAAGTTCTTGACTTGCGAGTTTCAATGACTCGGGGTAACTTCATATGGAGTGTTCGGTCTCAGCTTTTGAACTGCCATTACCCTGAGAAGCGGCAACCTGTAAAGAACGCCAATTCAGAGAAACAAGACCCCTACCTGTAAAGATGCGGAACAGAGGCGGGGTGCCACTTGAGGATGACCTCATCCGTGAGCGAGGTTTCATCTTTCTTCACCTCGAGGCCTCTATACAGAAGACAACCTCCGGGAAAAGATGAACTACTATATCTGCTGAGTTGTGGGGCTTCCGTCACCCGCCAGCATAATGCAAACACCGAACCTTCAAGACCCAATGTCGGGTACAACGACGAGCTGCTTTCCTGACTCAATGCTAGCAAACAGGCCCAGCCAAATGTCCTGAATTTGATATACAATTCCCATCACCGTACTTGAGACGAGGTGACTCGACACCTTTTCATTCCCCCCCCCCAAAAAAAAAAATAGCAGCTGAGGAAAGGCTATCTATGGCCGGTGTGCCTGGGACACACAACAAGATATGTTTGCTATATTAGAGCTATGTGATCTTATATTAGTACCTCGATAGTAAGTCTCGTACTTGTCGCACCGTTCATCTTTTCGTCCGCTTACCAATCGTCACTAGTAATGTTGGCTGTCGTTGACTTTCTTTTTCAGTTATTAACAAACCCCCCCTCTAACTGAACCCAGTGTATACAACACTGGCTAAATGTCGTTATTCTCAGTTACGTCTCAGTTGCATCAAGATTTAGGAGTCCTAACGTGGAAAAGTTACTACCATCTTCCAACAGCACTTGCGCTTGGCGCCATCTAGTTACCCAAGACGAACAGCGAACTTCATCAACTGGCCTGTTTAGGCCTACGTCTCGACTGTTTTGAGGTTTTATAGACCGTAGGTAAACTGCCTCTTCACATCACGATTTCAGCGGCCCACTTGGTCTATGGTCTGTACTGTGCTATATGCCGAGGCGTCCTCTCTCGTCTCTAATCTACGAGCATACTAATTAATCCCACGATGGACCTGCCCATGTAAACCGGGCCAAAAACAGTCTACAAACATAAAATGAAGGTGTATATGCACTCTTGAAAGTCTAACTCTTAGTTGCCCCCAAATCAGCCATTGCTATTCTCATCATCCTCATCTCCTTCCAACCAAATCTCATGTCCATTCCCCTCCTTCACCCAGAAACTCGCTACTAGCCCACAAACCGCCACCCCAGCCATGGCCCAGAACACGCCTCCCACTAGCCCGTGACTCAACCCCAATCCATACAGAAACCCACCCGCAACGGGCCCTACTGTCCGAGCAAAACTGCTGAGTGACTGTGCTAGGCCGTGGACGGTTCCGAGCACGCTGAGATGGGGCGTGCAATTGTTGACGAGGATCGTCTGGGCCGGCAACGCGAACGTCCGTCCTGTCACTTGAATAAATAACACGCCTGCGAGCGCAACCCAGATCAAGGGGCCGGTTTTCTGGCTCGGGGGCTCAGTTGTCGAGGGGACGATGGCGAGGTAGGGAATAAAAGTATAGGCTAGCGGGAAGAGGCAGAGACATAGCCGCCAGGAGAGGACAGTGCCGAGGCGAGCTGATAGGCGTGGGTAGAGGAAGAGTTGCATGGTGATGCCGATGGCGCCCAGTAAGGCCATGGCTATTCCGACGAATCTGGGGGGGAGTCCGAGACCGCCGGTGAAGCGGAAAGGGAGAGTGGGGTGGAAGCCGGGTGGGTCGGGTTTCGCGGGGTTGTAGACGGGGGTGGAGAGGAAGACGAACCAGAGGGAGTTGAAGGTTCCCAGGTGGGAGGCGAGGAAGAAGTGTGCGAAGAAGGTGAGGCAGACGTTGCGGGTGAATATTCTACGGAAGGGGAGTCTGGTGGTGTATCGACACCGTGGGGGATACTTCTGCGATAGTTGGTGATCTTCTGGGGACATGGGCAACAGCTCTGTATCTGTGCTTTTATTTCGAGAGTGCAGTGGCGTATAATTCACGGTGTTGTGTTGTCTGCTGAAGAGTACACCGAGTTTCTTGGCAAGAGTACGACCATAGTCGCGTCGGTCTCGGAGAGCATCGTGTGTCTTTTAGGAGTGAGATACTTGGAACAAAAGAAGAGTCGAACTAGTGTAGACTTACCTCTTCTAGAAATAGCCACACCCCCATTAAGGCTACTGATAGAAAGACGGCGCTGACAATGTTAGGCAAAGCATACGGGAATTTTTGAAAGAAGGTCGAGTTTCCGAAAGTTTCAGGATAGGAACCTGCTGGGTCAGAAAGGATGCCCCCTAATATTGGTCCAACGATGATGCCAATCTGAAAGAATCCCGCAGGTTAGTCATAGCTTCGGGTGGTGATCTATTCAGAACAGTACTTCGAGTGCAGATGAACACTTACATTGAAGGTCATCGGTAATAAAACAAAAGCCCGTGATTGGTATCTAAAATGGCGTTAGTGATTGAAGAGGAGTTATGACTAGATGTCGCCACGTACTTCTTCTCGCGAACTATTTCACTTATCCTATATTGGCGCATCATTAGCATCGTCGTCTCCTCCACCACAGCGCCTTGTTGTAACGAGTGCTTACATTGTCCTCAATACCCCAACATTCCCGTTCGTTGCCCCTCCGAGACACCGAAAGAACAGGGCTTGATAGAACGATGTCGAGAAGCCGAATCCAATACAAGATATCACTAGGCCTTATTAGCAATGCATAATTTCGTTTGGTGATACTGGGAAGACTCACTTGTGCCTAGTAAGCCTATCAAAATGACGGTCTTACGACCTGCCCAATTTGAGTCGGCCACACGGCCCCAGATCATGGCGGTAAAGAACTGCGCTGCAGTAAAACTGGCCTGGAGAATGCCGGCTTGTCTCGAGATGATGGAGTCAGATAGCTCAGGATCAAACCATTTCAGCAGGTAAAACATGTACGACTAGGCTGAGTTAGCTTTGTCTCTCTGTGCAGTGCCAACCCTGGTCCCAACTCACCTGCAATGAGGTCTGGACCAACGGCTCGCTAAGTCGTGTCAAAGTAATAAGCACCAACTGTTTCTTCTTTGGCAAGTCCCTCCAAGCGACGTCCTTCTGTTTCTTGACAGAGTTGCTCCCGCCCCTTGTGGAACCATTGCCCTCCGCCGTCCCCGCTCCGGCTTCCACATCTGCCAAGCCGGAGCCGGACGTCACCAAAGCGACGTCCTGATCATCTACTTCATCCTCGTAGGACAAGACCACACCTTCTTCGGTATCGACCGATTGCGTGTCAGAATCATCACCACCGTGGCTCAGGACTACCTCGTACTCGTTCTCGTCATTTTCGGCTGCTTCATATCCGCGTCCGCGCATTGACCGACTGTTCGCGTAGCTGGATCTCCAAGGCTCGGATGCTCGGAGACAGGGTTGTGTGTGTGAGGAAGTAACTGAGTATTGGGTAGTGAGGTCACAGCGGGGTAGTTCGGATATTTTCTTGTCTGGTACCTCTTCAACAACCCGAAGTGTCCGACAAGTTCACGGTGAGGGGTGGAGGTGGGATGAAAACGTTCGAAAAACCAGGAATCGACGACTGCTTCCGGCAACAAGTTTGCTCCATGCGAGCGGCCATCTTGTCTGGTCGCCTTGCTTAAATTGACTTATCATAAGACCGACAGACAGAGGGGGCAGCGGCTGCAGCAGCGAAGGATTGCCACCAACTGGGGGCGAGATGCGGGTGGACTTGCGGGGAGTGATTCGCTGGGAACGATCGGATCGCTATACAAGAGTGGGGACACTATCTAGCTTAGCGATAAGTATCAGGACCCTTGCATAGATATTTATTACGCATAAGCTGCGAGATGCGATAATACAGCTACTTCCTACTTGCTTCTATATTAACCCGGCTGTGGTTACAGACTAGTGAAACGGGGTCAGGCGGTCAGTATGATATACCTACCACCTAACACACTGAACAGACGGCTCCAGTACTAATAGATCTATCTGTTGGCCTGATCAGACGAAGATCGTGGTACTATTTATAAGAGCGAAGCTCTTATACGTCTGGTGCGCGAGTTGGTCGGAGGTGCCTCTGATACTCGTATCGTGATAATAGGATCTCGAACGTAAAGATAAGCTGAATAACTAAAATAACTAAATAACTGACTGAAAAGCGAAGGTGAAGATATAGATAAGAAGGAGATGATGATATGAAGATGAGGATGATGATGCGTGTGTGTGTGAAAAAAATGAGTGAGGACTCGTGTCCTACTCTGCCTCTGTGCCTCTTAAAGAAGAGAAAATAAACTTTCTCTTAGCCCCGTAATCTATTTCCCTGATGTCTGTCACGACCTGGGTTGCATCGCATTGGTAGAGACCTCGATTAGGTGCTATCGACGAAGATTCTACTCTAAGGAGCGAAGGAAAGAAGATGACAACTTAGGTTTGAGGGAGCGCGACTAAGTCATCCACGCTTGGCGGGGCTCCTACAAGGGTTATGATTGGCTTCCCATCGGACACTGCCACGGCAGGTGTTCCAGCTGTAAGTCACCTGGTTGTAGTGAGTCTGCGAGGGTTGACCTTCACAGTACTTGTGAGAATGATAAAGATACGTACGAGGAAGAGGATTCCGATTAGTTTGAATTATTATTTTTTAGTTTAGTTAAGTTATTGAAGTTATTCATACGGTGCCAAGAAAAAGTGGCCAACTTGCTTGTGTGGCTAACTTGCTTGTGGTGTACGTTATAGAAAATCCTATAAAGATTAAAAAAGAAAAAGTATGTCGGTTAGCTAACCCGACCTTTTCGAGTTTACAAGGATTGCCCCGCATATCTTCGGTAAAGTGGGGCGTTAGTTGGCTGAGCCGGGGTCTATGGTTAACTTATTTGTAATCTCCATTTTGACCTAACGAAGGCCCTTATTATCTTATCTTATTTCATCTTATCTTATCGGCTCTACAGGGTAGCATGACCTTGGGGCTCACGTACAGTATCAGACCGCTTCACTTACACTACCTCCTATTGGCCGCTTCCTGTGTTAACATCGACTTTGTTATAGAAGGTGAAATCTATTCTATTCATCTCCCCAACGTGTTCAACATATATTCTGTGTTCTCGCCCTCGGGTTGACTTTTTCTTTGAGCTTGACTTTAGTGCTCTTGTGACCTTCGCACGGGATATGCGCGTCATAGTGCTAGGGCACTAAATCAGCCACTTCAGATGGTATTTCTGAGTAAGACGGGTTAAAAAAGAGCCAAGGTTTGACAAATTCTGACCATAGAGTTCCCAAATATCCAAAGAGCTCAGTTAACCTTCAGATATCGCCGGCTCCTAGTCTCTCCTTTCCGTCATCAGGTCAGCATGACGTCTTGCCCCAGTGGTTGAGAGAGCCACCTGCCCCATGCGCACATATCGATTACCACTCTTTTCTCATCAGCGGAAGAAACACGCAGAGCATCTGTCCACGATAGCAAAGGCATACTTCTGGGACGCTATCATGCCATTGAGCAGAGACCAGTGCCCTTCAAGGCGTGCACGATATTTTGTTGAGTTGCGAAGTGAGTGGGATGCGATTTTAACGCTGGCAATGCCCCATAGTCGTATCCGGCCGCATAGGGTGTTTGATAGAAGCGCAAAACATAAGCATGTTGTTGCGAACGACGCTCATATCGCTCTAGAGCCCACCATTTTCCAGCGCTCAGGCTCTTGAGTCGAGTATTACCCGCAAAGGGCCGATTGATAATGGAACGGATGCGAAGGTCATAGAATGGAGTTAACCCTGACCTCGAGGCGTGAGATTTGGCGGGACAATGTGTTGAAGTCTTTCTCGTGTATTCCTCTAGTATTTTTCTTGTAGCTCTTTCAAAAGATCATGACCCGCAGCAAGGTAGATTCCCGCCTGTTTGTGCAACCCCTGAATGCTACAAGTGCATGTAGAGATCACACTGGCAGACCAAGGGCGCATTCTATCCATACGTGGAGGTGACTCACCAGTCAGGCATCCGATAGCAGAGTTGAACGGTTGCAATGTAAAGTTGTCCAGCTTTGTGTATTTGTGTCCGTAAAACAGCAGAACGTAGCCAAACCTGTCAATGCAAGTTTGGTATCCAGTGAACATTGGCAGGTTACTTCAAACACACGACCCCTAGATTAGAAGGATCAATTTCTTCATGGAAGCTTTATATGGTACTCTAAACCCAATGCCTAGGCCGCAAACGACTTGACTGGATATCTCCAGGTCGACTTCATGAATTCTTTTATCCGCGGTGTTCAACTATGCATAGCACCATATTCCATCGCCACGTGAAGGTGAACTCTACTACACATGTAACGTCGCCAGTGCAATCGATATAGGAAAAACCTTATCAAGAGCCACACTGCAGCAAGTGTGCAGCAACCATGTAACAAGCCAACTGTGAAGCATCGCCTCGCAACAGTTATGCTGAACAATCATGGGCTCTCTCAACTGATGCATATGATCCTGCGAGTGTTATGGATACAAATAGTCATCCTCGCTAATTTATTCCCGATCATAAAAGCTGAAGTCGTTGGGACTAGGCGGAATGGTTATCGTGGGGGTAAGCATCGCATAGGCCGGGGTCAAGGGGCATGTGAAAATTAAGAAGCGCTGTATCCTGACATACTTGGAGTTCGTCGCAGTATCAGCTGTTGGCATGTTGTACACGCGTCGCGGCCCATAGATCTTGCAGTTGTGGTTCGCTGTGAGGCAGACGTCATGCTGATGTTGCAATGCAGATGACACGCTACCGTCTGACGAACATTCTGAACTATATTTATGGCGTCAGCAGCGGGACTGTCGGTCCTGATCCCGTCGTATTAGTAGGCTAACGTAAATATGCATGAGTTCGACGTCATCTTAACTATAACTACTGGAAGATTATGCTTGTTATTGATTGAGTTGTGTTGTTGAGCTTCTCAAATGCCTAAGTCAAAATTGGGAATGAACCCGAGTTCTCCTTTCGATCTTAATTGAGGGGGGCAGGGGGGAATCCGGGTTGATTACATGCCACCAGGACCGTGATGGGTCTCGGACCCTGTACGAGCTGGCTTCGGAAGTCGAGAGGGCCCGAAACCGTGGAATGGGACAGAAGGAGTTTATTTTGTCCCGCTCAAAACAAGGGAACAAGGTTGTTATGTTTCTTCAGCGAACAGACCAAATTCTTATTCCCGAGATAGCCGCGATGTAAGCTCTAAGTTAGTCCTAGGCATAACCCAGCCCAGCTGACCTTGGAACCATCTTTCACCACCCCGCAAGCTAGGATAGAGGTGACCAATCGTACGAGAGACCAAAATTACGGGCTCATCTCTAACATGTATTTCCCCCAAAACCCCCCTATGGCAGAGCTCGACATATCAGTGCAGCTAGGGTTACTTACAATGATAAGAACGGAAATCAACCAAGTCCTGAAAACCTCGCGTAACCCCAAAATGCTCATTGGACAAACAATAAGATTAATTGACCTATCGACCATACCGATGAGTGGTAAACTTTCGGGACCCAAACACTGCTGCCCGGGGACTTAGTTTGTTTGGGGGCTCATACGAATTGAGAGTTGTGGCAGAGCTGAAGACGCAGGAGATTGCAGATGTGTCGTACTTGCGAATATAGTACCTGCACAAATCCGCGCTCAAACCACTTTGGTATGGAAATCAAATATCGAACGCCACTTTTATGTCAAGTGAACGACAGTAGGATTTGTGTGAGCTGTCTGTTTAAATTTCCCTTGAACCAAAAGCGTCTGGTGTACTACTACAGCCACCATTTTGGTGGGGTTATTTAACCATTTAAACCCGAAATAGGATGACATGATATATCTCTATTACAATAATGAGTTCCCAGTGTTACCAGATTTTTAATGCCCGTTTTTGTGCAAAACACATCATCTGCTGGCTCACCATTGAGTCCTAGTAGGGTCTGGGAGTCCTCTACGGCGGTACGAAACAAGGCTGAATTAAGAAATACAGCTAGGCTGACAGCATAATCGTGACTGCAGGTGTGGTAGCATCGTATGCATTCCTTTCTGCCAGGTACGGGTGGTTCTTTGACATGATCGAGATAGGGCGAACTCGAAGATGGAGCCTGGGGAAGTGTTCATCAATGTAGTGGCCTCTATATCTCATATAGTATTCTAGGATTTATAAATAAACTTCATGGCACTCATGTGATGATGGGAGTCTGGGTTTAGGTTGTGGTTTGGAACGCAACCGCGGTGTAGAGCCCGGTCGACATGCGCGCATCAACCGTAATCTCATATTGGTCCCTGTGGCGCATGTCATCCATGCAACCTAGTCGCATGATCTGACCTCCACGCGTCTCCGCGTCTTCATGTAAGTTCAGGCTCTAAAATCAAGACTTACACAATTGTTATGCAAGTGACTCGGGGTAGTGCCAAGTATCAACGTGAGCGGCGCTTGACAGAATTTACCTTCAGGCGCCAACCCCTTTCATGTGCGCTGGATACGAGCTCACGCAGATTGGTATTGAACGAAAAGCACGCATCTTGGAACAGTGGTTGCGAGCATGGAATATTGCTTCGACGATGACTCAATGTAGCATGATCCCCGTTAGTAGTTCGCACTATCACTAATAGAATAGGTATATGACCCGGATTCGACGGACTATGCACGAAGCTGAGATGCCTAAACAGACGGATTGAATTTTGAGTGTTGTCGCGATATTCTTCACGTACACTGTCAAGTATACTTATTCACCTATCTATCTCGGCAAAACCTTCAAACCTGTTAACCTGCAAACTGTCATCTTTGATGCACAGAAGAAATGAATCAGAGTCCCCCCAAATGGTAAATGAAACCCCTGATTTATAACGCATAGAAGATCGAAAATATCGGCGATGGCCCAGAGTGCCGGGTGCTCTCTACCATCAGTCGGGATGCACCGTGCTGGGCTGAGACGAGGCTTCCCAGGGAAATCCTCCAGGATGATGAATCCCGTTCGTTATTGGGCTGATATCGGTCGGATAAGCAGCAGGAATCAGCCGCCTCAAACCATCTCGTGCGGCTGAAAATTCTAAGACGGGAGACCAAGCGAATATTCGCAATATGTTACTCTGCCACGCGAGACCATGGACATGGGAAAGAAATGATTCGGTGCTACATGTCCTTCGCTTAGGTTAAGTCGGGAGACGGAGCCGAAATTTCCTGCTTGAGTATTGGGCAAGCTGACTTGTGGTTCGCACAAGTCCATTTTGCCTGCCTATGTTGTGTGTAGGTACCAGGCCCCTGTCATCTACTTTCAGTACCATAAGCACAACCCAGTAGGAAATGTTTCTTATTGGGCCATATTCTCCAATTCGACGAAAAAACGGAGAGCGCATGGGACGCGCAATTCCCTTACCAGGCATCGCCTCGTAGATTCATCTGATAGAAACCGCTACTATTTCGATGCGAGCGAGAACGTGAGATATCACGCTGTGATTCCACGTCGAGTTTCAATAATGAAAATCAACGCCCTGAAAGTGTTACAGGTAAGAAAATAAACCAAACTGATGGACATGAGATTCCCAGATGAAGCTGGGAGAAAACAAACATGTGCAGAAGTACTCACCAGTTTGAGCTCGAGGTACCGCCGGCGATAAGCCGCCCTGACGACGTACCCTACGTACCCAGGCATCTACCAGGTACGTATCCCAGTTTCTGTAGGACCCAATAACCTTGGTCTTTTGGAATATACCAAATCAGCCCGAGGTAAAACTGACGTCTCCTTTCTGTCATTGAATGCTCCCATTTACGTGTTGACTCCATTAGCGGCTGCATCATTTGCTTACCAACCTACACATTCGATGTATGATCTGAACAGAACGACATCTAAAAATAACACAAAAGGTCTCGATTAGATTCTCAGCCGATAAGACGAAGAGAAATTCACCCGAATGGGTCCTACTCAAGGAGCAGGCGCCCACTCGGACCCCGGTGAGTGTGGCTCGTCAACAGCTGGTACGCCTCTTCAACGTTTTCCTCGAGATGTAAGTGTCCAGGGCTGTCATGATTCACTTTGCATCAACGTATGCAGGAGAAATCTTGAGCATGTCAGGTCCCGAGAATAGACCATACGACATCGCCAGAAGCGACTCTTGAGGTGTCTGTTCATATTAAGCCCGTGTGCCACAGCATATTACTACCCAACAAGCATATCCTCCAAGTCTGCTAACTATTCGGGGTAACGTGCTCAAGTCGAGCTAAATCCGGGTATCATATATTCCGTTGGCTCGGCACCATTCAGTTGGTATGCCTCATGTAGAGCACTGAATTGAGTACACCAGGTTTGTCCATCCTGATGAAAGTAGATCAATTGGCAACATGCACATCTTCAAGACGGATTCCAACAATGAGGGTTCTTCAATCCTTCAGGATCACATCGTACTAGTAGACGAATGATATTTCAGCTGCCAGCCTAAATAATGATCCTGCGGATACGGCAATATCCTGGCTGCTCAGTACTTGCAGTGTTTCCTTCTGGCATCAGTCTGCAACTGAGCTTCTAAGATACTCGCTACCTTGATTTTCATACTGATGTGTAAGATTGCATCTGCGACGAGCTTGCCTTTTTCCGTGGCCTGCATGATACTTCTCTGCTTATCACGGTAGGGTTCCATTCAATTATTCTTTTCTCTCTGTCCTTGTCAGCCACGAAAGAGAAGCTATACTCGACAGGCTGTTTTAAGTGGTTCAGTCACTGAGCAGGGCCAATGGATCCATATTTTCCCTGGAATTCGCATACGCCATGAGACCATTGAGTATTGACCCCACAGGGAGGTGGGAAGGTTGACTGGAGCTGTGTACAAGTAGTCATGTTGGGCCTGGCCATCTGGCCTGCGCTTTGAAGTATATAAAGATCTTCAAAGTTTCACTGTGGTCATCGAAACGGTATCACCGATTCATCTGAGACTTCATCGGCGTCGCGATTTAGTCATTCTTTTGTGTCTCACGACTTTCACTGGTCAAGATGTTTGGGCATGACTGGACTTCTAAACTTGTTGTAGGTTTGTCTTTGGCTACTCTTGCGACTTCTAATCCCGTGGCCGCTCCCCAAGCTACGACGACCATCACGCCCTCCGGGCCACCATGTACCCACAGTGCAACGAACCGAGCTTGTTGGAGGAATGGCTTCAACATTACTACTGATTATGAGACCTCCCTTGGGACGCCCCCGGGCATAACCAGAGTCGTACGTCAAACATGAAGTTTTGGGGAGATGGGCAGCTGATACTAACACTGACCTACCGCAGTACAACCTTGTGATTACTAACGTGTCATCATTCTCTCCGGATGGTGTTTCAAAGCCAGCTATGCTCATAAATGTGGGTTTACCGGCAGTTACTTGCTCAATGCTAACCAGTTTCGAAGGTACCTTCCCTGGACCCCTGATCACTGCCGGTAAGTTTTCCAGAGAGAATGACACTTTTTCTAGTGCAGAAGCGTGTCTAACTCTTTTTCTAGATTGGGGGGATTTCCTTCAAATCAATGTGCACAACAACCTACCACAAAATGGAACATCTATTCATTGGCACGGCATGAGACAGCTGGGCACGAACGACCAGGACGGTGTCAACGGTGTTACCGAATGTCCTATCCCACCAAACCATGTAAAGTCCTATACATTTAGGGCGACTCAATACGGGACTTCCTGGTTAGATACTCACTTCCGAGAATCTCATACCTATCTAACAGAAAACAGGTATCATTCGCACTTCTCGGCCCAATACGGAAATGGCGTGTTAGGTCCAATGCAGATCAACGGCCCTGCCTCCGCCAACTATGACATCGATCTGGGGCCATATGTCATTAGTGACTGGTACAGAACCACAGCAGATGAGGCGGCAAGCATAGCCGAGATTGTTACTAATGGTGCGCCACCCGCGAGTTCGAATGTGCTCTTCAACGGAACAAACATCAACCCTTCCGGGTCCGGCGGGCAATACAATAGAGTCACTCTCACTCCAGGAAGGAAACATCGACTCCGCCTCATCAACACTTCGGTCGAGAACCACTTCAGTGTTTCCCTCGTCGGACACAACTTCACTGTCATCTCGACTGACATGGTTGCCATCGAACCTTTGGTGGCATCATCGCTTTTCATGGCTGTCGGGCAACGGTACGATGTGATCATAGAGTCCAACCAGAATGTCGATTCGTACTGGTTCAATGCTACCTTGGTTGGAGGCCTTTGCGGTGTCTCTGTGAATACAGCCCCTGCGGCTATCTTCTCCTACCAGGGAGCCCCCGCAGCTGGCGTCCCGAGCGACCCTGGGGTGCCTCTGACTACTACACCCTGTATCGACAACACCGGATTCGTGCCAATTGTACCCCGCCAGGCCCCCCAGTCGGAATTCGCTGCGTCACAAGATGTTTTGGATATACAGCTCGAAACTACCACTGTCAATAGCACTGCAGTATTTCGATGGGAGATCAATGGCGAAAGCAATGATGTCAAATGGGACAAACCAACCCTTGAGTATGTCAGAGATGGGGACACGTCTTACCCTCCTGAAGCGAATGTCATTATTCTTGACGAACCTGATGTGGTAAGTCTGGGCACTCTTTCAGACGCATTCTTCGAGTGTGTAGCCTATTCTAACACAGTCTTTCTGCAGTGGACATTTTGGGTTGTCCAGAACAACGCCATAATTGTAAGTTGTACCCCTGTCTACCTAACTTAGAACTAACCCACGTAACAGCCTCATCCCATCCATCTTCACGGCCACGACTTCCTATTGCTAGGAACTTCTGACACAGACGCCAACCCGACTGAGCCAGTCATTTTCAACGAGGCCTCCGACATCGGCGGCCTCAATTTCAATAACCCCACACGTCGAGATGTCGCCATGCTTCCGCCGTTCGGGTGGCTTGTTATTGCGTGGAAAACGGACAACCCGGGTGCTTGGTCAGTATATTTCCCCCTTGCAAGCTCGTTTCAACGTCCTGTTTTTGGCGTATTCGCTGTATATTAAGTTTTCAGTAGGTTAGTGCATTGCCACATAGCATGGCACGTTAGCCAAGATCTCAGTGTTCAGTTCCTCGAGATGCGCGACCAAATACCCAAGGCCATGGACTTGGGTCAGCTCGAGCCACAGTGCAGTGATTGGGAGGCGTACTACGAGACCAGCTACTGGAAGATTGCTGATTCCGGCCTTTAAGGCAGTAGGTTCAGGTAAGCCAGTGATCCAGGGATTATTTGAGAGTTGTGTTCCATGGAAATCTGTAGTCTGACGATATGTACAGGTCCAGATGCGAACAAATAATTATTTGCATGTATACGAAGGCGTTGATTGGCACCTTATTTCTGATATATTCATATTCTAGCAACACAGGTTGGAATCGGTCTTCGGGAGAGCTGGAAACTTCCATACTTTCCATGTGGTTTTGGGAGATGTTAGCTGCCATTCCTAGCTCGCAATACTCTACTTTGTTGGTTATATATTCGTGAACGTCATGTATCAATCTAAATTTCTTGCGGTGATGATACTGGCTTATTTCTTAGTGTTGGGATTTCACATACTCGAGTGTAGCATATTGTCTCTCATCTGAATCAAATCATTTATTCTGTCGTTGCCCTACCAAACTATCCCATGTCGTATGCATGCGCAATTGCACGAAGGTAACAGAGTAGGATCTATACGTGCTGCAACATCTACGCCGCGAGATGGCTTGCATGGCATATATGAATAACCTGCGCATGTAAGCAATCCGTGCAACTGTTGGAGTAAAGCAACGTCGTACAGCTAAACCTCTTTCTGGGAGTCGTCAACATGGTGTTGAGCACGCATACAAATTCTCCAGCCGATTAATAAAACCTTGGATGAGAATTTCTCCCTGCGTAGCCCATATTATCAAGCGGTATTTAAGCTACCTTTATATGTGGCCTTCGTTCCGGCTGCTGGAACTGATGTTGTGGCGATTGATGCATACCCCAAGACTTTGTTCACAACAGAGAAGATGTTGGCCATTCAGGAGATCCTTGAGAAGTAGTGAGATCCTCTATTTTACGCACATTTCAATACCTCCAGTAAAAAAGCACTGTTTGATACATACTCATGAACTGTGTTGCGAATCCATCTTCTTGCAGCCCTCTCCCACACATAAACGACCTTACGCCGCCAACTCATGCGCCTCCTTATTTACCGTCTCTACTGACGGATATCTCACCTCCGGCGTTGTGGGACTGACTGTGATATGAGGACTGATAGCACCGCTTGATAACGTTGGCCCTGGAGGGCTGACCGGTTCAATTGGTGGCTGTCTTCGCTCTACCGTTGCGTCTAACTCTGCCTTGGGTGTGTAAGTTGGTCCCGAGCCTTCAAGTTCAGGCTTTCCATTGATGGTCTCTTGCTCTTGCGCTGCTGGTGATCCCTCTGGCTCTCTCTCAATTCGCTTTCGCCGCAGATAGAGATAGACGATCGTGATGATCAGGACGACGAAAAAAACCCCGAGGCTTACTGATATTCTCACGATTTTGCCACTAGAGAGTCCTCCATCTGGTCTCGCGTCTGCTGGGGAGCTAGGACTTGTCTCCTCAGCACCTTTATTAGAGCTGGATCCAGGACTGGGAATATAAAGGGTGGTGTGTAGGGCAGTAGTGGCCGGTGCTTCAGTCTCAGTGCTCATCAATTGGAGTGGGAAAACTTTGTGATAGACACTAGCAGCATATTGAGGCGACTCGCTGGTAATGTCGACGTACCAGGTGTAGAGGTCCTTCGAATGTGCCCACGTATAAGGCGGGTCCCACGACATCCAGACCTGGGTAGATTCTGTCATCAAGCTCTTGCATAATCGTTGCGGAGCAGCTTCGTCGTAATCCGCCGTCGCTGTTGCACATGTCCAGGAGCCAGTGGAGCCACTCGGGCAACACCATGCTTGGGAAAACAGAGAGCCTTGGTGAAAGAGAGTAGTTGTACAGGCCGTCGTGTACCCAGATAGGCAAGCATTGCCCGGATATGCTAGCGTGGAATCCGCACCTTCGTTGGTTACCGTTACACCGTCTGCTGCTCCGTTGAGCCATACATATTCCTGACCGAAAATGGCGAAGTAAGATTCAGGAAAGCATTTGGTTTCGTGTCCAATCCTCGTTCCAAATTGTTCAGTCGTCTGGACAGCAATGCAATCATTGCCACTCAACGGGTGGTGCTGAGCAGAACTCTCCGACGAGTACACCAGGTTTGTCATCTGGGGACAGTACACAGAGAGCCGACATGGGTCACCTCCAGCTGCGTACGAGAATGGGGTATTCTGAGGGGGCAAGGCAATTGCGGGTGTGGCACCGGCAACACGTACCGCCCTTAGAGTGTTGGTCGCCATGGTGTTGGAAAGTGCTTGGAGCCCCCGTCTTTCAATGAGTTTGAGATCAAGCAACCAATCAGCTGGGAGAGCGCAGATAGTGCTACTGGCGACGCTGGGACCAAGAAGGTTGGAAAGGCAACAATTTTGATAAGCTGAAGAGATGCTGCTGGGGAATTTGAGACATCAAGAAATGTTGAAATATTGGCAATCGACGTTGTGAGATCGCGAGTGCGAACATATGTGCGCACGTTCTCTTGGAGTATTTACGTCGTAGAGGAAACCGCAAATATGCTCGGTCCTCGCTTCCTTCCGTTGTTTGCTGAATGCACTGGTCTGTCGGGAAGCTGCAGCTGTCTCGGTGCATTTTCAAAATAGGAAGGACCAGTGACCACGTCACTATTCACTTGAAAAGACGAGTAATACCGAGTTTTCACCAGAGCATTGCGCTCCTTCCCAAGTTGAGTACAGGGGAGAGATGCAAACCTCGAGGGTTGCGAAGGAGCTTAGGAGGCTGCATACGAAAGAACCATAGATAGAGGAAGACCAAACTGTCTGTTTGGCCTCCCGAGGGGACGAAACATGTTGATCAACTGGGTTAAATTCATGGAGCCGGTAGAGTAATACAAGTTCCAATCGGGGGGGCATCCAGAGTTGGACATTCAGGGAACGTGAGAGCCGATCCGCTCCAATTATCCCAAGCACACGCACATCTGAGTAGCAGAACATGTGCTCGTCAGAAAGATATCTACAGGTTGAGCTGTCTAATTTGACGATTCACTGTCACGCACATCCCGCCGACAGGAAAGGAAATTGACGTACATAAACAACATGGCTAGGTCCATTGGTCGCTACTCGCAACCTCTTCATACATACGGCATACAATTGTGCGACATAAGTGAGATGTCTTGGTTCAGGAAATATCCATATACAAACCAAAACACAGCATCACTTCCGTTTTTTCTGGAGACAGGGCAAAACTTCCAGTACTTGAACCGGGCAACTTGTCATAACTTGTATTTCTACGGGATTCATCACGAATATCTTGATTCCAGGCTTTTGATTTCAAACATACTCCCGCGCCGATTGCGGTGGTCCCAAATCCACCCTCCTACCCTGACTACTCTGATAATTAGAGTAAGAGCGCATATCCGACAGTCCAATATTGGACGGAGGAGGCTCGTTCTGGTGCTGAGCCGTTACCGCCGCTCTGTGGCCCATTCCAGTCTGCTCTTCTGTCTGACGCCACGGTTCCATGTTGTAGCCGCCGCCCTGGCCGCCGGTCGTCTCCTCCTTGGTGCGAGCCCAGCGTTTGCGGATAAAGCTCTTGGTCAGAATCAAGATCGCGACCACTGGGAAGATAAAGATGACCAATCCTGCGAGAATGTAGTTTCGTTTGGAGTTCTGGGCGAAGGGGAAGCCTCTGTTGGGGGAGTCGGTCATTAGTATTACGTCATCTTTCTGATGTTAGCGACTTACAAGAATGCATTGGTGACCCCGAGGACGATGAGCAGCCTGCCCAGCCATACGTGGACAGGCGCGAGTTTGGTTGGCTGCTGCGTCTTCTTGTAGAACCGGTGGTGCAGGAACCCCAAGACCAATTGGCCAAAGATTAAGATGAAGACGACAAGTCCGATAATTTGGTGAGGGTCGTTGAAATTTTTCGACTGATCTTAGTTAGCTCAGAACTCGGATTCACATCAGTAGGGTTGGGTAGGACCTGTGATACTCACCCTGTTGTAGAAAAAGCTGATATGTATCCCCAGCGCCACCCCTACGGTCACACCGATAAGAGCCAGCCCTTGGTTGATGGCATGCCACCGCACAAATCCGCCGACACGCAGGATCAATATTCCAAAAGGCATGAGCCCGAAAAAGCAGAATATCATCATAATGGCATGCACCGTGGCCGCGACGTCTTTTTTCTTGAACACGGAGAGCCCCTGAGTCGCCGCGATGGACTCACTGTCCTCCTCCGTGTTGATGACGGGAAGACCTCCTGGGCCAGTCGCGTGGACCATATCCATTGTGAAAGTTCCATAATTCCAGTGCATCTGCAAGGGCGCGTCCAAATCGTCGCTGTCGATGTTGCCGTCGGGCCCCGTCGCGTAGAGGCAGTTCTGCTCTTTGCTTGATACATCGACGCTGCCACCGTTCCAAGAACGGCAGTTGGTACATTTACCATTGAACACATAGGTCGTCTCATTGATCAGGCCCGTTCCAGGAAGCGCTTCGACATTGATGCCAGAAGTGTACACCGGCTCGGAATGCCCGTAGGCAAGACGCGGAGACAAGGTGACATTCTTTCCGGAAGCGGACGAGTACGCCATTAGGATGAGCGATCCGGCCATATTCTTGGATCCAAGACCGATTGCTCCCCATGTTATGCGAATGGGTATCATAAGTGAGAAATAAAGATCGGTTATTGAATCTGCGGGGACGTTCAGGGCGAAGGCAATATCAACGGCCGGGCTGACGAAAACCGACGCTGCCGCACTGTTCGTTCCATTTGTGCTCTGTGCCTGTGATAGAACTGAAAGGCATATCCCTAGGTAGAGGGAGTTAATGGTTAGCTACAGGAATTTTGTCGACTCCACAGTTCGATGGTTGCAGATGTGGAAAGGACGCCTAACTTACCCCCTAACAACGCCAACTGAGAAAATAAGAATGAGCGCATTATACAATAAACCGTTAAGACCCAAAGATTCCGTCCTGGGCATCAAGCCTCTTCAGTGACAGTCTATACGATTAGAGGGGGGTACGGAGTTGGTGAAAGGCACAGAACACCCCAACTCGCAATTGTCGCGGGATCAATTGATATTTCTTCTTCCTCTATCACATTTCCAAATCTAAAATAGCTTCTCAGACACCCCTAACGATCTTGCCTTTTCCGTACCGCCTTCGACTGCGCCCGCGGCAATGGTAAAACGGCTTCGCTGTGATTGGTTGATGTTTTTCTCGGTTGAAATACGATGCACTCGATTGGCTCTCCGCGATGGTCTCCCAACTTCAGCAGGCGCCGAGGACCCTGGTCAACCCCAGAAACTGAAGGCGCCTAGGCATGTAGGAAAATAAAGTTAGCTGGGAAATCTGACTGGTAGCCTGGAACCATGCGAGGTCTATGGGAAGGAAAGGTCAATGCCGAGATGTCTATTATTGGACGAGGCCTCCCGCGAATGATATCCAGGCGGCGATTATACCTAGACTAGCGGGCTGCCAATGTCGATATGATAATCAAGAAGGAAAACAATCCTCTATGGTTCAGGGTCAGAGTAAGTCAGGTGCTACATTAGGTGAAATCGGTGTACGCAGCCCAACTTGGAACCGCTCAAACGAGGGAAATAAACCCCGCAGCCTTCTTGGATGCCATCATGACCGAAATTGAGACCGAAAACTCTACCGGGGCAAGTTAGCTTCGATTGTTTATGTCACTACCAGGAGTCAATAGAATTGTTTCGTAGTTGCACCTATGTGAGTGAAGCCAAAACGGCTCGCAAGGTTGAGGTGTTTGTTGATAGCGAAGAAACGACTACTCGCAAATCAACGGAATGCACCCCGCACTCAGGTGCATCACAGTTCTAATGCATTTTGCCTCACCAAGGCTACTTGCTCAATTTCTTCTTCGCCCGTGAGCTGCTGCGGAAGAAGCCTGTTGTTTTCGTTACGCGCCGAAATGAGGTCAGTGCCTGGTGAGCAATGCCCCAGCAGCAATATGAAATACGAGGACCTGAATTAGAGCTACACAAGTCCGGTACTCGTCTCAATAGCTTAAATGTCTCGATGAGTTCGTCTGAGTTACTTTATGAGAGTGTTCATAGGCTTGACTGCTTCCTCCAGTTTCAACAAGCGAATCTCATCATGAGACAGTGCGCATCTGATCAATACATCATGTGAGATATGGAAGCCCATGTGAGAGCGCTCATTTATTACACCCTGATTGTTATGAGTCAAAATTTGTTCAGAACATTTTGCGCCCCCATCGCGTCTCCCAAGCCAACAAAGTCAAGCTACAACAGATTAATTGAAATCCCATCTGTGTGTGTGTGAGCACCATGGGGAACCCAAGACTAGAACGTACCAAAACTACATTCGGCATGCGCTGATATTTGCCATAGCATAAATCCGACTGTGCAATGATGGAGCCCACAGAGTTCGTGGTCTCTATCCTGGTAAGATCGGGGATGAGAACCCCTTGATATGCGTATATTAGCATCCCTACATCCCACGAGAATCAGCAATTGGAGAGCGACAGACCTGGCAAGATTTCGAAATTCAGATTATGATTCACAATGAACATGCGCCCGTCTGGACTTGCACCTGCCGGTCTATCTATGTCGCACTGCGGGAAATCGGGATCGGTCGGGTCGAAGGGGGTCTCAAAATAGTACTTGAACTCATCCATGATGTATGGCACCTGGGCTGTATTCATATTGTAGTCTATTTTCTCCACGTTAGCCCCGGCAAGAGAAAGAAGTATGATAATAAAAGACATCAACGCACCCATGAAGACGATGAGCCGCTTGCTCCTCGCAATCAGAGTCCCCAAAGTAGGCCAGTCATCCATCGCCAGATCACCCTCCGGCGTAAAAGCAAACGCGTCGAGCCCCAGCTTCTGGAAGGAATCCCCAAATTTGTTGATGTCAATCGCATCTTCGTTCGTAATGAGCAGTGTCAAAACCTCATCCACATTTCTGCCCATCCACGTCTTGACGGTGCCCAGGAAATCATCAAGGGTTCCAGCATCCTCAAGAGCACACGATGTGTGACATAATTGTATCGCGCCGTCCTTGTCATGAGTCTGCGCCGTCAAAAATCGGACACCCCCGTCTAGTTGTGTGCCGACCGGATCCAGCTGGTTATCCGCGGGCCCTACGCCGACGAAGGGCGAGTTGTGCGCGCCCATGAAGGAGATATTGCTGTACTTCCGATTGCAGAGCTCGGCATGGCCGTTGCAGTCGAGGGCTGGGACGCTGGTTGCGAAGACAAGGGCTGGCAAGACGAGTTTCCACATCGTGAATTGGTCGGCTGGTTAAACTCAAAATTGTAATAGCAAAAGAACGTGGGAGTGAGAGTGATGTGATAATTGGAAAACCGCGACGCGAGAGGGTCATCTTTGCGAGTGGTGAAGACACGACTATATCATAAACCGCACTACTGCCTGTTCATCCGACTTCCGAATTTAGGTGCGCTCATGGAACGTGTAGTTGCACTGCATCTGCATCTGACGCATACAGGTCAGGTCGTGAAATATGAGGCGCATGAACGACCAGGTGGCGAAGACACCACTTGCACGCGCCGCCGGAGACGCTAATCAAGGCCAGGGGTTGGTTGTCCCTTTCAGTACCGGCTGCCTCCTGCTGTTTCTGGCCATGTGGTAGGCTTGTTCTGCAAAATGATTGGCCAGCTTGCCTGCGGAGGGAGCAGGAAATAATATTGTGGCGTTCTTGTTTCTAGGCCTTTATTCCCACCACAGTAGCGGCCCCCTAACTATGTATATGGTGGGTAACACATAATTATATAGTTAACGGGCTTATACAGTAAATAGATCACGAGGTAACTATATACGTACTCTATGTCACAGCGCTGGCGATTACAGAGCCACATAGTGCTGTATATAGCAGTTAGTAGGACCAAATGTTAGTAACACTGACATTTCTAGATCTTTTGGTCTATTAGCCTAGGGGCTGTAACGAAACCTCTAATAGTCTAGCTGCGTAAACCACTAAAGAGTCTGTAAGCGTTTGTGCTAGTAAGTAAGTCCTGCTGCGGAGTCCTCAAGCAATAATATCGGGGTTTGACGTAACGTAGTCCACGGTCCAATTGCACACTTCGGCAGATTTTCGTACGCTACCACTTTGACCTGCGGTTTTTCACCACATAACTATGGTTGGTTCTTGGAATGAAAGTGATATGATTCTAGCATTACATGCGCTTCAATCTGATCCAAAATTAAGTGTACGTCGCGCTGGTCAGATCTATAACGTACCTTTTAGAACCCTTGCGTATCGACGTGACGGTAAAACCGCTCGAGCGATTAAGCGATCGCCAACGCAAAAGTTGACTCCTTCCGAAGAAGAAGCAATCGTACGACATATAACCGACCTAGATTCGCGAGCATTTCCTCCCCGATTGAGTGGTGTTGAAGATATGGCCAACCGATTACTTCGAAGTCGCGACGCGGGACGCGTCGGCGTCAACTGCGCCTCGAGCTTCGTAAGACGACAACCAGACCTCCGGACGGTTTAAATCGAAGGACCGACTATCAGAGAATCCTCTGCGAAGACCCCGACGCGTATCGCGCGTGGTTTGACCTGGTACGGAATACAATTGCGAAATACGCGATCCAGGAGGAGGATATCTACAACTTCGACGAGACCGGTTTTGTGATGGGCCAAATCTCGTCCGAAATGGTCGTGACGACTTCTGATCGGCGCGGAAGGCCTAGAGCAGCCCAGCAAGGAAACCGGAAATGGGTTACAGCTATCCAAGGCGTTGGGTCGTCCGGTTATGCCCTCCCTCCGTACATCATTTTCGCCGGCAAAACCCACCTCTCGTCATGGTACGAAAACAGCCCATTACCGCCTGATTGGGTTATAGCAGTTACTAAAAATGGCTGGACTACGAACGAGAGAGGCGAATATTGGATAAAACACTTCGATCATCACACCAAGTCTCGTACGAAAGGTACTCATCGCCTATTGATCCTCGACGGTCACGAAAGCCATCACTCGATCGATTTCGAGGTATATTGCAAAGCTAACAATATCGTCACGCTTTGTATGCCTCCTCATTCGTCGCATAAGCTCCAGCCTCTTGATGTTGGTCGTTTTCGCGGGTTGAAAAGAGCGTACGGAAAAGAAATCGAAGATCTCATGCGAGCACATATAAGTCATATCTCGAAAGAAGACTTTTTACCGGCGTTTTTAAACGCGTACAACGCAAGTTTCACGGCTTCAAATATCCAAGGAGGTTTCCGAGGGGTAGGAATAGTTCCGTACGATGCAGATTATGTCATATCACAGCTCGATGTGAAATTACATACGCCAACACCTCTGGGTAGCTGTCCCTTGGGAATCAAAGACTCCGAACAACCCAACCGAAGCCCAACCACAAACCGATTATGTGAAAAATAGGATTGTACGACATCAAAATAGCTCACCAAGGTCAATTTTTGCTGGAATAGATCAGATTGCGCGAGGTACAACGAAGGTTATGCATCGGCTTGCCCTTTTAGAAGGCGAGGTCGAATCACTTCGAAAGGCAAATGAGACCTTAAGTCGACGTCGCCGTGCGAAGAAAAAACAGCTACAGAGTGGAGGGTCACTTCGTATACAAGCTGGACAGGACCTACAGTCTCAACGAGAGGTTGATGGGCAGTTACATGACGAATTTCGTCAAATTGGTGGTCGTACGAGGCGGCGAATTGCGCGTGTACGGCGGTGTAGAATCTGCGGCCAGCCCGGACATAATGCGCGCACTTGTGGAAATGATGTAGAGACGTCTGAAGATAACGATTCTGAGTAGTTTTAATTGATGATAGGCGTTGTGGTTGAATTAACTTATACATTGTCGTATAAGGTCTGCCAAAGTGTGCAATTGGACCGTGGACTACGTTATGGAGTAGAGTGCTTTGGGTAACTGAAGTATTCAAGTAGGGTAATCGGGAATAGAGTCGTTAAGGCAGTTTGCCTCACCAATGGGTTAGATTGATGCTTAGATTGATCACTGAAGTAGAGACTGTCTATCTATGAAATGCCTGGGAGTCCTACAGGGGTGGCTCACTGGTTCACGCAGTGAACCAGTGATCCGTCACGTGACCTTCTCTAGTCGGTCTGTCCTTCTTCCGGTCCTTTCCTGCAGGTATCCACCTAAGGCCTGCCAACGGGCCTGTGACAGGCTGTGCCCGTAACAGGGGCTTAGTCCCCCTCTTGTGGCACTCTACGTCTCTGTCTATTTCCGTACTAAATAAGTATTAACCTATAACGTAGTTTATTACCTAGTTATATCCTTTTTAAACCTTTCTAACCCTTTAACTTTAAACGTATTTCCTCTGAATCGTTCGGATAGCTACGATAGCGAGGTTAGTTTAGATTCAAAGAATTTGTAATATAAGAATTAGGTAGTTTAGCCCGCTATTCCTCGGGTCTTCGGACCTACTGTCTTTATAAGCCGTAGGCTTTCATAGGGCTGTATATTAAACGGGAGTTTTTAAAAGAAGAAAAATATGTTACGAACCGTTGGCCCTAGACCAACATTACAGGCCCGTTGGCAGGCCAGGTGGATACAAGCATTAGGATCACGGGACCCCGCATCGGAGAAAGGAAAGAACCGACCGGGTCACGTGACTTATAAGGGTGAATATGTTGGTCAACTACATATCCAACCAACAGGATATGTTGGCACAGAACATATCCAAGTGGGGATCAGTGAAGGAGAGATGGGTATATAAGGGACAGGACTCCCAGGCATTTCATATATAGACAGTCTCTACTTCAGTGATCAATCTAAGCATCAATCTAACCCATTGGTGAGGCAAACTGCCTTAACGACTCTATACCCCGTTACCCTACTTGAATACTTCAGTTACCCAGAGCACTATACTCCATACGTCGTTCACCGATATTATTGCTAAGGAACTCCGCAGCAGGACTTACTTACTAGCACAAACGCTTACAGACTCTTTAGTGGTTTACGCAGCTAGACTATTAGAGGTTTCGTTACAGTAGTAACGAGCTACTCCTCTAGTTAGGCTAACTCATAACCCGATAAAGGAGGCGCGGACTAGGAACGTCCGGTAACTAGGCAAGTTTAAGGGAACGTCGACCGAGCATAGCCAACCTTAGAAGGGGAATAGTTGTAAGGAAAGAGCTATTATTGTCATGGTTTACTAACAAAGTAGGCTCTCAGTGCTAGTAACGAATGTATTGGAATTGCTACGATAGAGAAGAGAAGGAAAGTCTATCTAGGTCGTGGAAAGGGGTGCCGCCACTTATAGTGCGGCACCCGCAGTTAAGAACCGCTGGATTGAATGTGGCCCGAGCGCCACATTAGCCCAAAGTGGGCTAGCCCCGTGACAATTATAGCGGGCTAGTCTTAGCTAATAAACTAAGTCGGGGGGGTTTCGCCCCCGATCTAGTAGAACCCCGGAACTACCTAATTATAGAGTGACGGCTGATTTCCATATTAGCCCGGAAAGGCTACCCGGAGTGGGTTCAGGAGTGGGCACGCAGCTTGGTGGAGGATAGGACGGTACGCCTCTGGTTCGATGGCAAGGAGTCAGAGCCAATCCCCCTACGAGCTGGCGTCCCCCAGGGGTCACCGCTATCCCCGATACTGTTTATATTATACATTTTAACGCTGTACGAGGAGCTAGCGGAGCAGCACCCACTACTTTTAGTAGTCGGGTTCGCGGACGACACGAACCTGCTAAGCGTCGGCATCGATCCAGACACGACCTGCCGCCGGTTGGAGGGCGCATGGGCTACGTGTCAGCGGTGGGCAGTGAGGCACGGGATGGAGTTCGCCCCTGACAAGAGTGAGCTAATGCACTTTACTAGGGCCCGAGAGCCCTTGCCGCAAAGTATTCGCCTTGGGGACGCCACAGTGTCGCCGGTAGTCTCAGCGAGGTTCCTAGGAGTCTGGTTCGACCGCAAACTGACGTGGCACGCCCATGTTGAGCGTGTTAAAAAAAATGGCAACTCAAAAGCTAGCCCTGACAAAGCTAGTCAATATGTCGTGGGGCTGCGATCTTATACGGGCGAGGCTGTTATATACGGTGGTTATCCGTAGCGCGATCGCCCACAAAGCGACGCCGGTTCGCCACCTGGAAGCAGAAGCAGCAACCCCGCCACTAGACCTCTATCTTAGTGCCCGGGCTGCTAAGTTTGAAGAACGGCTACGGCTTAGCGGGAAGAGAAATCTGCTTCGCAGCGCGAGCGCTAAAGCGTCACATATACTCCGGCAGGATAGGCCGGCGAAGAGGAAGCAGGCGTCGCAGCTACTCCGACCGGC